TATTTAGTGAATGCTGATACCAAAAATACTAAAAGTAGATATTTTATGTGGCGTTTCCCAAGTTTCCCAAGTTTCCCAAGTTTCCCAAGCTTAGCTCTGTTATCTCTGACTATCTTAAATACCACAAAAGCCTTAATATATTAACTTTAACAACAATGAATTTTCAAATATTCCAAGAATTACCTTTTCATTTGTTTTTTTTTTTTTTTTTCATTTCCCCCTCCCCCACCTGCTTCATCATATGTTCAAAGCTTTATTATTTAAATCCTTTGATCACTTTAGGAAGTTTGGGTTTTCTAACATTAACGACTATTACTTTTTTTTTTTTTTTTTTTTTTTTAATTTCTTTTTCTTTTCCTTTTCATTCACTCGTTGTTTTTTCCAGTACAATGGATTATCTTCCCTATCACGCTTTTTTTTTTATCAGTCTTGCCAGAATAATCTTTCTCTTTCTCTCTTTCTGACCTGACTTTTTATTTTTATTTTTATTTTGCTAAGAAAAAGGATTTACAATTTGACAATAAATTAATTAACAAAATACATGAAAGATTTCTTTATTATTTTAATTCATATATTTAAATTCATATTCATATATTTAATAACTAATATATAAAATATACAATAAAAAGAATTCCATATTCTTTTTGTCTTTTGGGTCAACGTGGTCGTTTCCAAAAATAGAACTATACAGATACCCTTTCTTTCTTTATTTTATTTTATTTTATTTTATTTTATTTTATTTTATTTTATTTTATTTTATTTTATTTTATTTTATTTTATTTTATTTTATTTTATTTTATTTTATTTTATTTTATTTTATTTTATTTTATTTTATTTTATTTTATTTTATTTTATTTTATTTTATTTTATTTTATTTTATTTTATTTTATTTTATTTTATTTTATTTTTTTTTATTTTATTTTATTTTATTTTATTTTATTTTATTTTATTTTATTTTATTTTATTTTATTTTATTTTATTTTATTTTATTTTATTTTATTTTATTTTATTTTATTTTATTTTATTTTATTTTATTTTATTTTATTTTATTTTATTTTTTTTTATTTTATTTTATTTTATTTTATTTATTTTATTTTATTTTATTTTATTTTATTTTATTTTATTTTATTTTATTTTATTTTATTTTATTTTATTTTATTTTATTTTATTTTATTTTATTTTATTTTATTTTATTTTATTTTATTTTATTTTATTTTATTTTATTTTATTTTATTTTATTTTATTTTATTTTATTTTATTTTATTTTATTTTATTTTATTTTATTTTATTTTATTTTATTTTATTTTATTTTATTTTATTTTATTTTATTGTTTTCCCTGTCATCATAGATTTTTTTTTTATCTTGATGGTCAACCTTTAGCGGAGTTTGTCCAAAATTTCATTTTTATAAAATTCACGTGACATAATACCATTCACCACCAAAAACTTTTTCAAAAATAATAACTTGAATGAAAAAATCACAATATTTATATTTTAATAATATTTTAATAAGGTCAAAAAAAAAAAGTTTAACAATTTTCTTTTTTAGTTATCTTTTAAAGAAAAAAAAATACACCAATTAATATAAATGATAATATACTACATATCAACGCACTTAAAAGATAATTTCTTTTAAGACCTTGTACTTTTTTCTTAAGTATATTCACCCCTTAGAAATGAAAGTTTGATGTTTTTTTTTTCTTGTCTTTGAGCTGCTTTTTTTCTGGATGTACCTTAATATTGGAAACAAACAAAAAAAAAAAAAACAAGATTATACCAGTAACATATTGTGCACCTGAAAAAGGTACAATTTTTTTTAAACAAATGCTCTTTATATTTTCAATCCACTAGCTTTCACGTTATCCTCATTTCAATCTAATAAGCCTTAAATACAGGCAAGAATACCAATACAACAAACACTTCTTTGTTCTATAAAGTTGGGATTTCATAATAACCGACAACGGATAAAATTTCTTATTAGAGTGATCACTATGTACATGGGATAAGGGAAATTAACCATAACCATACGTTTATACTCAAAACTAAGATAAAAAATATCTCTTAACTAAAAGGCCTGAATTTGAACCTGAACCCATATCCGATGAAATCTTTTTACACAATCTCTAAAGTATAATACCTGTGTCAAATTATGACTTACTAAACCATTTATTATCAGAATACAAAAGTCCATGTATTTCAGACCGATGAATCTTTTTAAAAATTCAAACAAAAACGTATTTTTGAATCGACAGTGACATGCTCGGTTAGGACTTTTTTTTTTTTTTCTCTAGATAATTATGTTTAATATATCAATTATAATATTCCTTAATAAGTGGCCAAGAAAATAAAAAGCACATAAAGTTGACGGCTCGTTATTCTTTGATGTAATTAACTGATTGACTTTCACTAATATGTCAATTTCTTTTTTACTCCACTAATTCCGGTTATTATTTTGTCAATTATTTTTCAATGGAAAAATCACTTAATCAAAAAAAAAAAAAACCTTGATTTGTAAAAATCCATCAATCTCGATAAACATACACACTGATACAAAATTATCAATTATACTACTTTTTTTTTTTTTACATTTTACATTGTTTATTTTTACAGGGAAAAAAAATGATCAACATTAATTTTGAAAGAACAAAGGGAAATGTAGATACCATCATCGTTAAGATTATCAGGGTCTCTTTTGGATCGAATATGACATATTGTTATTCTTCTTCTGTCGAATATTAAATACCGCTATGATTTTTCAATATAACATCCTTAAAGAAATAATATGCCATAGAATTTTTTTTGTTATAATCTTTTATCTTTTTTTCATTCTCGCCAATATTTAAGCATCCAAATTTCTCTAACAATGCAGTTTAAGCTTATTATACTCTTTTTTTTCTATTTTAAGTCAAAGGCCTTTATTCTTTAAAAGAACCATCACTTTTCTACTTACATTTTTTATATACCAAATACCAAAACATTTACTGCAAGATTTCAAAAACAGTTTCTCCTACAAAGAATTAAAAAGGTCAAAGCTTTTTTCTTTTACCCCCTTTTTTTGATCTAATGAACTTGATGCCTTTTCCCGGGAGCATTATCCGGATTCTTAAGTCTTAATTCAAATGACGAGATTTTTATGAAAAGAAGAAAAAAAAATGGTGTTCTTTTTTTTTTTTATAGAAAGTCAACCGATTATTTTAAACATGTTAGTTTGGTCAACTAATTAGGTATATTGAAATAATCAAACCTTGATTTTATTAGCTTTATTAGCTTTATTATATTGTGACATTAAACTTTGAATCAGTATTTACAGACTTTACTTTTAATTATAATAAAAATGCAAAAACTTGACATATCCAAGGAAATCATCATCTAAGAACTTGATTATTCTCTTTTTGAACTAAAGAAAAATTTAAATTCTATAAAAGAACATTCATGTCACAAAATTTTCCCCAAACTGTTTAACAGAAGGAGAATAGGGAAATTTTTTTTTTGAAAAAAAAAAAAAAACTTAAAGCATGAAAATTTAACTGCTTTTCTTTCCTCTTTCATTTGAAAGATTTTACAATACATATATATATATATATATATATATATATATATATATATTTAAATTAACTTGAATGAAGCCTGCAAAACAAATTCAAAATTCAAACAAAAATGAGCGAGTTTCAAATCAACTTTAATATGTAAACATTTAAAGAACTGTTACATTTTTTTTTATCTTTTGATTTTAAGAGTGCGCACTTTAAAACAATTATCAATGAAATGCAGTTTGAACTGTTTTATTCACATATATATATTATTAAAACATACGGGTTTCTTTTTTTTAAAACTTTGCATTGAAGTCTTTTTACATATAATAGTGATTGTGCCACTGTATGCGGCTTGATATTGTTTATATCATTTCCACAAATCAAAAGTAAAAAAGAATACTTTTGTTGGGTCTGTAGAAATGTGGTTGGGTGGCTGTTCATCTTTCGGGGCGAAGCAGATGAACTTTTAACCTTGAATTGGTCAATTCATCTTTTTTTTTTTTTAAAAAAAAAAAAAATTATATTTTGCATTCAACAACCCTGATTCTGCTAAATTTAATTTTTCAAAGAAGTCAAATAATCTAAAAAAAAAAATAACAAAGAAACCGAGAAGAAAATCCTAATTTGCCAAAGAATAAGTCAGAGGCAACGGAGAAAAAAAGTAAATAATGTTTCCTTATCCGAAATTAAAGGCTAAATGAACTTCTTTTAAAATAAGAAATAAACTGAATGAAGAAAGTCAACATGCGTAGATAATAATGCTGATCAGCACTTTCTTTATTAAAAAAAAATTGATTTTGTAACAATATATTGTTAGCTATATAGCTTTTGAGTGATTACTCAACCTTTACCAATTTGTATTTAGACTTTTATTCAAGCAGAATCCTTAATTTGTTTATTAAGCTTATGATGATTTATTTATTTGTTACATTGGCCAAAAAAATTGAATTTAAAAAAGTGTATCAACAAAAGCATTTTAAACTTCAATAACGATCGGACGCTAACCAGCCTTCAACTATAACGAAGATCCTATGAAATACTTTTAATATGACAAATAATACTTATTTGAAACATACGCGTTTTTTAATCATTTTCTTTTACTTGGTCTCATACAAAATCGCGTCAAAAAAAAAAAAAAATAAATAAATTTTAAATCATTTAAACACGTGACATTTGTTTAGAAAAATTCCAAAAAAGGAAATGCTGCTTTGTTTATTTTTGTTTTTTCTTTGCAAGTAAAGGTTAACAAAAATATAATAAAAACAACAACAAAAACAAAAACAAAATATTGAAACCGAAAAAACTACAACCGCTGGGTCTCCCTCTTCCTTCTTTTTTTTTTTTTTTTTTTTTCATCCATCCCCTACTACTTCTTTTAACACTTGCTTTTTCATTATTTTTACTCCCATCATTAAATATTTGCATTATTCAAAAAATCAACCTTATCAACAGTTTTGTCAAGCTCGCATGACGTCTCTTCCATTACCAATAAAACTACCATGTTGGGTCCGAGCCATATATTCTTGGTCTGGCGAAGAAAAAAGTAAGTTTTAGTCAGAACTTTGAATTTTCTTGAGTTTTAACTTTTTTTTTCACTTTTAATTTAGAGGATCTGGGGTTTATTGAAGGTGATCATATTGAAGTTATCAATACAGGAGATGGTAACTGGTGGAATGGCCGCTTAAAAAGAAACAAACTTGTTGGATCTTTCCCTTGTAACTTTGTGGAATATGTGTATGTGTGTATATCCTTACCTTTCTTTTTTTCAACCGTTTCAAAACTTCTAACCTCTGATTTAGCAATCCTGAAGATTCATCAGGTATTCGGGCTTTTGAACAGCAACCGTCACCAGTTTTACGAGCACATTCAACTGGATCACGTTCAGTGCATTCTACAATGAACATGAATTATATCGAACAACCGCAATATATTAGACATAGTTCTCAAAGCTATCACCCTGAGGACCAAGTTTATGATTATGAACCTGTGTATCAGTACAATAACAATAACAATAACAACAAACAAACTTACGATTACAACCCTAATACACAAGACATTGTTTCTATTTCAGATGGTAGATATCAACAAGCAAGGCCAACAACGACTTATGAGGTTTATGAAGACAGGTCAGTACGAAGCATTCAACCTGAAGATCAGTTTCAACAACGCGCTTCTCGCTACCAATATCAAGATGAAAAGGCTATCTACAAACAAAATAATGTGATTGTTCAACAAGAGTACTACCAACCGGCTTACCAACAACCCCCTGAACAACAATACTATCAACAGCCAAAAGAACAAGTGGTATATCGTCAATATGCTGAAGAACCCCAACATACAGATCAATATTCTCCTTACAGCGAAAGTTATGTAGACGAAGATTATGATTATGACGACCAAAATGATTTCAACAGAACTATCAAAGCTTCCAACAACTATGTTGGACAGTCCCCGATGCCCCCTCCTCACAGGACTGTTCGGGGGGAATATGATGACCATGCTCGCCAATATGTTGAGCAACAACAACCCAATGAGTCTTATTTCGAAGAATACCAAAACGAAAACTTTGGTGGCAAATATTATGCTGAACCAATGCAACAGGAACATTCGCTCGTTTCCGCAAACTCCCTCCAGGAAAGATCAGGGAAATACCATGACCGTACTCCTTCACCCTTGCGAAATGCAATGGACGATGTTTTAAACAGCTTGGATAACCTTGAGCTTGCTTCTTCTGTCGCTTCTTCACCTACTAAAAGGGTTGGACAAAATCTTAGACAACCTTCTAGTCCATTAAAAAACCAGGCTAGTTATCACTCTACATCTCCCTCACCATCACCTACTCCTTCTCGACCCCGTTCTGAGTCCAAGCCTAATCAACCTAGAGCTTCAACTTCACCTTCTCCATCTAGAAGTCCCAAAAGAAAGCCTGTTCGAAGTTCTATGATTCTTCCAGATGATGAACCTAAAAGTACTTCTCCTAGGCCGAATACTCCTCCCACTAAAGTTAATCCACCCCATCCTCGCACACCAACAACCTTAAGGCCCAAACAAAATGAAAATACAGTTGACTCTGATTCAGACGAGGCGCCTTTTGATCCTCATTCTTACAACTCTTCTCCTGCTAAATCCATCGAAACTTCAAGTAGAATTTCTCCTGTCCGACGAACCTCTCCTGATCAAGTTGCTAGAAATGACACCTACAAAAGCGTTTCAACAGTCAATACAGCTTCTCTTTCCATCGCTAGTTCCAGTACAAACCCTACAACATTCAGTACATCATCTGCTGGGTCCCTTGGCAGTCAATTAAAGCAACGCAAAGAAGCTTACTATCGAATGGAAGCCGGACCAGGACTATTCGATAGCACCAATAATATGGCAGATCACAGTGAAGTTCCCGTTGCTCTCCCTACAAATACTTCCCCAGTTAATCAAAAGGGCAATGGCAAACTATCCACTACTGCTCAGCTTAAAAAGTCTACCGGGTTTCTCAAAAAGTTTTTTGGTGGTAAAAATCGTTCAGAAAACAAGGAAAATTATAACGGCAGAAACTCATCTCTTGGATTTTCTGGGAGAAAATCCGCTTGTAGTAACTTGACTGGTGATGAATCAGCAGGAAGTTATTTTGATGTTTCTCCTAAAAAACTAAATAGCAGCGCACAATCCATCAAATCCACTCGCTCTGCATCAAGTCTTTCTTTGAAAAATACCTTGCGCAAAGTATCCAGCAAAACCACGTTGGCTGGCAGAAATGCCTTTTCATCTCTTGACTTTCATTCAGGTGGTAATCCTGCGGGTATCAGCCGACAAAATATTGAAATGGATCCATTATCTCGTACCTCTTCCAAAGCAGGTGTTCATGATACCACTCGTTGGATTGAAATTTACCGTAATGTTCATCGAACAAACACTCTTACCAAAACCGAACGAGAAAATAGGAAAATGCGCCCTCAGTGCGATGGCAGTCGGTCTCTCGAGCCAATTAAGGCTCTTCAAAAAACCGGAAACGAGACTGTTGATGGAGGCATCATCCATGGTGATGGTCCATTAGGACCGATTCTTAATTCTAGAGACTTTGGTCCAGTCGACAATAAGATCTTTAGTATTGGGTCTTGGCCATATATTGTTCCTGGAGATCTTGCTCGCGGATACATTGCTTCTAGATTTACCGATCCTTTAGACCAGACTCGAGCTGCCTTTGATTTCTGTTCTGCAAAGTTGAGATGGGAGTCTGCCTTGGGAGATAATGATGATGGCGACTATGGGCATGAGAGATACCGCGGAGAATTTCAAGGAGGATCTTCGGAATATCTAGGATCAAGTATTAGTATGAATGCTTTATCAAGAGTTATGCAAACTCGCCGTGCATCATCAATTGATATAGCTCACACCTTTAAACAAATGTGCGACGCTCTTGATATCTACTGTGAGGTGATTCCAGGTTATCTTAAAGGCATTGGCGAAATTTGGCTTCATCCTGGTATCCCTCGACCTAATCATTATTGGAATGCCGTTGTCATTAATGGCTGCTGGCGCATGGTTGATGCCAGTATTGCTAACCCATCTTTCCCCACTCGTCACATTTACACTCGCTGTGAAGAGCAGCTCCCTGAATACTTTTATTTCCTTACCAGACCTAAGGATTTGATTTATACCCATGTGCCCTTCAATCTTGCCCAAGAGCATATTGTTCCCCTTTTATCGCATGAAAATGCAATTGCCCTTCCCTTGGCTGGTCCTTCGGCATTTACCTTTAACATTGAACCAATCAACTTTTCAACTTCACTTACACGCTTGGAAGGACTCGAGGCTGCTGAAATTGAATTTGCAGTCCCACCCGAAGCTGAGATTCTTGCCGAGGTTGTTGCCGGCAACTTCCCTGCAGGCTCAGCGGGTACATTGGTTTTGGGGAATACCATGGAACAGCGAGAAACAAAACCTGCATTGGCTCAGGTTTTTTGGGAAGATGGTTCTGATGAGAGATATTATCGTGTTAAAGCCATTCTTCCACAAACCCATCGTCAGGGTGCACTTAGTATTTACATTGGTGCCCGTGGAATTCTTCAATCCGTCAAAAAGAATGTTCTATCTCTTGCATTTTCGTTCCCGATTGTTCACACTGGTGAAAACCCCGCCTTCAACTTTGTGATCCGCCACCCCACGCCTCACTCAGATAAGCACGATATATACATCAATGAGCCGCAGTGCCGGGATCTCATTTGTGGAAACACGTATGTATTCTCCATGAGGCAGCATGTTTCAAGAGTGGAGTATCAAAGCCCAAGCAAGAGCAGAGCTTCCACACCATCAGGTCATAGAAAAGGCCGCAGTATGGATTTGACACGTCTGCAGAGCTCAGCAAGTAACTCAAGTAATTTGACGATGCATGGTTCCAAACGTGCCTCTACCATGAGCTTTAACAATGTATTAGCTCAGCAACAAACCTTACAAAGCACTTCAGGAACCCAACGGGTTAAAATGGCACTTCAGGCTCCTAACGGGAAAATTCTTAAGCTTCAACGTACAGAACAATTCCCTGATGGTTCTGGGTTATTTGAAGGCACGGCAAAGTGTACTGAGCCTGGTACTTGGCGTGGTCTTATCATTTCTGATTCTGGTAATGCTTGGAGTGTTTTTGCAGAATGGACCTGTGCTTGATTTTTTATACGAGATAATTTTTTTTTTGTTAATAAGAAGAAGAAAAAAAATACAGTTGTAATTTTTGATTTAGTGTACAATATATATTTACTTTATAATTTCAAAAGACTGTAAGGGTATCCACCGTTCTTGATTTGAAATTTGGAAATCACAAAAGACATTCCAAGAAATGTGATGAGAGTAAAGAGAACGACGGCAATGTTTTGAGCCTGATCATTCTTTAAAACAGGGACCTTTGTAACAAGCAATATTGTGGAAAAGGCCATAATAGCATAAGCACCGGCAATGATTTGGGTCTCAATGCCAATTTGATTTTGATGGCCAGGAACAAAGTAAGTGACGCCACCCTTACCATCACCAGCAATGTAAGGGACTTTGCGGATAGTGTTGAACATATGGCCTGAAGTAAAAAGAAGGACCGACACCAGGGTAAGAGCGATCCATACCTTGTTTGACTTGAAGAAAAAAAGAATCTGCTTCCAAAAGATATTGATAAGAGGAATTGCAACCGAAATAATGGCAGCAGGAATAACGACCTTGTCCCAACGGAAGGGCTTTTCAAGTTGGACACGGTAGCCGAGCTCGTGGCGAATGTATTCGGCAAGACCATCTGCTTGCTCTTCAATGTGAGGGTATTCGTATGCGGTATAGCCGGATTTGTAGTTTCCGACATCTTCAGTTTTTCTATATATCCAGACATTTGGAGCTTGTGTAAGTTTAAGCTATACAGAGTGTTAGAAAGCGGAGTTTAGGGAGGACATTTATTTGGAACTTACCTCTTTGAAAATTTGCGAGTTCTTTGAAATATCAGCTGTTGCAAAGATAAGACCATCACCAAGCTTCTTGTGAGACTTGTACCAGGACTTGGCAACATGATTAAAATGGGGTTCAAACATTCTGCAGAAAGTGCATCCGTACTGGGGCCCGGATGCTGTCAAAAGAACAAGGATATCGTATTCACGAGGACCATTAACAATCTTTGCAAATGTTCTGTCGGTGAGATGGATGGGCCCGTCAGCACCCTCGCTATCAATCAGCGATTGGACCAGCTTTGAGTTACCAGCAATTGCTGGAGAAGAGAAAAGGAATAGGAGATATCCCAATATCAATTGAGTCAAATATAGGAACTTCATGATGTGATGGTTAAGGGAGACACGAAGGAATTGGTGGAGCTGCGTAGATGAGAAAGAAAATACGCAGGCAGTGACACGTAAAACAAGTCCCAGTGTTTGTAACAATGTTTTGTAACAAGTAAATTATTGTAATACGTTCAGCCGTGCATAAACCGGTGAAAGTAAACAAACCAGAGCAACAGGGCCGATTTATTTTTTCTTTAACCCAGACACACACAGAAAAAAAAATATAACCACACCCAGAGTAACTGGTTACCAGAATACTCTTAGACCCCTTTCTTTAAATCATCATGTCTTCAAAGATTAAAAAGAGTAAGAAAAAGTCTTCGTTACGGAAAAGTGATTCGAATGAATTGTCAAAAGTATGTTTGAAGGAGGGGTGGTTGGTTTGGGTAATTGTTTTCTAAATAAAACATCACTAACATTGTGTTTAGAAAAAGACTCGACGAAGCAGTACAGCATCAACAACAAGCGACAAGACAGAGTACTATTCGTTTTCAGCTGAGAATGAAACATTACAAGATATTTCTTCCAAGCTTCGCGGGAAACTGAGAAAGTCCGATGAAAGCGAAAAGCTACTACTGCGCAAGTCTAAGCGAAACAAAAGTTCCGATGTAGTGGAGGTTATACCCGACGAGAATACCGATGATTCTAGTAAAAAAGAGCCATCAGATGCTTCAGATATTTCTTCAGGTACCATTGAGGAATCCAGTTTTGAAACATTATTGGAACTGAATAAAGAAAATATTCCAGAAGAGTCGAACATTCCGCTAGAGTATTACCATGAACTGTTAAAGGCTGAGCGACGAGAGAATTCGTTGAAGCTTAAAGAAGCCAAGAGAGATTACAAAGTGCGAAAAGAAAAGCTTTTAGCAGAGGTGCGACAACTACGGGAACGATCAGTCAAGAATGAAGAAATCAAAGACATTGAAGTTACTGCTATGAGAAACCAGGTCGAAGCATTAAAGAACCAAATTAAAATCCGAGATGATGAAAACGAAGAGTTAAAAGCGCAAATAGAAGAAATGATCACAGAGGAGCAGATGAAGGAGTACATGCAACAGGCTAAAAAAGAAATGGAGCAACAAGTCAAGGAAGAACTTGACAAGCTGCAAGAAACACACCAAAATGAGCTCATTGCATTAGAAAAGAAAAGTCAGGAGAGCATGCGACAACTTAACGGCGTACACTTGGCTGAGATTGAAGATATGCGACGCGACTATTCAAGCGTTGCCAACAAGAGTCGCCATGAAACGCATGTAGTAACAGATTTGGTGACACAACTTGAGGAAGAGCTCGAAAAGCAAAGAGAAATTGCAGAAGATGCAGATGAGGAGCGACAACTTGCGGTAGAGAAGATGAGCAAGGAGCTCAACTTGGCCTATGAGAAAATCAAGCAGCTGGAACAAACTGTGCGGGACATGGAAATTCAGCATGCAAGGGCCATGTCGCCTTCCAAGTCGAGATATATGAGTCCAACACGACAGCATCCCACAAGCCCAACAAAGAGTCTGGGGGCTCCTGGAAGTTCAGGCTCATCTGAGCGATCGTTACGATCTGCCATTGCCGAGCTCCGAGCGCGTATCAATAGGCAAGAAATCGCAATTACCCAATCCAAGATTAGTAACGAGAAGCTGGTACAGGAAAAGGAAAAACTGAAGGCAGTGTATGAAAAGAAACAAGAAACAATGCGCAAGAAAATTAAAGGTTTGGAAGGTCAGGTAGATCATACGCGTGGCGGAAAAAGCGAAGAGCTGACCCAGCCAGCAAGAACTCGCGGGGTTTACACGTCGCCGGTGGTCCAGCGGTCTTTGGGGACTGCGCAGGCGCGGGCTGCTGCGGCACAAGACCGGCGGCGTGTGAATCCTTTGAATCCTGCTGCTGGGCTTCTCGATTCGCCATTAGTTTTTTCTAGTTCCAATTTACGAGGAGGTGAGCCGCCCGGGTCTATCAAAATACCACGATTTTCATCGTTTTTGAAGCGCAAAAACAGCGACGAAGATACCGAGAGCATGGAAAAATCTTTAGAAGCAGAAGCAAACGCAGAAGAAACTTCAGAAGAAAATGATGAATCTGCAGAATACCGAGATTCCCTGGGAGCTTCGCCCTTAGATGCGGCGCGTGAGAAACGTGTGGGTGCTGCTAGTGTCAATTCAAGAACAGCGATGCTGGCAACGCATATGACAAGCTTCGAGCCACATTTAATAGAAGATGAAAGTAGTTTGACAGATGCTGGTGCTGTAGGCGGTGGGGTTACTCAACGACCCAAAAAACGTCAACGCGTACAGTTGCGCCGACAACCTTCGGTTGGCGTTCAGCTGAGCACAGCAAGCCGGGCAACATCAGAAATCGAGGTGGATGAAGACGGGTTACACATGACGTCGGTTGACTATGGGTCTGGGGTCACAGCAGCTGGCACTGCCGGCGCAGGCACTGCCTCAGGAACGACATCTGCCGGCGGATCTGCACTCGGAGCCAGTTTGGGGACGATTGGGAGTGCAGCGGCCAGCGTGGTGGGGCGGCTACGTACAGGTGGCGGGCTGTATGCGCTAGGACTGGCCAAGGCAGCTTCTGCCAACATTTTTCAGTCGTCCAAAAAACCTGGTACTGGCAGTAGTCTCTCTTCTACAAAACCACACCAAGCCAAGCAAGCGCCGGAACCTTCGAAACCGGTCGTGGCTACTTCTGCTGGTACTACTTTGCGAGAAACACGCAAGGAACCGGTACATGGTACATCTACAGCTTCAAAACCAGCAGTAACATCGTCTCGGGTAACTGCACGGCTTGGAGGGACTTCGATAGCTGGTGCACGGCCGGGTCCGACACAGCGAATAGCGTTTGGAAGTCCAATCAAGACGCGAATTGCATCGTCTAAGCGATGAAAAAGGGGGGATTGATTTCTCTCTGACATTTTTTTTAATTTCAATTTTTTTTTTCCATTTTTTTTACATTTATAGAAGAATGCGTTTTTTAAAAGACAATGATGAAAATAATGACAAATGATGAATATGAGAATGACGAGATTTAAGTAAAGTTGTCAATTAAAGAAAATTAAAAAAAAAAGTGCAGACACGCTATGGCACACTTAGAGCTTTGACTGGATTGCGCTGAGTCTGTACTTGATATCTTTAAGAGGTTTGGACTCTGGTTTCCACGTGGTGAACTCTGAAATAAGCTCAGTAACGGCAGACTGAAGATCTGGGCGGCATGCGGCCTCAGAAAGCATTCCGTGGAGAGCCCAGGGGAGCAAATATGGGTTATTATTAAAACGGGGGACCTCAAAGGTATCATCAATTTTGACTGGCGTATTTGCCGGAGCGTTTGATGTTTCAAGGAGATGCTGGATGGCCAGGTCATAAACGCGGGGCTCATCGTAGATGCGCGAGTGACCACCGCCACGTAAAGATCCAGACAGAGACCCGGAGATTTGTTTGAGCAAACCGTGCTCGGAGGCACCCTGGTTCTTGAGACGAAGCGCAAGTGCAATCAAATTGGAGATGAATTCCGGTGCAACATCTTCACCGCCGTCCACATACACGGCACGCAGCACATGGGGGTGCGCAACATGAATGCATGTGGAAGAATACAGCGGGACCAGCTGGTCGTTGATAGAGCCAATAAAGAGAATCTTAGCTCCATGGGCCACAATAGTGCGCAGCGCAGCCGCGTATTTGCGCGATTGAACCGAGGCTGGGTTTTGAAACTCGAAAAGCTCACGCAGGGAATCGCTCTCAATGGAGGAATAGGCACGCACCACAATGCTCTGGTCAAGACCATAGTATGGGCCAAGTGAGATTCCAGCCATACCGAGCAAGCCAATCTTGGTATTAGGGCCAATATGGCCTTCTTCTACCAATCGGGCAAGCAAATGTGCCGAGACTGGGGTGCCCTGGGAATGTGCAGCAAAGAGAACAACATCAGCTGCAGTTATATGGTCAAGCCAGTTGAGCATAAGGTCGTAGAGGTTTTCAACGCGCTCTAGCACCTTACCGTCACCTTCTAATGCGATTTTCTCAATCTCCACGTCGTCGCCACATCCATGATCCTCAGCCCAGCGCTCAAAAGCTTGTCCAGCCATGGTCGTAAACTTTACCGATGTGCCTGTTGGTTCGCCGATAAATGAGCGTAGCATGCGCATGGGGAAGAATCCATGAACGCCAATGACGACGACTTTCTTTATTGGCTGGGGGGTCGTGCGGTAAAGATGTGGATGATCGCGCATCTGGAGTTGAACCGGCGCCGGCACCGGAATTTTTTTGACAAGTGCGGATGAGAGCATGCGCTTAATGGATGACTTGATGATTTGCGTAGATGAGTAAGGTGGGAACGAATCTTCAATAGAGGGCAGAACAAGATTCGGGCGTTTATTGGAAGACCGCGACTTTTTCGATGGAGGAGGTGCAGGGGCCGGTGTGGTATTGACGGCAGGCTTAGATGAAGAAGTTGTGGGTTTTTGAGAAGATTCAGAACGCTCTGATTGAGAAGATGGTGTCTTCTTAGACTTTTTAGATTTCTTCGTCTCCGGTTCAGTTTGTTGCTGTTCAATCTCGAGATTTGCAGGTGGAGAATCTACCTTGACTGGGTGTTGAGCAGAGTCTGTGCCCGAAATTGCAATTTCTCCCGACGACTGATCCACACCGTCTTCTTGAGTACTTTCGTCTAACTGCTTAGACCAAAAGGCCCAAGAGGATTTGCGCCTTTGGGTCTGCTGAGACGGCAATTTGGGTTGAGCATCAGATGAAGATTCCGTATCAGACGAGCCATTGTCAGGTTTATTTGACGGTTTGTTAGATGCGCATTGAGCAGTGCTAAGGTGTCTCACGGAAGAAGCTGAAGATACTGGTCGTGAAGAACTCGGAGAAGATCCCGCAGTTGCAGAGGGTGCTGCTGCTTCATTTTTGATTAACAAAAGCTGAGCGGCAGCTAAAGAAACAGGCTTATCAAGAGTCTCACATGAAGCCGGAACACTGCCAGGTGCTGAAGACGATGCGGTTAGCGGTGATTGCAACAAGGGGCTATGTTGAGCTGATGATGAAGATAAAGTAGCCGCATGAGCAGCCGTTGTTGCAGCTGAAAGTGGCTCAATTGGGTCCTCTGCGGGACTTTTTTCAGTGAGCGCAGGCAGTGTGGATTGGGACTGCTGTCCGGCATTAAAAGGCCATATGCGAGTAAATGTCGAGTAGATGGACCCTGTGAAAGATTCCGAATCAGTGTGGGTTTCTTGGATGTGAATAGTTGCATTAGAAGAAGTCATTGAAGCGGCAGTTGCAGTTGCCGTTGCTGCAACTGCAACTGCAACTGCATTGGGGTCAACGGCATCGTCCAGAGAATGTATGCGAGGGTTCTCTGGAACAAGTGTAAATGCCGACGTTTGAGACAATGGTCGGAGCTTGCCATTTGGTGTGTTTATCAAATGCTGTTGTTGTTGCTGCTGCTGTTGCTGCTGCTGTTGGAACGTTGTTGTTGTTGTGGTAGTGGTTGTAGTGGTTGTTGAAATAGTTGTTGTTGTTAGAGTAGTAGAAGTGACAGACGATGACACGGCAGGGTTGATTGCAATTGCCGGGACAAGAGATGAAGAAAGCAGTCCATCTGCAGTTGCTGAGGACGATGTAACTGAAGCCGAGTCCGGAGTAAGTCCATCCTCAGGAGTGTTCTCGATGGTACCGTGTCCCCAGAACCACCATGATGATCGGCGGCGGCTTGCAGGTGATCCTGTGCGAGATATAGCAGACATTTCTGTAGCAGCAGCGGTGCTTAGTTGACGATGAGAGATTGAAAGGGATTTAGAGGTAGCTGGGGAAGAAGAAGAAGAAGAAGTAGCAGCAGCAGCAATGGCAGAAGATGAGCTGCGAGGAATTGCCATTGCGGCTGTAGCTGCGGGCAGTACTGTCACGGACGACGGAAGAGAAGAAACCGGCACGGGATCGGAAGATGGCTGCTGCTGCTGCTGCTGCTGCTCGAAGGAAGATACAAGTTGGCCTTGCTCGTCTTTGACTGTGACAACACTTGAAGCACGACCCCAAGGAAACGCCCAGGAAGCACGAGTGGGAGCGGAACGCGCAGTGGTTGAAGGTTCCGTGGTGGCGTTATTGTTATTGTTAGTGTTGTTGTTGTTGTTAGTGTTGTTATTATCTGCAGCAGCCTGTAAGGTAGTAGAGGAGGGGCTTGAGTCAGACAGCCCCATGGATTGTAGCTGCTGTTGGTCTGTAAAAATGAGAGGCACCTGAGAGGAATTGTCTAGAGGCTTAAAAGATGGCGAACAAGTTTCTTGATCAATAGAACTGTTATTGATATTTGATACAGGTTTAGAGTTTGGCTGGAGGGGTTTATCGGATGTTGCAGCCATTGATAAGTTGTTGTTGTTGTTGTTGTTGTCGGTAGAATTGACTACACCACTACTACTTCCAGCAGCAGCCTTAAGAGCTGGAGAAGTCGCAGGAGAAGTCGTAGAAGAAGAAACAGGTGAAACCTTACGAGACGACGATGCTGTGGCATCAGATTCAAACATGAGAGACTGGGACAGAGGCGTGTCTGCAGACGGAAGCATCGACTGGGTCGATGCAGATGCCCCGGTTCCAGGCCCAGTGGCAGCCGCCAGAGCAACAGAAAGCCTGCGCAAAGATGCATAAGACGAGATTCGCTGAGATTTTGACGATGGAGGTCCACCTTGGGACTGTGGACTGAGTGAGGATGCCGAAGAAATGACAGGTTGTTGTTGTTGTTGATGATGTTGAAGAGAAAAAGAGTCTTCATAAGTGGGAGTCACAAACATAGACTGAGAAAGTGTATCATAAGACTTGCGTTGCTTTTGCTTCTTGGTTGCAGGAGCGTGGTGATCAAGAGCTAACGCCGGGGCAGCTCGTAAACACGAGTCGTCCTGGGCCAGGGGGATAAATGGAGCCAACGACGCCGACTGTGGTCGCGGAGGCGACGAAGAATCGGGAACAGACATTGGGCGAAAAGACAAAGGTTTTTTACGAATCGTTTTTTGTTCTTCTAATCACTGGTTGTTGATGTTTTGTGGTTTAATGGTAACGAAGTTGGTGATGAAAATTGTAATGAAGATAGTGATGAAGATGGTGATAGATGGGTGGTGGCGGGAGGTTGACGCTTTAGAAAACGTGGGCTTTTAGATGTTGGCAGCGCAGGGCATGGTAGGACAGAGCTGAGCTGACAGAGCTGACAGAGCTGACAGAGCTGAAAGAGCTGGCAGAGCTGACAGGCTTAGCCGTTTATTATCGACAAGATAACGACGATAAGGTATCATGTGATTTGTTACATTTCGTGTGATTTCTTACATAATATATTACTCTACCGACTATGCAATCAACATCGCAATCTCCGACTCAAGCCCATTCAGCATTGATAAAAACTTCTGGGGAGCTGGCGCTGGTAGACATCGGCGACGACTAGCCTTACCCATGGCTGCAGCTTGCACAAGCTCCTCATATTCGGGCTCTACCTCTTCGATGTCTAATTTCTTGACTTTGGCTTTGCGTCTTTTGGGAGTTGTGGAAATAGCATCTACTAAAGCCTCGCTATTAGCTGGGTCTTCAGTACGCCGGAAAATGACAGCTTTGAGTACCATCAAGTACATTTGAACAGTCAAGTATATATCCTTCTCAAGCATAACATCCGGAATACTGCGCAAAACATGCGCTAGCCCAATCCGTGTGGAAGGGTCTAGAACGTCTAGTCGGTTAAACATGATGCGTGCTACTTCGCGCACAATCTCAAGCGGGAACCCAGGGGCTGTGAGTTGTGAATATAATGTAGATGGAGTCAGATGTTCAATCATACGACGAGCCGCAAACTCATAGTATATAATTCGATCCTTGTCGCTGCGATATCCGCGGGAAATAAGTGTTGCTAGACGGGCGCGGGCCATGAAAGAGCTTCTGAACACTAGCCTTTCGTTGGGAGGTCTTTGTGGTGGTGTACTTTCTGGAGGACCTGAATTATTTACTGCAGCACCCCACACTGCACTATTGGCATTTTCCTCTCCATCAGTAGATCCAGTACCCCCAATAACAAGCCCTTCATCTTGAGCACGTTCACGTTGTCGTCGCTCGTACTCGACAACTTCTTCATGGGGGAGATATGCCCGGAAGGTCAGTAATGTTTCTGGTGAGACGTTGTGAAAGTTTGCAATTAAAAGGGTAGCAATACGACGAGGAGAGCTTTCTGCACTGATCCACTTATAGAAGATGGATTGAGAATCAAATGCAGCAGTGGTTTCAAGGTTATGTTCTAGAATGGAAAGCACCAGATCAAGAATGGGTCGTAGAACGGTGAATCGTAAGTTTCGGCTAATAGTCGAGTGTGTGTCGTATTGGAGAATCCATCCTAAAAACCCGCAGTTGAGCTTGAGAGTGGGCCAGGTGAAGAGCAAATCGTCAAACTTGAGAGAATTGATTGCATAGTGTAAATCTCCCGGTGCTTCGCCCACACCAACCTCCGAGGCGGGGAATTTAGGGGTATACTTGTACAGGGTCATATCGACATCCTCGTCGGAGTCAAAGTTAAGAAGTTCAAGATCAAGATCTTCATCATCGTCTTCATCATTTTCACTCATGTCATTATGATCATCACCAGGATAGGACGAGTTAAAACTAGGTTCGCTTAATGCAAAATCAGAAGAGGTTGCCCCATTTGATCTGTTGATGTTGTTGTTATCATTGGCAATCAAGGAAGCGTGTTGGGAAAATAACTGATCGATATCCTTTTTGGCCCTTCGTGAAGCTGATCTGGTCTGTAAACGTCCACCAATTGTTTCAATTTCAAAAGGTCCTGGGCCTGAGCCTAAACTTCCAGCCTGTGAAGATTTGCGGCGGCCAGGTCCAGTGATGCCGTTTATATTTTTGCGAATGACACCTGGTTTGCGTGAGTCGAGAAGCTCGCCAGATGTGGGGTCAACAACTTGCCAAGTGGGGGGTAGACTTCCTTCAAAGTGAAGATCAAGCATGGCATAAAACACGAATATAGGATCGAAGCTTCGGTCGATGGAAGATGATGAGTGGGTCAAACGATCCGGGGCCAATTTTGTGGTATCAACAAGCAGTGCATTTGTAGGATCTGATGAAGGAAGAATACCGATGAGTTGCATGATTGTGCTCAAGACACTGACGACCTGCTGCGACATAGATTTTTGAGAGATTTGAGAGGTTCTTCCAGGAGCTGGCACTAGACATGCAGGTAGAATAGCATAAGAGAGCAAGAAACGAAGCTGTGGGGTAGTTGGAAGAGTGACTGAGGTTGGAGCATTATGTAAGATGGAAGATTTAAGCATGTAGATGGCATCTTCAATGTTTCCATTCAAGAGCAGTCGGTTTAGTTCGCTGTCGAAATATGAGAGGTCTTGTGGGTACTGGACCATTTTTATGGATATGGGTATATATTAAGGTGGTGAAAGATATGCTTTGTTTTGTTTAGGTTGTGATGTATGTTTACTTTTGTTATGGCGGTGTGAAAAAAAAAAAAAAAAAAAAAAAAGAAAGAAAAATGCGCGGCTCAGAAAATTTTATTTAAAAGGCAGCTGGAAAAGATTTTTTACAAAGCAACAACCACCGATAGGCACTCTTTCTTCTTGCCAAACCACTTAATTTTTCTTGTTTTTTTTTTTTTTTTTTGAAAAAAAAAAATTTTTTTATTCTTCTAACCAACTCAAATTATCAATCAATAAATAGACAAAACTGAATCAAAATGTCTTCTCAATCTCTTTCTGAAATCCAGACCACTCTTCGTGGCAAGCTCCGCCAATACCCTGATTTCCCCAGCCCTGGAGTTCTTTTCGAAGACATTATGCCCATTTTCCGTGATCCCAAGGCCTTCCAGCAACTTATTGACGGATTTAAGCTTCACCTTACCCAGAAAAACATTAAGGTTGATGTTGTTGTTGGTCTGGATGCTCGTGGCTTTATTTTTGGTCCTGCGTTGGCTCTCCAGCTTGGTGTTGCATTTGTGCCTGTCCGCAAGCGTGGTAAGCTTCCTGGTGAGACCGTGTCTGTGACCTACACCAAGGAGTATGCTACTGATGAGTTTGAGATGCAAGCAGATGCTGTGTCTAAGGGCGAGAATGTTGTGATTGTGGATGATATCATTGCTACTGGTGGCTCTGCGCAGGCTGCAGGCGAGCTGGTGACTAAGTTGGGAGGTGTTGTGTCCGAGTATCTGTTTTTGTTGGAACTTGATTTCCTCAAGGGTCGTGAGAAGCTCAATGCTCCTGTGTTCACTCTTCTTTCTGGTCAGCCCGAGGCTCTTTCTTCTGCTTAAGCAAGAAGTTTAGAATTGACTTTTAATACTTTTTTTTTATAAATGAAAGATAGACTTTTTTTTTTTTTTTTGAAAAAAATTGATTTGAAAAATAAGCAAATGAAGACACTTGGTCATCTCATTGAACCAACCGTTGACACGTGCAAATAGATTGAATAGTAGGTACAGATAAGCACTCTTTAATCACGTGATTTAATGGTAATTTATTTATGAGAGCTATTTAACTGTTGTAGATTAATTTTTTTTTAATGAAGTTGTTGACTTTTACATGAAAAAAAGAGAGGTTTTCATCCACACATTCTTTTCTTTCCAAATTTATTCTTTAAAGAATAAAAAGAAAAAGAAAAATAAATCGACCCCGGTGAGGATTGAACTCACGATCTCACGATTAACAGTCGTGCGCCTTAGCCAGCTTGGCCACGGAGTCATCACGTGATAAAATTTAGCTACTGTTCTTAGTTGACCTTAACGTTTAATAAACTTATTAATTTATCACGTGACATATGACATTTATTTACTGTACAGTGCAAAAAAAAATTTTTTTTTTTTTATTTAACTGAACCAAACCTGAGGCGCACAGATCGAAACAATTTGTTACTTGAATGGTGCATGCATAAAATGGCAAAACCCCCCCATCAAAGTTTGCCAATTTTAAAGAATAGTTGTTGATGATGCTAATTCTAAATATTTATATCGATACTTTTATAAACTTTGAGTAGTAGTAAAAAAAAACACAAATATTTATTGAAATAACTTGTTATCTTGCAATTTTTATTTTTTTAGCATACAAACTTTATATACATGGTTGCTGCTTATTTCCTTTGCTACTACTAGGCATCTCCATCATCATCATCATCATAATCACATATACACACATTAATTTTAAAGTTTTTTTTTTTTTATTTTTATTTTATTCTTTATAGCTAATTAGCTTGTGGCAATGATGATGACCTTTGAATTTCTATTTCCATATATTAAATAAAATAAAAATTTAAAATAAAAATTTAAAAAAAATTTAAAATTCCCAAAACAGCAGTCCTCCCGTCTTTTCAACATCGATTTATGACGTCTTTAACTGAAAAAGCTGACTCACCAGTTATGTCATTTCCAAAATTTGATAGACCCCTTTGTTTTTTTTTTTTTTTTTTTTTTTAAACCTCCAAACAAATTAAGCCACCACCATATATAAAAAATATCACCACCACCACAAATACTAATCACAAATAACAACAATAAAATCCTTTATATACTAAAATATAACAACAATCACAAGTTTTCAATCATAATAATCCCTCAAATAAACTTCCATTGGAAGCTTTTTTTTTTCTCTTTTTTTTTTCAACAAAAAACTTCAGCCATTGTGCAGTAGTATGACAAGAGATTCTTTATAGCTGTCTGATTCCAATTCATTATCCTCTCAACCCTCATCACAATTATACACAAACATCACATATTATACAAATGTCTCTACCAAAAACAGACCTCCATGACTCTCCAAGAATACCTCTAACCAAGGTCTCCGCTCGTCACGGAACCAGCCAGCTATTCTCTTCTTCCCCTCTATCAACATCCACTTCTTCACCATTGGCATCCACAGCTACAATCACCACAGTTGATCTTCCCTCTACAAACCATAACCACCGTCACCATATCTCAACCAATTCTTGCTCCTCTTCTGCATCAACTTACTCAGTTTCACCTCCAGATTCTGTCCCTGAATCTCCAGTTACTGCCTCTCCAATCCCAAGATATCGATCAGCTCGAGGTGGTGGCGGAGTCCCAAACACAAATGGCACTTCGACACCATCTTCCATCATTTCTTCTTCTTCTACTTCTTCTTCTTCTCACCATCAGCCTTCTCACAAGTCTCTTCACTCTCAATCGAGCAAATCTTCCATTTTTTCGCCTGATATCGCTTCTTCTTCATCATCATCTTCTCTTAGTTTCATGCATAAACTCTCCTATTTACACCAACACCATCACAGTCATAATAACAACAATAATACTCCTACATTGCCTGCTTCTAATAAACCCGATCTACAAAAATCTTCAACATCATCTTCTTCAAATAATATCCAAGCTTCTTCTTCTTCCTCTTCGCATGATAGTGCTGCATCTTCCACCTCAACAACATCTCATAAATCAAAATACACAACCGCTTCTCTTAGATCCCCTCAATCTTCTTCAATACAAACTTCTGAGTCGTTGCTCCAAAAACATTGTTTACAACAACAACAACATCAACAACCACCATCTTCAACATCTCTTTTAGAACCACCAATCAAACTAGAATCTCCTGTCCCTAAATATCTCCAACATCCTTCCTCTTCTACTTCATCTTCCTCCTCAGCTCTCTCTGCACAGATTCGTTCTCCAAGCTCCACTAGAACCCCACTTAGCGAGCTTCGCAGACCTTCTTCCACTTCTAGCTCGGCCTCCTCCCCATCCATGCCCCCCTCACCAACTTCTTCTTCAGTCAAGGAAACAAACTATGTCGTCATCGATGTCAACCCCGTCTCAGGAAGAAAACTACTTAACAAGTACGAAATTATTAAAGAGTTAGGTCGTGGCCAGCATGGCAAAGTCAAGCTTGCTCTCGACACTGAAACAAATGAATTGGTGGTATGTATGAAACATTTATTTTTAATCATTTTAAAATCATTTCCCTTCCCCCCCCCCCTCTCTCTCTCTCTCCCTTTTCTAACCACTCTGAAATAATATATAGGCTATTAAAATTGTTGACAGGCTTGGCAAACCAAAACTTGGTCGTGTTCGCCCAGGTCTTAGTCATGAAGATAAAGTCCGCCGGGAAATTGCCATTATGAAAAAATGCCACCACCCAAACATTGTCAACCTACTGGAAGTTCTTGACGACTCGTCTTCTAAAATCTACCTGGTTCTCGAGTACTTGGAACGAGGTGAAGTTCATTGGCAAGACGCTGATGGGAATCCTGCGCTTACCCAAGACCAAGCCCGTGACGTTGCTCGAGACGTCATTTCTGGCCTTGAATACCTGCATTTCCAAGGCATCATTCATCGCGACATAAAACCTGCAAACCTCTTGCGTGACAAAAATGATACTGTTAAAATATCTGACTTTGGTGTGTCCTATGCAACCAACCTCGATGCTAACACGAGCGATGAATTTGAGTTGGCAAAAACCGCGGGAACACCGGCTTTTTTCGCACCCGAGCTATGTGCAACATCATCCCCTGATGGGGGCCCACGACCCCCTATCACTGCTAAAATTGATATCTGGGCTTTTGGTGTCACTCTTTTTTGCTTAATCTATGGCAAACTCCCATTTAGCGCTGAAAACGAGTTTGAGCTTTTTGATGTGATTGCAAATGATCCCTTGGTTTTCCCAGACGAAGTCTCGGAATTCCCAGTCCCTAAAAAGAAGCGCAACTTTCATTCAATCTTTTACAATGCCGATCTTTCAAATGATTCTTTGGACGACTTGGAGGATGAACAAGAGGGACAACAGTCTCCTCAAAGTGACGGTAACACTGAAGATATTGAGAGACCCCCCGTTGTTCCAAACCCAGCACTTACTTCAGTCAAGGACCTTTTACGTAAGATTCTTGAAAAAGATCCTACAAAACGCATCGATTTAAATGGCATCAAGCACCATCCTTGGATGATGGAAGGCATGGATCTTCCACGCCTTGAACACTTTTTGACAGACACCACAGATGATCAGCGCATTGTTGTCACCAATGAAGATGTCCAACGGGCTGTATCTGGAATCGGAAGTCGCATTAAGCGCGGCATATCCCGTGGCTTGTCGCGATTAGGTTCTTCTGCGCTTCACTTTGCCGGTCTCAGACGTAAGGGGTCCTCTTCTTCTTCCTCGGCAAACCCATCCGGAGCTCCCTCGCGTTCCGTTTCCAGAGACACAACACATAGATCACCCTCTGCATCCACCATTGGCTTAAAGTCCCCAAAACAGGGCCCCAGCAGAAGCGACGTAAAAGCCCGCAATAAAAAGTACTTTGAGTCATCTACCATTCTCTCCTCAACAAGCAGTGGCCACGAGTCGGATTACTCGACAACCTCATCGTCCCGATTCAATTCTAGGAAAAATACCGGGAACAGCGCTCCCAATGCCGCAGCCGCCATGGCTGCTGTAGGCCCCGCTGCTGCTACTATTAACGACAACTCTCTTCAACTTATTGATCAGGCTATCTTGAGTTCACGCCGCAGCACAAGCTCAAGCTTCTCCAGTTTGTCGTCGCTTTCTAGTTTGCAATCTGGTGGTCCACCCTTAACTTGGCAAACCTCCAATCCTAGAGAATACCAGATTCATGGTCATAACAGAGAAAAGTCTCTGACTGGTGCAATAATTAGTCGCACAAATAGCAACAACACTGCTGGAATTGGATCCGGAGTCTCTGCAGCTTCTGCAGCAGCAGCAGCAGCAGCAGCCGCTGCCGCTGCCTCATCTGGGGACCCGAGCCATCTTTCGTATTCATTGCGATCGCCAGGAAGCTTATCGCCAACAATGCAGTCGCCAATCACCCCAGTCATGGGAGCCATACCATCAGATATTGGCGCAATAGATACACGCCAGAAGTCAGCCACACCACGGCTCACCATTCCTTCTTTTTCACCATTTAGAGGAGGTCAGCTTCTTTCTGGAGACAGCGACGAAGAAAGTGCAAGCAGCTGTGATGACGGCAGCGGCACCGACGGAGTCAACTTTGTTGTGTCACCACAGTCGTCGTTCCCTGCTGCTCCACCAAGACTTCCATCCAGCCGTCATAACCTCAAGCTTCACAGTGTTTTGACGGATACCTCCAGCACAGGAAGTGAATCGGATGACAGTAGTAGTGCTTGTAGCCCAACCAATAGCCGTGGCAAACCTTTAATTCCAAAGCATTCGTATCCATTGGGGGACTATGGAGATTACTATGGAGCAACTGGATACTCGGACGGATATGACTATGACGATAAGCTAGGCACATCCTACAATAGCATTAGGGGAGACAGTGTAAGCATACCGTTCCATTCCCCTAGTAACACTTTTAGCTCGAGTGGGCTGGCGACGCCGGTTGCCGGCTCGGCCAGTATTTCCGGCCCATCGACAATAACTACAACGGGGCTGGGCCCCGTGCCTGCAGGCCATGATGGCAGCATGTGCAGCACGGAGAGCGCAGTTAGCGCCGCTAGCACAGCCAGCTATAGCACACTGAGCGGGCTCAAGGGCTCGAGCAGTCACCAATTGCCTCAGTTGGATGTGGATGATGGCGATAGCGGGTTATTTGGAGATGATGAGCGAGGGTTTGGAGATGACTCGGAGTTGTTTTTACGCAAGAAGTCTACCTCGTCATCTTACCAACATCGTTTAAGCACATCTAGTGATATGCAACCGCTATCGAGTGTTCCTGAAATAACAAATATTACAAATACCACCCCAATGAAGATTAACGCTTTAACACCAGCACACTTACGCAACAACGGGTCTCGACCCACCCTCACGAGCTCTTCAGCTGCATCCATCAACTCAGTATCTTCCTCGTCTTCTGATGAAGGCGGCGGCGGTTTGACATTGGTGGTGGAGCGCAGAAAGAGCAGCACACCGGCAAGTGTTCCATTATCTGCAAACAGTTCTGCTCCTTCGCTTTCTAAGAAAAACTCGCTACCGCCGATCCCCACCCCAACTTATGCCACCATCTCACGGCTTGTATCTACGCCTGGACCGGTGACACCAACAGGGTCTGGCAGCGTGGTTGGATCGGGTGTCTCGACGCCTACAGGAGCCCGGTTTTCGACTAACTCTAAGTTTGCACCGGTGACTGCTCCACGATTGTCACCCCACCCATCCAAGACTGCAGCTACTGCAGGATTTAACCCATCATCACCAGCCAGCTTTAACGCGCGCCGGGCAGATAGTATTAGTAGCACTGTGAGCCGGCTGAGCACCAGTAGCGGCGGGAGCGAGGTGCTACCATTGCCATCGAATCTTGCTTCGGAGATGCTTGGCGGCGGTGTTGGTAGTGGTGGACTAATGCCAATGTCCCCTGGGTTTGCTTATGACGATATGGAACATATTGTGGCTCATCATACGTACCGTCAACCTCCTGGGGTTAGCATCTCAACACCAATTACGCCCAGTGGGGTGCCCACAACACCTGGAGGCATGATGCCGCTGGCATACTCAGCTACTGGAGATAGCGGATTATCTGTATTGCCGAGTAGTGGTAGCGGGTACTCGCTTCATATGACCACAAGTCACGATAGTACAGTGAGTGCTGGAAGTAGCAGCAGTGCCAACTCGTCATCCGGGTCATTGGTAATTAATGTACCACGACGGTCAGCCAACATTACGCCAGCCAGTAGCCGCACCAGCAAACCAGGGAGTAATAGAGAAAAAGAAGAAGGGGAAAACGGCAATAATAAGAACTTAAGCGGTGACAGTCAACGAACAGGTCGCAGCCACGGCCCAGGATACGGGGCACATGCGCGAAGCCGGTCAGTGGCAGTGGGCGAAGTCCAGTACCACCGGCAAATGGTGGACGCATACAAGTGCGACGGGTCTGCGTATAACTATACAACACCTGGGCCCGCGAGTCCTGTATGTGGGGTTGGTGCTGGGTTTTGCTTGAGCGATAGCGACGACGATGACGATGACGATGACGATAATGATAGCGATGAGACTCAAGAGCTTCAACTGGAGTTTGGACGCGGATCATCGGGGATACGATCGCCTGTGTGCAAGTGAGGAGGATGAAGTATTATGATTAATTTTTATTATTATTATTTTTTTTTTTTTAGATAGAATGAAAAATGAATTAATTAATGCATGCATGAATGAATATACAAATATATAAAAAAAGACATTATGGCATTTAAAGTTTCTTTTTTTTTAAAAAAAAAAAGGCCAAAAAGGACCCTTGTGCGGCGTCATTTTTATATAGACTTTCCTTTTTATAATCCACCCATTAAATACAACAACAAACAACAAATAAATCACTTTGGGTCATACTTTTCCTTCCAGATCCACGAGTTGCCCACCTCATGTTTCCCCTTACTTTCTGCCATACGATAATACTGTGCAGCCTTATACTTATCCTTCTTCTTACCCTTGGTTCCAAACCCATTCAGATAACACCACGCAGCCTCATACATTGCGTCCGGATCACCCAGATGTGCTGCAGCTTCGTAGTATGTCAATGCTGCTGCAGGGTCTTTGTCGCACCCCCATCCGTTGCGGAAACAATTGGCTAACTCGTATGTAGCCAACGTCAATTCTCCGCGTGCAAAACCACCCGTAGAAGTTGTAGTTGCCGTAGTCGCAGTCGCAGTCGCATTGGCAGTTGTTGTTGTTGTTGTTGCTGCTGCTGCTGCTGCCGCCGCTGGAGCCCCTGCTGCTAGGCCTTTTGAAGATGTAGAAAAAGAAGAAGAAGGAGGAACTATGGCAGATGGTAATAATGCATCGAGACCAGCCGTGGAATTGGGTTGCGCTTTAAGCGCATGCGATTGAAGCTCGGCTGCAGTAGCTGCGGGTGCTGCAGCAGCCACTGCGGCCGAAGATAATGCGCGGCTTCGGGCTCTTGATCCAATGACTGTTGATGTGAGATTATTATTATTGTTATTATTATTTTCTTGGTCGCTTGGGTATTGTCCCGAAACAGGGGTAACTGGCAGAGAATCGGCTGTTGCACCTGCAGCCACTGCAGTGACTGCTGATGTTGTTCCATCTTGTGACGACAACCCTGTTTCCGCAATAATCTGGTGTAGCATTGCCGAGTTTTTGCCTGCAAGCCGTAGGTACTGAAACGCAAGAGTTTCATTGACCTCGACACCCCATCCATGCCGCAACGAGAGTCCGTAGAGCACTTGGGCAAGGGGATGGTTGGTATGGTCCGGGTCTGCTAGCTCCCGAAAAAGCTCGGCAGCCTCTGTGAGCCGGCCAGCCTCATGTAGGTCAATGGCACGGTGTAGCGTGACATCTGTGTCTTTGGAAAATGTCAAATTTACTGATGACGAACTCACATTGGCATCGTGGTGAAGCATCATGTTAGAAGACAAGGTGTTGTTTGTTTCTGTAGCACCTGCAGCCTTGCTTGGGCTTAGATGTACATTTGCATCTTCATGCACAGATACATCCGAGACGTTTGAAAAAACAGACGATGTACTGCTTGATCTGTTTCTATTACCTGATGCATTTCCTGTAATGAGCGCACTGAATCGTGAAAGTTTTTTCGCCGCGCTATTTCCTCCTGTTCCATGGTGATGATGATGATGGCTATTTGCTGCATTAGGACTTAACAAGTCTCGATCTGAAGATAAAGATCCATCGCTGTCGGCGTGAACTGGGGACCCATACAGCCCATTGGAGTTGCTTGGGAATGGTGGTAGCGGTTGGAGCGAGTCACTGCCAGGGAGTCGCAGAACCAAGTTTTCAGCTTCGCGCTCCCATTCGTTGACCTGTTCTTGAGAAGGTTGCACAATGAGGCCTTCATAGGGGCTAGTTTTACGGTTCTTGGGAGGTTCGACAGATGAGTCTCGAGAGTGAGCGTTGGATGCTGGTGGCGTATTGCTTGTTTTCTTCTTGTGGCCTTTAAAAATCCCCAACAAGTGTCGCCCGTGTTTGCCGCTGCTGCTGTTTTCTTTCCCTGCAGATGGAGGTGGAGATGAAGATGACCGAGAGGAAGGTCCTGAAGGAGTGGTAATAGCAGCTTCCCTGAGACTATCTGAATACTGCAATTGTGGTGGTTCATGTGGGGATGAAAGAGACTCATGAGTCATGTCATTGACCTTGATTGCAGGAATTTCCAAATCAAACTGTTTTCCCAGCGCTTGTTGGTGGGTTTTAGCATTAAGACGCTGATACTCTTGAACTTCGAGTTCTTGATTGTACTGCGCAATGAGATCATCCGATGGCATTTGCATTTGACGTTGTTGTTGTTGTTGTTGTTGTTGTTGAGAAGAAGGATGAAAGATATTGTTTGTTGGCTGAAACTGTTGAACATTTAACTTGGAGGCGTTAGGTGTCATTCCGTACGAGTACCCGGACGATGCAAGAGATATAGAACTATTGTTGGAACCTTGAGCAGTCAAGTCAGAAGCTGAGAGAGATGCCGGGTCAAAATACAAGGGCTGTTGTCTGGAAGTTTCACGAATAGGCGAAGGGAGGCCTGTGTTTGATACAGAAGTATGAGTATTAACAGTTGCAGATGAGACGGTAGCATCCAGTGCGGGGGACCGGGGCATGAGTGAGAGCGGTACAGTTGTTTTAGAATAAAGTTGTTGTTGTTGTTGGTGTTGCTGTAATGTATCTGAAACAGATTGAGAAGTAATGCTGTTGCTGTTACTGTTACTGCTACTGCTACTGTGGGAATAAGTACCTGTGGGTTCTGCAGTAGTCAAGGCGGCCATTTTATTTTCAACGTCATTTATGTGCGCCGTACTAGAAGGAAACGTACTTTGCAGTTGCTGGTAAAAATGCTGATGAGCAGCACCATCTTGTGTGGATTCCACAGATCGGTAATGGTTCTGTTGTTGAGTCAGTTCTGGACTGTAGACTGATGCCGATGACTCACTACCTGGAGGTACACTGGAATGGTTGTAATGGTTTTGGTTTGGGGTGATTGGAGTGTCTGTTGGATACAAGTTCCACATGTCCTGGTTATCCGTCTGGGTGGACGTATCTATTTTAGGAAGATCAGGATGGCTTGTGTTGTTGTTATTATTAGTACTCCCATCTTGGGATGCTTGCTGCTGCTGTTGTTGGCGAGTCTTGGGAACATTAAGAATTGGATGTGGAACCGAGTCAGAGGTTGAACTCACAACACTTTCGCGACTTTTGTTAATAACCAAATGGGGAGTACTTGGGAAAGATTGTTGCTGGTCGCCAGCAGCTCCAAAATCCATGAGATATGTTCCTTGTGAGATATTGCTAACGGTACTAACTGAAGTCAAATTAGAGGCGGTACTGGCGGTACTTTCTGCCGAAACAGAGCGATTTCCAGTATTTATGCCACTAGTGGTAAGCGTGGAAGAAGGATTATAGGTTGGAGACAAAGTGCCGTGAGCTCTCGATGAAGCAATGAGATCGGGTCCGTTATTGCCGGCTGGGTGGTGCCAAGTCGGGCTTTGTGGAAGGTGGACCTCTACAGGGCTAGAAGTCAAGGCTGGGGCGTTGAACTGTTGTTGTTGTTGTTGTTGTTGCTGTTGCTGCGGTGAATATTCGTAAGTTGAAGGCTGATTATTATTATTATTATAGCCATTGAAAGATGATGTGTTACTTCCAGGGCTCATGACCATAACTGACAGCCGCTTTTCGTCTCCAATGGTGAATGAGTCTGCGTCAGATACATAAGACTGGTTGTCGTCGTCGTCGTCGTCGTTGTTGTTGTTGTCGTCCATGGCATTGATATTGCCAAAATTGCCATTTGAAGAGTTATTATTATTATTATAATTATTGTCAGAGTAGTAGTTATAGTCTGCTGAGAGAGTTATATTTTGCGAGCTCAATGGTCTTGGAGGCAGTTCAGGAGGGAAAGAAACTGGCAGAGATGTCATTGGTTGGTTTTGCTGTTGAACTCCTGGATGTTGTTGTTGTTGTTGTTGTAGCGGCTGAGATGGAGTAGTAGTAGTAGTAGTAGCAACAGAAGGGAGATTAACTGCAGTGACTGAAGGAGCTGCACGCCTTGACTGAGAAGAAGGGAAAGAAGACATGATACTAGAGGCCAGTTGAGTTTTCCTTGGGTCGAGTTTATCAGGAATTTGAGATGATTTAGAATCACCAGAGCCGTTTGATGAGCCTTTAAGGGGGGAGATAGAAGAAAAAAAAAAAAGAGTTGTTAGTGTTTAAGAAAGGAGTATTTAATAGGAAGAAGAAGAAGAAGAAAAAAAAAAAGGTTCAAATCCTTAAAACTAGTTGAAACAGCATCACATTGAAAAGTGCAGCTGCAATGACTGCTTTTCTTTCTTTCTTTTTTTTTTTTTTTCAATAGAGTGGCTGAAGAAATTATTTTATTTATTTTTTTGGGAACTTTCAACAAATAACTTACGATTCAAACGTTCATTTGTGGGGTCCACCACTGCCAATAATTCCAACAAAGCTTTATTAGGCTCGTTTAATTCAGGACCCAAAGTTGATCTTGGAGATGAAATCGTAATCATAGGTGATGGCGAAGATGGCGAGGATGACGAAGTCAAAGAGTAGGACGACGTGGCAGAGGTTGCTCCTACTGCTGCTGCGGCTGATGATGATGATGATGATGATGATGATGCTAAATGGAAAAGGGCGGAGTATTTACTTGGTGACGTACTGGTGGCTGTGTTTGAGTTATGATGATTATTCGACGATAGAATAGAATGTTTTGGTAATGACATGGAAGAAGAAGAATAAGAGCCAGGAGATGATGGAGTAAGTGGCGGATTGGAAGATGAAGAAGGTGAAGATGAAGATGAAGAAAGAGAAGATGCTGAAAAAGTAGTTGTAAGGGCCATATTTGGAGAATGAATAGGAATGCTAATTGCTGGTGATGGAGACGCTGGAGTTGATGGAGATGATAAGTTAGTTGTAGAAGTTATATTTGAAGAAGAAGAGTTGTTTAATAGATAAGATGTTGGTCTCAAGTTTTTTGTAAGTTTTTCACGAAGTTTTGAACCCAGGTTGTGAGCTGAAGAGGTTGCAGCTGGAGAATTTAAAGAGTATAATGTTGAAGATTGTGGAGAAGAAATGTATTGTTGATTAGTATGATTGTTATTATTACTATTGTTATTATTGTTATCTAAAGATGACGATGATTTTTGAGCTGAAAGAAGAGCTCTTACAGGTGATTGTGCTCTAGGAGAAGAAGATAATGAAGATGTTCCAGAAAGAATTTTATGACTTGTGCGGTGGTCTTCGGTGATTTGACCAGAGAGGGGGTCTTTTTCGACTATTACAAATTGAGAATCTGTGTTATGGTGATCTCTTTTAAACATTATTATAGTTTATATATATATATAAGTGTGAAAAATTATGATAAAAAAGGGTTATTATTGTATTTTTTTCAAGATATTGTAGATTTAAAAAAAAAAAAAAAAAAGATGGAGAAAAATGAAAGGAAGAAGATGTCATTTATATTTTTTTATTTTTTATTTTAAATAAATGAAAGGGCTCTCTTTATTGTTATTTGTGTTGATTTAGTGGTGAGGCTGAATGTGTGACAAAAGTATAAATGTATTTTCTATTTAATCAGGTGACTAAATATGTGACAAATTTTAAATTTTTATAAAATCTGTAACAACAACAACTTTAAAAAAAAAAAATTGATCTGTGACAAACACAATTATTATTAAACAAAATCTGAAAAAAATAAAATAAAATAAAATAAAATAAAACTGTTATTCTAAAAATAACTTCATTATAATTATTACAACTATTACAACTATTACAACTATTACAACTATTACAACTATTACAATTTACTAAAAAATAAAATAAAAAATAAGAACTGTATATATATATTCCCAATATTATTTAATGATTATATAATGCTTGTTAATAATATTCTTTTATCCGCCCTACTCTTTCCTGTCCTTCCGAGTGCACTATTACTACCACTATTACTACCACTACTACTACTGCTGCTTTTCTTTTTCTTCTTTTTATTATGGCTGCCGCAGCACATTAGCAGCAGTAGCCATCCCAGTCAACCAAAAAAAAAAAAAAAAATTTTTTTCTTTCTTTTTTTTTACTTCTCTCTGTGTGTATGTCTGTGTGTCTGCCTGTCTGCGTCATCTTTTTTTTTTAAAAAAAATAAAAAAATAAAAAAAAAAAAAGAATTTAATTTATTACATAATATATAGAACTAAATTAAATTAAATTATTTATTTATTTTCCCACTCATTTCGGACCTTTTTATTATTTATTTATTATATATATATATATATTTTTTATTTGTAAATAAATATATAAATAAATAGTTACATCTATTATTTATTTGCTTTATAAAACTCCCATTAAGTCCGAACTTTTTATTTTTTATTTTTTTTTTATCTTTTTTTCCCTTCCCTTTTCCTCTTTCCTTTTCTTCTTCTATTTATATTTTCACTTTTTATTACTTTTACACCTATTTTTTTTTTCATTTTCATTTTCATTTCCATTTCAATTTTCACAAATTTTTTAAATATAAACTTTTCTTAACTTTTCCTTCTTTTTTTTTCTTCTAATCAACCAAATATGGGCTTATTCCGACGAGGCAACAAAAATAATGACGACCCCATCCAGGTCGGCCGCCTGGACCCTTCCGTCGACCCAGGAACAAACAAACACCATATCAAAACCCGCTCCCAAGATGTCCACGATCCTGTCTTGACTGCCATTCATGATGAAGAACCTTTCCAAATGTCTGCAAATACTCAAGGAAATATGGCCACCGTTTCTCCAGACCTAGTAATGCGTGATATTTTCGGTAATGCTATCGAGGCCCCAGACCGTTCTAATCCTACACGCCCCCGCAATGAGCGCCCTCTTGATACAATCCGCGGCTTTGAATACTTGTGCACAGGTGATGAGAGACTACGTGAGGAAATGGAAACATCGAGATTTGGATGGAACCCAAGACCAAACTTTTCAAGTAATGTTACGTACCCACACTTTGATTCAAACCCATATGCTGCTGCTGGTGTAGGAAACAGTGGAGACCCAATGTCATCTTATGGAGCATCTTCTGGTGATAACAATGCTCCCTTTAAGACTTATAATCCGAATGCCGCCGAGCCTAAGAAGAAGCGCAAGTTATTTGGACGCAAGAAGAAGCAGAATACTGATTAAATCAAAAAAAAAAAAAAAAAAAAAAAAACAGATGGATGATTGGTTATTAATTTTACGACTACGAATAATGATGACGATTTAAAAGAATGGACTGGAGAAGATTCTTATTTTTATTTTTATACTTTTTTTTTTGTACATGACCTTGTATTAATGACCATATAATAATGATAATAATAATAATAATAATAATAATAATTGTGGAATGGAAACTAAAGATTTAAAGAAAATGTATTTGAATTTATTATTTGTTATTGATGATGATACATTCCAGTGCATATTTAAAAAAAAAAATACATAAGATAACGGAATGTTTAGTACTTGAGTAGATACTTTTATCCCGAAATACTAAAATAAATTATAATAACCAGACCAACATTGAAACGGAATGTCCGGTTTTTTTATCATTTTGATTTGAAATTAAAAAAAAAAATTAAAAAGAAAGAAAGAAAGAAACTGAGGGGTTTCTGTTTTTTTTTCTTTCTTTCTTTCTTTTTATTTTTTTGCTACATGAAGTAAAGAAAAAGTCTTTGATCGTGTGAATGACATATTTGTCCAAACTTCTATAAAAAATAAAATAAAATTAAGACCACCTGTGATTGTTTCACATATTTTTTTCTTTTTTTTTGTTATTCTCCTGTTGAAGATCATTCATTATCATTTAAAAAAATAAAAAAAAACTAAAAAATTTGCTCTTTTTTTGATTCTGTCAAAAAAAAAAAAAAGGGTTTTAACTAAACAACGACGTTGGTTTAAATAGAAGTTACGTTTATTAAAAAAAAAATTACGTCGACCTTACATAGGAATAGAAGGCTTAGTATTAGAGAGATACTTTTTTGTTTTTTTTTAATTTAAATCAATGATTATGATTTAACATTAAGTTAACTAAAGATCAAAAAACAAAGTAAATCAAGCATTCGTTTTTACTATCATTCTCGTTTATCAGTATCATGCACAGCCAAATCATATTGTGTTAGTCTTAAAAAATCATGTTTTTTTTTTTAATTTTTGGCGATAACCAGAATTTTTTTTTTTTTTAAGTAGACCTATTTATATAATCTCTTTTTCTATTCTTCTTGTCCTTCTTTTCAAAATCTAATGTTTAAAAAACTCTGGGCTTTAAAAGATTTCACTATCTAGATCTCAAAAAAAAATTTTTTTTAAGCTAATATCTAAGTAGACTAGTTTCTAATCTTGTTTATTCATTTGTTTACAATCCTCCCATAATTTTTTTTTTTTTCAGAATGTAAACAACCATCAAACATTTTAACAATTTCTTTCTACTGACTTTATTTTATTTATTTATTAATTTTATTTTTTTTTATTTGGACTCTCATCATCTTTTAATTAAACATATTTGGTCTATTTACCACAGAAACGAAGAATGTTATTTGTATATATTGTACCTTGGAAATGATAATGATGATAATGATGATGATGATGATGATGATGAAAGTTTTGGACCAACTTCCATGACAGGTAAAGATGTTATAACCAAATATCTGCCACTGTGAAAAAAAAATGAAAACTTGCCAATAATTGAGTTAATTTATTCATTGATTCATTGATTCATTTATTTATTTATTTATTTATTTATATTTTTTTTTCAATATTCTAAATAATTAATAGTGTTTCATCATTAAGACCTAAGTTCTTTAAAGAAAATACAAAGACACATTCCAGGACTAAAGAATTTTTTTGTTTTTGTTTATTCTCCATGAAAAAGAAAAAAATAAATAAATAAATTTTAACAAATACCCGCATCGTTTTTACACACATAATTTATTTATGAAAAAAAAAAAAATTTCCTAGTCTTAATTTTTTTCTTCTACAAACAGCCCATATATATATATATATATTAAAGACTGAATTCTGACAATTCATCCAGCCTCTTTCTCCACTCTTGTGCCTTAATAACCCAACAAGTACACTGGTGGTGGGGATTTTATTTATTTATTTATTTATTTGTTTATTTGTTTATTTGTTTATTTGTTTATTTGTTTATTCAAGAGTGCACGAGAAAAGAAAGAAAGAAAATATATATATTGCTTGTACCTTTCACATTTATTTTAATTGATCTTTATATAAAACAAACGTATCCTTAACTAAAGTCATTGATTTAGATCATAAACTTTTTGATTATTTATATTATCTGTAAAATATGGACCTTTCAAATGAACACTAAATATTTCAGAGAAAAGAGAAAAAAATAAAAAAATAAAATAAAAAAAAACAAGACATTTAGTCTCCATTCCCCAAGTCACTGTCATCCGGCATTTACTATTCTAGTCTAAATTAGATTACGCATAAAACAAGTCTTTTTTTTTTTTTTTTTTAAAAAAAAAGTCTTTTATACTAGCTAAATCACTCTAATATTTACTTTAAAACTCATTATCACGTATTTTGCAAAAAAAAAAAATTAAAATAATAATCTCAGGGGGTTGAATGGAAATAGAAGACATAAGTTCTTGTGATAAGATAAAAAAAAAAGAAGGGTTTCATTTAAATTGAATTAATTTTATTTTATTTTAATTTTATTTTATTTTTCTTGTCGATTTCATTCTGCTTTTAATCAAAGATAACGTCTGAGTAACACTGGAGTTTTTATTTATTTTTTATTTATTTTTTTTCGTTGTTCGGATCTTCGGACATTAATAATACTTTTTTTTTTTTTATTTTTTTTTCAACTTTTTAATTTCAAATCAAATTCAACTGGGGTTTTATTTCAAAATAAAAAAAAAAAATTCTTCTTTTCCATTAATCACTTCTTCTCTAAATTTACCTACAATTTCTTGAAACATTTTAAATTTCAAAAAGACCAAAAAAAAAAAAAAAATTAGTTTTGTCCTTTCATATGTATATATTTCTATATATACACCCACCAGTGAAAGGCCACGCTACTCTACTACTTTATAACTAAGCCTCGGCTAGAGTGATATGACAGGCCTCTGGGCCTGCTATGATATGTCGTGTGTATGTGTGTTTGTATGTTTAAGTTTATGGGGTGGAGACCGTTTTTTTAAACCACAAACTTGGCTTTTTCGGCATATTTTTTTTTAAAAAAAAAAACAAAGACGGGGGAGGGAAAAAGGAAACAAAGAGGGACATGAGCACGCCACGATGGGCTTACGATGCAGTGCTGACGTAAAAAATAAAATAAAAATAAGAAAAAAAAAAAACTAGGTTACGTAACAAATTTAAGGTACACTACGTATACACGTGATATATTAAACTCAGGGTTAGGGGGGGAAGGGACTTCCTTTAAAGGAAAAAAAAATTTCATATAATTTTTTTTTTCAGTCCTTGAAATTTAACAAAAAAATTCAACATTGAAAATAGAAAACAGATGCTAAAAAGATAATGGTCTCTGGCGGGATCGAACCGCCGATCCTCGCGTATCACAAGGAAGTTGCTTGTTTATTAGCACGATGCCTTAACCAACTGGGCCAAGAGACCACTGTAAATAAATGGATTATTAAAAAAAATGACCGACCATGCCTATATAAAGATAATGAGAAGAAATCTTTATATTATCAAAGCTGTTGGAGATGCAATGTTGAAGGCAAAATTAAAAGTTTATTATGAAAATGAAAAGATATATAGTATGGACAAGAAGGATAGCGCAGATGCTGATGTTATATAATTCTATAACCCTTGAATAAAAACAAACAAACATATATTATCAAAAGATTTTGGCACATTTTTGAAACGGACATTTTTAGAGATGGACATTTCGACTCTCTTAAACAGTTTAACTGGCTTACCAGAGACTGTAAGCTTTATCTCTGCTTAAAGGGATTAAGAAATACAATTACAGCGTTGATAAAGACAAGTGGAGATAAGTTGGGAAGGTTTGGTTATTTTTAACCCCCCCTTTCCTGTTCTTCGTAAGCTGGCATCAGGACTTATTTTCGGGCTGTTGGAGATGCAATGTTGAAGTCAAAATTAAAAAGTTTATTATTATTAAAATAAAAAGATGTAAAGTATGGACAAGAAGGATAGCACAGATGCTGATGTTATATAATTCTATAACCCTTGAATAACAAACAAACAAACAAAGAACATTTTTGGAACTAAAAAGAAAAAAAAAGGGATATATATATACAACTGTAAACTGTAAATGTGGAGTGCTAGAAACAATTATTATTAAAGAAATTTTAGTTGAATGTTCTTTACTAGAAGAAGAAAGAAAATAACATTGAAATGGATATTAGTTTAATTGGTTGCGATCTGTTCTTCATAAACTTGATATAAAGACTTAGTTTTATGGCTATTTGAAGATCTCAGAAATTTTAAAAATTAAAATTAAAATTGAATTTGAAAAAAAAAAAAAAACAAAAAATTGCTCATACATTTGAAACCCTAACCGTATCCAATATTACATTATCACAATACTGAGTTTTACTGATGATCAATGGTGATCAATGATATCATCACCTGGCTCATTGCAACCACTTTCTTTTGCAAAGTTAAAAAACAAAAAAAACAAATTAAAATTGCGATTAGAAAAAAAAAATAGCTCTTCAGCAAACCAAAGAAAAAAAAAAGGCAAAATATATATTAAAATCAAACTCAATTGAATAAAAAAATAAAAAATAATCATATTAAAAGTGGTGTGTATACATCAAAAAAAAGGAAGGAAGTTTAGCGTAATATGAAGAAACGAGTCAGTGCCTGCAGGACCCAAAGTTGTCATGATTAAGAAAAAAAAAAACACAAAGAAATTAATTTTGTTCAGCAAATCATAATAAATGAATAAAAAAAAAGAAGATTTTTTTTTATTTATTTATTCATTCTTTTTTTTTTTTACCACCGACTATTGTCATTGTAAGACCCGCCATTCTTGTAATCCGGGTTACCACCATAGGCTGCTCCTGCTCCGCCACCGTAATTATTGTTTCCTCCATAGCCACCATCAGGTGCACCACCATAACCGCCGTTATATCCAGAGTTATCATTAATATCTCTGCCGCCGTAGCCGCCACCAGGAGGAGGTGGAGCACCGTAAGCATAACCTGGTGGTGCATTATTCTTATGTTTCTTTTCCAATTTCTCCTTCTTATGATGTTCCTTTGCCTTATCCTGAAGTTTGGACCCTGCAATTGCACCTGCAATCATACCACCAAATGTCGCTAGACCACCACCACCAAGTTTGTGGCCGGCATAACCACCAGCTGCGGCACCAGCAACACCACCCATGAACCCGCGCTCTCCGTTTTGAGCACCATCGGGACCAACACCTTCTTGACCATATGTGGCGCCACCGTAAGCACCAGGAGCTGAGTTAGGGTCATAGTTATTTTGGTCGTAACCGCGGTTGCCATAGTCCTGGTTGTTGTTTCCGCCATAGGGGTCACCACCTTGGTTGTATCCATTGTTGTTATAGTCGGGATTGCCACCGTAGGAGGCACCACCACCTTGGTTGTATCCATTGTTGTTATTATAATTGTTGTTGCCGCCGTAGCCGCCGCCATTGTTACCGTAATAATCTGAGCTTGACATTGTTTGTTGTGAGATTAGTTTTTTTTTTTCTGGGGTAGGGGATTATATAAATATAAAAAAAATGTTTGATTGCTGTAGGAGAGAGAAGTAAGAAAGAAAGTAAGAAAGAAAAAAAAGAGTCTTTTTAAAGTAGAGGATCTTGCGAGGTTTTTATAGTTGATTGAAAAGGTGGGTGATTAGAAAGTAAAAACGGTTTTTATTTAGCACAGCCTCACACAAGCAACAACTACAAATTTGCTTCAGTCAATTGAAAAACTTCAACTTTTAAAAAAATATAATAAATTAAAAAATAAAAAAAAAAAAAAATAGATGATCATGGAAAAAATTAAAAAAAATTAAAAAAAGCTAAGCCATTTTTTTTTATTTTTATTTTTATTTATTTTTTCTATTTGATGAAAGCTTCAAGTCACGTAATTGTGCAGTGCTTTGGTAATGTTGAGATGAGCCGCAACAGCGCTTTAAAAGAGTCAAGTCGTTTTATCTGATGGTGGTTTATTTGGTGATGATCAATCTTCTATATAGTATAAATATTAATATTAATATAGTAATAAATAAATATATATATCTATAGTATTTATTTTAATTCTAAAGACATTTTCTATTTAATTTTTTTATTTAACAAACATAGATTGCGCACTCTTTTATTTTTTTATTTTTTTTTATTTTTTAAAATATAAAATAAAATAAAATAAAATCTCTCTCTTTCTTAGGGCTCAAAAAAATAGCGGCTCAGCAGTCATAAATAAATAAATGTAATTAATGTAATTAAATTAAATAACATCACGGGATCCCCACAAGTCACAGCCACATGCGGCGCATTTCACACTCAAAAAAAAAAAAAAAAAAATCTTTTTTTAAAGAAACAATTCTAAAGATTTCCAGAGTTTCTTTCACAATATACAAAAAAAATAAAAAAATAAAGAAGGAGACTTTTTTTTTTTTTTTTTTTCAATCTTCAATAATTTATTCAATATTTAATTTTCAAGTTCCTTTTTTTGCTTTTTCTTTACAATTCCTCGCTTAGCCATCTCCTCTGCATTCCGTTTCATCTTAGCCACTCTTGAAAGAGTCCCCTTATGTTTGCGGCTCTTTAAATGTTGTCCCCACTGCGCCTCACCCACAGCCACATACTTTTGACCTTCAGAATTCTCACATACATTGCATGTAAAAGTTTGCCATTGACTCTCGTCAAACTGTTTTGGTGTTACTAGTAATTCCCGTAAAGCATTATCACTCTCATCCACCAAAATACAATTATCCACTTGATTGGTCACAAACTCATGAGCTATTTTAATCCCTGTAGCTGCCACCTTGTCACTCCACTGTGATAAATCAGTAGCATCTAGTATTGTAGCTACAATACTATTATGGTTGTTATAATTATGATCATGATTATGATCATTTGAATATTCTTTCTTGTTCCTTTCAATCACTGTATTGATCTTGGGCATTAATGTATTTTTCATAAACTTGGTCTGTTGTTTGGAATACTTGCGAGTAGCACGCTTCATTTCTTCCACACACTCAGAAAGCACCCCGCTAGATACTTTCCCAGAACTTAGCCAAGGAAGAAATTGACGGAATCCAATCACCTGCCATACACCCTTAGTCAAGTCTGGTGTTTCTTCATCACCACCCCTTTTTAAATATTCTTCATACATCTCATCAATCTCAGAATATAATGAATTGTTAAGCATTGCATCTACTCGATCGTCTAGCCGCTTGTTGAGTTGCGTTTGTTCAGACCAAATCCAAAAAACAAGAGTCCGAAACCGAGCATCAAGAGCTACTTCTTTTTCTCCATCTCCATTTCCATTTCCTTCGTTTTCATTTTTTTGTTGTAAATACAAATCAGATGTCTTTTTCCCTGTTGTGTAAAACACTTCAAGTGCTCTACGTAATCTTCTACCATCATTTGGATGAAACTTTTGTGCAACCAGAGGGTCATGGATCTTAAGTTCATCTATAATACCCCGAGTAGGTCCATCTAATACCTTTAATTGTTCCTCTGTAAGTTCCCTTTCATCATAATTCCCAGTCCCTGGACTTTCCGTCAATGTCGAATTTTTAAAAATTACTGCTTGATTATAATAATGAGTTCCTCCTACAAGAATCGGCAACTTGCCTCGAGCATATACATCATCAATAACTTGCAAAGCTTCACGTTCAAACTGTTGTACGCTATACTCATCAGCCCATGGAACATGGCCTAGAAGATGATGAGGTATATTTTCGCGTTCTGGTATTGGATGCTTGTTTGTGATGGCGTCCAACCCCCGGTATACTTGCATGGAATCACCGTTAATGATTTCGCCATTAAGAGCCTTGGCCAGCTCAATGCTAAACTGTGATTTGCCGACTCCTGTGGTGCCGATGATTGCAATGAGGTTCCTAGGGACGCTTGTAGTCATTATATTATTATGGGTGAGTTTGCTGGATTGGTCATGTGTTGATACTTAAAATTTTCCAATGGTGTGTGTGTGTGTGTGTGTTTGTGTGTGTAGCCTTCTCCTTCTCCTTCTCCTCCTCCTCCAAAAAAAACCAAAACCGTTATTTTTGGTTCATGAACCAAATACTTCTTAAATAGGAAGTTATATATGATACCCCACATTTTTCGGGTGACCGTTGGTAGGTTTTTTTTTTTTTATTATATATTTAATTTAATTTGAACATCTCCGGGTCTCAGCCCGTCCGTCATCTTTTTACTTCTCCTCACCTATTTTTTTTTCTTTTCGGTTCCAAGTACCGGTTATTTAAAATCATATTTTTTTATTTTTTTCTATTTTTTTATTAAGTGTTTTGTTATTAAAATATATGGCATCATCGTTATTGAAGAATTTCTCTCCACTCGTTTGGGTTCCACCGGTTCATCGCCGGTGCTTTTACAAGAGACTTTTATTTTGACAGTTTAATGCGGGGGTTCTTTTTTTTTTATTTTTATTATTATTATTATTATTATTATTCTAGAGATAATCTATATGTCTGTCTATTTATCTATTTATGACCCTTTCTCTATTACTACTTTTATTTAAGTGGTTCTATATAGTTGATGATCAAACTGGTCCATTTAAGCTTATTTATTTATTTATTTATTTTTTTTTTTTTTGGTTTGAAGTTTCTTTTTCCCCGCGTCGGTCTTTTCTTAATACTCCTCCGACCGGGCTCTTATCGGTGACATTCCGAGTCTTGTTGGTGATGATAAAACTTCAATGATTTTATATTTTTTTTTTATTTCTATTTCTATTTCTATTTCTATTAAACAAATAAAAAAAAAATAAAAACCCCCCTGTACTACAAACATTGTTTCAAATATATACAAATGAAACTCTCTTCCTTATTACCACACACACCTACACACCTACATATATATATATATATATACTAAATAAATAAATAAATAAATAATTTTTTTTTCATCTTTGCACATTCAAATGAAATTATTTTTTATTTTTTTTTTTTCCCCCGCACAACTTTTCAAAAAAAAAAAAAATTGGAGCTTTTTTATTTTTAAATTTTCAATATTAACAAGGCGGGGAGTTTCGGACAGCCGCCATAATAAACTACAAAAAAAAAAAAACCAAGCACTTTGTAATTTTACAACAACAACAACAACAACAGCAGCAGTAAGGAAGAAAGAAGATAGATGAAGATGACATGCAATGGTGGTGTTTCTGATGGGCGATTATTATATAAAAGCCCCGGCGTTTGGCGGGTAGACAACAAATTTAACAATTTTTTTTTTTTTTAATTTATTTTAATTTTTAATATTTAAAAAAAAAAAAAAAAGAAAAAAGAAACCATCCAACCACCACTACACAACCACCAAAATTTAAATTTCCAGAAAGCCCATTGGAAAAAATTTTTTATTTATTTATTTATTTATTTTATTCACTTCCCTCTCTTTTTTTTTTTTTTTTTATTTTATTTTATTTTTTTTCACTATCACCACCACCACCACCACAACTCACCCAACCATCCTTCTACCAGCTCAAGTCTGCAATCAACAGCTTCCGCTCTGTCAATATCTTTTATATATCTCCTAGTCAATAATGTCTCCTCCAACCTCTGGTGATAAGAAGCAGTCTGGTATTGCCCGTGTTTTGGGTTCAGGTATGTAGTTTATATTATCATTATTCATTATTTAATCTATATTATTACAAAATACCATCCCCCGATCAATTTACTCCATCAATCAACCATTCATACACACAATCAATCAATCTAACTCATCTCATTAGCCACTGCCGGTATTTGCGAGCTTGCTGTCTTCCATCCTGTATGTTCTTTTTATTTTATTTTTTATTATTTTTATTTCTCTCTGTTTCAATAATCTTACTAACCATCCATCATTCTCCCAGGTTGACACCACTGCTAAGCGTCTCATGAGTAATAATACTCGCGTCGCTTCCCTCTCTGAACTTAACAAGGTCGTCTTCAGAGACTCCGCTACAGCTCCAATTGGCAAACGTCTGGTGTCTCTTTTCCCCGGTCTCGGCTATGCCGCTGGTTACAAGATTCTGCAGCGTGTTTACAAGTACGGTGGTCAACCCTTTGCCAATGAGTTTCTCAATGCAAACTTTAAGCCCTTTTTTGAAGATAACTTTGGCAAGAAAACTGGTAAGGCCCTCATGTCTGCCACCGCTGGTAGTTTGATTGGCATTGGTGAAATTGTCCTACTCCCCCTTGACGTTCTTAAGATTAAGCGTCAGACTAACCCTGAAGCTTTCAAGGGCCGTGGTTTCCTTAAAATTATTGCAGATGAAGGCTTTGCTCTCTACCGTGGTTGGGGCTGGACTGCTGCCCGTAATGCCCCAGGCAGTTTTGCTCTCTTTGGTGGTAACGCTTTTGCCAAAGAGTACATCTTCAAGCTCCAAGATTACTCTGCTGCTACCTGGACTCAAAACTTTGTTGCTTCTATCTTTGGTGCTTCTGCTTCTCTCATTGTTTCTGCTCCTCTCGATGTTATCAAGACCCGTATCCAGAACAAGAACTTTGAGAACCCAGAGTCTGGATTTACTATTCTTAAGAACATGGCCAAGAATGAGGGCTTCTCGGCTTTCTTCAAGGGTCTTGTCCCCAAGCTTTTGACCACTGGCCCCAAGCTTGTCTTTAGTTTTGCCCTTGCCCAATCCCTCATTCCTGCCTTTGACAAGGTTCTTAGTGGGTCCAAATAGATTTACTTTTGATACATTGTTAAAGTATTATGATTATTCTTAGTAGATTTATAATACTTGTTTCTTTTTTTTATTTTATTTTATTATAGTTTATTTTTTTTTTGTTTAATGTAAATATTGAAGGGATTTTTTTGAAAAAAAAAAAAAAAATTAGAAACATGAAAACAATATTAACAGCCCTGGAAGTTGTCGTGATAATGATGACTGAAAAATTTCCATGGAAATCAAAAATTATCTATTTTGGGGGTTATGCGGCTTGACTCCTCAAAGTTTCTTGTCTGCAACAGCTCCCCCGTCATGAGAAACGTCTTTTTGGTCGTGTAATTTAACAAGAAAGAAAGGAAGAAAGATTTTTTTTTAAATAATTTCAAGACATAAATATTCTGTACTTTTTCTCTTTTTTTTTTTAGTTCTATTTTATTTCTTTTCTTTTCTTTTCTTACTCTTTACCTTAATCTATTAATCTAACCGTATACAATAAATATAAATAGATTCAAAAAGGTTCTCGCCGATAAAAAGAAAAAAAAATACTGTATACAAACTACAATATATCAAATAAATGGACCTGTTGCAGCAGCACCATTCAACCAACGCAGAGTCGTCTGGTGCTCAAATAAACCAAGTCTTATCATCTACACATAGTGATTCTATTTTGGATGGTCTTGCTCAGTCTCTTGTTCTTGATTCATTATCTCCGCCATCTCTTTCATCCCTATTACCACCCTCTTCATCATCTTCCTCTTCCTCTTCCTCATTATTGTCCCAAGCCTTTTCCACAAATAACAATCACCAACTGGATCTTGACAATAATTATGAAGAAGACGATCCAGATAAAACCAATCAAGATCAAGTTGAAGTTGAAGATGATGATGAAGATGAATATGAAGATAAAGAAGAAGAAATTAATAATCAAGATCACAACCAACTCCTACCCAGCTTTACTTCATCCAATCTCATGTTTGCCTTTTCTGACATGTCACTGGCCCCCTCTCCTTGTTCGCTTACTCAAGAGGCCACGCATTTGATGAATCAAGGGGACAAAGGCGTCAATTGCCGTGTTGGTAGTTGTGGTTGTTGTTGTGGTGGTGATTGTGGTGATTGTGGTGGTGGTAATTGTGATGGCAGTTTTAATCCAGCAGGGGGGCTTCCGTTGACTACGACAACCGCACGAGTCCCAAACACGGCATTGCCTAGGGTTTCATCATTATTGTCATCATCATCATCACCACTACCACCACTATTTGGGGTTACAAAAGGTGCAATTCAAGGGCTTTCTGTGGAGTTGCTGCAGCACCAGCCAGAGAAGGCGGCAGATTTCCCAGTGGTTGAAGGTAATGATGAGCATTTGGGGCTCCTGACTGGATGTGCAGCACCAACACCAGCACAGGCATCAGCACATGCAATGAAATTGCAAAATCAGCAAGTTGAAAATGTTTTTGCTGCACCAACAACTAAGAGGGGGGGTCTTATATTGTGGAGGAATTTGCCCAAATCTTGTCTACTGAAACCCTCTCTAACAGCAGCAACTACAGCAGCTACAGCAACCTCAACCACCTCGGCTAAGTTGGCATATCATCAAGCAACTGCAATGACTGCTACTAAGACTACAACAACTTCTACTGCTACTACTACTACTACTGCTACTACTTATGCTGCAGCAGCTGCTGCTTCTGCCACAAAATATGCAATTCCATCTTCATCAACAACCCCTCTTCTAAAGACTTTGTTGCCGCTCAACCCCTCCATGAGGGCAAATATTTGGGCACCCATTGTTTCATTGACTGACTCGAAAAAAACGTTTGCAGAAGCTGCTGCAGCTGCTACAGCTGCGGCAAATGCCAATTCTAATGACAATATCAATTTAAATGCTAATACAAAAGTAATGACAATGGATGGGTCTAGAATAAATGCATTCTCACAAACACCTCCTCCAATGGCTAATTCATCTTTTCCCTATTCTCTGTCTTCGTCATTTGCTTCAGCTTCTTCTTCTGAAATCCCGTTCCCTTTTTCGTTACCACTTGGAGGACAGAATGACGTTGAAAGGTCTCGCGTTGTTGCACCATCGAGCGCATTTTCTGTGGAAACTGTAGTGGCTGGGAATGATGGACAGGACAATAAAGAAGGAGAAGGAAAAGAAAAAGAAAAAGAAACAGAAGAAGAAAATGATGACGGTGACAATAAAAAAAAAGATGTCAAGAATGCGCAAGAACAAATTGAAGAGTTGAAAAGAGAATTGGCTAAAGCAAAAAGTAAGATTGATGAAATGGAAAACAAACGAGACACGGAAATGATGACAACAATTAGAATGATGCCTAACTATGGTACTAATACTACAGACTTGGGGTTTGAAGTCCCAACTAGAGGGTACTCGCCCTATGGAGGCCCATCTATGACTGGCTTTGGTGGCCAAGGAAGGTTCCATGATATTTTCCAAGGTACTAATGGCAATGGGTTATTCAATGCTCCTATGTTCCAGCACTATCCTAGTCCAACAGCCCCTCCACCGCCGTTACTTTACGGAAATCATCTACCTCCTCCTCCTCCTCCTCATCCTACATCTATGCGAGCACCTGTCGTATCTGTCCCACCGGTGCTTACTCAAGCACCACACGCTCATCTAGTTCCGCAACAGCAGCAACAACAACAAAGACCAATGGCTCACGCACCACCGGCTGCTGCGTTCCCGGACCCGGTGACGACGGCGGACCCCACAACCACGACTTCCAACGTGACAGCGACGGCGACTATGTGGGCTTCGGACGTGTATGCACCGCGGGCACACGAGATGGCAGCGGCTGCAGCAGCATCAGTAACGATTGTTAGTGATGGAAATGGAAATGGTAATGGTAATGGAAATGGAAATGGAAATGGTTTACAGCAGCTGCAAAGGATAAATAATGGAATGAGAATGAATATGGGAGTGGGAATAGGAATGGGAGGAATGGGAGCAATTGGAGGAATTGGAATGAAGGTGTGTAAAGACCAGATACCCCAAGGAGTGGTTATTGGTGCAGGATATAATCAAGGCATGGTGGGCTCTGCGGGACTAGAACCTGGGGAAGGATGTGGTGGTGGAAAACAGCCGCAGGAAGAAGAAGAAACCGCCGCCGCAGCAGCTGCAGCAGCTGTTGCGACGACGACGACGACGACAACCACGATGCCGCCCATTAATATTCCTGGGCGAAACGGGAATGCCCTAAGCAGTGGCGCCAACCTAATTGAGGAAATTGGGAACGGCGGCAACCTAATGGATATGGAAAGCCTAAGAAGTGAGGCCCGGTGCGAGCCGTGGCTTGTTGCGAGAAGAGGTGGAGGAATTGGGCCAGGAGCTGGGGCTGGGGATCTGTGGACTGCTTCAGCGATGGTTGCAACAACCTTGGCAGGGCCTATTGCAGGAGGAGGACGTGATGGTAATGAAGGAATGCAGGCAACTGGTAGTGCAAGCGGCAATGGGAATGTTGCACTACCGGGATACTTGGAAAGCAGTTACTCTGGATGCTGGCCTAGCCTTGGGTCTGGGATTCCAAATAGCAATGAAGGGTTTATGGGTAACCAGTTGCATTACCATGGTGGGGGAGGGATTCAAGCTCAAGGATCGCCAGTTGCTTGTGGGTACGGGATGGAAGCATATTACGGGTACAAGGCCAATATCGGTGTTGGTAGCAATAGCAATAGTAACAGCAGTAATAACAACAATAGCAATAGCAACATTAACATCAACATTAACAGCAACATTAACTGCCACAATAGCATTACTGGCAAAAAGAATGGGCCCCGAGGGTTTCCTGGAGCCAGTGGAGGAGGAGACTATGAAATTGAGAATGGAGTTAATGACGTTTGTCTTTGGGAGTATAAAAAGATATTTTTAAAAATGGAAGGGACTAACATTGGAATCGCCTTTAGATTTACTACAATATTCCAATTAACGAGCCCATTAACTACAGGCGGCTCTTGGAAAAATCTGCGACTTGCGATTGGGGAGTAAGTTGAAATGAAAATTGCCAAAAAAAAAAAAAGATCATTTCTTGACTAACGACTAACTTTACAGATTATTGTCAATCGGATTGTACACGATAACGACCAACAGGCGTCAATTTTCCTCCAGCAAAAGCTAAAAATCTCCAATACAGAACAACGCAACCTAATTATCGAATGTATTTCAGAACAATCGTACAACCTAATGGTGAACCGGTTTGGTAACTTTTTGATTCAGCGTTGCCTTGAGTACAGTAACAAACCACAGATTGAGGCTCTAACATTGTCGATACGAGGGAATGTGTGTACGCTATCCAAAGACCCGTTTGGATGTCATGTTGTGCAAAAGGCATTGGATTGTGTGGGTGAAGAAATGAAACATACCGTTGTTGCAGAGCTTGTTGAAAAAGTGGCAGAAACAATGGTACACCGATATGCATGTCATGTATGGCAGAAACTATTTGAGCTACGTTGGGCGGGTCCAGCACCTAGGTTCATGGCCCGTGTGAATGAGGAACTACAAGGAATGTGGGAACGTGTTGCCTTGGAAGAGACAGGGAGTCTTGTGGTTCAAAATATATTTGAGAACTGTACAGAAGAAGATAAGACACCATGTGTGGAGGAGATTGTGGCCAAAATAGATACAGTGATATGTGGGCAATGGGGGAACTGGGTAATTCAACATATGGTGGAATGTGCGGCGGAACCTGTACGGGAGCGTGTGGTTACATTGGTACTTGACAAGTCACCCATGTACAGCACTGACCAGTACGCATCCAAAGTTGTTGAGAAGCTACTTAAAATGGGCGACAAGACTGTGATTCAAAGGTTTCTTGATAAGGTGACTACAGCCCAAGGTAATGGACGTCCAAGGATTCCATTGATTGATATTGCATCGGATGCACATGGAAATTATTTGGTTCAATACATTTTACAAAGTGGTACTCCCACACAACAATTGCAAGTGGCAGCACAAATTAAAAAACATATGGTGTCATTGCGCGGGTCAAAGTGGGGGGCCAAGTGCGCTTGGCTTATTGACCGTAACAGAACAAACACTTCTGTAACGGCAGTATCCAAATCTCTGCTCAAGCGGGGAGTCAATTGAAAGCATTTACATCATTTACAGCATTTAAATCATTTACAGTATTTAAATCATTTACAGCATTTAAAGCATTTACAGATTACAAGTATATTATTTCCCAAATTAGAATACATAGTCAATGGATTTTCTTTTTCTTCTTTTATTTCCGTTTTTTTTTTAATTTTTTTATCTTATTTTTTTATCTTATTTTTTTTTTTTTTTTTTTAATCTTGGTGTGAACTCAGTAGAGGTTTGTTTGATGATGACGCTCCAGAGGCTTCTAAATCAGGTGTTCCGCCTTGTTTCTTAAACAGTCTTCCAAATACGCCAGCAACACTTGCCGGTTTATTTTGCGACTTAGAATTGTCTTGATTCTCTTCTCCTTGTCTTGATTCTTCATCATCATCTTCTTCTCCTTGTCTTTCGTCTTCTTCCTCTTCATTGTCTACAACTGCAGACCCGCCGCCCAAAGCCTGTGCCACGTCACTCGGATTGATTCCAGAAAATGGAGGTTGTGCAGTACCAGCACCTGGTCCTAAAGGACTGTAATACCCTGCAGAATTGCTGCGTGAGCGAGGGTCCCCTGCGCGCGCCAGGGCTGCTGCCGAGGGTTGCAGTACTGGTGAATCTGTGCGCGAGAGGGCAGGACCCAAACTTGGGCTAGCACCTGCCTGAGTACCCAAAAGAGTTGTGGTATCTGTTGATGGTTGTTGATGATCTGCTGACGGCAGGTGATGGTATCCGTTAATGCCGGAATTGATTGAGGAAGAAATGGAAGCAGCCGAGGAATATACAGACTTGTCACCAAAAAGAGAGCCCATATCTTCGAGATTGACACCCATGGTTTCTGGATACATGAAATAGACGCAGATGAAGGAGCAGACACATGAAAATGCATGGATCAAGTAGAGTCTCCAGGTAATAACTTCTTGTAGCACCGGTGTGGCTTCACCCACAATAAAGTTAAAGGCCCAGTTGGATGCTGTGGACAAAGAAGCGCCCTTAGCGCGTACGTTAAGAGGCAAGATTTCAGGAGGATAAAGCCAAGGAATGGGCCCCCAAGAATAGCCGAAAAATGCATTATAAATGATGACTAGAATCACGACAGCCTGTGGAGTGTATGATAGAGACAGGTACATGAAATAAGAAATCAAAGAAAGAGCCACGGCCATGACAAGAGCACCAGACATGAGAATAAAGCGGCGGCCCCAGCGGTCGGACACGTACCATGGAGGAATGGTAGAGAGAATATAAACAAGCGAGTTAATGCCAGTCATAAGAATTGCCTGACGACCGACCCAGCCAGCCTGCTCAAAAACGAGTGGGGCATAGTAAGAGATGACATTGATGCCGTTAAGCTGGGCAAACATTTGAGACGACATTGCAATGAGAACGCGTTTTTTATAGCGCCTCCACATTTGTGTGTAGGAGCGCTCACCTTCGAGTCGTGCAAGCAGTACGGAGTCTTTGATTTCACGAAACTCCTGGCGTGCGCGTGGGTGGTGAACATCTCCACCACCATGCAAATCGGCAATGACACGAAGTCCAGCATCGTCGTGGTCATGGTCCAGCAACCAGCGCGGGGTCTCAACAATGACGAGGGAGCCGAGTAGCAGAAGGGACCCCATTATGCATTGGATAAAGAGCGGGAGTCTCCAGGAAACGTCACTTTCGATGAAGGAAGCCGCATAGTCGACCCAGACTGAAGATGAGTAACCCACAATATTTCCTGTAAACTCGATACACGCGAGCTTGCCGCGGTTGTGTGGTGGGGAGATTTCTGACTGATATACGGGGACAATTGTTGAGAGAAAGCCGACGCCGATACCAGAGATGAAACGACCAACAATCATGGAGGCAAGGCCGGTAGTGAAAGACTGGATTGCACCGCCAATGACGAAGACGAGGGACCCCCAGAAAATTGACTTACGGCGGCCAATGATGTCACCGACACGGCCAACAACAAGGGAAGAGATGAGAGCACCGACTTCTAGAATAGCGACCATGGTACCAATTTCAGCACGGGAAGGTTGGTTGAAATAATCTAGGAAGTATGGGGAAGTGATGATGCCGGACATGACGCCTTGGTCATAGCCAAAGAGAAATACGCCGAGCGAGACAAATACGGTGGTGAAGTAGAGCAAAGGTTTGCCCGTGAGTCCGTGGACTTTTGTCATTGAAGAAGAGGGTGAAGGGAAAGAAGCTGAGGAGTTAGAGGATGAAGAAGAAGAAGAAAAAGAACGAGTGTGTGATTTGTGAAGAGGTGAAGGGGATTTAGGACGGAAGGGAGACGAGAAACGGGCCGGGTCAAGACGAGGTGATTTTTGGCGAGGGACCGGGTGGACGTTTGAGTCGTCAATTTCCAGTGGCTGGAAGGAGGATGAAGAGGCAGGGGCAAAGAGAGGTGGAGGAGAGGAAGTAGAAGTAGAAGTAGGAAAAGAAAAAGAAAAAGATGGGGAAGGAGGAGAGGAAGGCTCCTGAGAGGGTTGGAAGGACACTTTTGCGGTGGATAGATGAAAAGATAAGGGTTTGGATAGGAATAGGAATAGAAATAGGAATAGGAATGAAGATAATTCCAAGTACTTGAAGGTTTGTATTTAAAAAGTTTGTGTTTGTGTATATATATATATATTTTATATGTATATACACAAGCGGTTAAAAAAAAAAAAAATTAAGGAACGGCAGCAACAGCAGCAGCAGTAGTAGCAGCAGCAGACCTAAATGGCAGCAGAAGCGATAAGAAGGGTATGGGACTATTAAGTCTTTTAAGAAAAGGACCGAGAGTAGAATAGAATAAAAGATTTTTTTAGCAATTGACTATTTGAATTTTTCTTAAAAAAAAATAAATAAATAAATAAATAAATAAGAAGAAGAAGAAGAAAAGAATGAAAGTCTTTGACAAAATTAAAAATAAAAAATAAAAATAAAAAATTCTGGGAATGGCGGTTTTGAGGGTTTTCAGCAAACTTTCAGTGACTTTGAAAAGAAAAAAGAAAAAAGAAAAAAGAAAAAAGAAAAAAAAAAAAAAAAAAAAATTCTGGGGGAAAAAAGACAAGACAGGGCTATGACGTGTATACTACCCACGTGACTTAAACGTGATCAAATCTTATCATATTTTATATTATCATAATCATTAGTGTTTGTATGTAAGGTGTAGATTACATCGTTGTCATTATATAAGCAAAACTTTTAAGAGTGTATATATATATATATATATATATTTGGGAGGTAATTACCTCCCCCCCCAAATAATAAAAAAGATAACCACCGGGTTACCACAAAGTAACTTAATCTTTGCGGGATCGGCTGGTAATACTGGGCGGTGGCACAGAAGTCGATGAACCCGAAGAAGCGTCCAAAGAAGTAGTTGAAGAAGAAGAAGAAACACTCTTTTCAATGACCTTGTTCTGCTTCTTGGCCAAATCAGCACGTTTCCAACCACGAACATAAGATTCGATCCAAAAGTTGACAAACAAATATGTCAATGGAGCCAAGTAAACCACATTGAATACCAAAGCGAAAAGTTGGCCAGGTGTTTCGAGACATGGGCAATATTTGCCAGTGGAAGGATTAAAGTAGTACACAAACATGTGAAGCACGGCAAAGGAACCACCAAAAACAAATTGACAAATCTGGGCAGTAGTCAAGGCACGCTTAAGCAGACGTGGAACACTAACCTTAAGTGCAGAAAGAGTGTAGTAAAAGTACATAATAGTGTGGATCAATGAGTTAAAAACAACAAAAATCCAAATGGGAGGTGAAGCAAAACGAATTCCGGCCCACATTGATAACATGGCACCTGCATGATGATAAGTTTGAAGAAGTGAAGACTGGCGGCCCTTAGCAAGAATAATAACAGTATCAAAGACTTCATAAAATTTGGAAAGATAGAAAAAAAAGCCGTAATAAGAAAGACCTTGTTCCCAAATACCATCATTAATATCACACAGACTACGCCAGAAACTGCCGCTGGTACGGCCTGAGGATGAGCCAAGCAGAGTAGCATTACCTGCGACATATTGGGCGAGGGTATCAGGATCTGTGGAAGCGCCGATTGCAGCTTTTGAGAGTTCGAAAACAGTACGGTAGATTGCAGCCGACATACCAGCACAAGTCCAAGCTGAATAAATGCAAAGTCCCATGTTATGAGCCAGGACAAGCCATTTGAATGCCTTTGTTTTAGTAAAGGCTAAAGGTTCCTTATTGGTACGTCGGAAATGGTTGGCAATGTGAACGAGAGTTGCATAAATACCGGCAATGGCGATAGGAACACGAATGTCCATAAAAAATGAAAACCAAGATGCAAATAGAGTGCCTGGGGGAGGACCTTGAGGTAATGCAAGACCAACTGGGAGTTTGAAGGCGTCGAAGTTTGGTGCCGATATGTAGGACGAACCTTTAGATGGAATGCTTGAGTTTGACATTGTTGGGTTGGTAAGAATGAGAAGAGGGGGAGGGGGAAGAAAGGTTTAGTTTGATGATTTGGTGAAAAAAAAATTTTTTTTTTTTGAAAAAAAGAAAAAGAAAAAAAAAGATTGGGTATACTCGAGGGTATTTATACTTTTGTACTTTTTGTCTTTTTTTTTTTGTATATATAGATATATAGATATATATATTTATATAAAATAAATAAATAATAATATTATGGGACCCAACTATTTGATATAAAATAAATTAAAAGGAAATGTGAGAGTATTTTTTTTTTGTTGACTTTTGCGGGACCTTTTTTTTTTTTTGGGGGGGGATTCGAGCGGTGGGTTATACAACACAAAATCGAAGATGGATTTGATTTTTGACAAGATTGTTATTTTTTATATTTATTTTATTTTTTTGATATTGGAAAAAAAAAAATCTCTTTCTTTCTTTCTTTCTTTTTTTTTTTTTATACAATTGATTTTTTAAAAGCTATATACAAACATTTTAATTCTTTATTTTAACTTCTTCTTTAAATATAATAATAATAATAATAATAATTCAAATTAGAATTGGCCTTGTTTGAATTTTCTTCTATTCTTCTATGACTCGCTTTCGTGTAATCGCGTAATCGGGGTTTTTGCAAAAGCGATGTTCTCGGCTTTTAAAAAAAAAAAAAAAAAAAAAATTAAAGAAAAACCATCGGCCCGCCGCATGCAGAATATATAAAAATAAAAAAACAAATAAAAAAAATGCGACTTTTTTTTATTTTTTTTTTTTCTCATTAAATTGAATTCCCCAGATTCAAGTTTTTTTTTTTTTCACTCAATAGTGATAAAATGTTAATAATAAAAAAAAAATAATAATAATAATAAAATGTTCATTTTTGTTTAAAGAAAAAATATGAGTCCCATAAATAAATAATAAAAAAAAAAAAAGAATTGAATTATTTTTTTTTCCCCCTTCTTTATCAAATAATAAGAATCTTTTAACTCTTTTAAATCTATTTTTTTTTTCATTAAATTCTTTCTTTTACAATTTTCTTTTATATTTTTTATATTTAAAAAAAATAAAATCCCTCTGTAAAATCATTCTTTTAAGAAAAAAACAAAAAACAAAAGAAAAAAGAAAAAAACCCTGTTGTTTGCTCTACATTTTTTTTGTTGGGACAAAATGCCTTTCTTTAAGGCTAAAAATTTAATTTTTTAATTTTTTATTTTTCATGACCCATCAAGCTTTTTTTTTTTTTTTTCTATTAAATGTTTTAGTACAATATTTACCGCTTACACTCACACATACATACATACGGCGTTAACCTTCCTGTTACAGCCTAAAATAATAATAATAATAATAAAATACATACAATATAACCCTCAATATATATAACTATTATACAAAACATTCTAAACTGTCTGCCGTCAAAGCCCTAATTGATATTTTTTTATTTTCATCTCTTTTAAAATCAATCAATCAATTAATCTATTAATTAATTAATTGATCAAAAAATAAACTTCCAATTTGGTTTTTTTTTTTTCAAACAACAAATACTTCATTCTCTCAATTCCAAAATCTTTCAAAATCTTAAATCGCACCTTCAATATTCTTCTTACCCCAGTAAAACTATATATATCCCCTGCATGTTACATCTCATCCATCTCCAGTTCTTTTTTTTTTTTTTCTAAAACTGTCACCTGAAAATTTTCAAGAATATCAGTCTCGTATACTACAATTTCACCATCTACATTGATCCCCTTTTCTACTCTTAGAAATACTTCCATTGACAATTTATTTACAAACTTTCCCACCCCCCTCCCACTCTCAAAATGAATCAATCCTTTAAAAATTAACAAAAAGCATTTGGAAGATCTTGATTGCCATTGTTCTATTAAAATTCAATCTTCATTCTTATCATTTTAAATCAATGGCTCAATTACTAAACTCCCCCAAATTGTCATTCTTATAACCTTTTTCTCTAACTCTCTTTTCATAAAAATCAAAGTCTTGTCAATCTTCTTTACTTTAATAGTAAATTAGTTAACATTCTAGGATTCAAAGAAAATAAATCATCTAAATGTCAATGTAGTTTTCTAAATTCTTAGTGAGTTTTTTGTTTCCCTGGGAATCCTTCTTCTCCATACTAAAAAAAAAAAAAATAAAAAAAATAATCCAAATTCTAGTTTGATGAAATTCTACGCAAAGGTATTTCAATTTTTTTTTTAAAAAAAATTCTCATTAAGGTCGTCTTTATGTTATTGGTATTTGTCTGGTAATAATAATAATAATAAAAAATTCAAATGCTTGTCTCGTCACGTCACGGTTCATCTAGTCTCTAAAATTTCCTAATCCACAGGATATCTTTTATTTTCTAGCCTCAACAACTGGCTCCCAGCTCTTAATCTTTGGCTTCACAGTGTTGTAAGGAACGTATGCACCGGGACTGCCAGTGCCATGAATAAGTGTTGGGGGCTCTGGATAAGCACGAATGGTCTTGTGAGCTTCTGAAGTTTGGTTAGGAGGAGTGTCGACACCGTAACCAAGCCAAAAGTGCCAGCCAGCCTCGACTGTGCTCATATTGCCGTAGTAATCCTTGTACTCGACCCATCGTGTTCGCACTAAATTGGGAAAATTAGTAATTCATTCATTTATCAATTTATTTATTAATTCAAAAAAAAAAAAAAAAAAATAAATAAAATAAATAAATAAAATTTTTTTGATAGTTATGTTTGTTGATAACATACTGTGAATTTCGTCTTCTGTATCGTTTTCGAAAAACTTGTTGCCGTAAGCATCAACGCCTACAAGACGGCCTGACTTGATATCACCAATACCGTTCATCTGCTTGAGGGCATTCTTAAATCCGACGCGCTTGACGTTTCTGAGAACTCTGAAAATAGAACTAGACATTGTTTATTTGTTGGTTGATTTGTTGGTTATATGTATTATGTATTAAAACAACAATACGTATAAAAAAAAAAAAGGGGAGGGAAAGGGAAGAAGAAAAACAAAAGGGAAAAAGGGAAATAAAACTTTTGCTGAGAGACCAGCCATTCACTGAGATTTGGTTTTTTTTTTTTTAAGTGTAGGTTAGGAGTAAACCAAGTGCATATATATATATATATATATATAACAAGAATAACGTGGGTTTTGATTGGGTCATGTAAATATGTTATGTAATGTTTATATAATTAATAATAATATTATTTTATTTATATTATTATTATCTCATTATGCCTTGAAATATAAAAAAAAAAAAATAATAATAATTTTTTTTTTTTTGAATTCTCCTCCTCCTCCTCATTTATTTTTGTCTGCCAATTTTGAAATTTCCCCATCAAACTATTTACAATCCTTTTAAAAAAAAAATTCCTTTAATCTGGTCAATTCCAATTTTTGATTAATTTTTTTTATTTATTTCAAGTGAGAGGTTTCCCAGGTAATTTTTTTTTTTTGGATTGTTTTGCGTGGTTTTTATTTTTTTTATTTATTATTTTTATTTAATTATTTTCCTTCTATTTAAATCGTACCACAATGATTACAACAATTCCCCACCACCACCACCATCACTATCACCATAGTCGTCTTTGTAAAATACTTGCAAACAAAGATTCACCTTAAAAAAAAAAGACACTCACAAAAACCTTCTCCTTTCATATATTCTGTCTTTTTTCCCATAATATAATGGCTGATCAAATACCTTTAGATACTCCCGTATGTTTATTATTATTATTCATTTCTAATACCCTTCCCCTCCATAAACTAACCCCACACACCTTACCTCAGAACGACTATCGCGTATACCTCACAAACCTTCGCGAATCTGTCAGCCTACACAAACATGCTCCTAAAAAGGCCCTCGAACCATTCACAGTCAATGGCTTCTCCTCACATTCCCTCCCCTATCTGGGCCCAGAGATTCGTCGCTTCGAATACCATTCTCCAAGCAAAAGAGATATTCTTAAAACCTTACTTCTCCCCCCACAACTACCCATCATGCGGCTCCTCACCGATAAGCTCACCAGAGATTCATGTGAAGAATATAAGCATCTTGACTATAGCCGACTCCCTGCTGACTCTATCTGCTCCCATTTTTACTCTCAGCACATGGCTCGTCTCCGTAAATCTCTTGGCTTGTTTCTACCTGGATCAGAAGCCCTCGAACTTTCTGTCACTGTGTTCCTTGACGACCAAGGATGGCTTTTCCCAGTAAATACCACTGCCGGATTCTTCAACATTGTTTATCTAGTCATCAACAACCTCCCCTATCCAGAACGCTTGCAGCGCAAATTTTTAATCCCAGTCATGCTAATCCCGGACCTTAACCAATGTGCTATGGCAATCGATTACAATAAAGACTCGGAAACAATCGACGAGTATTTTGAAAATTACAACTTCCTGGCCCGTAGTAATGCCGGTATTCTTGACCCCCTGGTCCGCGTGTTTCAGGAAATGTCCCAAAATGGGTTTTACGTCCATGACAATGTCGATTCAACTGTGAGAAAACTGGTCAAAGTCCATTGGACTCATGCCAGCAGCGATATCAACCTCCTCTTGGGCCATTCACCAACTAGCTCTCATTTGACTTTACCCTTGGAAGCAGGAGGAACCCCAATTGATAGCAAGTTTTACATGAAAAAGGTAGAGCCCAAAATTAAAGCTTTGCTCCAAAAAATCGCACAATTCCCTAGTTCCAATAAAAAGCACTGGGACGAATTGAACCGTGCTTATGGCTTCAAAATGACCTCTGCATTACTGGGCTCGCATGCACCTCCCCCATTGGATTTGAGTGACTCGTTCCCCCCAGATCTCAGCAGAATCTTTAAAATGTTATGTCGTGAGCTACGCTTCTTGGACCCAGAGTACATGGGTCAGTTCCCCATTGACAAGGACAGTTTGGAACAACTGCGCCAGACAATCAATAGTCAAACTTCACATCTTATTTTAGGCAATGATTTTTCTCCAAAAGCCTCTTTCACCCCACACCAGCGTTCCTTTTTCTCCCATATCATTCCTATTCTTCCCTACTGGTTCCCCAATAGTAACCCCGTGGTCGAGGTTATATCAAGCATTTCCGTGTTTCTCAAATGTCTAGCGCTCAGTTCATGTCCCGTTACATTTCTTCCTGTATGCTCAACGGTCCTTGCAATTCTTGAAAAACAATACAACCGGTTTGTCGAGGCTGCAGATCAACCTAGTCACTTCCGACTTGACGCCCTGCACCATCTACCGAAAATTGCTCACGCCTGTGGACCCCTAAGAGACTACATGGTGTTTGATCTTTCTCATGCAGAACCCGCAATTATGGGTGAAGATGCCTTGGTATACGATATGGCGCTTATGTACTTACCTGGAGGCTCTCAATGGGTTCATGCAGAAGAGGAGTGCATGGCCCAGTTTTTGGAGCGCATTGCACATCCTCCAAAAGTGGCAGCTGACCGTGACCAGATTGTACGAGAATATTTTTTAAATGATAAAGAAGGAGAAGAACAAGAAGAAGAACAAGAAGAAGATGAAGAAGAAACAAATGTGGATGAGGGACTAGAAGAGTTTGTAAAGACCCAATTTAATGCCATGGATGGCGATAATTCACCAGTTTTACGGTTGCTCAAGAGTGTAGCACTGCCGCAGATCTTACCACCAATTAATTCGGAGAGCTATGTGCGTGTTGACGGTGATATTTTCAAGATTTGTAATCTTGTAGAACGTGTTGATGGACTAAAAAATGGACATGTTTTTGCAGTAGTTCGACAAGTGGAGAACTTAGAATTGTTACCACTATCGCCTACAACCCAAGGGATTTTCGATTATGCAGTGGAAATGGCTTCAGAAACATCACCCAAGTCAACCAAGTATCGTGGGAATATTGGTGTGGGATTATATTCCTATGAGGAACGATTGGGTCCTAAATTGTTGGTGGAGGTTGATAAGAATATGGTTCATTTAATTGTATTAAAATCGGAAAAGGGTCTTTTCTTTATAGACCCCACCATAGCTCTTCAGATTCAAACTCATCAAAAAACAATTTATATTTAATATTAATTTCAATTTCAATTTCAATTTCAATTTCAATTTATATAACTAAATCATTCTAAACAAGAGTAACAAGTTCCTCGGCAGATGTGGGGTGGATCGCAACAACGCTATCAAGATCAGCTTTGGTGGCTCCCATCTTGACAGCCACACCAAAGCCTTGAAGAATTTCACTCGACGAGTCACCAACAATGTGAATGCCCACCACTTTTTCTTCTGGGCCAGCCACCACAACTTTGTAAACTGTGGGGTCCTTTTGTTCCTGGTCCAATGGTGCGTAGTACATGGAGATGAAACGTGACTTGTAAACCTTGACATTCTCGTCGCCATACTCCTTACGGGCTGCAGGCTCTGAGAGACCAATGGATCCAACCTCTGGGTGTGCAAACACAACACTGGGGACATTGACATAATCTTGCTTCTGGTCCTTAAACTCGGGACCACCAAACAGCCGGTTAGACAACTTGCGGCCAGCTGCAATTGCCACAGGAGTCAGATCAACAGGACCTACCACGTCGCCCACACTGTAAATGTTGGGGACAGAAGTGTTTTGGAATTCATCCACCTTGATGGTACCATTTTTCTCATTGACCTCGACACCAGTAACTTCGAGGTTAAGGTGATCCTTCCAAGGTCTGCGGCCGACGGTCCAAATCAAAGAGTCGACATTGACTGAATTTTCCTTTTCAGTTTCTGGGTCCTTGTAAAACACATTGAGAGAACCATCCTCAGCCTTTTCAACTTTGGAAAGATTCGAGATGCCCTTGTGGATTTGGATTCCATGTTTTTCATAAATCTCTGTAATTGTGTCTTGAATCATTGGGTCAAAAGCACGTAGAACCTTATCACCACGAATAAACAGGTGGGTCTCAGTTCCAAGAGCCTTGAAAACACCAGCAAGTTCAACACCAATGTAGCCGGCACCAACAATAGCAACACGACGAGGTTGGGTCTCCAGCTTGAAGAAGCCATCAGATGTGATACCCAGCTCAGAGCCAGGAATATGAGGAGGGATAATTGCAGAGCCACCAGAGGCAATGAGAATATGATCAGCAGTATATTGTTTTACAGACTTGCCTTCAGCATCTGGCTCATTGAGGGCAACCTCGACGGTAGTTTTGTTGATAAACTTTGCCCAGCCAAAAATGTAATCAACGCCTTCGCGCTCGAGGTTGCGGGCATAGATGCCATTGAGGCGCTCAATGTAAGCATCACGCTTGGTCTTAAATTCAGGCCAGTGGAATGACTTGGGGGCAGAGGCAGGGACATCAAAGCCATAATTGGGAGCCTCGGCCAACGACTTGGCCATGGTGGCGGCAGACCACATAACCTTTTTCGGGACGCAACCGACGTTAACGCAGGTGCCACCGAGAGCCTTGCCTTCAATGAGAAGGGTTTTGGCACCATGTTTGGAGGCTCTTCTAGCGCTTGCAACGCCACCGGAGCCACCTCCAATGACAAGGTATTTATAGTGTTCGGGTTGGACTGGGGCCATTGTAGAAGAGAGTCTATTAATTAGAGAGTGATTTGTAAGAGAATTATTTGTAGATGCGAGATGCGCAAGACGACGGGAAGCAACTTGGGATGTTGAAGACAAGCGCGAAAGATTGAGAGGCGAAAAGGCCATTTATATAGAAATGAGAAAGAAGAAAGAAGAAGGGAGGAGGAAGGCGGGAGGAGGAAGGGAAATAATATTGCTGAGAGCAATAAAAATGTAGGTCTTTTATGACTTGTTTCTAAAGGGTAAATTTTATATATATATATAGCTATATAATAAAGAAACCCCGAAAAAAAAAAAAAAAAAAAGGTCTTTTGGCCGGCTGAATTTGTAAGCGAGAGGTGGCAGAGACTTCCAACGTTAAACGGACGGGCTTTCAGGAACTTCGGACTTTAAATTACGTAATAATAGATTATGTAAAATAACGTGACCAGACTCAGGTCTCGATCACCAACCTAAAAAAAAAAAAAAAAAAGTGGTAGCACCACCACCATCATCACATCCACCAACAAAAAATTTCAGACTCTGAAAAAGCTTCTTAATCAATAAACAAAAAAAAAATTAAAAACAAAAAACAAACTCGGAACCCGACATACCTTCCATGAGCTCCGAACAGCAACAACCTCCTCAGCAGCAGACTGGCCAGACTGTGCTATCGTCAACTGCTTCTGCCAATACTGCTAATACTACTACTGCTGCTGCTGCTGCAAGCCCTGCTACTTCTCCTAGTACCACCACAACTACAGCCCAGCCTTCTCCACAACCGGCCACTTCCACTAAATCCACAACAACAACAACAACAACAACAACAACAACAACAACCCAAAGCCCGGCCAGTTCCGTCAGCAAAGGCCCCGATCCCGTGCCAAGCACCGCAGCACCTGCCACCGTGTCATCATCATCATCAATAAAAACGAGTCCAGAACAATTGGCTGTTAGTAATCCATCGGGTTCTAATAACAATACCAATACAACTACTTTTAATAATACTTCCACAAATATTAATAAACCTACAGGACCTGTGACCACACTTTCCCCAGCTACCTCAGGACCCGATGCTGTGACGTCAGCTCCAATCCCAGCTCAATCTATTACTTCCACAACCACAGCATCGACTACGGGAACTTCACCAGCAACAGCTCCAGCAACTTCCTCTAATACAACTACTGCTGCTAATACCACTGCAAATGTCCCCAAAATTCCTGCAACAACCAGTCCAGCTGCTCCAGCTGCTCCAACAGTATCAAAGGCATCAACGGTACCAAATCCTACAGACAATAAACCCGTAGTGACAAGCACATCACAAGCACCAGCACCAGCAATTACAATCAAGTCAGAGCCTGGGTCTGGGTCTGGGTCTGAAAACTCAAACGCGTCAGTAAAGTCAGAACCTGGGTTGGAACCCTCAAACGCGTCAGTCAAGTTAGAGCCTGGGTCCGCGCCTTTGAACGCGTCAGTACCTCAAGAAACAACTTCAACCGAAGCGCCAAAAACAACTACTGCTCCTGCTCCTGCTCCTGCTACTGCAACTGCAACTACTACTGCTCCCGCAACTACTACTGCTCCCGCTCCTGCTCCTGCTCCTGCAACTAATATTGCTACTACTATTGCTACTACTATTGCTACTACTATTGCTACTGCTACTGCTCCTGCTCCTGCTCCTGCTCCTGCTCCTGATCCTGCTCCTGCTCCTGATCCTGCTCCTGCTCCTGATCCTGCTCCTGCTCCTGCTCCTGCTACTGCTACTGCTACTGCTACTGCTCCTGCTACTGCTCCTGCTCCTGCTACTGCTCCTGCTCCTGCTACTGCTACTGCTACTGCTACTGCTCCTGCTACTGCTCCTGCTACTGCTACTGTTCCTGCTATTGCCACTGCAACCTCCACTACTCCTGCTACGGTAACTACTACTGCTCCTAGTACTACTGCTCCTGCTCCTGCTCCTACTGCTCCTGCTCCTACTACTACCTCTCCTGCTTCTACTGCTCCTACTACTACTGCTCCTACTACTATTGCAACTACTACTACTGCTCCTGTTCCAGCTCCTGCTACTGCTCTTGCTTCAACTGCTACTACTCCAGCCACTGTAACTACCACTACTCCTGCTACTGCTACTGCTACTGCTACTGCTACGGTATCTACTGCTGCTAGTGCTACTGCTCCTACTACAACTGCTCCTACTGCTCCTACTCCTGCTCCCACTACAACTGCTCCAACCTCTGCTTCCGCTCCATCTTCAGCAGCGACTAGTACCGCCGATAATGCTTCGGATTCTCTCGAAAATGTCAAGATTGATGAGGATGATATCGACATGAGCATGAGCATCAAGGAAGAAGACGACGACGCCGGCGCCGCCGCCACCTCATCCAAAGACTTGGAAATGCCCGATGCTCCCGGCACTAGTCGCAAACACAGTCGTGATGATGATGACGATGACGACGACGAAGGGTCCGCAGCAAAGAAACCAGCAACTATCTTGCCAGAACTGCCAAACATCACCCGCAAGGACAAAACTTTAATTGAATTTCTTGAAGAGCTTGACGACTATGCACCGATTATCCCTGATGCTGTCACAGACTACTACCTTGCGCGGTCAGGGTTCGAAACAGCCGATCGCAGAATCAAGCGTCTTTTGGCATTGGCCACCCAGAAATTTATTGCTGGCATTGCCGCAGACGCGTATCAGTACTCGCGTATCCGGTCTTCGTCCTCGGTTTCCGCAGCAAACAACCCCCAAGCGCGTGCACGCGCGCTCATGCAAAACATGGCCGGAACCGTGGCGGCAGCTCAGGCAGTTCAGATGGCCAATATGGCAGGTAGCGACGCTGCTGCCGCAGCTGCAGTTGCCGCCGAATCGGGCCAGGAGCAACAGCAACATGCGGCCGCTCAGGCTGCTGCTGCTGCGCAATTGGCGGCTGCGCAAGCTGCACAAGCGGCCCAGGCTGCACAAGCTGCCACGGCTTCTACAGCGCCATCGAATGCAAACAATCAAAGTAAGCTGGTGTTGACAATGGAGGATTTGGGTAGTGCTCTTTCGGAGTATGGTCTTAACATTCGTCGCCCGGATTTCTACCGTTAAATATGTAAAATATTTGTCAATTAATGTAAAACATGGAATTAACTTCAATTTAACTGTTAAACGTTTCAAAAGACCAAAGTTATTGTATCGTATTGTCTACATTTGTGAATATGTTGCTTTTTCCATTGGTTAAAAAGACAAAAAAAAAATCACGTTGTTGGCACAGGTTACATTTTCATGAAAAGAAAATTTTTAAGAAAAGCAAGTTACTGGACGGGATTATTCGAGTCTATCAGTTTCATTATCTTAATCATAAAACACCATCTCTGAGCGTCTACCAACCATCGATACCACAAGTTCAATATGAAGCCTGGTACTAGATCCAACATCTTAAACATGCCATACGAAAAGCCCAAATTTATGAGCATAGAACAAATGTTTGATTTTAACTATTCACTGCGAGATCGAGGGACGGATTCTGACAATGATTCCGAGGATTCCAAAAGTAGTTTTGATTTCAATGCACGGGGGGACAACATATTTACCGAAGATGAGGAAGAAGGCGATATCATGGGGGTTGAACCCCCGACTCCTATTGTTTCTGGAACTGAAGTTTTTACACAGGTGGATCCTAAAGACCTTCAAAGTAAAATAATCAATGCAGTCAACGCGATTGACATTTATGAAATATTCCAGACACCTAAATCCTCATCAAAACTTCTGGCTGAAATAAGTCACCAAGTATTGAGCATTTTTAACAAAAGCCCGCTAGAGCTTATTCCTGAAAAGGTTATGCTAAATGAACAATTAAAAAGGAAAGCCCAGTTATATCTACTGCCAGATAACAATGAGTTATTTGCAACTTATGGAGATTTGGGAGAAACAGGGTTTAATATCTTAAAAGATTATCTGGCATCCAAATATCAGTACAGTGATTTGATAAGAGAAAAAACCAAGCTGGTACAGATTTGGGAAAACAAATCTTTCATGGACCCTGCGCCGTACCTATGGTGGTGGTCATTGTTTTGTACCAATGTTGTTTTTCATATATTTTGTCTTGAAGTCAATGTTCATCTTATTAGGCAATTGAAAAGCCCTCAGGATGTTTCTCTAGACGATGCTTATGACATTGTTCGCAACAAATCTTTACAGAATGAATCGGATACAGATCCTGACGTCGAGAGTAATGGACTTCCAAGCAAAAGACGTAAGCAAAATTAGATTATTTTTGTCATATCAATATTAAGCTACGCTTTTGTCATGGTTCTTTGACAAAATCTTCTATTTTATGGTTAAATGAATCTAGCAAAGCAAAAGATTTATATCAAAAAAGTATTCGCATAGACAGAATTTTTTTCAAAAAAGAGTTTTTTTTTTTTGATTTTTGAATGCGAATTTTCATTGATAAGAAAAGGTGGCTTTCAAAAACTCCAATCACTTTACAGTGATATGGTTCAATCGACTAGTTGTTTTGTTTGAACAGTTTTTTTTAAAAAAATCACGCATAACTCAATTATTTTTGATAGCTGCAGTATCTAAAGATTTATTTCTGGTCATTACGATGGATGAACTGAATTTTTTTTTTTTTGTAGGATTTAAAAGCTACACTTAAAAAAAAAAAAAAAATATGGGCATAAATCAAAGCGAGAACCGAATTTTTGGTTCTCATTAGCTTATCAGAGTTTCATATTTATTTTCAAATTGGCAACATATGCCAAGCCATACGAATTTTTCAAAAATCAGTTTCTTTAACTAACAGTTAAGTTTAATATTCAGACATTCAGTGTCAAATTAGATTGTAACAAACAATAATCCACAAGCCTCCTCCCCCTTACAGACTCTTGTGGGCTGTGGTTAAAACCCCTACTCAGCCATATATATCTTCTTAATGAGTAGACCCACCCCTAACCTCAATCAAAGTATGCATGCAGATACTGAGCCTCCCCACATAATCTTTTCAATAATGTGCAATAACTTTTTTCTTTTCAAAAGTATTTAAATCTGTTTTGATCCCTAAGTTTTATTCACCATTTATAATTCTTTTTTGATAATCATCCTTAACTTACAAAAAAAAAAAAATGGTTCTACACGGTGCTCCTCTTCCTCCAACTTATTCAAGAAACGAAACTTGTGCTGCTTGCCACTTACCTATCACCGGAGACCAGCTGAAATGCCAAAACTGTCCCAATCTCTCGTTCTGTTATCCCTGCTATGATTCTGAAGCCTCCCGCCGTCACACTTATGAACACAACTTTGTACGATACGTTCTCGATGCTCAGACCGGACAACGGTATCCTGCTCATCAAGCAGACTGCGATGTGTGTCAAAAACCAATCACCACCAGCTTTTACATGTGCAAGCCGTGTTTGGATTACGGTGTGTGCGAGCCATGTTTTAAGAATTCCGCAGAGGTTTTAAAGCATCGCAAAACCCATTATTTTTATAAAATTGATGACTTTACATCTCTTAAATTACAAGCGGATCAGATTATTTTACCCAAGCATAACTTTGTTTGTGATGGCGTTAACTGTCGAGGGAAAAATAAACACATTGTGGGCAACATGTATCTTTGTGAAGTATGCACCGACTTTGGTTTATGCGAGGCCTGTGAATTAAGTCCATTAAACGATCACAATGTGACTCATGTTGTTCGGAAATTCAGACATCCAATGTCACAAAAAGATTTTGAGTCAACAAAGCAAAAAATTGCAACAAGAGAAGGACTTGGTGTATACAGTGATGCTTCCCAAAAAGCAATGGTAGCGTTGATGAGATCCAAAATTAATACGACAAACGCATTTAGGTTGGTTTGAATTTGAATTTTTTTTTTTTTTTTTGATAAGAAAAAAAGTTGCAATTTTAAATAACTTCAACATTTAACAATGTTATGGTCCAATGGGCATGCTTTTTGTTAGCACAGTTTTAAAAAAAAACTCACGCATGCCTGAATTATTTTTCTATTTTTTGTTTGTTTGTTTGTTTTTAATCTATCGAATCTTTTAATAAGCTAGTAATTCACATTTGATTATACTTTTTTTATACTTTAAACTGTTGTTTTAATACTCCACAATAATACAACTATATCAAGTTTTATTACACATATTAAGAGAAGCTCTTATTCAATTCATACATTCCAAATGTTCATCGTTTCATGATTATGACTTTATTATAATAAAGTCTAGCCATCGTCATAATAGATTCCCTGAATTATGAGTATCTATTTGCCTAGATAAGAAGCTCTGCGTCCCCTCCAAATAAAAGCTTTCCTCTTCTTTTACAAATCATTTGATTCGAGACAAGAGGATACAGTATCTTATCTTAAGTAGTAACTCCTAAATATACTCGTTCTACACGATTCGCACTTTTTTCTTTCTTCTTAAGTAATTCGTAGCCTAATATAGATATTTCATCAACACCATGAAATTAAGAATATTGTAAAGGAATTCAACTATTGATTTTCTAAGAAATAAATTAATGATGATTTTTTTCAAGAAGTCTTCATCATTTTAATGGAATATATAATGTGAATTTGATTATAGTTAATAGGTATGATTCATTGCAGATTATGGATGGCAAGCTCAGTATCCAAAGATTTATTTTCAGTCATTAAGAGAATCAAATGAATAACGTTTGTAGAATTATAATAAGAACTACAGTCTTAGAATTTAGAGAGTTTGCAACAAAATAATGGGCATGGGTAATCTTAATAACTGAATTTTTTGTTCTCATAACAATAAAAACTCTGATAAGCTGAATAATCTGCTTATCAAAGTTATGTAGTCTTTTTTTTTTTTTTTTTTTCAAATTACAAATGCGCCAAGCCATTATGGATTGAAGAAACTGATTAGTTTCTTTAATTCTAAAATCATGATTTTAGAATTATATAATATCGCTCAAAGTTATATTTCATATTCAGACATTTAGTTCAAATTCATTCATAGAAAACAAAACAAAAAAAAAAAATTTCATAAAAGTTGACTGGTCATTTCAATCATTCTTTTTAGCCTAAGCCCCTCCCCTGCTTGAAACCTGGCTTAGCCATATCTTCATAATGGACGGACCCTAACCTCAATCTCAGCCACCGATACTGAGCCCCTCCACATAATTAAAAAAGAAAAGCTTTTAAACATGTTTTAATCCCAAAGTTTTATTCCCCATTTATAATTCTTTTTTGATAATCATCCTTAACTTACAAAAAAAATGGTTCTACACGGTGCTCCTCTTCCTCCAGCTTATTCAAGAAACGAAACTTGTGTTGCTTGCCACTTACCTATCACCGGAGACCAGCTGAAATGCCAAAACTGTCCCAATCTCTCGTTCTGTTATCCCTGCTATGATTCTGAAGCCTCCCGCCGTCACACTTATGAACACAACTTTGTACGATACGTTCTCGATGCTCAGACCGGACAACGGTATCCTGCTCATCAAGCAGACTGCGATGTGTGTCAAAAACCAATCACCACCAGCTTTTACATGTGCAAGCCGTGTTTGGATTACGGTGTGTGCGAGCCATGTTTTAAGAATTCCGCAGAGGTTTTAAAGCATCGCAAAACCCATTATTTTTATAAAATTGATGACTTTACATCTCTTAAATTACAAGCGGATCAGATTATTTTACCCAAGCATAACTTTGTTTGTGATGGCGTTAACTGTCGAGGGAAAAATAAACACATTGTGGGCAACATGTATCTTTGTGAAGTATGCACCGACTTTGGTTTATGCGAGGCCTGTGAATTAAGTCCATTAAACGATCACAATGTGACTCATGTTGTTCGGAAATTCAGACATCCAATGTCACAAAAAGATTTTGAGTCAACAAAGCAAAAAATTGCAGCAAAAGGGGAGGCTGATGTGACCAATGCAGCTTTTAATAATGGAATGATGACGCTGATGAGAGCCAGAGTTAATGCTACAAACGCATTTGGATTTGCTCAGAATCCAACTCATGGGCAATGGTAAAGTTTTTTTTCGTTTTTTTTTGTTAGTAATTTTAAAAGTTTGATAGTATGTATTGTTTGGAATTAATTTGAGTACAAGTTTTGTTAGTTCAGACCTTTTTAACAATTTCAGACCGGAAACTTGTTATTTATTTTTTTTTTCTTTTTTACTATTAACCATATATCGTGCTATACAAATATTTATTCAAATAAAAATTTAAATTAAATTGAGCCGTTTACCCATCGATATATATATTCGTCAGCTCGATCTCCAAGCTGTTCTCTTAAGTATTTCAGCTCTTCCTTGTTCACGTTTCTGTGATCTCTATAAATACTAAGCTCCACTTTCTTTTGGGAGTCTTTTGTAAACTCACAGAATGTGTAGGGATCCACAATATAAAACCGGTCCTGGAATTCACCCTTCGCTACTTCAAAATTAATGTATGGAAGCACGAAAACAGGGTTGTTAATCTGTTCAACTGGAACCACTCTTCTTTTTACCTTTGGTTTACCAATCCAATATTTTCCCAATATCACATCAGTTCCAAACGTCAATAGATCAATGGTCGGCGTAACAGACTTTAAATCTTCAATAATGTCGACTATTGCAAAGTAATTGGCTTTTTTCACGGTTGGTCGACGAATCGAATAACAAGCAATTAGCTTGGCATAGCTAGATATCGACGAACTTCCCGTTTTTGAAGGCACAATTCTGACTATATTTCGGATTTTTCGTGGCTTTGCTGTGTCCCAATCGGTATCTGTAAATGGTTTCTTGGCATCCATAGTATAATTTGACGTGTTGTGTTTAATTCTTGTAAACCATCTATAGTAATATGTTTCTGGCTTTTCTAACTCAATCTCAATACCATGGCCTTTGTCGGGTAGTAGTGTTAACCCTTTCTTAGTAACAACAGCCAGATCTGTACCAAAGGTGTATTCACCATAATTTAAGACTAGCTGCCTTGCTAAAAACTGCAGATTGCTGTTATTTTCCCTGGTGCTGTATTCCACTATTTCGCTAGAAAGTTTTGTTGCAGGCATTAGTGTTTTTGAAAGTTCAAAAGAGGCGAAGACAACTTTTATGAGATACACTTTAATCATATAGTTGCAAAGTGAGGAAATTGGATGTCGGCTATTTTGTTGAGCACTTTTAACTGTTTTTACAAGCCGTTCTGTCGCATAGGAGCTAAACTTTCTAAGTGTACCTGAGCGTTTTAGATATCCAGCGGAGTGAAGCATTGTATGTAACGGTAGTGTCCCTATAAAAGTATTTTCAGTATAGAAATTAGTTACTATCAGCTCAAAAGCATTAATAACCATTTCCCAACTTTGTTCGAGATCGTTTATATCCACATCATCACATAAATCTGTTGAGTTGTTGTATGACATTAAAACAGACATTTGAGAATATATATCAAGAAGATGATCTAGTTTTCCATCTTTCTCTTTTGGGATTACGTCTTTAAGAACATAAAAGACTTTTAACAGTGCTTCTCTTTGAGCGGCCGATCGCAATCCAAAAGTTTTACTAGACAAAATATTGATATCAAACATATTGTCTTTAAATTCTTGCGGAGTATTATAGTTTAGATGCTTTAAAAACTTGTAGTAAGCTTTGCGCTGTTCAGAATTAAATCGAAATTGAGACAAATCAATATTCTTTGACCCATGTACTGCTTCACTATTTGGGTCCAAAATAATTGAGAGCATTAGTTTTAAGATATTTATAAACTGGACATGCATGATATCGGGCGGAAGCGACCAAGGCAAACTGAAATATTTATATTCAAACATTGGTGAACGGATTTTAAACCCATAGAATGTAGAATGTGTAACGTTTTCATTTTCACAAAGATCATTACACTGTTTTTTAGATGCATATTTTTTGTTTGAAATTTCCCCATTTAACTTAAAATTTGGCTCGATTACTGAGTGGTAATAGTCATTAGAAATATATTTTCCATCAGCTTCATCCAAATTCATATAGTAATTTAGAAAAATTCCATCATTTCTAGATTTTAAAGTTCCATGTGTTTGCTGTGAAAAGTTAAAAATTCCTCTCCCTTCTTTCACTGACGGATTTGCTGGAAAAGTCAAAGGTGATTTAAAAACATTGCATCGAAGACAGCATCTTAAGTTTTCAGGGTACCTGCCACCCATAAGATCAGAAATAGTGAGTATATCGCCAACCGAGTAAAGCCAAAGTGCTCTGACTGTAATCTCTTCCTTATTATACCCGTCATACACTTTAAATCCAAATCTAGACAATGACATAAACTCAGCAATTAATGGGTTAAATACACCATTTGATCGAAACGTTTCATTTTCGTCATCCAGATCCAAACTTTTGTTCATATTTTGACCGTCACGGATATCACAATAATATTGATTTTCCTCTATGCCTGTGGTGTTATTATCGGACGTAGAATGAGGCCTTGCTTTAGGATAAACATAAATGGGAGTTAGATTCTCTTTGGAATTGATTTTCATGCCATTCTCTGCAAGATTAAAAGCACTAATTACATTAAATCCTAAGTCATTACTGGCCGAAACGGGGGCTTCATTCATAACAACAACCATTGGTATATCAATAATCTTTTCCTTATCTGAGCTGTTTTCCTTTTGAAAATATCCAGCTTTCATCATATGAGCAATATGTTCAGGCACATTTTTCTGGTCCTTTTGCGACAGGTCTTTGATAAACCGATTGACATTAATCCATTCCATTTCAGCTGTTTTGGGGTTTTTAAATTTTTCCCTAAATAGCTCTCTAATTGATAATAAAATGCCTTCCACATTTTTATTGTAAGTTGTATCACAAATTGGACATTTCTCTTGTGTATTTGACTCCTTAATTGTACAGGAACAATTCTTAGGACACACAAGAAATCTAGTGACCCCAGTTCCATAATTATTGGGACCACAGCCATTATATCCACTAGCTTTTTGAATTTTGATACTAAGCTTTTCAAAATGATGTTTGAATCTTTCTTTAAAGCCATCAAAAGATGGTACACGATTAATACTATCAAAGATATATTCTAATGAATCACCCCTTGATAAGCCTTTATGCAGGCCTATTATACTGTTGTGATTTTGACACACAAAACTTTTTTCAACCCGTTCATTGGTATTTTTGTTTTTAGGATTTTTATAGGGCTTAGAGTCATCTTGATCCTTTTCTTTAGAATTATTAACCAACTCGTCCATATAACAACCTTTTTTTAAATCATTTAATAAATTAGAAAATGATTGGCGATTTTTATGAAAGTTCGGATCTTCTGGACCTATAAAAACTTGGAAACATGGATCTGTTTTTTTATTTTTTGGATTCATCTTTCTGGTAGTAGAAGAACTGACATTGGATGAAGCGTAACAGACTCTGGGCTTTTTTTTTTTTTGAGGTCCATCATCTATAAGTAGAAGAGGATCTGTGGATAAAAAAGCTGCTTCCAGCCTTTTATTGCGCATTGTCTCACGATATATTTCACATTTTTCAGCCTCGGAAAGCTCGTGCATTCTGGTGAAATTCCTATCACCCAAACGGCGGCCAAGAGAAGATTGATAGGCCTGTAAACTTTTTGTTAAAACAGAAATTCTTGATATTATCACTTCAAACTTACCATTAACAATATTGTTAAAAGTCTGGAGGGGGTGGATTCTTTTAAAGCTGTTTTTAGTTGTTTGGTTAAGTGAAAACTGGTTGTAAATAGAACAAAGAAAACGCGATTATTTTTGGGGTTACATAATTATGTGTTCAGCACTGTTTTAACATAATTATGTAATATTGATAAGAAAAGAGTCCATATTAAACTAAGTTTAAAGAAACAAAAAAAAATAATAATAACAATTTTATTAATGGTGTTTTATTTCAATAATATATACTTCGAATACAATGTTTAATTGTTTTTTTATTTTATTTTATCTTATTTTATTTCAAGTCTTATTGGTAGATAGAGCACGTATAATACAAAAAAAAAAAGTTAAAATAAATGAGAACACCAAAAAGGAAGGCAGTCAATTGAAGAATGTTCAGAGTAAAATTAGTGAGATAAAAACAATCATGATTGAGATTTTTGAAAGTGAGAGAAACTCCATAATTATATTGTATATATTATATAATAAATGGTTATTGTTTTTTTTTCTTTAATAATTAATAAATCTTCTTCATCATCATTAAGTATTTGATAGTTTTTGGTATTTCAATATGAAAAAAGTTGAGAGTTGTTTTTTTCTTTTTTTTTTTTTTTTTTTTTTTTTTTAATTATTTTATTTTATATTTTCATTTATACGCGTAACCACGTGACTAAATTTTCTTTCAACCAAAAGTTAATTTTTTTTTTCAGCACTTTTTTTTTTCTCTCTCTCTTCTACAATTGTTTGCTAGCCACCATCCATCAATTTTTTTTTTTTTATTTTAAAAGTCTTCAAGCATTTAAAATGGTAAGTTCTCAAGCTTTTTTAAATAAAAGTTATTCTTTTTTTTTTTCAAATATCATTAAAAAAACTAACCTTCATTTTTTTCTTTCTCTTTCTTTCTAGACAGACGTGAGCCGATTGCCTCCTTACGTGGCAAATTTGTTTACACCAAGACCACCGCTGCCATATGTGCGACCGGTGGACGTGGCACCGCAACAACGATCGAACCCAAAGATTTCTGGGGTCAGTCAGTACTTGGATCTTCTCAAGGCTGAGAAAGAGTCTACGACATATACACCTACGGAGAGTTGGTATGTGAAGCAGCAGCGGGAGAAGCAAGAGAAGCAAGCTGAACATGTCAAGGAACTAAAACAGGCTGTTCGAAAGTGTAAGTTTAAAAAAAAAAAAAAAAAAAAAAAAGGAGAGGAGATGTGTGTGAAAGAAAGAAAGATTGACTAATGTGGGAATTGTTTTATAGGGAATCCACAGAAAGATCCACAGGTTCGTGGAGACCCGTTCAAGACGATATTTGTTGCGCGGCTGGACTACTCTGTGACTGAATCTGATCTTGAACGGGAGTTTAATCGGTACGGTCCGATTGAGAAGATTCGAGTTGTTCGTGAGACTGAGACAGGGAAGTCTCGAGGGTATGCATTTATTGTGTATGAGCGGGAGAGTGATAGCAAAGGTAAGAAGAGTTGTTGATATTGATGTTGATTTTTTTTTTTTCAATTGGGAACTAACTAACTGGTTTTTTTTTTTTTTTTTTCTTTTACTAAAAAGTCGCTCGAAGTGAATCAAAGGGCAAAGTTATTAAAGGTCGCAAGATTTTGGTAGATGTTGAACGGGGTCGAACAGTTAAGCGATGGTTACCACGACGGTTGGGTGGAGGTCTTGGTGGTCGGCACTATACTCGGGACGCTTTGTTTCGTGATCTTGAAGAGGAGTACAATGGTGGTGGTGGTAGTGGTAGTGGTGGTGGTGGTGGTGGCGGTCGGTCTGAGCGGCGGTCAGGTCGGGGTGATTTCTATAGGGATCGTGATCGTGATCGGGAGAGAGATCGTGACCGTGGGTACCGGTCAAAGCAACAATCGTCTGGTGGAGGTAAAGATGGAGGAGGAGGAGGAGGACGTGAATGGGATAGAGATTTAGAGAGAGAACGTGGAGGTGGTAGTGGTAGTGGTAGTGGTGGAGGAGGACGTGAATGGGATAGAGATAGAGATAGAGATAGGGATAGAGATAGAGATAGGGAAAGAGATGGGGACCGAGGTCGACATGACCGGGGCAGTCGGTACCGTGGTGATCGTGATCGGAGTCCGCGGCGGTCTCATTATTGAAAGGTGAGTTTATGATGTATGTAATAATATTTATATATATAATAAAATGCAATATAAATGAAAAATAAATGAAAAATAAATGAAAAATAAATAAGAAATAAGTGTATATCTATATTGAAAATGAGTTTATATATATATATTTATATATTATATAAGAGGATTATTTAGCAAGCATAATAAATATTTTAAAAAAAAAAAAATTAAAAGTTTAAAGGATCCTCGGTTAGAAATTGATTAAATTCTGTTGACGTTTTTATTTTATAAAATTTTAAAATTTTAAAATTTTAAATATATTTTTTTTTTTCCCTTACCAATCAACCCCCCCCTCCCCCCACTTTTTGAGTGTTAAATAAGCGGACCTTTTCCCTCGAGGAGACCAAAAAGATTTCAATTTTTTTAAATTTATTTTTTTTTTCATTTATTTATTTATTTTTTTTTTCCTCCCTCCATTTCATTTATCAAAGATCTACAGTTTTAAATATCTCTCTTTCTCTCTAAAAAAAAAAAAAAAAAAAATAAAAAAAAACCCAAAATGAATACCCCAAAACTTAAACAAACCATTGAATTGTTATCGGAAGAACTTTTAATTCCGGCCATGTTCCCTCGGTCCACCATTTTATCGACACGTAAGTCCAGTGACCGGTTAAAACTTGCTTTTAAAATCTATCGTCCATCTACATCTTTCCCTTTAGAAGAGGGTTCCCAAAGGGCTTCTATATTTTTTGTAAATGGTAATGGGTTCCCTAAAGAATGTTATGAACCTATGTTTAAGTATCTTGTAGGAGAGCTTAAAAATAAACACAAAATCCAGATCCAATATATTTTGGCAATGGAGCCGGTTAACCAAGGAGCATCAGCAATTGCAAATGAGTATACATTGGGGAATGATATCATGTGGACGGACGGATGGCGGGACGTTGTGGTTGCACATTATTATCTTGGAGTGACAGGGCATCCGAGTGTACAGATGCCGTTGATTGGGGTTGGACATTCGTTTGGAGGGAATACCATGTGAGTATTTATTTATTTATTTATTATATTTTCTCCAATTTGTACGTGGGGAAGAAGAAAAAAAAGAAAAATTTACTAACAGAGCTTTTCTTTTATGTACTTGCTTGCTTACTTATTTACATAGTCTTGGGGCATCTACAATTAATACACAAATGTTTGAAGTTGCAGTTGGAATTGATGCAGTGATTGGTAAGCCGTCTATAGTTGAGGCTGGGTCTCCATTTATTCCATCGTTAAAGCGGAGAGACCGATGGTCAAGTAGGGAAGAGGCATGGAAATCATTAAGAAGGAACCGATTTTATGCACCATGGTGTGAGGAGTCATTTAATAATTATATTCAGTATGGACTTCGAGATCTTCCTACGGTGACGTATCCGATAGATTCAGCAGAGTTAAAGAATTCAGGAGGGGTGACATTGACATGTCCCGTGACACAAGAGATTGCTACATTTTTGAATGTACCTGAAGAAGATGACGATGAAAGGGAATTAAAACGAATGTGTCCTCGAGATTGTTTGGATGCAATACGGGAAAATTCTCGAGTCCCTACACGATTATTTCTTGCAGATATTGGACGTCAGATGTTTCCATTATATGAGAGTGATTTAAAGTTTGGACGATATGGGGTAGTTTCGTATGAAGATTTAGGAGAAAAGGCTACACATAGTGTACCATTTGAAGAGCCAGAGTTGGTGGCTAAGGCAGTGGCTAGGTTTATAGGAGAAAAGCTTAAAGGAAGAATTGAAAGGGCAGTTGTAGGAGATGGGAAGGAGAGGTATAAAGGTGTTCATCCTGTGCATCGACGTCGGCATGCGGAGTTTGTAGCAAGCCGGTTGTCTAAGGTTTGAATGAGTTGAAAGAATTGAATATATTGAAAGAATTTGAATTTAAATGGTTTTAATGATTTTCTATGATTTCATATGATATTTTGTATGTTTAGGACCCTATTAAATTATTGTTTCGCCGGAGTTTTTCCATGGTGCGGCTAGTATTATTTTTTATTTATTTATTTTTTTTGATATACGGCGACCCGGCATGTTTGTGTATAGATGAGAGAAATAGATAGAGAAAGAGAGATTTTTTTAGTCAGAAGAGTTACTAAGAAGAAGAAGAAGTCAGTCAGTCAAAAAGAATGATAGATATAGATATATAGATAGAGAAAGTAAAGGAGGGGAAAAGAAGAAAATGAAAATGAAATACTTTAAAAGTAAAATTTATTTTGTTTTTTTATTTAATTTGAGTGTATATATATATATATATATATATGTATTTTATATATGTATTTTATATATGTATTTTATATATGTATTTTATATATGTATTTTATATATATACGGGGAGTTTCACGGAGATGCAATTTAGTCTAGCAATATTTTATTAAATCGGCAAATGGCGGCTTATGGAAGGGGAAAAAAAAAAAAAAAAAAGGCGGAGAAGAAAAAAAAAAAAAAATCCGGAGTCGGACAAACGGTCTTTTATTTTATTTTATTTTATTTATTATTTTATTTATTATTTTATTTATTATTTTATTTATTATTTTATTTATTATTTTATTTATTATTTTATTTATTATTTTAAAGAGAATTTAAAGAGAATCAAATTTAAAATTTGATTTATTATTATTATTAATTTCAAAAAGTAAAAGAATATAAATATTGTAATTATTAAATTAATTATTAAATTAAGTATTAAAATTTTGTTAATTGAGAATTTTATATTTTTTTTATCATTTTAAAATAAATTACTAATAATGACTAAATACTTACATACACAAGAATTTAACAACTTCCGAGGTCCAACCGAGCGGCTTTTCTTTTTTTTTTTTTAAATTTTAATTTTTTATTTTAATTTTTTTTCAATTTCCTGGGGAAACTTGCAATTGCACTTTTATTTTATTTAATTATTTTTATTATTATTATTATTATTACTCCACACAAACACAAACACACAAATTTATTTATATTTCTGCAAACCATCAAACATCAAACATCAAACATCAAACATTAAACATTAAACATCAATAAAAAATCACCGGACTTTTGCCGGGACTTTTTTTTTTTTTTTTTTTAATAAATAAATAAATAAATTCAATTAAATTAAATTAAATTAAAAAAAAAATTAAATTCGCCACAACGGCCCATCAGACAAAATAAAAAATAAAAATAAAAAAAAAAATTCACACCAGCCAACAAATCAACTAAACCAAACTAACCAACCAACCACTTTAGTCTATCTATACAAAAAATAAAAAAAAAAATCCTTCTAATAAAATAAAATAAAATAAAAACTTGCCGTCCACTGTCCGCAGTCCGCTGTCCGCAGTTCGCTTATGGCCTCCTCACTTTCACTTTCACTTTTATTTCTTCCCTCAGAATTCTATAAAAGCAGACAAAAATCATCTCAATTCTGAATTTTTTTATTTTATTTTACTTTTTTTTTTTAAATCTTTTTTTCTATTTTATTTTTTTTTTTTCTTCTTCCCCACACACACTATCAACCCACCCCACCTTTTCATCAATCTCACAATGTCCTCCGTCCTCGCAAGATCGGCCCTTAGAGCCGCTGCCCGCTCGGCTACCCCCCGCACTGTCGCAAACTCTACCCGTAACTTCCACGCTGCTCGTGCTGTCGCCAATGCTTCCCAAACTTCCATCTTTCAATTCTCTGAAGATGAACTCATGTTCAAGGATACCGTTGCCAAATTTGCCGCCGATGTTGTAGCCCCTCGTGTCCGTGAAATGGATGAAAAGGAAGATATGGACCCCGCTGTTATCCAAGGAATGTTTGATAACGGTCTCATGGGTGTCGAAACTCCTGAAGAATATGGTGGTGCTGGTGCTTCTTTTACCTCGGCTATTCTTGTGGTTGAAGAACTCGCCCGTGTTGACCCCTCCGTCTCTGTCTGCAATGACGTCCACAATACCCTCGTCTCTACCTGTGTTCGTTCTTGGGGTTCTAAGGAACTTAAAGATAAGTATATGCCTATCTTAAACTCTGAACGTGTTGGTTCCTTCTGTCTCTCTGAACCCGTTTCTGGTTCTGATGCTTTTGCCCTTAAGACCCGTGCTACTAAGAATGCTGATGGTGACTATGTTCTTAACGGCTCTAAGATGTGGATCACTAACGCTAAGGAGGCTGGTATCTACCTTGTTTTCGCTAACGTTGCCCCTGAACAAGGCTACAAGGGTATCACCTGTTTTGTTGTTGAAAAGGAATTCCCTGGTTTCTCCATTGCCAAGAAGGAAAAGAAGCTCGGTATCCGTGCTTCCTCTACTTGTGTCCTTAACTTTGACGACGTTGTTGTCCCCAAGGAAAACATTCTTGGTGAACTTGGCAAGGGTTACAAGATTGCCATTGAATGTCTTAACGAAGGCCGTATCGGTATTGCTGCCCAAATGACTGGTCTTGCCATGGGTGCTTTTGAACGTGCCACTTCTTATGCCTTTAACGACCGTAAGCAATTCGGCCAATACATTGGTGACTTCCAAGGTATGCAATTCCAAATGGCTCAAGCTGCTGTTGAAATTGAAGCTGCCCGTCTGCTCCTTTATAACGCCTCTAGAATGAAGGAAAATGGTCTCCCCTTTGTTAAGGAAGCTGCCATGGCTAAGCTTAAGGCTTCTCAAGTCGCTGAACTCGTTGCTTCTAGAGCTGTCGAGTGGATGGGTGGTGTTGGTTTCACCCGTGAGGAAAACCTTGAAAAGTTTTACAGAGATGCTAAGATTGGTGCCATTTATGAAGGTACTACAAACATTCAGCTCCAGACTATTGCCAAGTTCCTTCAAAAGGAGGCCCAGGGCAAATAAATAATTAAATTAACAATTCTTAATTGTCTTTTGCTAGTTTATTATATTAATGAATAATGATTTTAATGATTTTATATATAAAATAAATAAAAATATATCACTTGTACAGAAATTTATTATTTTATTATTTTATCATTTTATTTATTTATTTTTATTTTTAATTTTTTTTAATTTTTTTTAATTTTTTTTAATTTTTTTTAAAATTTATTATTACCCCAGATCTATCTATCTTTTTCTATCTATGCATAAGTCCACTATCAAGTTCTCCATCTTCCATTTTATCATCTTCATTATCTTCATCTTCATCTTCATCATCGTCATCATCTTCTTCTTCATCTTCCATAATAGCACACTCAGAATCACCACTCAAATCAAAATCTAAATCCATTGCCCTTTTAAACCTACCATACCTATCAAGTGCCGTTGCACTACTAGGTGAAAAATGTGCTTCAATAGATGAAATAGATGAAATAGATGATGATAACATCCCCACAGTTCTTCCTTCACCTCCACCTCTTCCACCTCTTCCACCTATTCCTCCTATTCCGACTCCTCCAACTCCATCCTCAGACAATGATGACGATGATGCTCCAGCTCCCATGCTTTCAGATAACCCAGATGAAAACGATGATAATGAGGACGATGATGACGATGATAAAGATGACGATACTGATGACACTGATGATGACCCAAGCCCAACTCCAACTCTAACTCCACCACTAGCCATAGGAACTCCATTTCCACTAATGCTAGTCCCAGAAACACTCCCGGGTTTTAAAAATTCTGTCCGATGAGTGTATCGCTTCATAAACCCAGACTTAAGTGGCGCTGTAGGTATGCCAACTGATCCTTCCACAAACCCAGTCCCTAGACCAGAATGTCCAGAATGTCCAGAATGTCCAGAATGTCCAGAATGTACTCCCAATCCAATTGGAGCCCCAGCAGCATTTGTTCCTACTCTCTTGGGCATCATTAAAGAACCTCCTCCTCCTCCTCCTCCTTGCTGCTGCTGCTGTTGTTGTTGTTGCTGTCTTCCAACACTCGTCCCAAACTGTAGTCCGGCCAATCCTTCATTCCCAATACCACCAGTGCCGCTGCCTCCAAGTGCTGCAACACTGGCCGCCCGTACATGTCGCGTATAAAACGACCGCGGCGAAGGACCCCCAGCTCCAGTTCCAACACCAACTCCTGCATTTTCGTCAGACCCTGCACGTGCACCAAACATCGGCATAGCCGGGGCATCTACAGAAATAAAAGATGTCCTTCGGTGAGACAACCCTCCATTGCTACCGCTTCGACTGCACCGACCACTCCCACTCCCACCTCCGCTGCTGTTACTGCCACTTCTCGCAGCAGCTGCAGCTGCCGTAGATGCAGCCACTGACCCAATGCTCACCGCAGTCACCGTGCTTTGACTGCTGCTCCGGCTGCTGCGAATGCTTCGCATTGCTCCCATACTTAATCCTCTCAAATCCTCATCTCCATCTCTATTTCTATCACCATCTCCATCTTCATCTTCACCATAATCTTCCACCATAGCTTCCTCATTCTCCATATCCATCTTCTTCTTCTTCTTTTCTTCTCTCCCAAAACGGATCGCTCGAGTCCGCCGCCGTCGCTGCTGACTAGGCTTAACATGCCCTGTCTCATCATCATTTTCTTCTTCAGTCAACGCCCCAAACGGTAAACTATCTGTATCTTCATCCTCATCATCGCCATCCATAACGACATCTTCATCTTCATCTTCTTCATCATCATTTTCTTCTTCGTCTCCCTCCTCATCTTCTCCATCACTATCATCAATGACTCCACTCGCATTCATCTGCATTAACGTGCAGGATGACCCTGCTCGTGCAACATCAATTGCCCCCACAGGCTCACCCCCAGCAAGCGCACCTAGCGCTGCAGCAAGTGACTGCCGAGACACGGTCCGCGACATGCCATGCACACCACCAATTGTAGGCGTAATTGCTCCGCTTTCCCCACCGCCAGCACCTGTATTCGAACATCGGCGGCTGCGTGAAGTAGACAACTCATTTGCAACCACTGTTGAGGCCCCCCCAGGGAAATAGCCGTGCATGTGGAACGACTCCGGAGGAGACAAAACCAGCGGCTCGTCACTCACTACCTCCTGGCCACTCAATTGTGGCTGCTGCTGCTGCTGCTGCTGCAGCAGCTGCTGTGATCCACCACCAGCCTCAGCAATAACTGAAGCAGCCACAATCCCCTGAGGAACAAGCCCGGAATTCAGTCCAGCCGTCAGCCCGGTTAAATGAGCGTTCTTGGAGACCGATGATGACGGCAATACCTTGATTCCAATTGTATCTTTGCATACAATCCGTGAATCCAATGAAACCTTGGCGTCGTTGTCGTCGTTGTCGTCGTTGTCGTCGTCTACACTTGTGGCAGCATCAGCCCAGGTCCCACCACTTCTTGTCTTCTGCTGCTCCTTTGCAGGTGCTGGCCGGAACCTAACTACCAAACACGTAATGTTATCGCGCGAGTTGTTATTCAATGCATACCGTACAAGCTTCGCTGATGCCTCGAATGGATCCTCAATGTAGCGCACCTCGTCTACTGCCTGTTGGCTCGAGCACACATCCCACAGCCCGTCGCTTGCCAGAATCGCAAACTCGTCAGCCTCAGGGTCTAGCTCGGTTTGTGTCACATATGGTCGCGCACACACCGCAGGCTTTAGTGGTTGATCTCCCAACGCCCGAGTGACTGTCAAGTTGCCATTCACGCGCCCGTGACGTACAGTGAAATTCCCCGTACCTTGAGGATTCGGAACTGCAGTCACACGCTTGGCCTCAGCGTCGTCTGTGGCTCGGTGCTCGTAACTTAGTGCCCGTGCAGTTCCGCGTGAACAAAGAACAATCCGACTGTCACCGACATTGCACGTGTACAAATAGCGCGCAGAAGATAAAGGTTGTAATGCATGGGTAGTAGTAGTAGAAGTCTGGGTTGCGCCCACAAGGTTTGTTGCCATCATTGCCGGTGCAATGGCGACATTAGGTTGTGGCTGTGGCTGTAATGCTGAGGAACTGTGGCTGTTATTAGTGGTAGTGGTAGTGGTAGTGGTTGCTGCTGCTGCTGCTGCTGCTGCTAAAGCGTGGTGGAGCATGGATGGTGACGCTGGCGATATGCTAGAGTATGAGCGTCGGGTTTTACGTTGGACCGGGTGATTACTAGTGCTGTGACCGTTGCTGTTGTTATTAGAGATTCCTACTGTAGCAGCAATTGGCAAAGGCGGGGCTGCGATGGCCGACGGTGTTAATAATGCTGATGATGATGATGATGACAATGCAGGTTGTGGGGATACAGGCGAAAACGTGCCTGTGCAGAACGGCGGGGAACAAACATTTGGATGCGAAAAAATGCTAGGGGATGAAGATGTCGATAATGATGATAATGATGATGATGATGACGACGACAACGAAGGCGAAGACGACAAAGACAATGACGATGCTGGAGAAGGTGGAGGTGGAAGATGCGAAAGAAATGGAGGAGGTGGTGAGCATGGCCAGTTAGCCATGACCCCACCAAGAGATTCGTCATGCTTGTTGTGGGTCGGTGATATTGCTGATACGAGGGCGACGGCTGCTGTGCATCCACTTTTGGAGTCGTATGCTGGTGCTGTCATGAGCTGTTTGTCAACGTGTTCAAAAACATCTGCCATAATGTCTGCAAAATCCCAGCCAGAGCCAAACAATATTAGAAACTGTTCGATGGTTTTGTGCAATAGTTCTGAGCAATATAACGCTGCGTAGTTGCCTGCATGCCCGTCAAATACAGCACAGTAGACAGACCCAGGTGAGTCCATAAAGTTGTTGATGATGCGGCACGTGTCTTCCATTGACGGACGGAACCGTGGATTGAGAGCTGTTGAAAAAAAGGCCTTGATATATGGTACATGGTGAGGTTGCTGGTTGGATGTGTTTAATGAATGGTTGTTGGTGGTGGCAGTGTTGATGATTGATTTAGTATTGAGATTAGATGATGGTCCAGCAGCAGCGGCGGCAGCAGCAGCTGAAAGAGACGACGCAATCTTTGAAGGGTTGCGATGGTCAGAAGCAGCCATAGTTTAGAGTAGCTGATTTGTGTGTAAATATTTATGAATAAACAAAAACTGGTGGAGGAGTTTTCAGTAAAAAAAAAAAATTGATGATAATGATGATGATGGAGAAAGAAGTGGGTTTTTTTTTTTGATATTTTTATTTAATTTTTATTTTTATTTTATTTTAAATTTTAAATTTAATTTTTTTTTCCACTACAACTTTTTAATGTGTCAGCAGCAGTTTGTTGCCTTTTTTTTATTTTAAAAGGTGGCTGGTAGTGCGACTTTTTTATTTCTTTTTCTTGAAAATAAACTTTTGGTGTGACTTTTTATTTTTTTTTTCTTTACAAAATTTCAATCCCTGAAAAATTCCACAAAGTTTCAATAAATAAATAAAAAGCCTCACAAATTAATTACAAAAGTTTTTGTAATACACAACTTAAAATAAATTTAAATTAAAATGAAATAAATTTAAATTAAATTTAAAATTAACAATTGTTAAGCATTGCATTCTGAAAACCAGCATACAAACTTAAAAAAAAGGCGTCAGCTGCCGGGAAAGTGCAATGGCAGCGACACACAAGCGCCAGGAGAAATCATAGGCAAGCCCAGAGGAAATCACACAGACTAAAAAGTTGCAAAAATAAAAGTAACAAACAATAATGGCACCAAAAGTGCCGTTTCAGTTGTTACACTGAAAAGAACAGATACTACACTTGATCTAAGCCAAAAGGCAAAGAGATTGGGGAAAAAAAAAGGGGATTCTAAGGGGGGAAGCCCTCTATTTATACTTTTTTCTCTCACCCCTCTCCCCTTACAAAAAAAAAAAAAATTGTTTTTTTGTTAAAGGCCAGCTCAGATTTCAGGGTAACTTAACCACACAAACCCCAAATAACCCTAAACACGTTCACATGACCATACCCTAACACTAATGCCCTAAACATTGAGAAACAGTATTAACTCCACAAATACCCCATCCACAAACCGGCCTTAACGACCCGACCAAATAAAAAAAATAAAAATAGAAAAACTCCCCCGACCCGACCCGACCATGACCTCCGCAACTGAAAACATCCCGTCTTCAGAGATTCTCCCAGACGTCTCGCATCTTCTCAAACCTACTTGCTTCCTCACTCTTCCTATCCAAAACCCTCCCCATCCTTTCCCAATCTCTCCACCTGCAGACATTGCAACAACCCCCCTCTTACTTTTCCGGTACCGTTTCTACCGTCACGCTGCAGAACAATGCCGTATCCAACTCCTCGCCCTCGCTTCTGAAACTCCTTCACCTGCTCTTACAGTTACTGACGATGACCCGGACTCTGCCGTAAAGGCCCGCGAATACATTGCAACCGTCTTCCGTCTATGGACCATACGTCTTGCATCTCTACTAATGGCCGGACTTGGCGGCATTGCGCGTGACGAGGCTCGACATCTTAACGACCTCGGCTCTAAAACTTACCGCTCAATGCCTTCGGGTGAGTCGCTTGTCCCCTGGGCCCTCCGTGTGCTGGCCGTGCGAATCCAAGGTGCAGGCGATACTCCTCAAGGTGTCACTCAATTCTACGCATTTACGCGTGAGGCTCGCAGTGCTCTGCAAAGTGCACAACTTTATATCAAACGGCTTTCTCAAACACGAGCTGAAATTGCAGCCAATGGTGGAGATAACGTAGAAAAGGAACTGGAACGAATCGATTCCATAATTAGAAACGCAAAAATCCAATCTCTCAAATGGAAATCAAGAATTAGAAACCTGGGGTTGTATTCAGCAGCAATGCTCATTGGCATGAGAGATACCAAATCCACTATTTCTTTATTACAATCACTTTATGAAGGCATCTCAGTCTCAAAACAAAAAGAAGAGGAAAAGGAAGAAAAGGAAGAAGATAAAACTTTTAATCAAATTAATGCCCAAGAAATCACCCGTTTTAATACCCGTCTAATTTTCACTCTCGCTATGGTTTACTTACAAATCGGAGATTCTATCTCTGCCCGCCAATGGTTTGCCAAAATGCCTTCTGATACCCCAGAAACTCAACACTCCAAAGCCCTTGGCCTTGCAATATGCTCAATTGCTGATGCAGACTGGGATGCCGCAGAAAAGGCTTTAGCTTTAGAGCTCAGCAAATTTCCTTCACCTGAAAAGTCTACTGAAAAAAAAGTAGAAGGAAAAGAAGAAGGAAAAGAAGAAGGAAAAGAAGAAGGAAAAGAAGAAGGAAAAGAAAACACCAAAACTACACGCCCAGTATCTCTCATGGGATCATATTCACCATTCTATGTTGCTCTCACAAATAATCTGAGTGTCGTCAAAATTAACCAAGGCGATCTTCTTGAAGGCATCTCACTTTTGGATAATATGGCTCTCACAGGAGTCATTTCGCCCACAGTCCTTTCTAACCTCTGCATTCTTTTCGATCTCCAGCAAGAACAAGGCCGAAGATTAAAAAATAATCTCCTGACGCAAATCCGTGAACAAGGCTTTCTTGGTCTTGAAAATTATAACTTTCTTCAGTAATAAAAATGCATTAAAAAAAGATTTAAAAAAAAAAAAAAAAAAACCAAATTTCACAATTATACCACACACACACACAAAAAAAAAATAATAAAGTAAACAAAAATCTTAAAGAGGCTACAAGAAAAAAAAACAAAAAAAAGGCCATCAACACACACTATTATTCTCAAACGTCTCTGGTCAAAAAGTTACTAGGAGCAAGACCCATACCAGATCCAAGCACTTCAGCTTCCCACCAACCATCTTCCAATGTCTTCACAATCAGCAACACATCTCCGCTCCGGAAACTTACTTCCTCTTCCATCGTCGTTCTGTAATCGTATTTGGCTCGCGCGTAGAATATAGCAGGCCGTCCATCAAGTGCCACCGTTGGCCAGGTCCCGCGCGGACCCCCGCCCAGCGGCCGGCCTCGCGATTGCTGTGGTTGTTGTTGTGGCTGACTGGCAGGTCCCTGGTTCATACCATAATCCATCCGCATATCCACTGCAGACTTGCTTCGAGGTCTATACTGATCCTGTTGCTGCTGAGAATAACGATGATCACTAACGCCTGTAAATCCATTGCTACCATTGGCCTGACGGAACGGTGTTGGCGAAATGGGCCGGTTCTTGCTAGGGTTTCCCATTGACGGATACTTGCTGTGATAATCGTTCCCATCAAATAACGGAGCCTGTGACGAAGCCACAGAATTGTGCGATCGTTGCGAGTTGCCACGGGTACTTTGCTGTTGCTGCTGTTGCTGCTGTTGTTGCTGTTGCATTATCATGGGATTAGGAGAAGGAGCTCTATTTTGCATCATCATAGGATTAGGAGAAGGAGCTCTATTCTGTATCATCATGGGATTGGGAGAAGAAGCACGGTTCTGCATCATCATAGGATTGGGAGAAGGAGCACGGTTTTGCATCATCATAGGATTAGGAGAAGGAGCTCTGTTCTGCATCATCATTGGGTTCGGTGAAGGAGCTCGGTTATATCCACCATTGCTGTTCCCATTGCCACTACTGTTATACCCTCCACTAGTGTAATACTCGTTACTTGCCATCCGCTTCACCGGCGATGCCGACTGCGATCGCTGGTAAGTATTGGCTTGTTGTTGATAATGGCCCTCGTAGTTACCTCCATGTGCAAGTGCAGAATTGGCCGCCGCAGCAGCTTGCTGGAAATCAGGCTCGTACATTGTGTGAGGCCGCTGCATTGAGTGAATGCCCTGCGGCTGGTACCCAATGCTATTTCTACTACCAGACCCAGACCCAGACCCAGACATTTGACCAGGCCCTGGGGATACTGCACGACGATCCATGGGCGGCGGAGCACTACGGTCATTGCGCAAGTTACTGCCGCCACCGCCACTACCACCACCACCAGAGTTTCTCCCGCTGTTGGCCCGAGGCATCCCGCCAGGTCCCGTGCGCCCACTTTCGTCAAACATCTCGCGCGTTTGGTTCGAGTACTTGTTGGATGCAGCTTGCATCTCGTTTGACGTGAATGCTGGCTGGGGCTTACCAAGCGCAGAGCTTTGCTGATGACGCAAAGTTCCACTTTGTCCGTCCGCTGCCGAAGAAGACCCAGAAGTAGACCGAGGAGGAGGCCCACCTCCAGTCACCTTAAGTTTCTCCAGTGCCAAAATCATCGGATCATCGCGTGCAAAGCTCTTCACTGGTGATGCAGACTTGGACCTCTGTTCAGCAAGATTACGCGTGGGGTTTACCCCAAGATCAAACATATTGTCACCCATTGAAAGAACCATCGATGGCTTAGCTGCATCAATAGCACTGCCCCCATCATTGTTGCTGCCATTATTACCGTTGGAAATAGTCGAGTTATTGCGATTCGTCCCATACAATTCCTGGGGGCGTCTTTGTGGCGAAACATTGCCACTACCACCGCCAGTGCTGAGCGACCCATTACTAGGAGCAGGACTAATTCGTGCCGCAGGCTGAGATGTCCCAACATTTGAGTTGCTATTGTTCAAGTATGGGTTGCGTACAGGCGATGTGTCGGAAGGCGCTGACGCAACCGAAGACGTAGGCGAGCTACCCCCAGCATTCCATCCTTTCCGGACCTCCTTCTTGGCTCGGCTGCGGAAAGGAGATGACCAGGTGCGAGGTTTGGGTTCCTCAGGCTCTGAATTGTGGTGAGATTCCTGGGGTGGCGATTGCAATTCAACAGACTGTTTTTGCTGTTGCTGTTGCTGTTGCTGTTGCTGTTGCTGTTGCTGTTGCTGTTGTTGTTCTTGAGGCTCGTTCAACACTGGAGCTCTAGGAGTCGTAGATTCCTCAGCATCTTGGTAATGCATTCGTGTAGGTGTTCCGTAGCTTGGACTCTCTCTTTTAATTTCAGGTTCTTCTTGATACACATTTTGACGCGAGGGTGAACGTCTATCGCTTGGAAGAGCCATCTGGGGTTGTTGCAAGTTTTGGTCTCGAACGTCATCAGGATGGGGTTGATGATGGTAATGGCCCTTGCCGTTCAAGTCGTGCTCATTATCGGAAACAGATGTGGGGTTTGAGTACATGGACTCTTGGCGGGACATAACTCTTTGAACAGGCGAACTGCGTTGTGACTCAATATAGTCATCGTTGGTAGGCGGGCCCAAATGAGGGATATCAGTTAATGAAAAAGAGTTTTCTTTGCGAGGTTGCTTCTGCTGCTGCTGCTGTTGTTGCTGTTGCTGTTGCTGTTGCTGTTGCTGTTGTTGTTGTTGTTGCTGCTGCTGCTGATTTTGACCTACAAGTGTTGATTGACGGCCGTATGAAACACTCCCAGAATTTAGATAATCAGACCCATTTGCAGACCCTGTAGATCCACCCAACTGTTGCTGCTGATTAGAAACCGATGCATCAGGATTGAAAAACTCTTGTGGATAGTTAGCTTGAGAAATTCTAGGGAAACGAGCCGACTTGTAAGTTCTGCTCGTAGAATCCTGGCTAAATCCATTAAGATAGTTGATAAACTCTGGAGGGTCCAAAATCTCAGATCCTGTCGCATTGTTACGCACAAAAAGCTCATTGTCGGCAAAAACATCGGTACTTTCAAGGGCCACGCGGATACTTTCACAACCTTCGTCATCGCTGACGCAAACAGTCGATACAATATTGGTGTAGGCCCACAAACTAGACTTTAAGAAGTTGACACGCTCCTCTTCAGAGTCTTGGAACTTGTCACAGCAGTCTTTCCAATCCTTAGCCCAGCGGTCGGTTGACTCGGCAAGAACGCGTAATGAGTTTTGATAATCGCGCTTGAATATTTCAACATTAACATGGGCCTTATCAAGCTTTTGGTTGTTGCGCTCAAGTTCCTTGCCCATAAGCAAGTTTTGTTGCGCAAAATACGAGTTAATTTTGTTGCACTCAGATTCGAAACGTTCTCTATGGCGTTCAACAGTCGCATTTTGAGTCTGCTTCGCCTTGGTAAGTTTTTCGGCCAAAGCGGTTGTAGTTTTTGTACGTGACCGAAGAGAACTAGCAAAAGCCATGAGTGGTTCATCAAGTTCGGCTCGAAACTGCGCAGCAGCAGCAGCGTGTGACTTGCCGGCATTTTCAGTGACAATGCGGATCGTGTTCAAGGCCTGCTTGAGAGTTCCGATTTCGTGCGTGCCTAAGGCCTTGCGGGACAAGGCAAGAAGCTTTCGCGCGTACTCGTCCTCAATCGTAGCACGCTCGCGATAAAAGGTGTGTAATTCTTCTGAGGTCATTTTGACGTCAGAGACGTGGTTCAAGAGAACTGGCACGCCATGGTCATCAGGGCCCCAGAAGTTGTTTGCAAAGGAAAATAGCTCCAGCTGGTCTTCAGCTTGTGCCATATTTGGTCTGGGGAGAATTTATTAATTAGATCAATAAGTTTAGATAAACAAAAGTATGATATGAAAAAAAGAGAAGTAGATATTAATATTAATAAGAAATAAGAAAATGGTTGATGAAAATAACAATTAAAAAAAAAATAGATATTTCGACTTTGGTGCAAATATTTAAGAAGAAAAGAAATTGGTAAGTATATAGAATCCAATTAAAAAAAAAAAACTTTCAGGAGTGTTTATTTATGTTTTGTTACTGTTTTCCTCTGGTTATTGCACACCTTTTGGTCCCGGGTTTTGCGCTTGTTTTGTTTACTTTTTTTTTGTTTACGTTGTCGCAGCAGCGACAGTTTCTAAATATTGACAATATTCCTATTTAGGAAATTGTTTTTTTTTCGTTATACGACTAGCCCCGCAGACTTAGCGCTTCAGAATGTTAAAAAGGTTAAAAATAAAAATAAAAATAAAAAAAATAAAAAAATAAAAAAGACTCAGGGACCTTGCACGAAACAAGCCAACAACAAAGTTTCTACTTTCGGTATTTTCACGTGACCTCAGGGTTCGGGTCTCATCGGCACTTTTCAACAATTCCAATATGATTTTGTTACAAAATATATATATTACACATCCCAAACTCTTGTAATAAACGTGTCCTTGATTTTTTTTTTTAAACCTCCAAAATAAAACACAAAAATTATTATTAGGCTTGGCAAATCAACATTTTCAAACCTATCAAGACAAATAATACCACCCCATATATAAGTAAACCATGGTCAATGACCCTAAACCGGCTCTGAGGAACCGCAAAACCGCTGGCGGTTCGGCTAAAAATCAATCTCCTGTGTCTCTATCTCCAAGCCTAGAAGCACGGGCTCGAAAACCTCCTTCAGCACAAGCCGCTGCGGCTGCATTAGCAAGCCACGCTACCCAGCAACAACAACGACCACTAACTCTCACAAATATCTTCATCGCAGGAGCCTTTCTCAAAATCCTACTTTTTTGCGCATACCATTCTACGGATTTTGAAGTCCACAGAAATTGGCTTGCCATTACAGCAAATCTTCCTTTACGGGATTGGTACACAGAAGCAACCTCCCAATGGACACTCGACTACCCTCCCTTCTTCGCGTATTTTGAGTACTACCTCACTTGGTTTGTTCCCAAAGTAGTCAAAGACGATGGTGCTCTCGATATTGTTGAACAAGGGACTTACGGCTGGCCCACAATTGTATTTCAACGCACAACCGTCATTATCACGGAAATTGTGCTTTTCCTCGCACTACAATACTATATCGACACTGCTGGGGAACAACCTGACGACGAAGCTACTTCTTATGCTATTCTCTCGCCAAAACACAGCGATTCAAACAGCGACTCTGAGTCCACTGATTCCCAGGCTGCTACCTCTCTTAAAAGATACCGCAAGCTTCAGGCATTTTCTGTAGCTGCCTCAATCGCCCTTTCACCTGGGCTGCTCATCATCGATCACATACATTTCCAGTACAATGGCTTCATGTATGGCATTTTAATATTTTCTCTCGTCGCTGCTTTAAATAACAAACCACTTCTTTCTGGAGCCCTTTTTGCTATTCTTCTATGCTTTAAACATATTTACCTTTACATCGCTCCTGCATACTTTGTATACTTGCTACGCATTTACGTTCTCGACTCTCCTAAACCACTATCTCGGATATCAAACAGCTCATCAGCACTTTATTCCCCCGTCTGGCCTATTAAAGGAATCAATTGGTCAAACACTGTCCGTCTGGGTGCTGCTGTAATTACTCCTTTCTTTTTAGCTTTTGCTCCATTTGTCTACTATGGCAAAATACCTGCTCTTCTGTCACGTCTCTTCCCTTTCTCGCGTGGCCTTACCCATGCTTACTGGGCACCCAATATTTGGGCTGTTTACTCATTCACAGACCGCATTCTTGGGTTTATCAAGGGCACTAGTATTGCCGGATCCACCCGTGGTATTGTCGGTGACGTCAATTTTAGTGTTTTGCCAGAAATTACCCCTAAACTCACATTTTACCTCACTCTTTTTTACATGATTTTAACTCTTATTCCTCTTTTCCTCTGGCCAACTCGCCATCGCTTCTTGGCTTCGGTGGCTCTCTGTGGCTATGCTTCTTTCTTATTCGGCTGGCACGTCCATGAAAAGGCAATTCTGCTCGTCATTTTCCCCCTCTCATTTGTTGCTCTACGGGATTCCCGTATCCTTTCCACTTTTGTTCCTCTTACGGTCGCCGGTTATATTTCTCTCTTCCCCCTTATTTTTACTTCTGGCGAATCTCTTTTAAAAACAGGATATACTTTTGTCTGGTTTGTCATGTTTCATCTTTCCTTTAAAAATCTCGTTCAAACACGAAAAGTCCAAAGACACATCTTTTTACTCGACAGAGCAGTTCTTATTTACATGGTTGGCTTTGTTCCATTAATGCTCTCAGGATTTGTTTTGGAACGCGTGTTTTCTGGTAAATTTGAATTTGCCTATCTTATGTCAATTAGTGTTTACTGCTCAATCGGCGTTATCGGCTCATGGGCAAGTTTCTCCTGGCTTTACTTTTTTGATGAAGAAATTTGGTTGTAGGTTTAATTTTTTTTTTTTAAAAAAAACATTTGAAATTTATTGTACAGATAAAAAAAACTAATAGAACAAAAAAATAATAATTAATCAACCTTTTTCTTTTTCGACCTATAAGTCGGTTGTTTGCGTGGTAGCTTTCCAAAAGCTAATAAATTCGAATGCAATGTATTCTCGGAATCCTGTGCTTCTGTTGGCTGAGGTGTGTCTTTTCGGGGCTTAGGTTTATTTGAGGCAGAAGCTTGAGAATCTTTGAAAACATGGGGTTCAGAAGGCGATTTGCGACAAGCTGGACAGTACCAGCGACCTTGAAAATCTCGATCACTTGGGTCCAAGCAGGCTTGGTGCATCCACTGATACTTGCAGTCTTTTTTATTATCACATTGTACCATGTCACCAATAGAGCTGTCTCTGTTGCAAATACAATAAAGCCTCTTACGTTTTGGTGGTGCTTTAGACTTAACTGTGGATTCATCTGCCTTTACAGATTTCACTGAAATCTTGAGTGTAGATTTAACAGTAGGTTTAGCAGGAGGTTTGGATGTAGGTTTGGGTACAGTTGTAGGATTCGATTTAGCTGTGGATTTAGCTGTTGATATTGTAGACTTAAAAGTGGATCTAGGGCCAGGTTTAGGTCCAAATTTAGAAGGTGATCTCTTCCCATTATTATCAGCAAAAGACTTTATAATAATTCTCGCAGACTTGGCAGGTAATGATTCAAATGCAGGTAATTCGACAGATTCAGGTTGGGGAGATGCCGAAGCAGACTTGATACCTTCTTTGGCTTTAACATTAGAACGTGGATTGCGAGTTGTTTGTTTTTTAGAGGTAGAATTAGTTTCAGTATCAGCTTCTTCAGGATTTTTCCTCTTTCTCCCCCGAACAGGCTTCTTTTCAGAAAGCTTTTGGGATTCCTTGCCAGGCTCAGACTTAGACTCAGCTGGAAAAGTGCTAGCCTCAGCTTTTACCTCTGTCTTGTTCTCAGATGCTGGTGAGGTATTTGAGCGAAGGATTCTATAGCCAGTTCCTTCATCAGGTACCAGCTTTTTATCAGACACAGCAGGAAAAGACCCAGAATTGGCCTCATGTGCTGACTCATTTTTGGATTCAGAAGCATTCGACCCTTCTTCTTTAGACTTAAAAACAGTTTTGGTATCACCACCCGCCTCACCGGGTAATTCAGAAACCTTGCGTTTACGTCCCCGACCACGACCAGTAGTTTGTTTGACTGGCGTTTCTTTTTTCTCCTGTTCGATAGTTTGTGTAGCATTTTTTTCTAAAGTTTGTGTTTTCTCAGTTTTTGAGTTATCAGTATTTTTTGGTAAAACAGCTTTTGAATTCTCAATTGAAACAGGAACCTGTACTGTGGCAGCAGCAGCAGCAGCAGCAGCAGGAATTGCAGAAGTAACGCCAGTGGTTAATGTAGAAATATAACTAGGCGGATTCTCGACTTTCAGTGAATTTTCAAAAAAAGGCAGAGACAACGAATTCATAGTTTCTGGAAACGGTGTCGGTTGTACTGGAATAAAATTTGGCAGTGAACCATTTGTAGCAATGGTAGGTGCTGCAGCCGGTGATACAATAGTGTCGTTTCCAGGCGGTGACGACTTTAATAAATTTGGATCAATTTCAGCGTTTAATCCAAAAACTGGCTCATCGTCTTTGGTTTCCCCAGTTTCTTTTGATTTTTGCTGAACATTAGGAAGACTTTCTGGAACTGTTTTGGGAGGTCGTCCTCGACCTCGACCTCCTCGACCACCTCGACCACCACGACCACCACGACCGCCTCGACCACCTCTACCACCGCGACCGCCTCGACCACCTCTTGGTGATTCTCCTAAGTCTGTAGTGCTCTTTTTTACTTCTTGGTTTTCTGGACCTGATAAAGTATCTTCTTTTTGTAAAGATTGCTCTGAGGATTCCGACTCACCGGAATTTTTTTGTCGAGTGGGTCGTCCTTTTTTAGGTGAATTTAAATTTTGTGAAATGTCTTGAGCTTTGCGTTTTTTACCAGAAAGCCGGGTTTCAGGTACTTTAGATGCTTTTGATATTTCGGGTGCTTCGGGTGCTTCGGGTGCTTCGGGTGCTTCGGGTGCTTCGGGTGCTTCAGGTACTTCGGGTACTTCAGGAACTTCGAGTGCTTCAGTTGTTGCTATAGTTGCTATAGTTGCTTCCGACTGTTTAGAAGCTTCGAAAGCTTTGGTTGGCTCAAGTGCTTCCGATTCTTCATGGGTTTGAAATATGACAGAAATTTTAGATGCTTCAAGTTCTTCAAGTGCTCCAGGTGTTTCAGACTCTTTAGAGGCCCCAATTGCCTCTAATGGCTCTAATATCTTAGTAGTTTCTGGAACTTCAGGTGTCTCAGATGCTTCTGTCCCTTCTGAAGCTTTTAGTGCCTTTGGAGTTTTTGGAGTTTTGGGGATTTTGGAGGATTTTAGAGTTTTTAAGGTTTTTGGAGTTTTTGGAGTTTTTGGGGTTTTTGGGGTTTTTGGTGCACTGGATGCCTCTGGTGCTTCATTGTCCTTTACCTTTAAATCATTTGACTCTTTTGATTTCTCTGGCACCTCTGGCACTTCTGGCACTTCTGGCACTTCTGGCACTTCTGGCACTTCTGACCCTTTTGACTTTCTTTGTTCTTCCAAAACTACTGGTACTTCTTGTGCTAAATCACCTTTGCTTTCCGGTTTTTCTTTTAAAACAACAGATTCAACCTTGTTTGTATCCGCAATTTCTGTCTTCACTGCAGAAGTATCAATATGATCAGCTTGTTGACCAGGATTATCAAGAATGCTGTTTAAAATAAAACTTTTTTCAATTGTGTTGTCACCACCTTCAGCAGTATTCCCCACACCAACTTTTGTTGCCTCTTCCTCCTCTTCCTCCCTGTCAGTTTCAGCATTTTCTCTATCAACAGGCTCAGGCTTTGGGAGTTTATCTTGTGGATTAACTTCAGCTTCAAAAGACTTAGTTACAGGAGCTGTATCAATGTTAACACCCAAAGTTTGATCTGAAGACAAAACCTTGTTAGAGGATTTGCCGTTCTCAGAATCTTCGTTTTTAGATTCAATAGTATCATTTTCACCATTGAGTAAATTACTAAAAATATTAACAGAAATAGAACTAACTGCTTTAGAAGATTTAGCAGAATCTTCTTCAGTATGTTGATTTTTTTCTTTTGAAACAGTCAAAGTTTGCTCAAAACATGGAAGAACAGAAGCTGATGTAGAAAACTCAGGTTCCTTTTCAAGTGAAACTTTTTTGGGTGAGATTTTCAATGATGCAGTTAGATCTTTTTCTGGAATTTTCTCAGTAATGGGAGAAGTTTCTTGTTGGTCAGTTGATAATTTAATATCGTCACTATTAGATTGGGTAACAGTGACACTAGTAGAAATAACGACTGGCACATTGGCTTTTAGATTTAAGCCCTGGCCCACGCCAGAAAAGTTAAAATTGTTTTCATCTGACTTAGACTGATTCTCAAGAGTAGAAGTTTTAGGAGATGATTGAAAGTCAGGTAAAATAGTTATAGCTGCCTCTAAAGGTTGGGAATCGTTATATGCTTCAAAATCAGATAAAGATATATTTTCCTCTAAAGTCAAAGATGGATGCAATTTATCAGAAGTGTTACCCTGTAAAATTGCAGCTTGGGATTTTAAAGGAGAATCTTGCGGAACATTAGAAGCAATACCATCTTGATGCTTTTTGGTTTCTTCAATAAATGTAGACTGTTGGACTGCCTTTTTATTATTAGTTTCAACTTCTTCAAAATTTTCTGCAAGTGTGGATATTCTTAATTTTGATTTTCGACTTATTGGACCTGGAGTTTCAGCTACACTAATGTTTGGTCTAGATAACTCAATCAAAGAACGATTGGAGCTGTTAAGTGTAGGAGAAGAAGAATCAGTAGGTAGAATAGCATTTGTTGTATTGACAACTGATAAATCCTCGGCATCATTAGCGGTATCAGAAACTTTAGTAAGAATAGACGCTGTTGCTTTTAATTCTGAATCGTTAATTATTGGGCTGAAATCAATCGAGTAAGAGATATCAGATAATTCCGATAATTCAGAATAAATAGAAGGCGAATTTGGAAAAGACGTAGAGTTCATTGGTGCTTTTGAAACAGGCGTTTTCAATCCAGAGGTTGATGGTAGAGTGACTTCAATGGGCTTAGCAGTAGAAACATCGGGGTCTCTAGCTGCATCAGAAGGCTCCACATGTTCAGAAACTTCAGAGACTTCAATTATACTGTAAGAGTTTTCTTTTACTTCCACCACAGATTCGAAGGGTTCATCAGCCCTTACATTTTCCAAGATAATGGAATTATTAACAGGCGAAACATTAGTGTTTTCTTTAGGTTCTTCTGAAGCAATAAGCTCATTAGCTTCAATAGGATCAGGACTATAAATTCTTTCAACCTCAGATTTGGTTTCAGAAGCAGTATCAGCTAGCTTAACATCATCCATAGATTCGGCAGAAATTTTAGCAATTGCTTCTAATTCCTCGCGGTTAACTGGAATCAAGTTTTCAGCATTGTCAAAGTCGTCTAAATCTTTACGCAGTTCAAAAGCTTCACTGTTAGAAACAATTCTTAAACTTTGGGCAGGAGTATCATTGAGTCCAAGATCTTGGGATGGCTCAGCTGTTTCTTTGGAAAGATTCCCTGTCTCAAAAAGTCTGGTTTCAGCTTCAAAATTAATCTGTTTGTTTTCAGAAGCATTACCAAAATCGTCAGGAGAAGGATCTGAAATAGGATCTGAAATAGGCTTGCTTAATGAATAATTTAAATCAATAGCCTGGGGCAAATCATTGACTTCCGTTGTTACTTTTTCAGGGTACACTGAGGATTCTATGGTTTGATCATCATTATCCTCCCCGCCAACCATAGTCTCAGTTTTATTGGAATCACTATTATCTTTGTCATTAGAGAATTTATTGGAATCTGGAGCACTTGTGTGGTGAAGCTCTCGATCAACTTTTAAATTATCTATCTTATTCACAACTGGCCGATAGTTTTGGTCGTTCTCTTCAGTGTATTCCAAAACAGCACTTTCGAAAGGAAAATACGGTTTAGCGTAAGTTTCCAAGTGACTTCCATTATCATGCGAATGCTCTGAAAAGCTTGTCTGAAGAAGGCCCATATCGTGATTATCTTCTAAGGGTGGGGAAACCCCTTGGTGCTCGTTATGTTCAGATTCAGTGGTATCTCCGTCTCCAGGCTGCTCAACAATTTCTTGTTTCAGATCCTTATCAGACTTGTTAACAAAACTAGTACCTTCAGCTTCTAGCATCGGATCAATTACATCTTCAAAAGAATGTGAATCCACTAATGGTGTATTTGCGGGAAAAGAAGGTTGGAATGGTTGATCTTTATTGTTGACTGTAGAGAAAAGAGGTAATTGAGCGTCGTAAGAGGTGACTTGTGAATATTCTCCAGTAACAGGACTATTGACAACGATAAAAGGGCTACCCATAGATTTCGACAAGTTATCCATTTCTGTATCTTTGATAGTGGGATCCGCATAGTTTGCAGTTGTGCTTTCGGATTCAGTAACGCCAAGTGAATAATCGTTTGGTGCTAACAGATCAGCCTCCCGATGAGTAATGGCAGAAGATTCTGGTGATCCAGTTTGCTCATGACTGTGAGAATGGTGACGATTAGAGCTATTAGGGTCTTCAGTAGATTCATGACCATAAATATTTGTATTATTAGAATCTTTGGGAGGATAGGGGTGATGATGAGAATCTTCAAAATATTTTAAGTGATTGTTATAATTAACAAGAGTAGGTGATTTATCTATAGCTGCTGCATCTGTATGGCTATGTTTTTTAGGCAGGTAAGAAGCGACAACGTTAAGACTATCACCAACTTGTTGATCAAATTGCGAATCTAAAATGTTAGTGGTTGAACAAAATATATAATGTGAGAATAAAAAAAATACCTTGAGAAAAATCATGAAGTTGTAATTCCATGTTTTCGGGCTGGTTAGTAACATCGATAAGTCCTTGGTTATGCTGGGACTGTATAGGAGAATTGAAAGCATCAAAATTTGTTGTAGTTTGATTTAGTGTTGTAGGTGAATTTTTTATTGAAGAATCAGAAACCTCCGGAAGGTCATCAGATTCTTTATCTCGGAATTGTTGAGTAGTATTAATCAGGCTGTGGTCTTTATTTTCTTGTTCATGTGATGACTCTTGTAACTGTTCGTCAGAAGGTTTATCCATTTTTTGTCTTGGTAGTTCTTGTGATGACTCGTTTAGTAATTCTTGTTCTACTGGAGTATCTTTAGTTTTGGCTTTAGATGTTTTCCCACGTCCTTTAAAAGCCTTGGTAAAGTGTGCTGGTAAATTTGATGGTTTTGGTGGTTTTTCTTTATCAAATCCAATTAATCCAAGGAAAAAAAGATCCTCAATGACTTTGACTTTTTCTAATTGAGATAGAGCGTCTTCGGCTGGGATATTTCCTTTTTCCATGAGTCGAGGAAGAAGATTGTCGGGCTCTTTGGTAACACCTAAATCAAGAAGCTTCTCAATTACAGCCACTTGACGTTTTAAAAAGGCCTGGTTTTCTTCACTTTCAATGAACTTGACATCAACTTCAAAGTCCTTAGCTGCTGCTTGGCTCGCTCGAGTACGTCGTCTGCCTCTTGGAAGGTTCAAAAGCTGAAAACTGCGCGTGTAGTTACCATGTTCCTTTTCTGGATTTTCCTCATTATTTGATTGAGCTTCTGTTTTGATGTTTAAAGTTTCACTTGTTTTTTTAGATCTTTCTTCTTTCTCATTTTTCTCTTCTTCTTTTTTGGTATTAGGCTCTTCGTCATCAAGAAACTTAAAGAATTCGGAAAAATCATCGTCATCAGAAGATTCCATATCGTGTAGTCTTTTATCTATTAAATTGGTAAGTTCTTCGTCGCTTTGATCTTCTTCTTCGGACGATTGTTCAGCTTCGTTTAAAATCTGGAATGCCTGGAGTGGTGATTTGTTGTATATTTTAAGTTTTTCCAAGTCTTTGGTTATGTCGCTAGTGTCATCTTTGTGTAGATATTCTATCCGTCGAATAAGATCTTTGGCGGCGTCGCTTTTAAGATAAGTTTGTATTCGATGAATCTCAGAGGCAATGTGTAACTGAGAGCTTTCAATTGCAGAATTCATACGAACCGACTCAGCGTAAGAGTTGGAGCGAAGAAACCGAAGGTCACTGTATAGCGATAAAAGTTTAGGGAGTGGGTCATGTATGGAATCATCAAAGTCGCCAGCTTCTGAGTCACATAAAGATCTAACATTATTGTTAATGTCGGTAGATGTATCCACAGGGTCGTATTCTTGGTCCTGGAGCAACTGCAAGATTATTACATCAAGCTCCTGAGCTGTTTGGATAGCGCGCGTGTTAAGAGACGCTATGAGCGTGCCGGATCTCTGAAAGTCGTGCGGCAAAGAGTCCATCGTATAAAAAAATTTATATTATAATAGACTCAGCCACTTTTAAATGATAAGTCATTGGTATTAAATCGCTGGGTCTGATTTTTCCCTGAAAACAAGTAGATTATTGATGATGACGTTGATGTTATTGTTGTTGTTGTGATGTTTAAAAAGTTTGGTGCATGTCCGTGTTTTTTTTTTTGTGGTTTCCTGTCTGGTAGTGCTTTAAAAACATGTCCTTGTTTAAGTTTAAGTTGTAAAAAATTATAAAATCTACAAATTTTAATATTATGTTTTGTTACATTTTAAGTCTTGAGTCTCAAGTCTTATTTGTGTTACATTACAATTAGACCCTACTAAACCGAAAATTTTTTTGATTTTCTCTAAATTTTTCAAAGGAAATCCTCCGTCAGATAAAAAAAATTTTGTTTGTTCCGACCCAATTTTCCTGAAAACCATATTTCGGAAAAGAATCCAAACACAAAATTTTCAAGATTTCTATCAGAAAAAATGCTTAGATTGGTTTCCCAAGCCTCCAAGAGAGGACTCATTCCTTTGAGACAGTCGGTGGCTTCAGCTCCCCTTCTCAGATTTAACTCGATTGCCAGCGCGCAGCGACTTTTTTCCACCTTTAATGCGTGTCAGTACGATGATCGTGGTGGTAACTCTCGCAACCGTTCTTTTGACTATTCTGACAGAAGTGACCGTGGCGGATATGGAGGCTATAAAAACTACAAAAACAATAACAATAACAATTTCCGCGGCTCCGGTCGTGGTGGCCGCGGTGGCAACCAGAGCAAAAACGGATCTAACAGACGTGGCAACGGCCAATCGGACTTTGATGCGTCGCGTAATACTTCGCGTCGCGGCGGTCCTGAGGGAGACGGCCTTCTCGGAAAGGAGGACTACGAGCGTGTTAGAGAGCTTGATGGTGTGAGCCTTATCGAACTTGCTAAGCAGGATGCTGCTGCTGCCGGTGGCGAGGTGGAAGAAGACACTGGCGACTTTTCCAAGGTCAAGACCGAACTCTTGTCTAAACACAAGATTCTGTCCCAAGTTCTTGTCAACTCATTGACAGAAAACCGCAAGTATTTGTCTTTGACTGAAGTCCAGTCTCAAACCATTGTGCCCATCCTTAGAGGTGACTCTGTGGTTGTGCGTGCAAAGACTGGTACTGGTAAGACTGCCGCCTTTTCTATTCCTGCGATCCAGCTTGTTTTGGACGACATCATTACCACAATCAAGGCCAAGAAGGAAGGTACCTTTGACAAAGAGACTCACCAGGGTGTCAAGGCTATTATTGTTTCACCCACCAGAGAACTTGCTCAGCAAATTGCTGATGAGATTTCTGCTATTACCGCCTACGGTCCCATGAGAGATATTCTTACAGTGTGTCTTGTTGGTGGTGTGTCCCGTGCTCCTCAGCTTAGACACGCTTTTGGTGGATCCAAGGTTGCCGACATTATTGTTGCAACTCCTGGTAGACTTTACGACGTGCTCCAAGAGCCTGGTGTTGGCGATCACTTTAAAAACATTAAAATTAAGGTTCTCGATGAAGCCGACCGTCTTTTGGACATTGGCTTTTCTGAACAGCTCCAAGATATTGATAGCGCGCTAAGTAATTTCGCTAAGGACGGTCAGTACCAGACTCTTTTATTCTCTGCTACTATTGACCGCCGTGTGCGTGACTTTGCTCGCATGGAGCTGGGTCGCAATGCCAAGGTTGTTGATACTGTTTCTGCTGATGAACCCGAAGCCCACACTCTTGTTGAGCAAAAGGCTATTATCTGTGATTCATGGAACGAGGTTTATCCTGCTACATATCTTGAAGTTTCGGACGCTCTTAAGGGTGTTATTGCCGAGAATTCTGAGAAGCACGAGGGTGACGACATGAAGGATGACAAGATTTTTAAGAGCATTATCTTTATGCCCACTGTTCCTTCCGTGGATCACTTTGCTCAAGTTCTGAGAGCTGCTTTTAAGCTTGACGAGGATCTTGCTAAAGAACTCAAACCCCGTGTGTACACTCTTCACGGTCAGATGACTCAGGCTGCCCGCCAGCGTGCTGCTGATGAGTTTAGACGTCTTAAAACACCCACTATTTTGATCACAACAGATGTTGTTGCTCGTGGTATGGATTTCCCCAGCGTCAGCCATGTTTTTCAAATGGGATCTCCTCGTGATGTTGCTTCCTACGTGCACCGTATTGGTCGTACTGGTAGAATTGGCCACCACGGTAATGCCTCACTTATTATCACCAAGTATGAGAAACAATACTTGAAGCTGCTGGAAAACCGCAAGATCAAGATGAAGGATGTTCGTGTATTTAAGCACTCTGTTGCCGAGGAGGGTGAAGAAGAGGGAAGCAACCCTGTTGCTGAGCACCAGTCCCGTCTTAAGACTGCTTTCGACTTTGTTGATGCCGATGCTGAAGAGACAATTAAGTTGGTTGAGGGTCTGTTAAATTCATATGCATACATGCGCAAGGACTTTGGTGTCAATGGCCGCGACTATTTGGACGCCCATAATCAATTTACTCAGCTGTTTAACATTAAGGATCACGAGTGGAGTCCCAGAGTTAAGGAAGCTTGGCGATTCAATAACGGTGGCTCACAGCGTGCTGGATTCTGGGATTCGCGTGGCCGTGGAGGCAACAACAGTGGTCGTGGAGGTTACCGCAGTGGCGATTATAATGAAAACACTTCTCGGTTTGCTTCGCGCAACTACAAAAATAATGATCGCCGCGATAACAACAGCAAACGCAACTTTGATCGTCGTTACTAAATGAAACTCAAATAAAAAAGAAAAAAAAATCTTTTTCTTTTATTTAATGACTGCATCTGTATATAATGGTTTTCTCTTTTTTTTATATATATCCCTTTAATCTGTATGAGTTTGTAAATAGGAATGTTTATTATTATTAGTGTCTTTTTTTTTCATTTTTGTGTTTATAAAGTTATTATATTACTACTGAGGAATCTGGTGGTGGTTATAGCCTTGATGAGAAGTCTGGGGCATGGACTGAACCTGATGGATGGGTTGTTGCTGTTGTTGCGGAGAAATCTGCTGTTTGTTTTGAGGAGGAGGAATTTGCTGGGAGACTTGTTGAATTGGAGGCTGCTGTTGCTGTTGCTGTTGCTGGGGGATTTGTTGCTGCTGCTGCGGTTGAGGTTGAGGTTGCTGCTGTTGTTGCTGACGTTGGTAATTTTGAAGAAACTCTTTGAGTGACTCGTAAATCAGGTTGTGATCAAGATCTTGACGAAGACCCGAGACTGAAATAACAGCAACAATGCCCTCAGTTCCACGGACGCGAATGGGGAACCCGCCGCCATGAGTGGCGTAGTCCTTTTCATCGATAAAAAAGGCCTGTTCTAGCGATTTGTTTTGACGGCGCAGCTTGCAGCCCATGTAGAAAGATGAGCGGCCAAATCGAATGACGGTACGACGCTTACGTTCGACCCATTCCTGGTTGTCAAGATTGGTACCGGGCTTGGAAAGCGCGTGGAAAAAAAGGTGACCTGAAATGGAGGTAATGTTGATGGCAATGGGTGCCGCGTGACTCTGTGCTCGACGGCGGATAATAGAGCCAATTTCCCAAGCCACATCTGAGTTAAAAGCGGGTAAGATTGTTTCTTGTTCGTGACGATCCAGGACGTCGAGCTAGAAATAGCAGTGATGATAGATGTTGATGTTAGAGACTGACTGATATAATTTAGGGAGGGGATATACAAGAAATTTCAAAAAAAAAAAAAAACATACGTCCATATCAAAAGAGTTGGGGGCCATTATTCTCCTTTCTGTGGGTGATCGGAGATCAATAGAGTCAAAAAATTCTTGAAAGAGATCCACTTTGATGGAAGGAAACTATCAAAAAAGTTAAACGGAAAGAGTTTGGAGTAATAAAAAAAAAAAAGGTTTCCGAAAAGCGTGTTTGGGGTTGTTTTAGTTAGGCGATGTGGGAACAGAGTTTGTTTTTTTTTTTTAAGGCTGGCTGGCTGGCTGGCTGGCTGGTTTGTTTTTTTTTTTTTTTTTTAGGGAGACAAAATGGTTAGACGCGTACAGGTGCAAAATTATGAATAAACAAAAAACACGCACGTGCCAATGAAAAGGATCATAAGCCCATAAATAAAATGATTGAAATCATGGAAATTAGAGTAATTGAAGTAATTGGAGTAATTTTTTTTATTTTTCTTTTGAAATCATTAAAAACCTTTTGTTTAAATTTCCAAAATACATTTTGATTTTGACGCTTAAAAACACCAATTTGCCCAACTTCTGAGACCCGCATAAGTACATACCGTTTTGATATGTGTTTGTGTATATTTGGGTCCTAAGTATATCCAAGACCTGATGAGTAATTTTTCACGTGTGGACCTTTATTTATTTTTATTTATTTTTTTTTTCTTGTTTCTTCACTGCTCAAAACTTTTCTCTTTAAAGACCCTTGAAAAAAAATACACATCAACCAAATAAAACTTTTCCATTTCTTAAGAAAATCACAAATGGACACCCAGACTGAATCTCACCAAGAGCCTGAAACTGAAAAGCCTGTCTTAGTATCAGCTAATCAAGAAGCCACTTCAATTAATTCTGTTGAATCACAGCAGCAACAGCAACAGCAGCAGCAACAACAACAACAACAACTACTACAACAACAACAACTACTACAACAACAACAACTACTACAACAACAACCATCAGCGTACCAACTCAACACGGCACTATTACGACCACAACTGGGCAATAACGATATCGGTGACAGCAAAGATGGAGCATACACTCGGCGATGGCTGAACCAGGAAGTCACACCAGCATTACTAGAAGGCATGCGATACCTTGCACGTGAAAAGTGAGTGTTGTGAGAAAATTAACAATAATTAGGATTAATGAGATCTAGATCTGATCAGAATAATAATACTAACGGTTATCTAGACCACAGGATCCTTTGCGTGCTCTCGGTCAGTATTTACTGAACAAAGCTGACCAGAAATACCAATCTGCCAATGGCACTAGTAACGGCAGCAGTAACGGTACTATCACTCCCAGTACTACAGCTCCTACTACTATTCCAACTACTACTACAACTACCAAGCTTAATGACACTCCAATAACCAATACACCTGAAATTGAACCCATTCTTGACGATTAGGTATAATGAAAAGAAGAAGAAAAAAAATTATTTCATTTTAAACCTGATCAAATCAGAAAAATATTATTATTTATCACATTACGTATTCATCATTTCTTGTTTTTGTTGCTGCTTTTTTTTTCTTACCCACTTTTCACCACTCATCATTGCTATCATGGGCCTTGCGATGAACTCCGGCAATGAATAAACTAAGAGCAGTACCGCGCGACGTGCCACGGTACTTGTGCCAGTACTCGAGTGCCTCAATTGGCACGGGTACCGACTCTGGGAGCCCCATGACGTGATGGACATGATGGTAGACGGCCTGTTTGCGCGAGGCCACCGTCATGTGTTGATCAGCATCCAATAGACGGGCAAACAGCTGTTGCGATTGGTGTGTATTATGGAGAGCCTGCAAGCTTCCCTTTCTGCTGCTATGGATGGTGCTTTCGACAATGGCTAACGCAGAGGTCGCGTGCGCATCGCCAAAACGGGCCTGCAAGTACCACCCCAGAATTTCACCCAGCTCGTCCTGGTCAGTGTAACGGCCTTGCACCGTGAAGTCGTAGAGCATTCGGAGGGAAGAACTGGCGCTATGGAGCATTGTTTGTTTTGAAATTTTTTTGATGGGAATTTTGTGTGTTTATATAAAAATCCAAAAGAAATTTAATGAAAAAAAATTTTACAAAATCTGGGGAATAAAAAAAAGGAGGAATTCCGTCTAGTATTTATACATTTATTCAAACAACTGTTGTTCTAAAGCTACTATGACATATCAATTTATCTCAACTGAGATTAATTTTTTGACACGACCAGTGTGTTTTTGTCGGGTCGTTAAGGAACCGCCGCATAGTTTAAGCGGAGCTTTTCAGTCATCCCCCCACTTTGCCCGTCTTAAACAGCACACACCCCTGTCATACCGTTTTCGCTGTCCGATGCCTCAATTTTTTTTTTTTTTTCAGAACACCATCACAGAAACGTCTTAAGTCTCATAACTGGTTCTGTTCTTATGGCCATGGCCAGTGGCAGCACTGTAATTCACTGGTCGTTTCTTTTTCTTGATCTCAACATTGTGGCTCTCTCCAGTCCTCAGTCTAATCTCCTGTTTCTTCGTTCTCAAATATCGTTTCTGCTCAGCTTCATATTTCATCTCCATTTCTTGTCTTAACTCAGCCTTCCTCATCAAATCTTCCCTTACTTCCAAGTATGTCTCGCGCATATAAAGTGCAAACATCTCCTCAGCCTGCTCTTGAGGCATCCCCCGAACTCGCTGCCATTCTCGCAACCACTGTTGTCCATATGTTTGGGGACTTCCAAAGCTGTTGGGAGTGACATCCCGAGTATCTTGGAAAAAATCTGTACGGTGTATCAAAAGCTCTGTGGTAGTTTCAACATTTGTTAAATAATCCAAGTCCTCTTCGTTTAAAATCATAACCAACTTTTCTTGCTCAGGTACTTGCTGTGTCCCCAAAAGGAAACCATCAGGGCTCTTGTACCTTTCAGTCAAATCATTCGAAACTTTGGTATGCAATACATTCAGCCATGGCATCTCAGAGTAAACTCCAGATAATGGGAACAAATAGAACCCATTGTCACGGAGTTTCTTTGACTTCTTCTCGCTTTCCGCTGATTTTTCCCCAAAATGTTTTAATGGCTTATGCTCAATTGACTGTAGTTTTAAATTTGTATCGGTATCAGTATCATCAGCTTCGCCATCAGCTTGAGCCTCTTCTTCTTCATCCTCTTCCTCAACTTCTGCCAACCCATCCTCTTCCTTACTACTGCTTCCTCCCTCGTTATTGGTTCCACCTTCCTCTCCCCCTTCTTCATTTGTTGGAACTCTTATATTAGTCAGACTACTACTACCCGAACTAATGCTGTCCTTGCTCCCACGTCTCCGGTACCGTTTGGGGAAAAACAAATCCTCAAGAGACGCTCCCAGTGGTTTCCATGGCTTGTCGACCCCAGCCTTGCCAGACATGACTAGCATCATATTGTTGACTTCCAAAGACATGGCACGGCTGCCAGCCCCACCATTATCGTTGCCACTAACAGCTTCAGTACCTCCAGCCTTGCGTGCGGCGGCTGCTGCCGTCGTTGATCCACGGTTGCGATTGGGTTTGCCAAAGAGGCTAGCAAGGGTCCCACCACCACCAGAGCTTGTACTACTCCCGCTAACAGTCCCAACATTCTTCTTCCCTCCAAAAAAACTAATTGGCAGTGTTGGAGACGTGTCCGTTGTTGAGATCGAAGTCGATCTTGGGTAGGAAAACTTCAGACTTTCTCGTAGGCTGTTGCTTGCGCTGGTTGTGTTGCTGCTTCCTCCACCTCCACTGCCTGTTGAAGTCACAGGCACTGGGATCAGTACCGGCGACCCATTCTCCCCACCACCATTCCCGCTGCCACTATCATCACCATCATTCCCTGTACTAAAACTTGATTTTCGACTGAATTCGTTGACACTGCCAATCCAAAATGTGCTATTGTTGGGTCCAGTTTGTAAGGCCAACGTAAACCTTTTTGGTGCTAATGCTGTTGTAGTTGAAGTTGAAGTTGAAATTGAATTTGAATTTGAATTTCTTAGTGGTAGTGGTGGTGATGTCACTGCTGTTGCTGACGGAGTTTGGCTGACAACACTCTCTCCAGTTGAGGCGCCTAGGGTATTTTCCGGCACACCGGACTCCTCTAAAATCACTATCGCCTCTTCATCCTCCTCCTTCGGGTTCTTTTCAACGGCAAATGTGACCAATTTTCTGCTTCCCGATGTATTCCTGTTAGTTCTTGTGCTGCCCTTTTCTACTAATGCCACCTTAGATTGGACATTATCAGTTTCTTGGCCCTTGCTTATCGATAACAAATTATCGACCACACCCTGACTGTAATCACTAAGAACACCAAACCTTCGACCACTGTCGTTGCATGGTTTCGGTTTCTTAATACGCTTCTTCTTCTCCTGCTCGGACTCTTGCACCGGTCCATGATCCTGTTCCATAAGGGCTACCCGGTCGTGCGCGCTCGCAACATCCTGTGCACTCACTATACCTCCTACAGGTGCATTTCCAAATGTTGCTTGCAGAAATAACCTCCGTGCCCGTCGTTTGCGCCGTCCGCTGAGTACAGGATGCGTCAGCGCTAGTAGCTGTGTCGCCCGGAATCCACCCAGTTGTTGGTTCTTGACATAACTCACACCTTCAAAAGTTTCAAGCTCAGGTATAGTACCATGCCCAAACAGCCGAGGCTGCGGCTTGCAAGTTCGCGATAGTGGTGACGGAGACGACGATGAAGATGACGGCCCCATGTCTGTTGACGAGCCTGAGGATGACCCTGGAGGCGGCCCCTCAATCCATGAAGCCGGTTGTAGATACTCTTTAAAAATCATTGGCTCTTGTAACACCATTTTTCTTTTATGAATTATTAAAAAAGAATCCTGATTTATGTGGAAACTGTGTAAACGTAGAAGTAAAAAAAAAATTGAGAAAAAAAGGTTTAAAAAAAATCGATGTTTTGCCCCATTTCCATATATACAAACAAAAAAATTAAAACCACAAAAAATAAAAACTTCCAAAATCAAACTAAAAGCGCTCCTTGGTGCCATCACCCAGCTCCTGGCTGTCTAGCGTCTCTACACCCCATTCACTAATCACACCAAGCACAGACACTCTCCAGCCCCGGTACAGCGTTTCAACTCCGACCCGGCCAGTCACAACTGACCACAAAGTCCCCAGGACACCCTCATACTGCACAGGTTTCACAATCAGATCCCGGGGAGCCAGCTTCCGTGGCTGTCTTCGACGAGCAAGTCCAGTTCCTGTAACAGTCCGTGTTCTCTTGCGCGTCGAATTAGCAGACGATCTGTTGCTTACCACACTAGAATCGCTCACCGCGCCACTATCGCCATCTCCTGTTCCGCTAGAAGATCCAGTCAATCCGCCGGTAGTCAGAATGCCAAAAGTATTGCCCTCCGTCAGGTAGTCCATATGCGAGCGGCGCACCATCGTCTCCAAAGGTAACTTTACACACACTTCAAGCATTGTCCCGGTCAAGCTTAAAGCCCCATGCAGTACAGGCGATACAATCTTGTCAACACCAAGAACAACATGGATCACGTATCCAGCAGATTTGCGTACAAGTGACGTGGCACTGGCATACAAAATTGTAGGCAAAATCACCGGCAAGGGACACGTCCACGAGTCCAGCTGCGCAATCGATGTCCGCACAGATCGTGGGTCAGTCCCTAGTGTCGTTGTCACGAGTCGTGTGCGAATGATGCTTAAAGGAGCAAGAATCACAGCCGTAGTAGTAGCAGCTGCAACAACTGTCAGCAGTGACACTCCTGGGGTAGGAGAGTATGCCACATCCAAAAAGTGGGGATCAGGAACGCCAGTCAATGATGCGTAGAACCCAGAAAGCCAGGCCTCAATCGTCACTTGCAGAGCGTCCATGATAAATGATGTATTTACAGCTCTCCAAATTCCGCGCAGACCGTCACGACCATGGATTGCAGAAATAAGGTCTGTAAAGTCTGTACTCAAAGGCTGCACACGGTTCACGTACCGTGCAAACTGCCGTCGTCGCTCGCGTCGCGAAATTTGTGCAGCTGTAACTGAAACATCCTTAGTCTCACTCTTGACCGAGTTTCGACGCGATTTAGTATCATCCGGACTACGAATTCCACTAGGACCTTTACCACGAGAACGGGACCCAGCAGGACCACGCGGTGAGTGTGTGCGTACATTTCGAGTTGACAAGTCTTCTCCAACAGATGTAAAGTAACTCATCTCATCATCAATTTCTTCTTCAGCATCATCCAACTCGTAGCCATCATTTTCCCGTCGTCGAGATGCGCTACTGTTACGGAATTCAAGTGAGCTGCCCCCGTGACGGCTACCATATCGGGATTTCTTATTGTTGTCATATAAATCTTCATCCCCAGAAACATTACCAGCACCCTCTTCAGCCTCTTCTTCTTCGTTCTCGTCAACTTCAAAAAAAGTCGGATCTTCGGTTTCAGCCCAATCACCGACCTGCAAAAGTAACCGGCCCACGCGCCAGGGTTGCGAAATAAAAATTTTGCCATACAGTCGAATCATCGACTTGAGAAGTTCAGTAACAGTATCATTTGCGGAGCCCATATCCAAATAATCGTAATCGCCTTTCTCAATACGGCCCGTCGCAATCGGCCCGCCACCAGGACTTGAACGGGATCCAGCAATGCTGCGTGTGAAGGATGAAAGTGCTGAGGCAGCTGACGAACCACTGTTTCCAGAACCAGACCCCCCAGAGATTCCAGAAACAAGACCACCACTAGTGCTATTTCCCACACCACTATTAGTTGCTGATGACACAATGGTGGCGCCAGTGTAGTTGCTAAATGAAGGCTCACGCACCTTAAGAGGCGACTCAAAAGTAGCCGGGGAATAGTATGGACGATATCCAGACGCATTGATAGGGCCTGGGCCGGCACTTATCCCGACACCGTTGCTACCAACAGTGCCACCGCTAGTTGAAAAGGTTGAATTTGCTATGGCACGCGAACCATCAAAAGGTGGAGATACGTAGCTGTCGGTGCCGGCATCATAGGATGAATATGAACGGCCTGTCATTGTATTTGTATTTGTTTATTGAGTTGAATCTAGTAACAATTTTTGAACAACTTTAGATCAATGTGCCATAAAAATGGTCTTTATGGAATAGTGTTGTTCGATTAAGTATGGTAATTATCTGATAGCAAGATAAAAGGTTGGGGGAGAAAAAAAATTTGCGTGAGAATTTCTCACCTCATAATTATGGTGCAATATAACACAAAAATACTGAGCAAGAAAAAGCTACCTCTAAATACATAAACATAAAATAGCGCCCATAAACCATCACATTAGCAGAACCCCTTGTGGAGAAATTTGCCGCCGAATCAACCCCAAATTCTATTTTTCTTCATGAGCAACTATAAAACCTTCAACATTGCTGACTTTTGAAATTGACATTTTTTTTAAACAGAAAAAAAAATATATTATAACAACAATTAATAAATTATTAAAGCTAAATTAATCAGAAAGCTCTCCCGGTGTAAACAAGCTAATACTCCGGTGTTTTACAGGCGTCACGCCAAAAGGACCCCGTACTACGCCCACATTGCTACCCCGCTGCTTCTTCATCATCAATGGCGGACCTGCAACAAATTCATTTTCCTTGCCACCATCGTCACTGTCACTATCCATAAATAGCCCCTTACCTTCTGTCATCTCTGGCTGCTGCTGCTGCTGCTGCAATTGTGGCAGAGAATCAACATTGCTGGAACTGCTGCTGCACCGACTTCCCCCATTGTTGGTATAAAAGTACGCCGATGCCTGCGAATCCCGTGGTCGAGAATGGTGATGGTACCCATTGCCACCGCTGTTGTGCACTGCTGCCGCTGCTGCAGTTGTGGCCACTGTAGAACCGGTATGTGCAAGCCCACTATTGCTATTGATCACAGTCATGGCTGCTGATCCCAAAATTGCCTTGGATCGATTTAAAAGGGCTTGACCCAATCGACGTTCAAATGCCTCCACTCGCAATTCCAGACCAGCAAGTTCTTCTACTCGGAGCTCATAAGTACTATTTACTCCAGCAAGTTCCGCTTGTATTCTTGCCTTCTCTTCTCGCAAAGCGCTCGTCTCCTTCTCCAGATCACTGATTTTGGCTTCATACTTTTCCACATCCCAGCTCATAAACTTGAGACTCTGAAGTTCCAACTGATGTGCTTGTTTTTGGTGAGTAATATTATCTTCAACTGCTTGTGCACGGGCCTCGGCCGCGGCAGCCTGCTGCATCGCGGCCTTGAGCTCTTGTTCTAGTTTGGCAATTTTGGTTAATTGTACCTTCTCAAGCTCTAAAGCCCGCTTGGCTTCCATCTCATCCATCTTCTGCGTCATAGTAGCCAGTTCCTTGTTTACAGTCTCCGACATGCGTGCTTCCATATCAGAATTTTTATTGAAATGTTCCTGTACTTGTTTCGAAAATGCTGCAAATTGGCTGCTCAGTTCGGCAATTTCTGCCTTTAATTTGCTTTCCTGGCTACTTCCACCACCCTTCGTCATATCCTCCAAACCTTTGGAAAGCACTTCAACAAGCTGGCTGCTACTGTTTTCAATCGCCTTGGTTGTAGCTTCAGAAACAGCTCTTAGTTTATCATCTAGTCCGGAAATTTCTGATAAGAGTTCACTTTGCTGAGTAGAAATATTTCCTGCAGTGCACTTGAGCGCTCCATCAACAAGCTCGCGAATATACGATCCTTGTTCTAAATATCTAGATTCTTGATCCTTGGAAGATTTTTCAAAATCTTGAAGTAAAGTGTGAAGCTTCTCTTCAAGGACCGAAAGTCCAATGGTGAGCTTCTTCTCTAGTGTTTCACCTCGCGTGTTGATGGAACCCTGAAGATCTTTGTATTGTGTTTCAGTAACAGCAGATGTACTGGCTAATTGTTCAGTCTGCTCTCTTATAATCAATTCTTCTAAACGATCATAGAGGCCACCAACAGTATTGTAGTGAGCTTGTATATTTTCTTCATTCGCCTTTTCAACCGCTGTAGATACTTCGTTAAGTTTTATTGAAATTTCAGGTATCATATAATTGTTGTCTCCTGTAGCCTTAGAAGAAATGCTGAGCACGGCTTTATCTAATACACTGGTGAAGCTGTCTTCAAGTTCCGATATCCGCTTCGGAATGCTGTTGATACTTTGAAGGCTAATATCTTGAGATTGTTTAATAGCCTTAGTGATATCCGTAATAATTGCTTCAGATTCTTTCCCAATGACTGATAACACTTTTTCGTAATCACCACTAGCAACATCCCCTCTCTCTTTCAAACTGTGAATCAATCCGAGTGTTTGTTTTTGTTGTGCACCAATAACATCAATGAATTCAGAAAGTTGATCTAGTACAGTATTGTTTTTTCTGGCCATAATGCGGTCAAGATCGTTATTGGTAACTAAGCCGCCGTCTCTCCGAAATTCAGCTTCCTGAGACTTAGAGGAAGCCAGAAGCCTAGCAATTTGTGCTTCTTGAGACTGAGTGCGTCTTGAAATTTCGTGAGATTGTTCCAAAATTGAATTCATAATTGAAGGAAACATATGTTGACGTTCCTTTTCAGTCTGAATTGTTGACAAAATTAATGGCAAGCTTTCACGAATAGACTCCGAAGCACGTTCCGAAGCCAATTTTGTATCTTCCAAAAGAGAAGTAAGAGCCCTTGTATTTTCATGATGGTGATGGCTACTTTTTCTTTTATTATGAGACTCTGGGTCGTCAATACCTTCCTTGATAATGTCCAACTGTGTCTTTAAATCGCGAGAGTTTTCTAAAATCTCCTGTAAACGCTCTTCATTAATGGACATGAAAGTATTACGACTGTGAAACGGCTGGCGAATTATTGGACTTGAACTGAGTTTGAAAGGGCTTCCAGAAACAGGTCCTGACCCATGGCTGACAGGGTTAAGATTAGGAGAATCTGGCTGAAGAGGCATTGGAGGAGGGTTTCTAGTGGGATCAGATGAGTCCCACATGGGAATAGATGGTTCTTTGTTGCTGTTTGGATTCGGCAAATTTCGCATAGCCAATGCAAACTGGGTAATAGTTGTCTGGGCTTTTAACGAAGAATTGCTCTCTTCGGGTGTCGTACGAGCAAAAGTTGATGAAAATGGAACAAGCTTACGATTAGGTCGGTGCGGAAGAGAGTCTCTATATTTGTTATTATTTAAGAACGATATAACCGTGGACAACACTGCTGATGATCAAGTTTACTTTTTCAGTTAATTGAACCAAAGACAAGCCCACAAAATATAAACAATTGTGATGTTACTATGGAAATTCTTCTTAGGAGATAGTAGTAAACAAACGATTGGAATGATGAACTGATTGGTAACAAAACGTAAAACTATGACAGGCCTAATTTCCTGGAACTTGGTTAAATAGGTTTATTGTAATGATTTTAATATCAATCAAGTAAGTATATTGAAAATAAAAAAAAAAAGATTTAAATCTGTAAATTAGTAGATTATTAGATTAAAAAAAAACGACAAATGCCTTGTAAAAACATTCTATAGTTGTTGTTATTTTTATTGTGAGCTAATGTTTACTGCAAATGTTTTGTTTTTCATGTTTGTTTACTTTTGCCTACTTTAGGAAGCGCCTGCAAAGTGTTGACCCCTCCCTTTTCTTCCCTATGCCTTAACCCTCGCAAAACATTGAAACTTGGAGATTTAACATGATAATACAAAGCTAATGGCGGTGAATGACATAATTTTTTTATATAAAAAACTTGGATATCAATCATGAAATGATCATTTCTTTGACTGGATTTTATAAAATATCAGTAGAAAGATGCTTTCAAATTGTCAATTGAGCATTTTGAGGAATTGAACATTTAAAAGTTGACTACCCTTATTAATTTTTAATTTTCTAAATCCATAAACGTTCACTGCTGTATTGATATATTAATATATATATATATATATATATATATATTTGAATGCTTTAATTAATAAAATGCCTTTTCAGCAATCACATTTTTAAACCGTTTATAATTATCTTGTTTCTTGAATTTGGATTCTTCTCAGTACCCGATTACGACCATGGCTCCAATTGTGGCGAAAGCCCGCATGCCAGATTGATGCGGCTGGTACTAGTTATATTTAATAATGTTTACGTAATATTACATAATATCTTTTTATGGAAATATCTGTCACAAATATTTAAATATATCAGCATGGTGAAAATATGAGTCCAAATTGAGTCGGGTCTTTCTTAAACTTTAGCGTGTTCTTAACATTCTTGTATGATTATATAATATGTTACAGAATAAAATTTATAATTTTTGTTGCACAATATTGTAGCAAAATGCTAGAAAAAAATTTCTTAGTAAGGACTCCCACCAATTTGGATGACCACAGAGGTACCTTGGGTGGCCCAAGCTTACACTCCTGAGTGACCCTCTCTTTTTTCCTAGTCTTTTCCTTTTTCCTACTCCCTTTTTTACACCCCTTAGGCATCATCGACCACCACCGACCGCCCTCTAAGACGACATCATACATCTAATATAGACAACAATGGGATCCAAGTTCTTGAAGCCAGGCAAAGTTGGTACGTCTTGATATCTCACTTGTTTAACCTTGTAACGATTTTTCAATTTTTTGAACAGAAGTCTCCAGCAAAGCGCAAAATGTTCTTGTTGATCGCTCATGAAAAAATTTTCACCTTGAAAAAGAATAATAAACATAAGATATCATAATGTTAAAACTGATATGAATGATACCCAATATTTTTTGATTCCTATAGATATATTGTTAAACCCTCATTAAACCTCACTGCTGGTTTTCTTTTGGCGCTTTTGTTGAAATTTTGAACTGTACAGGATTTGTATTTTAATTTTAATATCCAACTAACTTTTTTTTAGCTATCATCGTCCGCGGCAGATACGCCGGTAAGAAGGTCGTCATCATCAAGTCTCAAGATGATGGCTCGAAGTCTCATCCTTTTGGATATGCCCTTGTTGCTGGTATTGAGAAGCACCCCCAGAAGGTCAACAAGTCTCACAACGAGAAGCAGGCTGCCAAGAGAAACGAGATCAAGCCTTTTATTAAGCTTGTCAATTACAACCATATCATGCCCACTCGTTACACTTTTGAGCTTGACAACTTGAAGACTGTCATCAGCGAGGAGACCTTTGATGAGGGTGCTTCTCAACGTGAGGAGGCCAAGACTACCATCAAGAAGGCCTTCGAGGAGAAGCACCAGGCTGGCAAGAACACCTGGTTCTTCACCCAGCTCCGCTTCTAAGCAGAAACCCCAACAAAAGTACGAATGGAATGAGAATATATAAAAAATAAAAAAGTCTTCAAAAACGTTCTTTGTCTTTAATGTATCATAAATGCTTTTTTTCCTGCTTTTAAAGTTTGTTTCCGTGGCCCTTTAATAAAAATTTCTTGTTTGTTACGGTTGCTTGGCCCTGAAGTCAATGTCGGGTTATTTTTTTTTTTTGAAAAAATTTTCTCTTTCATGTAATCGACGATCCATTTTTCCCTTATGAGAGCTAATTTTATTGTATATGAATTATAGAGGTTTTTCAAGCCCCTTTAGCAAGTTTAAAAATTAAACCCAGTAAAAATTTCTAAAATATCTCACTAAATAATTGAATCTTGAGAATCAAACATGCTTTCAAGAACTACACCATTAAGAGCAGGAAGCAGATCTCTTAAACTTTTAGCCTCCTTAACATCTAGTTACAGCTCATTTCCTAAGGAATTACTTGAAGTTGATGAATCTCTTGGTGCAAAAATTAGGTCTTCTTCTTCATTAAAGAAACCCCAGTTTGACTTTAAATTCATTACTGCAAATGCCGAAAGCTATGCCGAGTCTGCCAAACTTAGAAACTTTTCTCCTCATTATGTTGAGGGCATAAAAGAAATTTATCCTCTTTATACAAAAGCCAAGAATGATTTGAACAATTTCCAGGCTCGACGAAGCTCTATAGAGGCCGCCTTTATGCCTCCTAAAAAGAAGAAAGGGAAAAAGAAATCTCAAAATGAAGGACCGGCTCCTGTTGCTGACTTTGAGAAACTTAACTCAAAGCAAAAACAGGAGGCTATGCAAAAATATTTGGAGGAACTGAAGCAGCTCAAAGTAGAGGCAAAACAGTTATATGAAAAGGTTCAAGAGTACGAGACGACCTTAATGATCAATGGCGACATGGTTCCTAATCTCATTAGTCCAGACTCTTTCATTCCAGAACCAGAAGTTGTTGACATGCTTAACGACAATGACGGAGCACGCCCAGTGATGGCCAAAGATACAGATCATGTTACAGTCGGAAAGGAATTAGGTTTAATTGAACTTGATGCCGCTTCTCGTGTGTCTGGTTCTTCTTGGTACTACTTGACGGGAAATGGTGCTCTTCTTGAACAAGCATTGGTGAACTACGCACTTTCCAAAGCTCGAAGACGTGGTTACTCCCCAGTTATTCCTCCCTCCATTGTTCGACAAGAGATGGCTCATGCTTGCGGATTTAGACCTAGAGATACGAACGGTGAGCAACAGATTTACAACCTCGAGGACTCTGATCTTTGCTTAACAGGCACTGCTGAAATCCCACTTGCAGGATTATATTCCAATGCTGTTATTGAATTCCCTAAGGAAGGCCCTAATGCTGGCGTCAAAAAACATGTTGGCGTTAGCAGAAGTTACCGAGCTGAAGCTGGTGCTAGAGGTCGTGACACCAAGGGTTTATATCGCGTCCATGAGTTTACAAAGGTTGAGCTTTTTGCTTGGACTGATACCAAATCACGATCTGTAAAGGTTCTTGAAGATATTTTGGCACTCCAAAAAGAAATTATATTTGAGCTTGGAATTACAGCCCGGGTGTTAAATATGTCTCCTGATGAACTGGGTGCTCCTGCATACAAAAAGTACGATATTGAAGCTTGGATGCCTGGTAGACGTGACTGGGGCGAGGTTACTTCATCTTCAAATTGCACAGACTTCCAATCTCGTCGCATGCATACCAAATACCGCAATGAGGAAGGAAAACTTGTTTTTGTTCAAACTCTGAACGGAACTGCAATGGCTGTTCCTCGCGTGATTGTCGCTATCTTGGAAACTTTTTATGAACCCGAGAACAAGCGTGTTAAGATCCCAGAAGTCTTGAGAAAATGGATGGATGATCAGGAATACATTTCCTTGTAAATAATTAATATAAAATATTGCTGCTGTAAATACATTGGGAGTTAGCAATCCTACACAATCTTTAACCATTCACAAAATAAAATTGTTAGGTTTAGACAACTAATATCTACTTTTTTTAAAGTCATCTTTATCAGTAAGGGTGAAATAAATGTGTGAGGGGAGACACAAGTTTAAACTAATTAATGGTAATTACCGACCGTAGGCTATTAGACACAAGTCTTAAATTGGGTGGCACCAGCGAGTAATATTACACTTTGTGCATTACATAGAAAACTTCTTTCAACACCACCAATTTTTTTACGCCTCTTTTTTTATTTTTTTATTTTTTTTCCATTCATCTTCTTTATCGTTCATCCAATCCTTCTTTCTTATATTCACCAATATTTTCATAAGCCTTGAATTCCTTTTGTTTTCTGATTAATCTAGTCAGATTTCTTGAATTTTTGTTTTACTAAATTTTTTTCCCCCAAGAAAAACCTGGAAAGAATTCGCTTACAGTTAGCTACGACAAGTATGTCTTTAATTATCAACCAGAGTACTTGAAATATTTGGATTTGAAGTTTATCAATACTAAAATTAATAATAATTGTTTTTTAGAGATCAACAGTATTCACATATTTTTTTTCTAAATATCTTTTGCGGGTTCAAAGTGGTTTTTCCATACCTTTTCTTTCATTTAAAATTTGCCACTAAAAAATCGTACAACCCCCACTCCTTTCTTAAGCCTACCAAAAATTAAAAATACCACAACAAAACTTAGAACTACCTATAGTTTTACATGAAAACTGCTACATATTTGAAATACCGAAACCTTTAGTAGTATTTTTATATTTTTACTCGCTCGGATTAAATTGTCTTCTTTTTGCACACAATGCAAATTAAAAAATCAGCGAACATTGCTCGTCGGTTGGCTGAAATGGTATGCTTTTTTATATTGAATCTCTGGATTTTCACTCTAACATTTATTTAGCCACCCGATTTGAAAAATTTGGTTAACTCGCTATTGAAAATGCCTGAAAATGAGCTTCCAGAACACATTGATGCATTTTGCAGTGGATGGAATCGTCCACGAGGTGATTTGTGTCACTGGATTCCAGTTCTCAATCATATGGATACCATTCTTGAGAAGCTAGTTAAAAGGTATGGCTTGGATCAAGATGAAATTTCACCAAAACTTTTTTCACCTGAAGATGAGCGTCTTGTTACTTCGATCCTTAACTTTTCGACTTTTCTTTTGGATAAGTCTTCCAACAGAGGTGTTTACAACAGCGAGACTTATGTCAACAATCTTACTTTATCAATTTCTCCAGAAGTCACTAGCGCAGCTCTCAAACTTTCTGGTCGTCTAGCAGAACGTAATGTTCATTCAAAAGGTTCTCGAAATATATTGCAGCATTCTGATATTTTGAGATTGTTGAAATTTGCAGTTTGCGTTACTTCTCGAACAGGTGATAGTTCTTCCTCAGCCGATGACACTATTCTCTCCTACTTCAACAATACTGATGTTCCTAGTGGCTTTTCATTACAATACTATAATTCTGAGTCACAGCTAACCACAGCCAAACCATCTAACATTTTTAAGTCATCTCAAACATCTCAAAATGATGCATCTCGCACACACGCACCTACTCATCATAAGATCCGTAAAGCAACATCTTCATCATCTTTAAAATTTAAATCACAGGAGTCTCGTGCGTCGATAAATAAAGAAGGTCTTACTGAGTATACCATTTCAACTAAGGATGCAGTTGAACGCCCTTTTGATTTAGTCATTGCCGATGCTTTTAAGGTTGTTCCTAAAAACTATTGGCTTGACGTTGTCATTAAAGCCCAAATTGCAAAATCCACCGCAAATACTGAAGAAGGTGCTAGACTACGTTCTCTCATGATTCAAATGCAGTGCAACGCACTCACTGTTATTTCTACTGCTATCGTTAATGTCAATGAGAACATTTACGAATCTAAAATCATGAACGATCATCCAAATCTCATTAAGCAGTTGGCCGAAATTTTGGTCCCAGAAAACCCATTTGACATACATGTCAGAAATGCAGCTATTGATTCTTTTTGTGCTCTTTGCTGCCAACCTGCAGCTGTTCCTGAAATTACAATCAATCTTTCTTCTAATGTTAGTTATGGAACTCTGATGCATGTTATGCGCAATATCCTAAAAGATACTAGAAGTGGGAAAAAGCTGGACGACGAGTACTACTTTTTCACCGATGGTATGATTTCGTTATCCACACAACTGATGATGACTGTGCAACCTAATGCTGCAGCTTCAACAGCTGGAGGAGGCATGGTTCCTTTATTTTGGGAACTTGTCAAAGAAGAAAAGGCTGGTCCACGTTTGCGTTCCAATGCTCTTGATGGGTTGATGCGCATTATTTCAGAGTATATTCCCGGATACTTGAATACCTTTTTGCAGCAAGAAAATGGAGGTCAAATTTTAATGAAGATTCTTGAAGAAACTGTTGAGTCTGCTCTTGATCCTTCTCAATCTGGCTCACCTCCAACGTTATGCGCTGTTGATTATAATGTTAACTACCACACAATCCAGTGGCTCAAGGTGATTCTTCACTTTATTGTTTCCATTACTTCTCAAGCACGGACCGCTGAAAGAATCCAACAAGTTTTGGATTCCCCGTTTTTAACTTTTGCTCCCAAAATTATTTCTAACCCTAAGGCTTTTGGGTTCCGCATCATTTCTCTTACTCTTGGAATTATTGGAAGCTTATTGGAAAATGAATCTTCTACGTTTGGCATCATGGTTGAAAATCAGTCTATTGACAAAATCTTGGCCGAGATTCCTAATTTATTGGAGTTTTCTTCAGGTCTTCATGGTCCTGTTGCAAAGTTTCTTAGCTCAATTGCCCACAATGAAAATGGTTTAACTCTCATTAAAGAAAGAGATATATTTAATGAGTATTTTAAGCTGATTTCTAAAAATCTTGGTGAAAAGGATAGCTTAAAACATCTTGGTATTTGTTTAGATCAAATATGTACTGAGCATGCCACACTTCGTCCAGTCGTCATTCGTGAAGCGATTAAGTTGATTGATATTATTATTGCTAAACTAAATACTCATGACTCGCGCCTACAGTTTTTCTATGAGCTCGACACAACCAGCGAAGGTCTTGAAGAGGACATCCCATTAGCAAAACGTTATTTCTTTTTGACTTCAACTATTTATTTCATTGAACACCTTCTAAAGAATCACTTTTCTCGCGTTGAGTTTATCAAGCAACGTGGTGTGGAACGGATCCTTGATATTTTTGAAAGCCCAGCACTTTCATTTGATTTTGCATTTAACGGTCCGGCTACATCTCTCAATAAAACTGTAAAGCAACTTTTTGATTTAGATATCGATACTTCTTACATCACGAACGCTCTTCTTTCAAAAATGGCCTCTATCATCGATAAGGCTGAGGCTAAAGCCCAGCTCCTGACAAACCTTACAGATGATACAATTCAAGAAGAGGCTTTCGTTGATTTCATCAAATCGATTGGTCCAGTGGAAAACATTTTCCAATGCTTTTTGTTCACTGCGTTTACCAATTATGGTACTGGCTACCGTATCAGTGCTGTGCTCAAAGCCATTGCTTGTGAAAAAAGTGATAAGAAAAAGGAGCCCGATACCACATTAGATTTTGATTATAAAGATCTCATCAGCAGAATTGGAGCTCTTCATCAGCATATAACATGGGAGTCTGCTCGTGTCCGAAATTTTATTTCTTTAGAAGTTTCTGATGCTACCATGTCTCTTCCTTATGACCCTGTTCTTAATTCCTATTTCCGCAGTTATCAAGATTCAAGCGAATACAAGAAGCTTAAAGAAGCTGAGAGTAAACTTCCGGAGGACTATGTTCGTTCAGAGAAGTATCGTATCATCAAAGCATCTAGATTTGTTCTTTCATCATCTAGCACTTTGATAAATGAATGTTTAGGGACTATTTCTTTCTTTTTATCATCCATCCTTCCCTCTCCTGCATCCGACAAGTCTGCATACAAACTTCTTGACACCATCACTAAATCTTACTGTGATCAATTTTCTTTATATAAAGAAAGACAGTCTTATGGCTCTATCTCTGCATGGTTTGCCTGTTTTGCTCTAAGAAGTCTGAAAGATGTTTTGTTGATAAACAGTAGCTCTAATGCTACATCTAAACTTCTTCTTGGAAGCCTTATTTTCTTTAAGCAGAACGGTGGAATTTTGCTTTTGTCTGATATTGCACAAACATTATTTAAAGAGCCTTTGCTTTCTGAAAAGAATTCGGCTTATTCTGGTGCCTTTATTCAAATTATTTTGCATTTTAGCATGATGACGAATTGGAAACCAAGTCAACTGGTGGATAGCGAAAGATCTTGGGGAACTTCAGATTCAGATTTCCCTAACTACTTTGACCCCCAGCTTTTCTTTTTGGAGGTCTCTTTAACAATTTTTGATTGTATCAGCAAGATTTGGGAATCTAACACTCTTGAGGAAAAGCCTTACTTCATCACCATTCCTATCATTTTACTTCTTTCTAATCTTTTCCACACTGCAAATGAAAGCTATCCTTCTGACAGCCAAAGAACTGCTCCTTATTATATTTCTTGGAAAGAAGCACCGCCTTCCGAAACCATGTACAAAACAATTATGGAAAACTTTCATATTGATGAAGATGATAAAGAACCTGTTTCCGAATTTATGGCGGCTACTCTAAACCACGTGTCAGACGTTGCAATGGAGTTCGACTTAGATATTGATGAGCTCATTGCAAAACTTAAAGAAGCCAAATTTGACAACGGCGATGGAAGACTCACCGTTCCAACAAAGGAAGATGGTACACTTTTAATGTACCCCTCCGACTTGAAGCAGATGTGTGAGTCCGTGCAGAAGAATGCAGTTGATAAGGTTCTTGGAATCATTCGCATACATCCCAAAACTGTTTCCGCCGCTTGCGATTTTATTTACCAATTAATAACGTCGTCTAATCGCTCAAAATCTAACAAGTCTTCTCCTCCCCAAATTAAAACCTCTGCCATCAAAGAACTTATGCTCATGATTATTTCCATTGATCCTTCAAGTGATGAAGATGAGAAGCCTCTTGCAAACTTCTGCCATCTTCTTGGCATTCTTTTGTTTGATGCAGATGTTCTTTTTGCCTGCCTCCCTAACCTTTTAGAGTTGCTTGATAATTTTGTTGATATTTTGGAAACCCCTGATGCCGTAAAGCGTGATTGGTTCCCTTATGTTCTTTTGATTTTGGAAACTATTTTTGCTGTTAAAGAAATCCCTGATGCTGTCGACAAAATCAAATATGTTCCACGCTCTCTTTCTGCCATGACTGACGCCATTCCCAAGACTGATACTCTTCCTAAGGAAATTTACAAGCGAGTTTTTAATGTCCTTATCAGCGTTGATGCCTACAAGGATGAGTTCACTATTATCTCTATTGCTCGACTTTTGGTATTTTTCACAAGAGATCATGAGTGTGCCTCTTTGCTTGTTCAATCTCCTGTTCTTCCTAAGCTTCTTCAGCAAATAAAAAGATTTTCTACACCCCCTAAAGAAGGTGAAGCTGAAAACAAACTTATTGTTCCTTTCAACTCCAGATTTTTCAAAAGTATGAAGGAGCAACTTAGAACCGCTCTTCTTTCTATACTTCGCAATGCGGTTGAGACTCCTGAGATTGTTAAGAACATTATGGTCACCAACATTAAAAATGATCTTATGAGACACAAATCTCAGCTTGAACTATTTTTCCAAAGCAAGGTTATGTATGCTGCTCGTTCGCCACAGATTTTCCTTGAAGCGCTTGCTGAAAATTGTGTAATTACAGATCTCAACAATTTACAAAAGGCACAGTTTATTACTCTTCAAGAAGTTGTTGAAAAAGCTTATACTAAGCTGGAAAAATCCTATGATGAGCTTACAGTTACTCTTGACAAAGCTATTGCGGAAAATGAGTCTCTTGGAATTACCACAAGTACTAAAACATCTAGCGAGACTAAGGACGTTGAGTCTGATGTTTCCATGGAAGACGTTGAGCCTTCTGCTGCTCCCAAATCAAAACCAGAATCGGCTAGCGATGACAAAGCTCTTAAGCCTACTCTTTCGAATGTTCCTGGTATTTCCTCTACCCCTGCGTCTAAGTCTCTTACATTAGAAAATCCTTCTGGTGTTATCAACATTTTACTACATGAACTTTTATCTATTGGCCGTGAAAATCTTTTTACACTTCCTGTTAAAACGCCTGAAGCACTCCAATCCTGGATTAAAGAGCATCCCAAGCCCGAAAAGGGTAAGGAAAATAAGAAGAGTAGTGACAATCCTTACTTCCACTATGGTTGCTTTTTGCTTCAAGCTATTGCAGAGCTTGTTTCTTCATACAGTGTTTGCAAACTTGAGTTTATTAATTTTTCGAAAAAGCCTTTGAATGCTTCTACCACTTCTCTGAATAGCACTGCAAGCGGTTCAACCATCACACCTGGTTCAGTTCCTTTTAAGCCTCGCCATACGGCTCTTAATTTTTTCTTACATGAGCTCATTCCTATTGGAGTTCTTGAGTCTAGTAGCAGTGTTCCATACTATGAATGGAGCACGGTTTCATCTTTTGCAAACCTTTGCATTTTGACTCTAATTTCAGCTACAGATGAAAAATACAGTGAATCTGTTGACGAGACTCAAGGCGAGCCTACTTTGCAATTTGTCAGAAAATTTACTTTTGACACGATAGCAAAAGCTTTCCGTGATGCCAGTCAGTCTGCCAACGACACATTGCTTTGGAGATATAGCAAGATTTTTGCTCTTGCTGATTTGTGCAACCGTATGTTTTCAAGTGGTCCGGGTCGTAATCTTGTGTCATCAAACTTTTCTGCTCATACTGTTTCCATCGAGGACGGTCTTGCTATTTGCAAAGTTGCTTTTGATAAAGATCTTCAAACTGTCATGACTAATTCTCTTGCTGAGATTGATCTTAATTATCCTCATTGCAGAAAGCCTCTCAAGCTTCTTGTAAAGTGCCTTAACAAGTTGGCAAGGCTAGTAATTGATGTTTTTGACGATGGAAGTGCACCAGAAAAGCCAGAAGAAGAAGACCTGTTTGCTTCCTTTTGTGAAGTCTCTTCTGACAGTGAAATTGAAGACGAAATGCCTGCAATTTTCAGAAACTCAGCTCTTTCAATGTACGAGGCAGGTGATGACTTGTCTGATGATGGTGACGAGATTATTGTCGATGAAAGTGATCATGATAGTCAAATTGAGGAGGATGTGGAGGAAATGGACTACATCGATGATGATGCTCAATCAGATGTTGGATCCGACGCTAGTGGTGTTCATGATGATGACGAAATGTTCGATCAAGACATGGATGACAGCGATGTAGATATCGGAAGCAGTGCTGACGAAGATGATGAAGTAGATGGCGAAGAAATCATTGTTGATGATGGAGATCGCCGGGTGGAACTTCTCGTTGGGCACAACCATAACCACGAAAATTACAATGATGATGATGACGTTTTGGTTTTGGATGAGCTTACCATGAACGACGCAAACAGTGACCCACAGACTACTGATAGCAATGATCGCACTCCATTTGCATCTAATAGCTCCGCAAACAACAACCCAACTAACCATTCTGGTCGTGGAAGAAGAGCGGAATCTGAGGAGGCGCCCGGTTCAGGTTATGATAATGACAGCGGCTGGGAGTCCTTTGAAGAAGGTGATGAAAGTGATGACGAAATTGAGAGACTTGAGACCCTTATTCAACAACGAGATTTTACCGGCCTCGATGATGGTGATGGGTCTTGGGTTGAAGAAGGCCCTATGGATGATGTTGATCTTGACGACATTTTTGATAGTAATGACAGAATCATTCCATTTTCTGGAGATAGCGACAGCCAATTCACTAACCCATTTAGTAAGTTTTTTTTATTTTTTTATTTTTTTTTTACTAGCCTAACCGATTTTTTTAGGAGTGCATCGTCAACGCAATGGCATGAGCTTGCTTTTTGGAGGCAACTCTGATGGATTTTTAAATTCTCGCAATGTTCATCATGAATTGCAGAATCACTTGTCTTTTTTGATGAGAAATGGAAATCCTTTAAGAGCTGACGCCGATTTTTTTTCTGGTAACGACAACAAGGTTTTGGAGATTGCTGCCAAACGAACTAATTTCAGATGGGGAGAAGCTGCCAATTTGTTTTGGGTTTTTGATAAAAACACTGTTGTTTATCGATTTCTCGGCCATTTCATTAACACTATTGGCGACTTTTCTATTAAGAAATATGCTGATTTAAATGCTCTCAGCTTTAAGGTCAAGAAGAAAGAGGAAGAAATTACGTTTGCTTACAGAGAAAAGGCCAAACGAGAGCAAGAAATAAAGGAGGCTAAGGAACGAGAGGAGCGTGAGCGCAAAGAACGTGAGGAACGTCAAGAGCTCGAAAGAATTCAGCGTGAAGAACAGGAAAAAGCTGAACGCGAAGAGCGTGAACGACAACTTGCGTCTTCTACTGATGACAAATTGGAAACTTCAAGTGTTGACATGAAAGATGCCTCCGAAGAAGAAGACAGAGCGGATGGTTCTTCGAACCAAACTGATGAAGCACCTGGTGATAGATATATGATGGAGATTGGTGGGCACGAGATCGATATATCTGGTTTGGGTATTGACCATACTTTCTTAGAAGCCATCCCTGCTGATATGCGTGAAGAAGTTTTGACTCAACATCTGCGAAGTATGCAAGAAAGTGCCAGTGAAGGTGATACTCGTGTTGGAGAGTTGGTTTCTACTTTCCTTAATGCTCTTCCACAAAATGTTCGCCGTGAGCTTATGAATGAAGAGGTCAACGAACCGCCTGCTGTTATTTCAAATGATACAGGTGATGCGTTTGATAGAGCTACATTTTTTGCTACGCTTGATCCTGAGTTCCGTCGTACTATTTTACTTGAACAAGATGATGAAACTCTTGACTCATTGCCACCAGAGTTAGCAGCCGAAGCCCGCATGTTCCGGAATCAAGGATTCAATCGCCCTGAACTTCAGACAAACTTTGTTCCTTCCGAAAATCCATTCACACAAAACATATTCAACCGCATATTCAATGATCAAAATTCAACATTCAGTAATCGGATTTTGGGTGCTAACATTTTTAACTCTTCTAGAACTAGTGCTGTTGACGACAAAAAACCTAAAAAGAAAACTATTAGTGCTGCTTCCCAGAATTTGATTGATAAGCAAGGTGTTGCCGCTCTTTTGAGAACCTTGTATTTGCCTCAAACTCACCCTTTCGATACACTAAATGAGCTGCTCTACAATCTTTGCACTGAAAACAAGGCTAATCGCCTCGATATCATCAACACCGTTCTTCATATTTTGCTTGATGCATCTATTGATAAGGCTACTCTGGATAGAGGCTTTTTACAAACCTCTAACCGTGCTCGTTATGCTCAAACTACCAGTAAGTCAGGCACTCCTACTGGTGCTGGTACGCCTGGACGTGTTCCCATTGGCTACAATGTTTTAGCGCAAGAAATTACACCTAGTACAGTTGCCAAACAAGCCCTTGAAGTTTTGGAGTTTATTTCGCACAAGGGTGGACCAGTACGATACTTCTTTGTTTCTGAGCATGATGTTCCTCTTACTCGGCGCCCGAATCGTAAAGGAAAAGGTCGATCAAAAGACCGAGAACTTGCGAAAGAGCATAAGTACCCAATTAACATTTTGATTACTCTTCTTGGTCGCCCTGCTATTTACGAAAATCCAATCACTCTCGAACAGCTAACGATTGTTCTTGTTGAAATCACAAAAGTTGTGCCGATTTTGTTGAGAACTATTGATGAAGACAAGAAGATTACTGATTCAGACAAACAGGAATCTGATGATGGTGCTGCCACTTCTACTGCTAACGACAATCCTGAGCCATCTATAAGTACTGAACCTGATCTTTCTGCAGCGCCTGAATCTGGATCTGCGGAACCTTTGAAGACTAAAACTACTGAAACAAAAGACACCAAGTCTACTAAGCCTCGCAAAGTTCACAATCCCCCATACATTCCCGAGAAGAACTACAGGCTTATTTCCAGCACTTTAGTTTTGAAGGAATGCAGTAGCAGAACTTTTGAGCAGATGCTTACAGTTATGAAGAATTTGTCTAGCATCAATGGTGTCAAGGACTTGTTTGCTAAGGAGCTTGTCAATCTGGCTGTTTCTTTTGGCCCTCGTATTATTGAGAGTCTTGGAAAACTTAACAAAGCTGTTGAGGAGACCAAAACTGGCGATGAAGTTCCAGGCCCTATTCTTGCACCATTTTCTTCTGGATCTTCTGACCAGGCTCGACTTCTCCGCGCTCTTGCAGCCCTCGACTATTTGTTGGATCACTCCAAGGATAAAGACAAGGAAAAAGATAGTTCCAACAAGGACGCTGATGCTACAGATGATGATTACATCAATACTGTTTACAAGAGTATGAACTTTGGTCCTTTGTGGGCAGCTCTTAGTGAATCCCTCACTTTAATTCAAAAGAATTCTTCTCTTTTGTACGTTGCCACTGCCCTCTTGCCATTGATCGAATCTTTGATGGTTGTTTGCAAGCACAGTGCTGTGAAGAAGATTTCTGTCCGTGAGTCTAACGCAACCGGTACAAACACTCAATTCAAGCCTTCTTCCAAGATTGATATTTCCAATGCACCATTGGAAACTCTTTTCTTTGCATTTACTGACCAACATAGAAAGATCCTCAATCAGCTTGTTAGAGCCAACACCAAACTTATGAATGGATCTTTCTCTATTCTTGTCAAGAACCCCAAGTCACTTGAGTTTGACAATAAGCGCAGATATTTTACCAAGCGTCTTTATGACAATGGAAGCGTTTTTACCACACAGCTCAATCTTAATGTTCAGCGCGACACCACTTTCTTAGATTCTTACCGTGCTCTTCATTTTAGAAGTGCGGAAGAAATTAAACATGCTCGGCTTGTCATTAAATTTAAAGGCGAGGAAGGTGTTGATGCTGGTGGTTTGACTAGAGAATGGTATCAAGTCATGTCACGACAAATGTTCAATCCTGATTATGCCTTGTTTCAGCCCGTGGCATCTGACCGCACTACATTCCATCCTAACAGAACCTCTTCCATTAACGATAATCACTTGTATTATTTCAAGTTTATTGGAAGAATTATTGGCAAGGCCATCTGTGACAACAAACTTCTTGACTGTCATTTCAGCAGAGCCATGTATAAGCGCATTTTGGGCAAGCATGTTTCACTTAAGGACATGGAGAACCTTGATCCGGACTATTACAAGTCTCTTGTCTGGATGTTGGAAAACGATATTACTGATATTATCACTGAAACGTTTTCCATTGAAGCTGATGATTACGGTGAGACCAATATTATTGACTTGAAGCCTGATGGTCGCAACATTCCAGTCACTGAAGAGAATAAGGCTGAATATGTCCGATTGATCTGTGAATACCGTCTTATTGAAAGCGTTTCTGAGCAGCTTAATCACTTTTTGGAGGGATTCCACGATATTATTCCTAAGGATATTGTTTCTATCTTTGATGAACAAGAGCTTGAACTTTTAATTTCAGGTTTGCCTGACATTGACATTGATGATTGGCGAAATAACACTGAGTATCAAAACTACTCTCCTTCTTCTCCTCAAATCAAGTGGTTTTGGAGAACTGTTCGTTCCATGGATCCTGAGGAGCGTGCTAAGTTATTGCAATTTGTTACTGGTACCAGTAAGGTTCCTCTCAATGGTTTTAAGGAACTTGTTGGAATGCACGGTGTTTCGAAGTTTAGCATTCACCGAGCGTTTGGATCAAAGGATCGTTTGCCCTCATCACACACATGTTTTAACCAGATTGATTTGCCAATGTACGATTCATATGAGAATCTCCGCGAGGCTTTACTTAAAGCAATTACTGAGGGAAGCGATTCGTTTGAGTTTGCATAATTTTGTTGTTTTTTCTTTCTTTGCTTGCTTTTTCTTTTCATTTTTTTTTTTAATATTTCAAATTTTTTTTTGTACAGTTGTGATAGTATTTTATTAAGTAGAACAAAATTTAGTAAAACTTTTAATTAAATTAATTAAATCTTAGTTGTTGAACTTAATATTATTTTTGTTTGTTGAGCGCGCAAGCTATGTACATTGTACATCCTTATAAGGAAAAACGGTGATGTTTTAAAAAGACAAAAATCAAGTGATTACATAATCAATCACAGTTTCCTGTTTCGTTTCAATTTCGGTCTTTTTTTTTTTTTTCTTCTCTGCCATTCAGATATTGAATTTTTAACTACGCGTCACTTCAACAACATATTAAATATTTCACAAGATAATAATGAATAGCCTATGTTCGTTAATAAACTAAAAGATTTTTTTAAATGGTCTTCTCCTATATCTAAACATTTGGATTTTCATACAACAATGGAAGCTGTATCTCCGTTGCTTACTTTAAAAAGAAAAAGCATTGGCACTAATGAAAACGACGATGATAGTGCAGGATACAACTCTGACTTAGAGTCACCTCGCAAAAATACTGAAACAAGAACAACACCTCCATCTTTTTTTGCTCATAATAAAAATTCAGGAACTACTAATGGTCTAATTGGTTTTGACGATGTATCAACTTCAAATGTGAAGTTGTTGGTAGAAGAGCTTCCTGATATCTCCGACACTAGAACATTTAAAGACGCGTTGATTAAAGCATCTAATATTCCAGACAACGATGGTGCTTTTATGTACTATCTATTATCTAGCAGAATTAATTCTGAAGAAGACAGTCTGATGATTGCAGCATATGATAATCAGATTTTGCCGAAGATTAACCCACAGAAAACCAACTGTGTACTTTACGTTCCATTTGATGCACTATTGCAAGACTCCTCATCCAACGCTTTTGAACAAAATTTATCTGAAACAGAATGGTATCGTGCACTTACAACACGAAAAAGCTCTGATTCTGGCGTTTTTTCTATGCTCATACCTATCGATCAAAACGATCATTTATCTGTTATTTGGATTTTATTAGACCCAGCTAGCCAGTCTTACAAGATTTATCGCAAAGATTCTAGCTACATACAGGTAAAAAATGGTGATAATAAAACACATGATTTGCCATCACTATTTCCTGAAGTATTGGAAAAAAGAGAGAAAATAGTGAAGAGCTTCAGTGCTTTAACAAAACTGCTTCGCGAGGCTGTCAAGGATCTATTTGCGATGAATGACATGCTAAGTGAATGGGAGGCTTTACCAGGATATATACCAACTAGCACTGAGTATCGATATACGGCAAGTATTTTAGACATGTACGATATTTGTATTTCTCATATCGACATTCAAAGTTCAGTCAAGACATTTCTTTCGGAAGAGTATCAAAATACTCAGCAGTTGGACGAAGAAGCGTTGCAATCAGAGAAAGTATCAATGTTGAGGGTGTTTTCTCAGGAATATGGAAGGTTCTACAAACTTAAAATTAGACAAGATGGAACTATTAATAACCAATCGTTTCAAGATGACAAAAAGTTTTATTTCAGTAGGAATTTGTTTGAGGAATTTCAATCGGTTTATGAAATTTTTTCAGTACATTTTCTCTTACATGAGGTTTTTAATTCCGAGATTTCTCTGCATGGGAAAGTGAATGATGCATTTTTACCATTTTTAAACTTCTGGTTCCCAACTTTACTTGAAGAATACAATAAGCTCAGCAATCATGAAGCAAATTTATGGGTCCCGTACTTTTCCAGTGTTTATTCTCGCAAAATTGGCTCTTACAATGATCAGCTTCCACCTGAATTTGAAAAGCGACACACTCAATATCCTCCATTGTCACTTTTGAGGCCGACGAATTTATTTTTGCCGCAAGAAATGTTAAATTTTTGCCAAAAGTATTGTACCTTTGAATCTGATGACGATTTAAAAACACTGTACTCACCAAATAGTCCATATTCCAAACCTAGTAAGGAAATGATCTATGCTTTTCGAGAGGTTTTGAAAAAAATAATTCGAGGACTTGGGCTGGATTCAGCTCTGTCGCCTCTCAAGCTACAAATAGAAGAGCCAACATTGACTCTTGAGGAGTTTATTGATTCCATGCATTATGATACTCTTGAAAGTGTCGTTAGAAGATATAAACGTTCCTTGGTGATGGCATATATTCAAAGCACTCGTAATATTAGCATCACTAAACCTCTTGATGAAGGAGAAGGAGAAGAGGACCATCAATCCAAAAAGTCCATCAAGTGGCCCAAAAGCCCAGTTTTGGTTTATTATTCAGGGGGTTCGGTAAAGAATAAACGAGAAAATATGCGATTTAAGTTGGTTTTGAACCCAAAAGAATTGTTCCAGAGCATTATTTTGGATTGTCAGACTCCCCCTATTGGCAAAACAGCACCCTTAGAGCCATGGGTTAATGATAATGAAAGTGATTCAATGTATTATAATCAGCACTTGTTAACAGGGCATGTGTCGAAAAGTTTGTATGAAAGTACTTACAGAAACAATAGTTTTATCGTCAAGGTGATTAGAACCTGTTATGTCAAGAGCAACCATAATACCACCAATAATGGTGTAGTAATAACCTTCCCTCATCTTAAACGGGCGAAAAGAAGAAAGGTAGAAGCAGTTGACAGGGTGACGAGAAGCAGTAGAGCTCAAGCAGAAACAACAAAAGAAGATGAAGATAAGGATAAAAATGGAGACGAAGAAGATGATATTGTTTTGGTCGATGAAGTTATTGAAAAGAGTAACTCAGAAAGCGAGGAAAGCTCTAGCAGCAACAACAACAGCAGTATAGATGAAAGTGATAATGTTGATTTGCATGAGATAAGTGATACTGAAGAGGAAACAGTTCAGCCTAATGAAGATTTTAAATCTAAAGTGATGGGATTGACGGTATCAGCTGGGAAATCTATAACTCAAATTGGCACACAACCAGCTACTAAGGCTGTTACCCAGTCTTTCACTAAGGCTGTAACGCAGTCAGTAGCCAAGGCTATCACCAAGTCTGTTACTAGGCCTATTAATAATTCTGCTGGTCAGCCTGTTGTGCACTCTGCCACACAGTTTCCTAACAAGGTTGCAAAGAAAACTATTTACAGATCGCCTCCGAAAGAACCGCTTAGCTCAAGCTCTATTTCTGTAAAGACTTCTTCTCAGAACGGTTTACAAAAGGGTTATAATTTTAAAAAGGAATCTATTAAGCATAAACCAAAAGGCCGCCCAAGAATTAAAAAACTTAAGGAACCATCACCGCCACTGTCGTTACCAGAAAGTGATGAAGAGGAGGAGGAGGAGGATGATGATGATGAAGACGATGATGAAGACGATGAGATGAAGTCTATTGAGGATGATGGCTCAGTGATTGTTGTTGATGATTTTTTAAGTCCCCAAACCTCAAAACGAATGAATCGGAATAGTTCATCGTCTATTGAAGATCTTGTTGAAGTTGAATAATTGGAAGATTTAGTTTTAATCTAATTGTTAATTAACAGAGAATTCAACACTGATCAGTCATTATTTAAAAGGATTATTCAAAGATCTCGGTTATTGTAACACATTTCTTTTTCGGGTAAATGCGGCGTTACACCCTAACCCTCGAAAATTTTTACTGCTTAATTTTTTTTTTTTTTTTAATTTTGGGAGGTGCGCCGCTGCGATGACTGATTGAGGCAGATCCTCAACGTGTTGATTTTTTTTTTTTTTTCCCTTCTTATCAAGAACTTTTTCTCTCTTTTTTTTTTCTTCTTGCCATCAACATCTCCACCACCACCACCCTTTCTTCATCTCTCCTCCCCCCTTCATCTACAAATTTTTAGAAATGACCAAGCCTGTTGAAGTCTCTGCCGTTTTCGATACCATCTTGGTGCTCGACTTTGGTTCCCAGTACTCGCATCTCATCACGCGTCGTCTTCGTGAATTCAACGTCTACGCTGAGATGCTTCCTTGCACTCAGAAGATTTCTGAGCTGACCTGGAAGCCCAAGGGTATCATCCTTTCTGGTGGCCCCTACTCTGTGTACGACAAGGATGCTCCTCACGTTGACCAGGAGATTTTCAACCTCAATGTCCCTATTCTCGGCATTTGCTACGGCATGCAAGAGCTTGCCTGGATCAATGGCAAGGGTGTTCATGCTTCTGAGCACCGTGAATACGGCCATGCCACTATCCACGTTGAGGATTCCTCTTCTCCTCTTTTTGCCGACATTGACAATTTTGAGGTCTGGATGTCTCACGGTGACAAGCTCTCTGCTCTGCCCACTGGCTACAAGGTCATTGCTACCACCACCAACTCTCCCTTTGCTGCTGTTGCCCACGAGAAGGACCAGATTTACGGCATTCAATTCCACCCTGAAGTTACACACACCTCCAAGGGTACCCAACTGCTGAAAAACTTTGCTGTTGGCATTTGCAAGGCCGAACAGAAGTGGTCCATGGAGAACTTCATTGGTACCGAGATTGAGCGTATCAAGGCTCTTGTTGGACCCACTGCTGAGGTGATTGGCGCTGTTTCTGGTGGTGTTGACTCCACTGTTGCTTCTGCTATTATGAAGCAAGCTATTGGTGACAGATACCATGCCATTTACGTTGACAATGGTTTGATGAGATTATACGAGACCGAGGGTGTCAAGAAGACCTTGGACGCTGGCCTGGGCATCAACTTGACTGTTGTTGATGCTGGCAAGCTTTTCCTTTCTAAGCTCAAGGGTGTCACTGACCCAGAGAAGAAGCGCAAGATCATTGGCAATACCTTTATTGAAGTTTTCGAAGATGAGGCTGCCAAGATCACCCCCAAGAGTGGTGATGAGATTGAGTTCCTTTTGCAGGGTACTCTTTACCCTGATGTTATTGAGTCCATCTCTTTCAAGGGTCCTTCTCAGACTATCAAGACTCACCACAATGTCGGTGGATTATTGGAGAACATGAAGCTCAAGCTTATTGAGCCTCTCCGTGAGCTGTTTAAGGATGAAGTCCGTCGTCTTGGTGAGATTTTGGGAGTCCCCCACGACCTTGTCTGGCGCCACCCCTTCCCTGGCCCCGGTCTTGCCATTCGTGTTTTGGGTGAGATTACTGAGTCTCAACTTGACATTGCCCGCAAAGCCGACCACATTTTCATTGAGGAGATTCGTAAGGCTGGCATTTACGAGGAGATTTCTCAGGCTTTTGCTTGTCTGCTCCCTGTCCGCTCTGTTGGTGTTATGGGTGACAAGAGAACTTACGAGCAAGTCATTGCTCTTAGAGCCATTGAGACAACTGACTTTATGACTGCTGACTGGTACGTTTTTGACGCCAAGTTCCTTAAGAACGTTTCTAAGAGAATTGTCAACGAGGTCCAGGGTGTTGCTCGTGTCACTTATGACATCACCTCCAAGCCTCCTGCCACTGTTGAATGGGAGTAAATTGGGTATATGCTACTACTACTACGACATATTATATTTTATATATATCTACTACTACTACACATATTTGGGAATTTTTTTTGTTGTTTTATATTATTAGCTTAGATGTTGAAATACACAATCAGATAGACACTTGTTCACGGATGACTGTTGCAAAGACATACTCACCATCATGACTGATTGTTAGATGGAATCTTTCTTTAGGGTGTTTTTCAGAATACCTGTTATTTATGATTGTTGGTTTACGGAACCGGTCAACGTTTGGTAAAGAGTCTTGTTTCAGATTCACTGGGAGTACCGATTCCCGGTGCCATTTGTTGAAACGACAGTGGGCTTGATCAATAGGATCAAGAGTCTTATAAAGGGCTTCCTTGACGGCCCAGCATGTTGCGAGATACTTTGCAGCGAGTTCGATACCGGTGCCTGCACCGTTTGCTGCGGTTGGTGTTTGAAGCAGCGCGTGAAACTTGGGAGCCTCATGAGACGGGTGTAATACGCGAGAAGCCATGCGAGCAGCCCGGGGCCCGGAGGCGATGGCGATAAACCGAGGGATGTGAGCAATGTCGGATCCGAGTCCGAGGATCATTGCGGTTGGAAAGGGGGATGGCTTACAGGGGGGATGGCGGCTATCGGAGGATAATGAGGCAAGAAAGAGCCCGGGTGTAGTTTAAAGAGATAAGCACTGAAAGGGATGTGTGGATATGTGGATATTAAATTGAAAGGGAGTTTGTTTGTTTGTTTGTTTGTTTTTTAACAAGGTGACTCTTTTGGGTCAAAAAAAAAAGTTGACACCCACCAAGGCAAATACATATAAAAAGGTCTTGAACTGCTGCGTTTGAGATTTTTTTTTCTTTCTTTCTTTCTTTCTTTCTTTCGTTTTTCCTTAAGATCATTCAATCTGAACTATCTGGACCGAGTCCCGTTCAAGTACCCGTCTTGTCTTCGTCGTCGTCGGTTTTTTTTTTCATAGAAAAGTACCCCCCCCCCCCTTAAATATAGGCCACTTTTAATAATATTTTTATTATAAAATCACAGTAGCCATGGCTTCTTCTATTCCTGGTCCTCGACCTTTACCCGATTCCCCCGACGACTTGACCACTTATTGGGGCCGCGTCAAACATTGTGCTGGTCTAAGTGATCCTCGGTAAGTTTTTTTTTTTGTATTTACAAAAAGGCTTTTCTGTTTATTTTCAATCCATTTTCTTTTTATGATTGATTGATTGAATTTTTTTTTTTCAATCTTTGGATGGTTTTGATACCAAATCAACTTTTTTTTTATATACCCTGAGCTACTACACTCCCCGCACTGTTTATGTCACACTCTGAAACTTTAACTAACTCGCTTGATTCAAAGAATGCTTCTCAATACCTCCAAGGATATTGAAAATGCAAAGGATCTCATTTCCCAGTATCGCAATGGCATCCTGCCACCCACAATGACACCCGAGCTTTGGCACGCCAAACAAATACTGGACTCGACTCTGCACCCGGACACCGGTGAGCCAGTTTTGTTGCCGTTCCGCATGTCGTCCTACGTACTATCCAACTTGGTGGTGACTGTGGGCATGTTGACCCCTAATCTAGGCACTGCTGGAACTCTTTTCTGGCAAATTGCAAACCAATCGCTTAACGTGGCCGTTAACACTGCCAACGCAAACAAATCGCACCCCCTCACAACTACTCAACTTGTCACATCGTATCTGCTTGCTGTTTCTGGGTCTTGTGGTGTGGCTCTTGGTCTTAATGCCATTGTCCCCCGCTTACGCTCCATTTCCCCCAGCACCCGTACCATTCTGTCTCGTCTGGTACCCTTTGCTGCTGTCGTTACTGCCGGTGTTGTTAACGTAGGGCTAATGCGTAGCGGAGAAATCAGAAAGGGAATTTCGGTTTTTCATACAAACCCAGAAACCCATGAAGTTACAGATCTCGGTAGATCTAAAGTGGCTGCGAAGTATGCCGTCGGTGAAACCGCATTGTCCCGAGTCATCAATGCAACACCCATCATGGTCATCCCACCGCTCATTCTTGTTAAGCTGCAAAAGGGCTTTCTCAAGGGCAAGTCTCGTTTTGCTGAGACTCTGGTAAACCTTGGACTTATCACAATCACGTCATTTGCTGTGCTGCCTTTTGCTCTGGCCATTTTCCCCCAGACCAAAACAATTTCTGTTAAACATCTGGAGGACTCGTTCCACGGAATTAAAGACAAAAATGGTAATGAAATCAAGCAGGCTTGGTTTAACAGAGGCATGTAAGCTAAAATACTATATTATACTACTAATACTACTAAAAGTACAAATTAATTCTATCAATTATAAATTATTATTAAAAAAAAAAAAAAAGAAGCCGGGTTTATCATAATCATTAGCAAAAAAAAAAGGAATTTTTTTTTTTCATCCCCAATATTTCCAATCAAAACCTTCAAGTTGGGCACGGTTAAGACTCAAAAACTCGTCATGTGAAAAGTGTGCCACATCTAGTCCAGTCGCCAATCCAACGCCGGGCCCGCCCAGCACCGTTTCAAAAATTTCAAAGCCATTTTTGGTATTTTCCAAACGAGCACGAAACTCATCGAGCCGCTCGTCGATTGTAGCCGCAGCACTCTCGGTATCATTTTCCACATCATCAACATGTAATAGGGTAATGGCACAGCCACCGCCGCCAGCCCCTGTAAGCTTAGTCTCACCAATATGCAGCTGGTCGCCAATAGATTTGACTTTTTCAAGTTTAGGGTGTGACACGCCAAGTGACACAAGAAGACCATGATTAATGCGGATAAGTTGCAAAAGACGCTTAACAGCGTCAGGGCTTTCGCCCACAGTTTTAACAGGTAGCGCAAGACCCGTTTTTTTGGAAGGAGTGTTGCTACCAGAAACATCAGTGTGACTCGTTTCTGAGGTGCGTTCAGCAGACCCCAAAAGAACAAATGCCTCTTGTGTGACATGCTCAATAGCGTCCAAAATGGACTGTGTACCGCTTTGAAATGTTTCATAAAGGTCGCCAACGCGCGCAACAAGATCCTTAGTGCGGCGGGGGTGCTTGGTATTGGTCAGCAACAGCTTGAGTGCGGGGAAGCGCTTCATGGGGATGAGGGTCGAGGGACGTTGGAACAAGACAGCGCCGCCGCGACATGCTACGGTATTATCAATACCCGAGGGGTTCCCGTGCAAACACTTTTCACCAATGTAAGACCACTTGTTGATGAGGTCGTGGTCGGCATTGCCCAAACAAAGGACTGAGGTGGTGGAGGCCAAAGCAGCTGCAGCCGTGGCTCGGGCAGCCTCTGTGACTGTGGCATCGGTTGTGGCAGAAGGAGAAGTTGAAGAACCATCAATTTTGTTGGAGGAAGAAGAAGAAGAAGACTCTAAAGTAGGGGTGATTGGTGGGGTTGACAACAGGTCAGATGCTGCTTTTTCAAACACATTTTCAATGTTGTTTTTGTCTTCGTGTGTAGGTGCGCGGCTTAGGGGGGGTTCTTCCTCAACAGTAGGAATGGAGAGCTGTTGGGTCAACGTCAGAAATGCCGTTGAAAGACATACTGCATAAGTTGCAGAAGAGCCGAGACCAGCACCCACGGGTAAAGTTGACTTGGTTACAAAAGTATGAGCTGGGGTAGAAGGGTCGCAGATATGTAGATAAAGATAGAAAAAGGCGAGAAGAGCAGCGTATTGAAAGGAGTTTGTAGTCTTGGGTTTGAGAATATTGTGAAGCTCGGAGACAATATGCTCGTCAAGATTGAGCTCGTCAAGAGATTGGGCTGCAGCTGTAGACGAAGTGGAAGAGGAGGATGCTGATGAAGGACGAGATCCAGGAGGGGTATCGTCAAGTTTCTGGACCAAATGCCAGGGTAAAGAAGCAGTAGGACACTCAAACTTGAGGCCGACGTCTGGGAATTCGAGACGAATAACATTGTCAGTAGCCAAGTCATTTGGAGTTACATAGAGGTAAGTTCTAAGCGAGAGAGCTGCAGCAATTGCTGGCTTGTTATAAACGGCAGCATGCTCGCCAAAGATAATGACCTTTCCAGGGGCCGAAACAGCAAAAGTAGGGAGCAGACTGGCGGTCATAGCTTTGAAGGAAGGGATAATAAACGAGGGTAGAGAAATTTTATATATATATTAGTAGTATTAAAAAAAAAAAGGGAAATTCTATAGGAGATTTTCCATGTATTTATAGATATTGGGAATATGGATGGTGATGAAATATTTGACAAGAGAGGGGAGGTTGGGCGGGGGAAAAGATAGTATTTGTGTTGGTCAAAAATCAAATCAAGGAGATTTTTAATTCCAATAAAGATGGTTAAAAAAAGAAAGTAATAAATAAATTAATAAATAAAAAGGTTGCCAAATTTATGTTACAAATGAATGTAATTGTAACATATTTTGTCACTTGCACAGCCGTATATTGTATTATATAATTTTTTTTTATGTGAAATTTTTCTTCTGCCAAAATCAAAAAAAAAAAAAAGATAAAATTTAAAATTTAAAATTTAAAAATAAATAAAAATAAAAAAAATTAAAATAAATTAAAAATAAAAATAATAATAATAATAAAAAAAAAAACACATCCGCGTAAAAACATCTTCTAAATCAACACAAAATGACAACTGAAGAAGACGCCCAACAAATCTCATCTACAGCTCAGGTCCAGATCCGTTTGGTCACCCGCGATGAGCGGTACGCTGTTCCATCAGTGCCTCTTTACGTTCCCGTCTCGCTCAAGCGATATGGTCTCAGTGAAGTTGTCAACAAGCTTTTGGAACAAGGTCATGAGGACCGTGTTGCAGAAAGCTCGCTTCTTCCTGGTGAGACCGAGACCGAGGGGTATCAAACAACACCCTTTGACTTTTTGACTGACGACGGCAAGCTGCTGCGTGCAACTCTGGCCGAGTATCTGTCGCAGCGAGGGTTGTCTGCTGAATCAAGTGTCACTCTGGAGTATACCCGTGCCATCCTGCCGCCATCTTTCCTGGCCTCTTACGCACACCCAGATTGGGTCTCGGCCGTTAGCATTGCACCAGAAACTGTGGCCAATACCAAGGTCTCAGCCCATGCTCCCATCGCATCTGGTTCCTATGACGGTATCATCCGGTTGTGGACCGCCGCGGGCTCTGTGGCCCACAGTCTTGTGGCCCACAATGCAGCCATCAAAGCTGTGCGCTGGACCTCTGCCTCGTCTTTGGTTTCCGCAAGTAACGACCGCATGCTGTGTCTGTGGAAACTCAAGCCTGAGAGTAACACAAATGACAATGATGATAATACTGTTAATACCATCACTGCTGCATCGTCGATCGATGCACTGCTGCGCGGACACACGGATGCCGTCAACAATGTGTCCGTGGCACCATCCACACTGGCTTCCGGAGCCCCTGCTCGTGGTGACATTTTGTCTGCATCTTCCGATCACACGGTTCGTCTTTGGTCCTCAGACTACTCCACTCTTCCAGTCTACGAGGCTCCTGAGTCCGCCTCTGCGTCCGCCAAAAACACTGCGTCTCAGAAGCGTCGTAAGCTGGCCCAAGCTTCTCTCCCAGCCGCCCGCTCCCGCGCTCCACTACTTACCCTTGCCGCCCATACTGCCCCAGTCACTGCTGCAATTTTCCACCCAGCTCCAGGGCATGCAAACTCTGTTGCATACTCTGTCTCGCTCGATCACACGCTCAAAACTTGGGATCTGACGGGCGCCGGTGCCGTAGTTGTGTCGCGCACCACTTCGTTCCCTCTGACTTGTCTTGCTGCGTTGCCTGATCTTGGGTTGCTGGCCATTGGCTCCTCTGCACGCCACATTTTACTGCACGACCCACGCAGTGGCAATGATGCAGGTGCTGGAGGTGATTCTGGTGATGCTGCGCTTTCCAAGGCCACACTGACTGGTCACACAAACTTTGTGACTTCCATTGCTCCCTCGCCATATTCTAACTACGTATTTGCATCCAGTTCCATGGATGGCACCGTGCGCGTGTGGGATGCCCGTGCGCAGTCCAGCTTGTATGTTTTGCCTCGTGAGTCGGGCCAAAAGGGTTTGGGCGGTGTTGCTGGAGTTTTTGATGTTGACTGGGCAAAATCTATTGGCATTGTTTCTGGTGGCAAAGATAACCAGTTGCAAATCAATTCATCTGGCTTTACAAATTAAGAATTTTTGGAAATTTAAAATCTTTTATTTCTTCTAACTTCATTAAATAAATTTAAAACATACACCTTATCCTCACTAATGACAATATATTGTCCATCATTATTAGTACTATTATTATTATTATTAAAAAAAAAAAGTTTAGGAATCGTTAATCGTCATAATTTTTTTAGTCGTAGTTTTTTTTTTTTTTTTTGCTGTTTCTTTTTTTTTCAATTTAAATTACTCCACAGTAACAGACTTGGCCAAGTTACGGGGGTAGTCGACATTATAACCCTTCTTGACTGCCAGCCAGTATGACATGAGCTGCAGGGGAATAACATTGAGAAGACCCTGTAAACAGTCAACAGTGGTGGGGACCTCAAGGGTCTTGAGGTTCTTGCCAAAGTCATCACCCTTATTGCAGATGATAAAGGGCTTACCGCTACGGGCAGTGACTTGCTCAATAGCCGAAGAAACCTTGGGGAATAACGAATCACGAGTAGCCATAATGATAATGGGCAGATCCTTGTCAACAAGGGCAAGAACACCATGTTTCAGTTCACCGGCAAGAACACCTTCCGAGTGCATATATGAGATTTCCTTAATCTTAAGGGCACCTTCCAGGGCTGTGGCAAATTGATAACCACGGCCCAAGAGCAGCAGCGACTTTTGGTTAAGCAAGTCAGTTTCAATAACTTCCTTGAGAATACGATCATTCAAGTTAAGAACCTCTTGAATCTGGGATGAAATATTCTTAAGACCTTGGATAATGTCACGGCGGCGCTCAATCATGGAGACTCTGTCATCGGAAAGAGAAAGAGCCATCAAAACAAGAGCCACGTACTGAGAAGTATAAGCCTTGGTGGAGGCCACACCGATTTCTGGACCAGCGTTGATGTGGACACCACAGTGTGTTTGTCTGGAAATAGAAGAACCAACTGAGTTGACGATACCAACAGTAAGAGCGCCGCGGTCAAGACAGTATTGGAGAGCATTCATAGTGTCTGCAGTTTCACCAGATTGCGAGACAAAGACACAAGTATCGTCACGGAAAACAGGAGAGCGTCTATCTAAAAAGTCTGAGGCAAGCTCAACGGAAACGGGGATTTCAGTGAGCTCCTCAAAGATGGATCGGGTGGCCAAGCACGAATGATATGAAGTACCGCAAGCAATCATAATGATGCGACGGCAGCGGCGAATGGTGGTAAGCCAAGAGCGCAGGCCTCCGAGCTGGACAGTATTATTTTCAAAGTCGATACGGCCACGCATAGTGTTGATGACTGACTCTGGTTGTTCGAAAATTTCCTTCTGCATGTAGTGGTCATACTTGCCCTTCATGATTTGCTGGAGCTCGAGCTCGAGGGTGTCAATGGTGCGGACAAGCTTGTCGTCCTCATTTCTGCGAACGCGGTGAATGTGGAGCTCGCCGTCGTAAATGTGGGCAATATCGTCATCCTCAAGGAAAAGGACCTTGCGGGTGTGCTCGACAACGGCAGCTGGGTCTGAGGCGAGGAAAAATTCAATAGGGAGGGGTTGGTCGTCCTCAGACAAAAAGGCACGTGATTGTGAGTGTCTCAGGTTCTCGGCAAGGGGTCTGCCAGGCACAGTCAGCGAGTTCGATGATCTAGCGGCTGCTGCTGCAGCTGAAGCAGCTGAAGAAGCGGCTGATGGTGACAATCCACCAGCACTGCCCAAGGCGCGGTTAGAACCTGCAATTGAGCTGCTTCCTGCAATGGTAAGGGTTGGTGCAGAATCGCTAGAAAGGAGGGTACCAGAGTTTTGAAGAGCTTCCGAAGCGTCGCCAAACTCCACATCGACAAAGTCAACCTTAAGCTTCTTTTCAGTCTTAACGCCGACAAGCAGGGGGGAGCCCTTGCGGGTGGCGACGAGCTCGTGGGGGTAGTGAGTGGATTTGATGATAAGACCGTAGGCACCCTCAAGCTCCTTGACGACGAGCTTCAAAAGCTGTGAAAAGTCCACCTTGTCAGTAGTATCGTAGATAAATTTGGTGAGCTTTGCAATGGCTTCTGTATCAGTTTCCGACTCGAAAATGTAGTTGCGCGATTCCAGGAACGCCTTGACTTCCTTATAGTTTGTAATAATACCATTGTGGACAACAGTGAACTCATTGTTAGGATCGGATCGCTGGGGGTGGCAGTTGATGGTTTTAGGTTCACCGTGGGTAGCCCAGCGAGTGTGGGCAATGCCAACATGGTTTTCAAGGACCTCGTCAACGTCTGGGTTAGAAGCTTCGATTTTCTCCTTAAGGGCCTGGACCTTGCCGACTTGGCGATAGATGCTGACTTCACGGTCACCATTGGGAAGGAGGGCACCATCAATAGCGAGACCAGCAGAGTCGTAGCCACGGTACTCCTGGCGCTGGAGGCCTTCAATGAGGGTGTTGAGAATTTCACCACGAGTCTTGGGGACGAGGTAATTCAAGTAGCCAAAGATACCACACATGATGAAGAGAATAAGAGGATAAGATTTGATTAATAAGTAAGAAGTTAAACCAGATAGAGATTAGAAATTAAATACAGAACCAGAAGAAAGCTATGTGAAAAAAAAAAACAAAAAAAAAACAAAAGAATGGATAGAAAGAAAGGGTTTAAAGGAAGGAAAAGATGAGATTTGGCAAAAAAAAAAAAAAAAAAAAAAGGTGGGAATCGGCAGTCTTTTTATACGGCGGTTTGGGTGGGAAGTAAACAAATATTCTGTTGCTAAATTTAGACTCAGCCATGACAGGGTGGCTGTCACAGCAAAACAAAAGAGCCTCAGCCAGCCAGCCCAGCCAGCCAGAAAAAGGGGCACCAACAACAACAACAACAACAACAATTACAATTATAATTATAATAATAATAATAGTAACACTAATAATAAACTAATAATAAACTAATAATAAATTAATAAATAAATTAATAATATTAATATTATACACAGAAAAAATCAAATCAAAGACCCGACCAACAATCACCCAGAAACTCGCCCAGATCCACCGCTCGTTCGGTGGTACCGCTGCAATCGTGCACGCTCATGCTCATCCTGAAGTCGTCGCTCCTGTAACTGCGCCTTGATCTGTTGCTCCACCTGTCGCTGCAACCGCTCAATAAAGTCCGGACTTTGGCGCGCTGCTGCTGCTGCTGCTGAAGAAGATGATGATGATGATGATACCGGGCCCAAATTAATCTTACTGCTATTATGGCCAGTTTCTGAAGAAGAAACCCGAGTCGCTGTCTTGCGATTGTTGCTCCGAGCACTACTGCTGCGGCTCACAGCTTCTAAATCAATCAACGCAGCCTCAAGGTCATCAGCAGATGAAACTAATAGCGACTCAAGAGAGTCTCGATCCCGGTCACGATCACGACCCCGCGCAAGCCCTCGGTAAGATCGCGCCCCAGATGCTGTCGGCATGTATCCAAATGATGATGAAGACAATGGCACGTAGATTGAAGAGGTCGAAGACACAGCAGTATTATTACTGGCTCCCATAGTGGCTGCTGCTGCTGCCGCCGCCGCCGTTGCTGCTCCCGTCGTAGTAGTAGGCAAGTAATACTGCAACTGGTGGTACCCAATGTCTTCACCAGGACCACCGCCACCACCACCGCTCTTCCATGCCTGCGCCAATCGCTTGCTGGCTCGTCGCCGTTCGCTCATGCTCATGCTCGATTTGGGAGTCGCAGTCAACGTACTGCTGCTGCTCATTGTAGGTCCCAACGACATGCTACCTCCAGACTCTTCGCTTAACCCTCGGCTATGAACACTGCGTAGTCGCGTGTGATGGTGAGAAGACGATACCGGCGTCATGGCTGCAGACACAGGCCGCACATACTCTCCAACCCGCTCAGGAACCGCGGCCCGCACAGAACCAAAACTGAGCCGAAGATCTCCGTCGTAATCGTACCGATCTCGCTCCTCATCTGCATACCGGCCATCATCATCTTCTTCAACAGCATAACGACTAACATAGCCCAAATCCTCATACCTTTGTCGTTCATCCTCCTCATCCTCATTCTCATCATCATCATCTTCTTCTTCACTGCGGTATCCACCGTAATGTCGTGAAGAGCCATTGCCACCACCCCGCAGCCGCTCAGCAAGATATCCATGGCTGCCTTCGTTACTGCTGCTACTAGCAAACTCGCTAACCACGCGGCGATGTTTCTGTAACTTGGGCTTGGAATATTGAAGCTGTGAATGCTTCGGCATCCCCTTTTTGCTGTAGGCTGGTTTAAGCGCCAGCTGCTGATGCTGCTGGTGCTGATACAGCGGCCGACCTGAAAATGCAGAGGTTGATGACGACGATGATGACGATGACGAAATGGGTGCCCCAGGGCCCCTCTGACTGCGAGACCGCTGAACACCTGTAATATCATATCCGTTGTCGATCTCTCCACCGTAATCCCATCGGCGCTGCTGCTGTTGTCTGCTAGGAATCGTCGTCATTGACATTGAAGTCGACAGCTTCTTAGGAACAGATACTGTGCTGCTGCTGCCGCTGTCCCCGCCAATTGTGCTCTTCTTATTGCCCTTCTTCTTCTTCTTCTTTTTGTCGCCACTCCGCACAACAAGCATAGATGTCCCGTCTGCTCCTTCCAACTGCAGCTCTTTCTGGCGCCGCCATCGCTCCTGCCGCAGCTCCTGCCGTCGCACCAGCTCGTCCAGTTGTGCATCCAACCGCGCCATTTCTCGCAAGTGCCGTCTCTTGGTATCGTCCACAACAGAGCGGCCATACCCGCCAAACTCCACTTCGTGATCATAATACCCAATTTCCTCTTGCGCATGTCCTCCCCCCCTTTCAAATCGATTGTCGTTAAAATCGCTGTTACTATAGTGGTGGTCATGCGCCTCGTAATACTGGGGAAGCGCCTCTGAAATCGAAACAGATTTATGGTGGTGCGGCTTTACCGATGGTAGCGGCTGAGAAACTTTCTGTTGTTGTTGTTGTCGTTGCTGCCGTTGCTGCTGCTGCAACTTCAAAGTCGCTGCTTCGTCCAAAGTCGCTGAGTTTTTGACGTCTTGCTGCCGCTGATTTTTCTTCGGTTTCTTCTTCTTGATCGCCACAGCTTCCGTAGACCCGTCCCACGTGCCGCTGGGAACACTTGGCTGCTCTGATAGTCGGCTCGCAGGCGGTGTGTAGAAAATGTCACCATCGTCTGCAAATCCAATCGATCCCACCATGGCCGCTGCCGCCACCATCCCAGTGCTTCCACCCGCTCCAACCGAGTACAAAGACGACTCTGCAGAATATAAAGACCCGCCAACAGGACCCCCAAGAACCTCCCCCTGCAGCTGCTGCGGCTTCTTCGGGCCAACGCCGGCCGTCACAAGCGACAACTCAGCGGCACCTTGCTGAGACTCGCTGTGAATATGTTTCTGTAGTGGCTTTCGCTTTCCTTGACCAGATAAAGACGTTGACAGTGGAGTTGACCCTTGGGTGGTCTTCGGTATGACTTGCTGCGGCTGCTGCTGAGATATCGATATCGATGGTGATGGACCCACCAACAATTCCCTGGTCTGTTTGGACTGCCTAGGGACTCTGATCTTCTTGCTTGCTCCCACGTGTGCAATATCCCCACGGCTGTAGCTACCAGAATTCTCAAAGTCCTCCAGTTCTTCCTCATCTTCATCATCATCATCCTCATCATCATTATCATCGGCCTCAAAATCGTCGTCCTCGTCGTCGTACCAACCATCGTCACTGTACCCAAACAACGGCGGACCACTCACATTCTTCTTAGGCTCATGTAGGTTCTCACTCACAATATCTCTGCTGCTGTTGCTGCTCTCTACACTCTCGTTGCTTTGCTTGCTCCGCTTGCTGGTCTGTCTGCTGGCTGTGCTCTTGTGACTTCTTCGGCTCCCACTCGTACTCTTCAGTGCTGTTTGCCCAGCTGCTGTAGCTTCAGCCGCCGCAGCCGCCGCAATCGCAAGCTCCGCATCTTTTAATGTCGGCCCTGAAGACTGTCCTGAAGAAGACCGCGCAGAATGTCCAGATGCCCGCATCGAATACGACGCGCGTGTCACTTGTCTCGGAGCAACAAAATTCTCGTAGTGCTGCTTTAATTGCGCTGCCCGCTCTCGTACTGCTACCTCTGCCTCGTTCTGTCGTCGCGTAAACCACTCTTGTCGCTCAAGCTCTTCTTCGGCATTGGGAATTGAAGGTAATGAAGGTTCTTCTTCGTCGTCGTCATCACCATCATAACGATTACTATCATAGTATGGCGTAGCTGAACTTTGTGGAGGTGGTGGTGGCTGCTGGTACCGATCTTGGCTTTTCTTATTTGCCTCCCCAGATTTATCACTCTTGACATTTGCTGCTGCTGGTAACTCGTGTTGCTCCAGAACCGCCCACTTGCCTTCACTCTGTAAAACCTGCGGCGTCTTGTCATTGGGATCCTCGTCTTCCTGCTCATTTTCGTTTCTTTGAGACATGCGTTGGTGGTTTTCCCTTTGTGCCGCTTGGAACTGGCTTTCGTTAAAGCTTGTTCGGTGATTTACAAACTCATCATCATCGCGTAAGGCTCCACTGTTTCTGCTGACACCAGCCGTCCCTCGACTAGAAGAGTCCTTGCTGGTCCGCTTGTGTCGAATTGTCTCCGCTGCAGCTGCAATCTCATCCGAAAACCTAGTTGTTGCTGCCATCCCTGGTGTCGCTGTAGCTGTAGAAAAGTCTGGGCTTGGAACCATCTCGTCTTCTTCCTCCTCAGTCCTCTTAACGTGCTCATCTTCTCCAAGAACAACGGCAATGGTTGAAGATGGCTTGACCATAATAGCTGCAACAGCCTCAGGGGAAGTGGCAACCGTAGTAGGATCAGAAACTGATTTAGACATGGGCACAGACTCTACAGTCTGCACAGAATCAGGCTGCGACGTCTCCCGAACAGGATCCACAGCTTTAGGTCTTCCATGCTCGCCTGTCACATCGCCCTCCTCTTCCCATTCATCCTCGTGCGAAGTACTGTAGTGGCCATCATCATCCGTGGTCGACGTCGTCATTGACGCTTGAGTAGCATTGACGGTAGTGGCGGCGGCAGCAGCAGCCTCCGCAGCCTTTACTGCTGCAGCTTCTGCTTTCAAAAACTCCTTTTCGCGCTGTCGCTGAAGAGCCTGTCGCTGTCGCTTCTTCTCCATCCGCCGCTTCATCTTGCGTGCCTTGCGCTGCTCCTCAAGAATCATCTCCTGTAGACGCGTCATGTCACGCTCGCGCTCGTCGTCCTTCTGCGCTTGCAACAATAGCATCTGGTACTGCGCCTGTAGTCGCTGACCATTGGTCCCCAGTACAAGCTCCTCCTCATTCTCCTCCGCAATGCTGGAAGTAGAGTACCCATCAAGTCCAACATTGAACCCAGAAGGCCCCCCGCTAAACGAAGTGTACATGGTAGGAGTCGTCGAAGAAGGTGCATATAAAGACCCAGAGCTTGGAGATTTCAAGCTGATGTGCATTCGTGGTGCTGGTTGGTAAACTTCTCCGTTTTGTGTGTCATTGTCGGAACCTTGGTCATTCTGCACAAGTTTCTCAAGTGACTCGTTGACGCGCGCCAAGTCTGCGCTGCGCAACGATGGCACAGACATGACCGCACGTAATAGTGAAGTAGAAGACGTCATGGCGACAGCCGCAGCTGCTAATGCTGGAGAAAGTGGTGGAACTGGTGACCCTGAAGTTTGCATAACCACTCGGCGGTAAGGTCCCTGCCGTCGGATCGAGCGCGCACGCGAGCTGACAGATGAGCTTCGACTGACTGAATCACCGGCACCAGCATTAGACCGTGATCGTGAGGCCCGTAGGTTTTCACTAGGCTCAAGTAAAGAGCTGTCCAGAGTGGCATGCAAGTTGCTAGTACTGCCATCATCTGCGCCAACGTCTGGCGATGACAAAAGAGAAGGCACCTCTTGAACAGGCTCCAGTTGGGAACCAAATGCAGAAACTGGAGGTGGTCGAAAAAGAGCATGCTGGTAAGCGTATTGCTGTTGTTGTTGTTGTTGTTGGTACTTGAGATGTTGGTCATATAATTGCTGTTCATTTTCAATACGGGGTTCATCTGTGGACCGCTGAACTGGCTCAATCTCACCAGGAACCGAGTCGCTGGGCCGTCGGTGGGGAATGTACTGCTTAGCCATTTTATCAGGAGAATCTGGCCGCACAGGCGACGTGATGGGACCAAGCCGCGACTTAGATTGCTGAGGAATAGTCCCTGGTGTGTATGCGCCCATGCCAATGTTAGAATCGAGAAGACTTGTGTTGCCAGTCATGGTAGGCATTGTGCCACCAAGACCACCGGCCTTATTCTTGTGTTTGCGTGAGATTCTGCGCGCGCCAGACAAGATGCGATATCGACGCGATTTCTTTGTGTTATTGTTATTGTAAGAAGAAGACCCAGTAGGGGCCAACGATTCGAACGGCGTACTTCCTACAAAGTAAGAAGAAGAAGAAGAAAATTCTTGGTTATCTTGCTGTTGCTTTTCGCCCTTTTTCCGCTTAAGAAGGCCAAATGAAATAAAAGAAATAAGCGCACTGTTGAAACTCTTGGGAGCTGGTGCAAACTGGTTAGTGGTGAAGGCCACTGATGGGCGAGAAGTAGGAGCAATGGCTGCTTTGGTGGTAGGAGTAGTAGTATTGGTACCAGGACGGCGCAAAAGCGAGGCTGAGAGAGATACAGAAAGCGACGGTTTTTTCTTGTGCTTGTTTGACGGTTCCAAAATGGTGACTGGGACATGGTCGACACTTCTCAGAGAATGAATTTGCACTGTATTTACCTGCGCTGCTGGTTCCGGTGCTTCAGATGACAAGCTGATTGGGTCAATGGTTGCGACGTTTCGTTTTGATGGCGTGGGGGCCAAGGCCAAAGGCGTAGATGATGTCTGTAAAGGAGACGGTGAGATGGCTGTTGCAAAACTGGCAGCTTCGCTGGTGACCACATAGTCAGCCAGACTGGACTCAGCCATTTTAGGAGAAACAATATTCTGCTCCATGTTTTCGAGAGAAACTTTGCGGTGATGTCGAGAAGGTTGGATCGGGGGGGAAATAATTGCAGGTGAATATTCAAGTTTCTTTTGCTCAGGCGGATGGGCAAAACACTCCCCAATTGCGTCTTCCAGTGGAATGGTATTATTTTCGTCTTGGGTGCTGCGGCTGGGCCCTTCACGATCTTCACTTTGGTCATCACGGCGACTATTTTTCCTTCTTTTGCTCTTGTCTTTGCGCAGTTGCTGGGCTTCTGCGCGAGCCCGCTGAGTGTCGAGGATCTGTTGCTGAACCTGCTCAAACAGAGGCATTGCGTCTTCTGTGAGGTCGTCGAAAAGATTGGAGTGTGTACGAGTTTTAATTTCTCGGATCTCGATCCGGTCCTCAATCATCGACTCGTCCAATGATACATTTCCTAGAGAATCCACATGTTGTCGTCGTCGCTGATTATCTGCTCCAGATCTGCGTCCTGAAAATGTAGGTGCGGTAGAGGGGATGCTGAGATGGCGGGTCTGTGATCCATTTTCAGGGATAGATTCATCTTGGTGGAATGATTTTTTGGTACAGTCTTCCTGTGAAGTTTCTGGAAGTTGTTGCTGATGCAAGGTAAAATACTCGGTATCGTCTTCTTCTTGGATAGGAGCCTCTTGGGGTAAGTTGCTTACTCTACTGTTGCGAATTGATTTTAAAATTTCTGTGCTGCTATTAAGCCCTGCTTCATCAAACAAAGAAACTTGGAACCCGGAAGGTGAGTAGTGTTTGAGATATGCAAATTGGCCAATATCGACAACGCTATCTTTGTCAGAAGCCATTGAAATTATATCTGCATGGAATGCATCAGTATTTGTAGAAATAGGGCTGTTGATTACTGATAGGAGTTTGTTGTTGTTGCCGCGGGGCAATGAAACTTCGGAAGAGTCCTTAATAATTGCCAAGGATTGAGTAGAGACTGAACCTGGTCTGTGGAAGAAAACTGTATCTTCAATCATTTGTTCATCATTGTGGATATTGTAGTGGTTGTCGTTGTCGTTGTCGTCTAAGTGTTCAAGCTGAGCAAGGTCTTGGAGTTGGTGGAGCCGACTTTGCTGAAGAGCAAGTTCATGCTGCATAAGCTGCATATGTTGTATATGGTTATCTTCCTCTTCGCTATCGAGAGGAAATGTTTCAGAGTTTCCGCTAAAAAAGGTTTGAGAATGGCGATATTCGGCCCGCTGTTGTTCCTCGCGAAGTTTGTGTTGAAGGTCGTCGACCTGGAGTTGCTGAAGGTGAGCATGCCAGGCAATCAGACTTGAAGAAGACTTGTTAGGAATCTGAGGTCGCTCGTAATAAACATGGTCGAAGGAGCCTGGATCGCGTTGAGCCAAGTATCTTTCATGGAAAGGTGGAGGAGGGTCTGCAATGTAGTGGTTGGAGGTGTAGGTGGTAAAGATGTCGCGATGGATATGCTTGCGGATGTATCTGATTTTGTTTGCAAGGTCGAGAAGAGCATCTTCTGGGTCTGTTTCTGGTGATAAGAGAGATGCGCGACGTGTGGCGATGGTGCGTAGGTCGCTGAGCGATGTGAGCACAGTATGGCCGCGCAGACTCTGGTCGAGGAGCGCAATGGAGCGGGGGTTGGGGTATTGGGGGACAATTTTAATATTTGACTGGCGCACAATATCTGAGATTTCATTGTCGAGCTGAGCAAGAAGTTTAAGGGTGTCTGCAGGATCGTGAGGGGGGAAAGATGAACTAGTTGAGTTTATTGGTGACGGTCCCACGATAAGGTCTGGGCTATCTGAGTTTAATGGAGAAGATATTTGAGGATTTGGGCTATTGATGATAGGAATTATTGGGTGAATTTGGAGTTGAGCTGGGGTCTTTCTAACCGTTGCACGGTTCTGGGAAGATGAATTTCCCATGGCGCTAAAGTGGTGAAGAAAAAGAGAAAGGTTTTGTTCTAATTGTGAGAATTATTCAAAAGAAAAAGAAAACAAAAAGACTTTTTTAATGTTGAATTTAAAACGATATAGAATATAAGATTGAATATTTGATTTTATTTTAGATATTTTATTTTGAATATTTTGAATAGAAGAATGGTGGTGATTAAATAAGTCTGGCTGGTTTTAAAAAAAAAAAAAAAAAAGGAAAAGGAAAAAGAAAAAAATTGGCTGCTGTTGCTGCTGCTGCTGGCTGGGTTGCCCAAAAAAAAAAAAAAAAAATTCAACACCGCCCAAAATGAAATTCTTTAAACAACCAAAAATGGTAAAAAAAAAAATCTTAACTTTTTTCTTTTGTTTAAAACCTTTTTTTAGACGAATATATGCCTAAAAAGCAAAAAAAAAAAAAAAAAAAAAAAAAAGAAACTCAGATAGATGAAGACTTTATAACAAAAAAAAACCCTCTCTAGTTCCTTTTTTGTGTGTGCATATATATATATATATATGCGTAGAAAGTGTCTCGGCTACACTGTGAGTTGACGCACAATTGTCTGAAAACAGCGGCAGTCACCCTTTTAGGAGTTGATTTTTTTTTTTTTGTTTCTTTGTATATAATTGAGGAAAAAAAAATAGGCTGTCTTGAGAGCTTAAAGAATAAAGAAACAAGCGATTATTATAATTATTATCAAAAGAAACAATTGTTTATAAATATATCCCTTTAAGAATCCATTTAATAATAATAATTATTTTATTATCTGTTCTTTGATATGTTTCTCAATCAAACAACCCACCAAATGAATTTTTTTTTTTTTTTTGTTCTTCTCTCCACTTATTATTTATATGGAATGAATTATTTAGAATAATTATTTGGAAAAATTATTTAGAAAATAGAAAGACACTGTGCCATTTCCATCGATCAACAGCTTCTGTTGTTGCTAGCAGTATCCCCATACAGAAAAGCTTTGCCCATCACAAACGGCCTATTCTGGCCCTGTACTGACGGTTAACGTCCCACCAATTGTAGCAAAGAGGAAAAGAGAGAAAGAAAAAAAAAAAAGATTTCATTTAGTTTAAAGTATTTTAGATCTACTATAGATTATTGCTCTATAAATAATTCACCAATTGAACTTCAAATTTTTTTTTAGTCTAATTTAGACTCTTTTTTTTTTTTGTTTAAGTATAATACCAAAGAAATACATCTTTAAACGGTTGTTTCTATTATGGTTGCTGTCAAATCTTACCTAAATGAACTTGTTATCCGATCTTTGGTAAACAAATAGATTTGTTCACTGTGTGAATTGCCTTTCAAGCATGAATAATGCGTGCAAGGCACACAAAGATATGCATAAACTTGTTTTCATTTAAGTCAAAATGGTAACTGTATATTAGTCCCAATGTATTTAGTGGTAAAGTACCCTGACATTATTAAAAATAAAAATAAAAAGAAAAAGAAAAAAGATTCGAAAGATTTTCTTTATGAAAGCTAAATTATAAATGTATATTTTATTCTTTTTTTTTAAAAAAAATTAATTATAAATACACGTGACATTATTACATTAAAAAACGCACGTGACAAAATCTATTGTAACAAAAAAACTCATATTTCATCCACCCCGTGACGACGCCTAAAAAAATAACAATAAAAAAATAAAAGTCGCCAGCACTGCCATAAACAAAAGGACCCAGCCGCCCACAACTTTCCACCCAAATCTTCAACCTTCCAACCAAACAAACCCTCCAATATGAGCTCAGATTATTCAATTCCAGCCCATCTCGCACCTTCACCTTATACCGGTGCTGGAGGCTCTTCTACTGCTGCTTCTTCAAATATTCTCTCTGCTTCTTCTTCTTCTACTACTTCTCCTTCTTCTCCTGAACGCTCAAGACCACTTCCCACAAACCCATATTCTTCATCTTCTACCAGCAATGGTAACACCAACAGAATCAACAAAATCAACAATAACGACACCACTTTCCAAATCATTGATGAAGAAAAGAAATTCAACCCCCATCTATTAGAATACTTCCGCCAAGCTGCCATTGACAAATGTGGCCTTAATTATCACATTGTATCTGTCTTTGGATCCCAGTCTACAGGCAAATCAACTCTTCTCAATGCCCTCTTTGGTACCCGCTTTGACGTCATGAATGAAATTCAACGACAACAAACAACAAAGGGTATCTGGATGGCTGCAGCTACAAACATATCCTCTCAACCAATCTTCTCTTCTTCTTCCTCTCTCGCCTCTCCATCTTCTTCCTCTTCATCTCTTTCCTCATCTCCAAACTTATTAATAATGGACGTGGAGGGTACAGATGGTCGTGAGCGTGGTGAAGATCAAGACTTTGAACGCAAGTCTGCCCTCTTTGCCCTCGCCACTTCGGAAATCCTCATTGTCAACATGTGGGAAAATCAAGTCGGCCTTTACCAAGGTGCAAACATGGCCCTTCTCAAAACCGTCTTTGAAGTCAACCTAGCCCTTTTCAACGCTTCTGCAAAGGCTAGCCGATCTCTCATCCTCTTTGTCATTAGAGATCACATTGGTACCACTCCACTCGCAAACCTTCGTGCTACTGTCATCGCTGACCTCAAGAGAATTTGGGAATCTCTCTCAAAACCTCCTACTGCTGCTCACTCCTCTATTGAAGATTTTTTTGATCTCCAGTTTTGCGCTCTCCCACACAAAATCCTCATGGCTGAACAGTTTGCTGCTCAGACCGCTGCTCTCTCTCAACAATTCACTCAACCACAGGCCCCAGGATACCTCTTCAAACCAGAATACCACCGTGGCGTTCCTCTCGACGGCTGGCCAATGTACACGGAGCAGATTTGGGAACAAATTGAACAAAACAAGGACCTCGACTTGCCCACACAGCAAACCCTTGTTGCCCGCTTCCGCTGTGAGGAAATCGCCTCCCAAGCTTGGCAGCAGTTTGAGTCTGGTCTCTTAGAAGCCCAACACGAGTCAAATAACGCTCTCGGAGGTCCTGCAGTGGTGGAGGACTTTGGGGGTATTATCTCAAACATTCGCGGCGGTACCATGGAGCTCTACGATTCGCTGGCTTCACGTTACACAAAGGCTGTGTACATTGCAAAGCGTGAAGACCTTCAGTCTAAGATTGACACCCGTCTCAGCAACCTCTACAAGGCTCAGCTTATTGCTCTTCATAAAAATGCCGTTAATGTTTTCAAGTCTCTCATCAAGGCTGCCTCTTCTAAGCAGCACCATGCTTCCTCTATCCCCTTTATCGAAATCCTCCGCCGTGGTCGTACTACTGCTATCGAAGGCTTTGTTTCTGGAGCTCGCAAGTCATCTGTTGATGCTAGTGTTTTCACCTACAATGACGAGCTCGCTGCTCTTGAGCAGGAACTTGCTACCATTGAGGAATCTGCCAAAGCAACCGAAATTAAGCGCATCTCTAACGTTGCCCACAAAAAAATTACCAAATCTTTTGGCACCGATCTCGAATCATACTTTATCGAGCCCACTCAAGACACTTGGGACAAGGTTCTTGTTTACTTTAACAATACCGTAATGTTTGCCCTTTCTGCGGTTGCAAAGCGTCAACCAGACTCAGATACATATGACTTTGGTGTTGGCGGGAACGCTGAAGAAAATGCGCGTGGTGTGCGTGAAATTCGCCGTAGCGCTTGGATTGCTCTCGACCATCAACTCAAGCAAGTGACACGTGATGACAATGTGCTTTTCCGTCTGCGCGAGCGCTTTGAGGACCTCTTCAAATACGACTCGTCTGGCGTCCCCATTGTTTGGAAAGCTGGCGACAATATCGAAGGACCATACCTTTCAGCTCGCGATGATACCCTTAAACTGTTGCCCATATTTGCCACAGCTCGCCTGAAAAACGGCACTCTTGTTGTCCCTGATGTTGACTCAGACAAGGTGATTGATCTCACAGATGATGATGACAACCATCATAGTGGGAAATACGAGGATGATGACGACAGCTCTGCTCTTGATGCAGATACCTTCCCATACCGCATTTCATCTTCCAAAGAACAGGACCTTAGCAAGCGCTTCAAGAAACAAGCGGACGCTGCCTTTGTGGAGGCCAAGCGTTCCACAACCCAACTCGCAAAGCAAGTTCCTCTTTACATGATTGTTCTGCTTGTTGTTTTGGGTTGGAACGAGTTTATGGCAGTGCTGCGCAACCCTATTTTTTTCCTGCTGCTGCTGCTTGGAGGTGCCGGCCTTTACGTTACATACTCGCTCAACATGTGGGGACCTATTTTGAGTGTTACTAACGCCATGGTCGACCGTACTATCGAGGTTGGAAAGCAACGTCTGCGCGAGGTCTTGGAGATTCCCGAGGGATCTAACGTTGAGTTGCGTAGCCAACGACAACAACGAAGAAATGTCGAGGAGATTCCACTTCAGGAAATCAAAAGTTCAAATCGCACCGACGATGAGTAAATAGTTATTGCCCGTGGATAAACACAACTAATTGGGCTGGAGTATATATATATAAAAAAGGAAGAAAAACTACAATTAGTATACTGGATAGTAAATAATAATAATAATAACAACAAGAATGAAAAAAAAAGCAAAAAAAAAAAAAATAGACAAAAAAACGACGAAAAAAAAACCTTTTCTCCCGCTATCGGTTTCGGGAACCAACACCAAAAAGAAACAGCAACTCGTTGCGGTCCAGCCGCGACATTTTGCTAATCTCTCCCTCATCTAGAGCAGCATTGACTAAATCCTTCTTCTCCTTTTGGAGCGTCAAAATGCGGTCTTCAACTGTCTGCTTGATGTAGATGCGGTACACATATACGGTACGTGTTTGACCAAATCTATGTGCACGGTCCATGGCCTGATCCTCGATAAACGGGTTCCAAAATGGATCCATAATAACTACATGGCTTGCCGCAACCAAATTCAAACCAACGTTGCCAGCCTTGATACTCATCAGTAACACTTCATATTGATCCCCATGCATGAACTCATCAATCACCATTAGCCGCTGCTCCGTAGCCATAGATCCGTCATATCTTGCGTACCGTAGCCCAGGTAGATCATATCCAATACCCATCTCCACACAGTCCAAGGTTCCTAAAAAGTTCGAAAACACAAGAATCTTTTCTCCCGGATGCATCTTGCGAATCTGCGCAATCAGTGATAAACAGTGCTGTACCTTGGTCGACGCAACCCATCCTCGTGGGAATACCTTTTTCCAAAGCCGCGAAAACTCAACCGGTGGGCCAACCATAGGCCCAGACCTCGCATACTTGCTATTGGCGGCCAGACTTCGAGGTGGAAGCTGGGTATTTGTTTTTGTTTTGAAGTCACCTTCATGTGTATGAGAGTTTGCCTTTTTGTTAGCATCTGGGTCAGCCTTGAGTAAATTCTTTTTCTTATCCTCAGGAGGCCCTTCTTCTTCTGCAGAAGATGACTCTTGTGCTTCATTTCTCTCAGTTGGATACAAAAACGAGCGCCGACAATATTCAATTTGTGGCAGACCAAGTTTGTGCACATGTACCCATTGAAAAACAACAAGACCAAAACAGTTACGGCGTAACCATCGAGCCTGGCATCCGGATTGGGGACATGGACAAATATTGCTTGATGCGTTCGATAATGCATCAGCTTCAAAAACCTCCTGCAAACAGTCCAAGCATACAACATGCCCACATGGTGCAGCCATCACCATTTCTTCTTGATCAAGCACCTCAGTACACTTGGAACATGGGTAAAAATTTTGTTGCAAAACCCGTGCAACAACGCTGGGATTCAGGCGTCGTACAACAGCAACTGCCTTATCATCGACCAGCGATTCACTCATCTTCATCTTTTTCTCAAGATATGCCTTCTCCACAATTTTGACATGACAGCTAGCTTGTCTCAGGCGTAATAGCAGCACGAAGATCTGACTCATATTATTGCTAATAGCGTTTTGATCCATGAGATCAGTAACTGTTTTCCGCGCACTTTCTTCCAAAAATGAATAATACTCGCGCTCATCAGTGTCCATTTCAATGGATGAGACAATGATATTTTTAGGAGGTAGCTCTAAAATAGGTCGACCATTGATTTTGGTTGCCTTTGTACGTCGCAAAAGAACAGACTTGATAACGGCCTGTAACTTTTTAATGGCACCTGGGTCATAACTTCCACTATCACGCTGCAATTTCTTCCCAATTTCTTCCATAAATGTTTTGTAATCATCAAAAGGTTTAATGCGGACAAACCCCAAAAGACTTTGAAACTCAATCACGGTATTCTGCATGGGTGTACCACTTAAGCACCATCTATATTTAGCTTTAAGTGCTTTGCAAGCAACAGAGGTAATAGCTTTGCGATTCTTGATTGCATGAGCTTCGTCTAAAATAATACGATGCCAAATAGAAGAGTTTTGATAAAAGGGTGAATTACCCACTGGCAAATATAAATCATCATCTTCATCTTCATCTCGGAAATTTTTGTTCCAAAACGAGTTCATATATGGGGATTGTTTCTTTTTCTCTTTCTCTTTGCGAACAAAATGATTTTTGTGTTGATTCATAATTTTCCCATAAGATGTAATGACAACATCATATAGAGAAAGCTCTTCAAAAGATAACTTTTTTGAAGTGCCATGATAGACAAACACCTTGAGACGATATGCAGATTTGACGTGCTTTTTAATTTCAAATGCCCATTGATTCAAAACGGCAACTGGGGTAATAATCAAGTTTGTTTTGTATAAGGGATCTTTGGGTGGATTAGACACAATAAGGGATCTTAAAAAAGTTAGAATATTGTAATAATAAAAAAAAAATAATAATGAAAAAAAAAAAAAAATATCACTCACATCATTTCAAGAGTTTTACCTAAACCCATATCATCTGCCAGAATTCCACCATGGTGAGATGAATTTTCTTTTTCCAGCAACCATTTAAGAGCCAATTTCTGATGATCACGGAGTTTGGACTCTAACTTATCTATGCGGCCAATATTTTCTGGGATTTCCACAATTTCATTTTCAGGAGTAATACTGTGAATCAGGTTTTCAATTTCTTCTTTTGTGTTGGGTGATGCTTCAGCTTTCGGTGTTATGTTCGTACTATTATTAACTGGAAATAGGGTAGGGGAGGATGATGATGGTCCAGTGGTTGGTGATGATATATTTTTGGAATCCTTATTTTGCATATAATTATGGATATAAGATGCGAACTTTTTAGATATTTCTTCCTTAATATTGGCTTGTTGACCTTGTTGACCTTGTTGGTTCTGAATAAGACTTTGTTGCATAGATTGATATAAAGGTTGGTTTTGTAAATTGCTAAACAATTGAGGCCGTATTTGCTGTTGCTGTTGCTGTTGCTGATGTTGTTGTGAAGTTAATAATACTTGACTTTGTGGGTGTATTGCCCGTTGCAGAATCTGAGAATAATCAGCTTTAACTGGCCCTTTTGCTATAAACTGTTCCAAATTATCTTCCAAAATTTTAGCATCACGCTCAACAATTGCAACTTCTTTGCTAACTTTCTCAAGCTCTTCCTTGTAGTTTAAAGGCTTTACAAATGCCGCATTACGCCGAACAAAAAGTAACTTAACAGTAGAATGGTATTTATCACTAATGGCTTGGTAAGATACAAGTTGACCGGAAAGAAACCCCGTTTCTTCAGTAGTCTTTGACGCTTTAAGTTTTGGGAAAAGAGCTTTGATTTTTCTTTGGACTTTAACAGTACGAGCTTGAAATGCGTTAATGCGATCGCACTCAAGTTGTATCAGCGCTCGAGCATCGCTCTGTTGATTGATTGTGAGTTTGGGATATATTTCACGCCAAAATTGTGATGAAGATTGATCAGCATTGTAATTTCGAATAGCAGTAGCTTGTGCGTGAGCGGCTGCAATGTTTGCAATATATTCTCCAGTAATCATAGGGGTAACAACTTGTGGATTATAGTGTTGCTCGAGTTTGGGCTTTTTAGAAGGTTGAGATTCTGTAAAAGGTTTTGAATGATGTATTTTTGTCCCCAAGTAAATTGGTTCTGGAGTGGGAGATACATAATTAGTGTGTTGAGGATTTTGCTGAATGAAAGGGCGTGAAGTTTCTTGAAAGCCGGAGGACGGTGGCAAAGAGGATGACTGTGGATTGGGCTTGTTATTAATGGGCGGTTCATCTTCATCGTCACTAATCTCTATAATTTCAATGGATGAATCATCTTCTAATTCGTTTGGAGACTCTGTAACAGATCTTTCTTCAGTCTCTTGATCTTCCTCGTCTTCTGGATCACTTTTTCCGTCGTTATATATGTCATTATCAAGTTTTTTATAGTCTTCAGCTTCATCGTCATACTCTTTGTAGGATATGTCATATTCATTTCTATCATAATCATGTTTATTATAACCTTCATATTCATCATCATCTTCATATTCATCTTCATCTTCATCTTCATCCTCGTCCTCATTTTCATTTTCATTTTCATTTTCATTTTCATCTTCATCTTCATCTTCATCATCATCATCATCTTCAATTTCAGTTTCATCCTTCTTATCTTTATGTTGATCTGAACGGTTAGTACTATTGTAAACATTATCACCAAACTTAACATTGGCATAACTTGTTTGGTATCTGGTTTCTTTTTCCTTTTCCTTTTCTTTTTCTTTTTCTTTTTCTATTTCTTTTTCCTTTTCCTTTTCTTTTTCATCTTCGCTATCACTATCGCTAATGACAAAAATCTCAGCATCTGCAGGGATAACTGCCTTTGGTCTAACATTTTTCCTAGAAGGGTTTATTCTTGGAAGTTCCTTTCCCCCATGATTCTGCATATTTCGGCTCTTTGTTTTAGATGGATACACAGAAAGAGATCGTTTTTGAAGACCTTCTTCTTGTCTCTTTTTAAATGCTTCCGCCAGTTTTTCGCCAAATGATTGTCCACCACGCAAACTCCCAATACGGGCTGGTATTGTGGATTTTAAACTCTGATGTAATGATGAGGATGATTTTGATGGCCTAGATTGTCTCCAAGGAGGAATCTCCACTAGGCTATCAGATCTCGCAGAAAAAAACTCGGTTCCTTCATGAGTGGCGCTAGACGTAGAGCTAAGCAAAGTATCATTTCGTTCCGCCATTTTGCCAGATCTAGAAGAGGTCGCGGGGTCGCTTCGCTTTTGCGACCCGTTGCGTAACATGATTTAAAAGAATGGAATATGAAAATTTTCAAGTGTTTTTTTAGACTTAAAGTTTTTTTTTTTTTGGGTATGTCTTATAAATGTAATAGTTTTAAGATATTTCTCTTTATTATTTTCACTATACTACCTTTATGAAGTCTAGGGTTTCTTCTATAAGGCTACTGCTATATAGCTTTTAAATAGACGATTGACTATCTTGGGGGCGAGAATTTTTTTTTTTTTTTTTTTGAATTTTTCAAATTTGTATGTAAATAAACAATTTGGTTGGGTGAATTAAAAAAAAAAAAAATGCTGTCAAAAGTTTCGTGTGCTTATCACATAGTTTAAGCCCTAACCCTAACTTGATTACATATTTGCCGCATTACCTAAACAATGACAAATGATTTCCACCTCGGTTTAAATTGGTCCAAGCCATCATCACCATACAATAATCATGAGATCAAAAATTCAGATTTCATATGTAAGAACGTTGTTGTCAAGTCCAAAGAAAAAAAAAAATATGTAAATTTTTAAAAGATACATTCTTAATTAAATAATACAGAATACAGTTGAATGATTAAGAAAAAAAATTACAATGTTGAAACCAAAACAATAAAAAAAAATAATAAACAGCAGTACAAACTTGTATATAACAGTAATAGTAGTAGTGATAGTAGTAATAAAGGAAAGAGTGTCTGGAACGTAATAATGATGAGATAAAGTGTTCCTAGGTCATTAATAATAGTCAAAGGCCGGGTATGTATATATATCATTCGTCATCGTCATTATAATACTTTTAGAAATCAACTGTGCTTATTCAGATACCGTTTCTTCCACTCCCAGTACTCCGCCAATCGTTCATTGGCATAGTTAGCATAGTCAAACTCAATATCACTAATGGTGGACTGAATAGAGGACCAAATACCCCAGTAGAACCCAGGCATGCCCCACCAGGTCAGCACCTGCTTGACCAGAGTGTCCACTTCCGAGATATCTTCGGAAGAACTTGAGAAGTATGAAAGGTAATCGCGAGCCCAGGTGCGCAGCACAGGGTTGGTTTCTTCAGGAACAGGAATCAATTCCTTTTTGCAATCAAATCCCTGCCACTCCATAAAGTGGTTAGCAATATCAAACGCCCGGGGGGAGTTCATTGCATATTCGTAGTCAATAAATGATACATCCAAGTCTGAAATGTCGTTTTGGTTGTCGCTTGTTGTTTTCTTGCGAGGTTCCCAGTCTGTAGGAACAATGACATTTCCCGCAAGTAAGTCACAGTGAGCAACAACCATAGGGCCACCCATTTGGCCAATTTCTTGTTTAATCCATTGGAGCTCTTTATTCATTTCTTCCTTGGTGTGTGTCTTGATGACATTTTCAGGCATGGCTGCAATCCAGCCGTCAAGCAGTTCCCAAAAGGAGCGCACAAAAGACTTTCCAGGGCCCTTGAGCAATGCAATGTGATTGTCAATAGCCTTTGCGTCAAGCAGATCATGCCACTCAGCTAATCTTCGCGCAATAGCAACGGCCACATCATCATCGCTAAGCAGGGTGTAGTGCACAGCACGACCCGGCAAATATGCATAGACAAGCCCGTTGCCAAAGCGTGCATAAAGCTGGGGGGCCAGGTTTTTAGAGTGAAGGTGTTGGTGAGTCGCAAACTCTCTGTCGCGATCAATAATGGTGTCGGTACCGTTTCCGTAGGCTCGGACCAAAAAAACAAACTCTTGGGGTCTGGTTAACGTGTCCTCATCGTCCACGACTGTAGAGGCTGTAGATGCAGCGTAGGAAGATGTGGCTGTGTTGGTAGAGTTGGTATCATCGTCAGCTGTCGTAGTTGAATTATTCAAAGGAACGGGTGCAGGAGCTGATGGGACATATGTCGGGTAGTGAAAGTAAGTCGCTTGGAAAAGAACGTTGGTGATGCCTCCTGTGAGTCTTTTAACAACCACCTTGTCAGTAGACTGAACGGTAGCGGCCTTGGCAGTAATAACACTATTATTTTGTTGGGATGGGTCTGTAACAAACAAACAAAAAAAACAAACAAAAAAATAAACATAAATAAGAAGGCAAGACACATGCAAGTATATATTGATGTTTCTGTCTCAAAATATTTCTTCGCTATGGTAGATGGATCGATTCATATGCACAAAATAAGGCAGATAAAAGTCAGCAGACGTTGTTGTGATAATATTGTTGTAGATGTTATGATGTGCACAAGACTCTCTTAATTTGTGTCCAACAATATCCACCATAAGCGAGGAAAGAGACAGAAAAAAAAAACAAACTTGCATGTGAAAAATGCCAAAAAAAAAAAAAAAATTTTTTTTTAAAGAAAGGTTAGTTAGTTAACCAGTTTAAGTTGTTTTGAAGTGTAATAATAATAATAATAATAATAATAATAATAATAATAATAATAATAATAATAATAATAATAATAATAATAATAATAATAATAATAATAATAATAATAATAATAATAATAATAATAATAATAATAATAATAATAATAATAATAATAATAATAATAATAATAATAATAATAATAATAATAATAATAATAATAATAATAATAATAATAATAATAATAATAATAATAATAATAATAATAATAATAATAATAATAATAATAATAATAATAATAATAATAATAATAATAATAATAATAATAATAATAATAATAATAATAATAATAATAATAATAATAATAATAATAATAATAATAATAATAATAATAATAATAAAAAGGATGCTCTAAATTGAAATTAGAGTAAAGAGTATCAAATTAACTCACCTTGATCAGCAGCATCAGAGGCCAAGTCGATAAACACAGGAACATGAGCCCAAGCGGGGAAAACTCTGTGTATCAGAGGCCGGACAGACTGGTAGTCAGAGAGGTTGATGAAGACATCGTTGCAAATGATGGGCGCAGCGGTATCGTCGACGGCAGCCGCAGTGGCTGGGACGGAGAAGGCTGAGGAAATGTTAGTGGCAGATGATGTTGTTGTTGTAGCTGTAGTTGAAGTTGCGTTCATATTAGCTGAGGAGGAGGAAGAAGAAGAAGATTTTGATGTGATTAAGCTCTGAGGGGTTTGTTCATGCCACTCCACTGTCATTGTAAGACCAAATAAAATAATAAAAAAAAAAAAAGGGAGAGTAGTAGTAAGAAACTTAAAGATAAGAAATATATAAAGATATTAAATGAAAAGAATAAGAATGGTTTAAAGATATGAAAGTACAGATAAATCCAAACGAAGGATATGAAAAAAAAAAAAAAAAAAAAAGGGGACCAACAGTTAGATTGAATGGTTTTAAAGATGGTTTGGTGTGTGGGATGGTCAGAGAAAAAAAAGAAAAAGATATGGCCGCCCGAAGCTGCTCTTATGGTGTTGGTGTTGGTGGTGGTGGTGGTGGTAGTTGTGAGTACTAAGAGAGAAAGGGGAAGAAAAAAAAAAAATTAAAATAAAAAAAGAACAAATGGCTTTAAATTTTTTTTTTTTAGCCAACAGATAACATGCAACTCACGTGAGCACTTTCCATATGTGAGCGCAATATCCTCGGCCTCAACGCACACAAGGTTAATACATAAATATAAATATAAATATAAATATCTGCATCATATTTACAATAACAACTTGGAGTATATTCAAATGCAAAAATTTTTTTTTTTTTTTTAAATCAAAAAATCAAAACAAAACTTTGGATTTTATTTAACAGAAATACATTAAAAAATATATATAAAAAAAACACACATATAAATAATTTACTTTTGTAAAGCATTAAGCAATCCAGAACCACACCTTCTCAATAAAGTTGCGTGGTTCACGTTCTGGATACATGGCCTCAGTGCGCTCGGCCTCATCAAGACCAGAAATCAAATCCACCTTTTCCAAGGGAATAAATAATTGCCAATTCTTGGTCCAAATCTTGTGACCAATATATAAAATAACAAATAATGGTAAAGTAATGTAAGCAGCAACGAAATCTGAAGCATTAAAAGATCCACCAACAAAAACGTTAAAACCATTGCTAATGGCAAGAATAAAGACAAAAACAAAAGTAATGTAGGAAGTGTACGGTTGCCAAGGAGTCTTGTAAGGTCTAGTGTCATCAATACCTTGGTATTGAAGAGCCTTGCGCCAGCGAATATAGGCAGCCAGCACCGCAAGCCACGCAAGGAAACCAGAAACAGTAGAAAGATTGGTAAACCAGGTAAACACATTAGAAGAGGAAGAAGAAACATTCAAAAAAGCAAGCAATGCAATGGCTGCGGTACAGGCAACAGCAACAATGGGGACACCCCAAGGAGTACAGTAACCCAAGATGCGAGGAGCCTGACCGCTAACGGCAAGCGAATAGAGCGTTCTAGAACCAGCAAACAAAAATGAATTACCAGAAGACCAAGCTGAGGTCAAAATAACAGCATTGACAATGTGATTCAAAACGTGAATGCCGGCATTCTGAATACCAATGACAAAGGGAGAAGCAGAAGCATTGCCAGAACCATTAAGCAAATGATCATTATGAGAGGAAACAATAGTACCAATAACAAGGGAACCAAAGATATAAAAGAAAAGCAATCTGTAAATAAATCTACTAGTGGCCTTAGGGACATTACGACGAGGTGCTTCAGTTTCTCCTGCGGCAATGGTAATAAGCTCGGGAGACATAATGAAAGAGAATCCCGAGCGGATAATGGCGTTCCAAAATCCACAAAAGCGACCAGAAGGACCAGTAACAATGTACTCCTTAAAGGCATCACCATTCTTCCAATATCTAAATCCAAGACGATCGTGAGTGGGCGCACCACCAAAGAAAATAACAATGCCAAGAATAATTAACCCACAAATGGCAATAATCTTGATGGATGCAAACCAAAACTCCGTCTCACCAAAAAGCTTAACAAAAGTGACATTTAATAAAACAATAACAACCCAAATAATGGCAATCCAAACTGCAGTAGGTACTTTATCAGTCCAGTATTCAATAACAATAGCGGCAGCAGTAATTTCAGAGGGGACGAGAAATGCATAAGAGTACCAATAGTTCCAGCCTGTGGCAAATGCAGTAGAAGGGTCAGAAAATCTATGGACATACATGGTGGGTGAAGCACCATGAATGGGCAGATAAGTTGTCATTTCACCGAGAGCATTCATAACTGACCAAATAACAAAAGACATAATACAGTAAGCAACAAAAAGAGAACCGGGGCCAGAACGCGACAAAATAGTACCAGAACCAACAAAGAGACCTGTACCAATACAGCCACCAAGGGCAATCAGTTGTACGTGCCGCGACTTCAGACCACGTCGAGTTTCGCCATGGCCTGTGCCGTTTTGCATGCTGTCATATTCAGGTTCTTCACCCGTCATAGGATATGGAATATCCGTCACCATAGGAGTCGGAGTTTTCTCATCGATTTCATACGACATTGTTGAAAAAAGTTGATGATGATGATGATGATAGTGTTGTTGTTGTTGTTGTTGTTGTTGTTGTTATGGATGAGAATGTGTAGATAACTTATTTATATATATATATGGATCAAGGCTAATGTCGGATATCAAAGGGTAGCGAAGAACAACCAGAAGAGATGGTTGAAAATAAAATTAAAAAAAAAAGGATATATATAAAATAATAATTGTGGAGAAGAATATATGGGTTAAAAAAAGAAGAAGAATAGAATAAAAGAAAAAAAAATCGAGGGAATCAAGTAGGTTTATATACAAAAAAAATATTCATTCATTTCTTTTTTTTTTTTTCTTTTTATCCCATAAACTTGACAACTATATGAAATTTTTCATTATCTATCTCAGATCATTCATCATTCCCCCTATTTACGTAATAGGTTTTATTTTCCCACACTCTTTTGTGGATGGAAAGGTTAGAAACCTTTTCTTATTTAATTTTTTTTTTATTTTTATTTCTTCTTCTTCTCAAAATAGTGCCTTTTCCAATTACAGAAAAAGATAGTAAGTATAACAGTACGAGCTTTCTTTATTCTTTTTTTTTTTTAAAATCAAAAAAAAAAAAAAAAAACACCATCTCTCGGTAAACGGTAACGGTAAACGGTGGTTCGTAATAATAATAATAATAAAAAAAAAAATTCTTGGCTAAACTTATGAGACGATTTTTCAAAAAAAAAAAAAAAAAAAAAAAAAAAAAAGATTTTTATTCAATATATCATCATTTAATATTCAAATAAAACATTTTTTTTCTCCCCTCCCCCCTCCTCCTCTTAAGAATCAAAAATAAGATTTCATTAAAAAAGAAAAAAAAAAAGTTTGCTTTTTCTTCTATATATTTTTTTTATTTTAAACTTTGGGTAATATGGCTCGTGATTTGTGAAAAATATACATGTATTGCTACCTTACATTATCTTTTTTGACGATAATGAATCAATGGTAAAGGATTCCCATGAAATACACGCATTTCTCAATGTCATGATAAACAGTGTAGTAATTAAATAAATACATATATATTTAATTCTCTTTATATATTGATCTAAATGGGTCTTTCCTCATAATACCAATGTGACTATTATGCTACTTCAAACCCTCCCATTAATGTGATATCATATTTGTCACTTCTTGTTATTGCTTGCTGATAATAGTGTTCCAAATCAAGGTAGCAACTACATTCTTACCCGACCCGATATGGCATTGTCATACACCAATCATAGTGTCTTTTGAAGCTTAAATCTCACCCAACGTAACAAGTTTAGAATCCCTCAAACTCCGCAAAAGAAATAATAAAAAATAAATAATAAAAAATAAAAACTGCGGAGAACATAGATGATCCTAATTAGGTTCAAAATGGTTTGCTATGGAAACTGACTTTATAGTGATCATTTATTTTCAACTATACCCCGTGTATCTCCTTGCACAACAGTCTTTGACATTGGACCGTTTATTTTAATTTTCCGTTTGCCCATGCAGGCATCAAAGAAGCTTTCTTTTAGGGTCTGACACTAGCCTTAATATCATGTTCTTTACATGGGTCCATCCGTCTGTTTGGTTGAAATCCTTATTTTCTGCCGCGCGCTTAATCCAAATATGGGAAAAACCTTCCCTCTTTATTTCTCTCCACTTTATTCTCGAGAAGGATTTTGGATCCTGATACATGTCATCTCAATATTTTTCCTTTCTTTTTTTTTTTTTTTTTATGCTACTTGGTAATTTCCCTTTGATTCCGTATACTTAATCTATGTTTCTCTCTTTAAAAAAAAATAGGCCGGGGAAGGATGGCGGGGGATAGGATGATTTTTTTTTTCTCTTCAATGGTGGGTAATGAGCCCGATAACTGGCGATATATTTAAGCTTAAGGAGATAAGACGGAACTCAAAGATCCTTTTAATACTGTATATGAATGGTACATGATATAGGGATATACCTCCGAACTTCAAAAGAAAAAAAAAATTGAATACAACATCTTTGACTTTACAAATATCATAGTTAAAAATTAAAACATAAAATAGAATATCTACAAATTTGTGACCTTTAATGTCTTTAATGCCTTTAATGCCTTTAATGCCTTTAAAGGCTAGGATAATAAAAAAATTTTTTTAGAAAGTTTCTACTGAAACCCCCCACTCACAAAGGATTGCCGTAAATAAGCGGAGTTGCACGTGACATGTTTTGGTAGAGAACAAACATTTGTTCATTGGAGGATTTTTCATAAAATGTTAAGCATAAAAAAATTCAAAATTTATATATATATATTTTTTCAAAGTTTTATTTTATTTAATGAATAAATTTAAACAATTTAGATTTTTTTTTAAAAAAATAAAAATAAAAATAAAAGAAAAAAAAAAGTTTAATTCGGCAATCCAGAATCACACTTTTAAGAAAGTTTTGTGGAGAACACTCAGGTTACAGGGGCTTGATGTTTTTTCTTTTTCTTTTTTAAAACCAAGTTCCAAGATTTCTTTTATTAAAGGAATAAAAAAAACATGAATTTTAAAAGAGCTTTATAAATTTCTTTTTAAGTATGAATATTTCATGGAATCGATGCATTGGTATTGTAATGCATCAACAATTGTAGGTAGCTAACACAGAATGCCAAGTAATAAATCTAAAAACTGTGAAAATTTCAGTAAACCAAGTAAAGATACTTGAGAATAATTTAAAATTTCTTTTTTGAGATTTAAAGTAAATAAATAATGATAATTGAATTATCTTCTTGAATAGAGATATCTCATTGTTTTCAGTAAGTGAAATTGCAAAGTGCCTAAAAACTGAGTACAAGATTGTATTATTCTCAAGCCAAAAACAATGAATGAACTATTTGAATTTTAAACCTTTCCTGAGATTAAAAAAAAAAAAAAACTTATAATGCTGTTTAAAAAGTAATAATTTATATTTCTGATACCAATTAGAAAAGATAAAATCAAAGTTTTACCAAAATCATTTAACAAGTGATCGGTATTAGAGCTTACAATAATAAATAAATCAATAGCATAATAAAAATTTCTGGTAGCATTAAAAAGTTTTTTTTAACAAAGTACTTCAGTTTTATCTGCAAAAAAAAAAAAAAAAGGATTTTATTTTTATATTAGGCTTGTAGAATAAAACAAATGATAATTTGGAGCAAAGAGAGGCGCTTCAAACGTAACAAAGACAGTCAAAATAGCGTGAAACAGTAGATATTGCTAAAAGAATTGTTATTCTTTAAAATAAAAAAAAAAAATAATTTTAAGTTAAAATATTGTAAAAAATAACAATAATAATAAACTAATTAAAAAAAAAACAACAATAAAAACAATATTTTAAAAGATAATATGATTTTAATTTTTTTTCAATGTCTTAAGCCTAATGCTCATGGCGTGCTATTTTTTACTTCACAATTTGATGTACAAATGGTTACTCATATATCTATTATGACATTTTAACACTGAGGGGAATAATCAGCTGCATTAAGTTTTTATTGTCATTTACTTCTTCTGTAGAAAAAAAATAGTTAATTATTATCATCAGTTTTTCTTTCCCTTTTTTTCATTATTATTATTACTTTTTTTTTTTTGACTCATTCGTAATTACGAAAGGATGCCATGCCAATACTTTGTGAGTATATTAGTTAGTATAAATGTTCCGCCCCATAGCAAATATTTGAATTACATCACTGTGATGAATAAGATGGGCGGAATAGGGTCCCCGATTTATAGCTGTTTTATTTTATTTTATTTTTTTTTTTTTGCTATGGAAACCGTTTTGAGCTGAATACTTTTTCTCAATACTGCTACGTAACAGTCCAAGTATCTCCATATGTACACATTATAATTATGTACAAAAAAGCCTCCAATATTAGGTCACATACAGTGCTTTGGGACTCTCATGTCTACATAAAATTAAGAATCGTCAACACTTTCAATTACTGACTCCAGTCCGAAATATAAATATCTCGTAACCATAGAAAAACTTTATTGTGTGTTATATTTGGTAATTGTCGTAACTTTAGATTAAACAACTCTTATCGATAACAATTTTTTTTTTTTTTGGTTTCATCTTTCAAGGATTTATAAAAGTTTAATAAACTATGTTCACATATTAGCAGAAATTTTTTTATTATTTATATCTTCATATGGTGATAATAAAATCATTTATTGTAAAAAAAAAAGCTTTCGATCTTTTTACAAATCCTGAGTTAGCTATTATAATTATGAAAAATTAATAAAAAAACGGTTTTTCAAATTTATGATTTAAAGTGGACATTATTTTTTTTCTTTTTTTCTTTTTTTCTTTTTTTAATGCAGTCTTATCATGATATGATTATGCCGAAATTTAATTTGAAAAAGAAAACTCAGTCTCGAGTTAAATCTTCATACAAGTCTTTATTCCGAAAAGTTGATTATGCCATAAATTCTTCGTATCACCAACTCCGAAAGTATGTGGAAATCATCAGGTAAAGAGGTACTACTAGGTACCTTATAAGAAACCCACGTTTCTTTAAGAACCTAACTTACAATTGAAATTTTAATTTTTTTTTTTATTAAAATAAGTCTATCTGAACATTTCTTTTCAATTATTGAGATATTCTCAAAAAATGACTTACCATTTCTAAGAGGTTTTTCTATTTCTCTCTTATCATCTGTAGCTTTAATTATAATTACGTTAAAACTTAAGATATGAAAAGAACCTGTTTTCTATCAAACTTTCGAATGTTACACATGGTGTACCGATAGTGATTGCTATCCTCCGCAAATTGTCAACTATTATTGTTTTTATGTTTTATTCTATTTTTTTTTTTTTAAGTTGTGCTTACGGCTTTTTTTTTAAAAGTTAACATGAATTTTTTTTAATTCAGTCATCCTGGAAATCTCACCTGTTGCTTTTATTTTTCTAAATCCCTCTTCATGTTATCTTTTTCAAATAACCAATATTAATACTCACTGATATTTTACTTAAATATCTATTTTATGAGTAGAAATTTCACCCGAAGACTTGATAGCCGCCAGCTTTCTTTAACAAAAAAAATAAATTGAGCCGCACTGTTCGGCATTCTTAGGCACTAAGTGCCTATTTTGTATTATTAGCTTGTTCTATTTTTCCGGTTAGCGGCACTATGCTGTGTAATTGGGACTATATCCTATTTAGGTATTCAATTATTATAGCTTCGCTCCAAAAAAAGTTCAATGTAGTTATATATAGTCATATTCGTACTTTCCATTTAACTCACATAAAAAAAATCAAAATAAAATTATTAAAGATTCTGAAAATAATTTCAGACAAAAGATCTTTAATTTTTTTTTTCTAGTGTAGTTAATAAATGATTTGATTCTATAGACATATATGTTTTGGCTCAAAAAAAAATGATAAAGATTTCATGGTTTTCATGAAAACAGAATAATTATATTGGTTAACTATAAAGCCTGCTTAACCAATTACACATTTTAATGTGTAATTAGAAAATTCTTAGTGTGCCAATTGAGTATCTTAAAATGTATCAATATAAGCTTATTCGCTAAAATTCAAAATGGATTCTTTTAAAACGAATGAAAAAGTAAAAAAAAAGAAAAAAAGAAATTTCTAGATTTTATCTTCAAAGCTAAAAAAATTGTTATTTAAAGATGCTCTAAATCAGTTTTCAGACAATAATACATTGAATTTCATTTTAGTCTATAAAATTAGCTGGTTTATTATAAACCATAGATGTTATTTTGAATCAGAATCATAAAAACAAAATATTTTAGCTAATATTGTTAAAACAAAATGTTATTTAAATGAACAGTTAAATATGACCAGAAAAAAAAACTAAAAATTTCATCAATGGGGATTAAGAAATTTTAACAAAAAAGAATTTAGGAAATGAAACAATTGAAATAGAATCAAAAGAAGAATGAAAAATGCTCAATTTAAAATAATTAAAAACAAAACAATAGAATGGCTTAGAAGCTTACCATCAGAAAATGTAGTAAACAATTGGAATTATTGGAATATGTAAAACAATGTGTGAGTCCTAACAAATAAATATTGGTTCTTTTAGTTTTTTTTTTTTCTTTAAAATTTTTTTGAGTCGATATTAAATGAATATCTTGGTTTCTTGTTAATAGTTTGAAAACAAAAGCCAGTCTTAATTTTTTTTTGTTTTTTTTTTAAAATCATAGTTGATAAGAGAGAATAAAAATCATGAGATAAAAAAAGTGCATAAACTCATTCTGGATTTTGACTTCTAAACCTACTTTGGAATGATGTTCATTGCATTTTGATTTGAATAGTACACTACTGATAAATATACTTCTTTTTTTGCACCAATAAGAAGACAAAAAAATATCTATATTTTATCACTCAATTTTTATGTATATTAAAAGTTATTTACAATATTAGAAGTATCATATAATTTTATGGCACTTGATAATTTAATAATTTATACTTTTGACTAACTGACAATTTAGAAATAAAGAGTTATTCATTTAGAAGCTTTTTTAAATAATTGACTTCAATTAAAACAATAAGATATTTTCTCAATAAAATAAAAAAACAAGAGTTGATAAGACACAAAATATCTTAATATCATTTATATAATATTAAAATCACGGATCGGTTCATGGAGAAATGAGAAGGGAGGGGGGGGGGGAATATTGAACGTTCCAGCAAAAAAACTATTATCCCTTTTTTTTTTCTTCTTTCAATATAAAATTTTATATTAAATTATTAAATTCATTTTACCACACTTAAATGGGCTTTTATTCATCTATAAATACAATACTTATTTCAAACTACTTTTTAATAAAGCATTCTTTTTTTTTAGATGTTTTAGTCATTGGTCAATGGAGGGGTTTTTTTTTATTTACAAGAAGAAGAAAACAAAAATTTTTTCAAGATAGTATCTAACTTCTAAACTTAGCTTGAAATTACCTTTTTATTTAATTTTTTTTTTGTCATCTAATATTGTAACTTTAGTATCTAGGAAAAAAGAAATTAAGAATCTCCCCATTGTTTTTGATAAGATTTTATTTAAAAGAACAAAGCTGAAATTTTTTTTTTTTTAAGATTAAATAAAAAAAAGAAGATAGGAGAAAGGTCGGGACTGGTGTTCCGTAATTGATCCAAAATAATACGGAATCAAAGACAAATCAAGAAGAAGAAGAAGAGCTGACTAATATTTGGCTGTCTCTGACCATAAGGTAAATAAATTTCGTGGAGGGGGGGGGGGAGTTCTATGTTCAGAAGTCAAGGGTTTGTTTCTTTTAGCTTCAAGTAAGTGAATAGAATTTAGAATATTGCGGGAAAAACGTAAAATGTGATCTGGAAGAATGTGAAGAAAACACTGATTGAGTGTGTATATATATGTGTGTGTAAACGGTAACTAGAACCTCATTAATCCAGGTCACAATGAAAATTCAATCTTGTTTTTGTTTATTGTCTGCCTACAATATATTGCAAATCACAATATGGATGAGAAATGTTGTTGTTAATTTTTAGCAAAAAAAAAAAAAAAAAATAAAAAATTGGAATTCAATTGTTGGTAAAGTATTTATTGTGGTAACGCGGAATTTCTATACAATGATTAAAGTACATATGTGTATTTTTATACTAAAAAAAAAGACTATAAAACAATTTTCTTTTATCCAAGTTTTTCTTTTTTTTTTTTTTATATATACTATTTAAGCAACCATTTCATTTATCATTTCATCATCATTGTTTAATCATAACCATATAAACAAGTCATTAATCATTTCATTTTCATCCATATTTTTTTTTTTTTTTTCCAAAATAATGTTCATTTCCTTCAGGGTATCCAAAAATATTTATAAGTATTGTCCATCGTTTTATTTTCCCAAAAGAAAAAAAAAAAAAGAGCCACTCTAAAAACTTTCTTTTTTTCTTCTTCCTTTCACCTTTTAATGCTTGTGAAATACCTTACTTAACTTATCCAATCCCAATTTATGAGGATTTAAGAATTGTCTGCTCTTACGCTCGCGACGATCAATTTCGGAATCGGTATCACGGTTCATGTTGGGGTCATCATAGCCAAACTGCTGTTGCCGTGTGTATGTGCGCATCAGGCCTTCTGCTGTAGTAAGTTCGTCACCAAGATCGTGCGACATGCGCATACCTTCCATCGACTTGCGCGAAGGCTGCTGTTCATTACGCAGACGAGTCCGCGCAATGTCAAGGGATTTACGGATACGGTCATCTTCGGAGTGGCCTCCAGAGGAAGGTCCAGCAGCAGACGACGAGCCATAAGTTCCTGAAGAGCCAGCAGAACCGGTCGACGAGCTTCCCTTTTCGCGACGGTAAGTGTCATCGGACTCTTCATCCGAAGAGATTCTTGCATTTTTGGAAAAGCGGTTAGCACCAGGAGGTGGTGGTGCAAGACCTCCTTCGTTAATGCGGGGCAGGTCAAAGTCATCAAAGCCTCCACGGAAACGACGCTCAAGAGCTAATGCAGCTGTAAGACCGTAATTATCCTCAGAGATGGGCTGCACGGAATCGAAAAATCCAAGGTTCCATTGTTCACGAACAATGTCAACATCTTCAGGTTTGAAAATACGTTGAATTGAAAGAAGGGTATAGTGGGGAAACATGCATGTAATGAAACCAAGAAAAATGACAGCCCAAAATGAAGCAGAACCAAACATTTCAGAGGCAACCTTGTAAAGACCCATAGAACCAGTGAATGAAGAATAAATACCAGCCCAGATCCAGACAAACAAACTAGAAATGATATTAATAATAAGAGAAGCGATATCCCATCTGTACTGGTTGGACAAGACATAAAAGTTACAAGACAAGACAGCAATGGTACAAACTGAAACACCCATCCAATAACGGTGATCAAGAGGGCGGCCACTTTTTGAGATTGAAACACCATTAAGATAAGTAAAGAAGGGGAAGAAGAAGGAAACAAGAGACTGGTAAAAACCATCAAACATGTAAACCCAAAACTTTTGTTGGTTCCATTCAAGACGCAAGATACCGCGACGGTAAAGTTGTGGAACAGCAAGAGCAATACGATCATCAACATCTTGATCCAAAAAGCCCATAAGAATGACAGGGAGCGAGGTAAAGGCCAAGTTAAAGAACATAACAAATGTATATTCAAAGAGATAAGCACCATCAAAACTGGAAAATGCACCGTACCAAAATAGAGCAAAAGTAAAGACAACGTTCTTATAAAAGAAGTTTGGAATCATTTCAGCAAGACGCTTGTAGGACCAGCGGCCATGGACAAGCAACAAACGAGCAAGGAAGCGGAACTGACCAATTGCATAATCAGAACTCATGACGGCCTGACGACCTTCTTCACCAGCAATACCAACACCGACATCAGCCTCTTGAATCATAGCGACATCATTGGCACCATCACCAATAGAAAGCGTCATGACATCAAGAGTATTTTTGACAAGACTAACAACAGCAGCTTTTTGAGCAGGAGAAACTCTGCAGCACAAAACAGATTTGCATTGTTTGCAAAGAATCAAAAACTTGTACTTGAGTTCTTCAGAAAGACACAACTTGAGGGTATCACCGTCAATAACAATGGCAAAATTAGGGTTAGGAGGAGTGTGGTCAAGCTTGGCTTCATCAATGAGTTCATCCGAGTAAAAGATATTAAAGTTCTTTTCCAGGTATTCTGAAATTAAACGATCAACAGCGGCAATGGATAAATCTTCAGAACGTAAAATTAAGAGCTGCATTTCATTGTCAAGCAAGTTTGCAGAAAAACCAATGTTAATGGCAGTTTCAACCTTATCACCAGTCAAGACCCAAAGCTTGATACCAGCCATACCGAGCAAAGCAATAGTTTGAGGAACACCATCCTGAAGACGATCCTCAATAGCAGTACCACCAAGCAAAACAAGGTTACGTTCTAAAGCATCGGCAACTTCTTCCATACGGTCCTCACGGTTCTCAAGGGCAGAAGAAGCAATTTCGTGGTCATGATTAAACTTATTGTACTCCTCAAGAGTGAGCTCACGTTGAGCAATACAAAGGGTACGCAAACCTTCACGTGCAAATTGTTCCAAGTGCAAAGCAGTTTCAGCACTAATGCGGTCTTGGCCAGAGGGGCTCAAGCGTGAATAAATGACACTATCTGCACCTTTGCAAATAAGCAAAATCTTGTCAGTACCATTAGGGCCTGCACCTGCAAGCTTGATAATAGCACTCATTCTCTTTCTTGTAGAGTTAAATTCAAGCATGTTGAGAATCTGGTACTCTTGTTCAGCACCTTGGACGTCAACAATAACTCCGCGACGAGTGCGGTCCTTAAAGGCAAAGCCCATATCACGAGCCGTAGCCACAAGGGCAGCTTCATCAGGAGATTGAGCCTTGAGATCCAATCGTCCGGGGAACTTTTTGCTGGATTCAGTAATGACAGAGTGACAGAGAGCGAGAGCAAGCATAAAATGTTTACAGGCGCGCTGCTGTTCATCACCAGACTGGCCTTCCATATCAGCAACAAAGTCAGAGGAAATAAATGTGACATTATCATCGTAAAGCTGGTCATTGTCATGAATGCGGCGAAGATGGGTAATCATTTTAATTTTATCCTTTTCGATATTAATACGCATTTCCTCAGCTTCAGCTTCAACATCAATACCTTCACGTTTGCGCATACCAGCAAGAGCTTCTGTGTAAGCTTTACCATAGGCCACACCATTTATAGTACACTTTTTAAATTCCATAACGTTTTGAGTCAAGGTACCAGTTTTATCAGAAAAGACATATTCTATTTGACCCAAGTCATCTGAAATGTTCCAAGATTTTGGAGTACAAGGATAGTCCAAAGGTTCATGGTACATAAAAACATCACTGTAAATGAAAAAGGCTTGAATAGTTTTAACAATTTCAATAGAGATGTAGAGTGAAATAGGGACAAGTGACTGGTAGAGAATAACTGCAGCGAAAAAGGTAACAAGACCATCAACAGGAGCACTTCCACCAATAGAGCCGAATTCAAAGTAAGTGATAGATGTGTTACTCCTACCAAATTCTATACCATTGATAAGACCAGAGAGGAAGCAAATGATAAACAAGAGAGCAAAGTTGCAAATGACACTCCAGTTGAGTTCACGGGAAATACGAGAGCGCTTAGTGGGTGTTTCACCAGCATTGAGCATAATTTTAGTTTCAGGACCGGTAAAAAGAACAACACCAATGACCCATTTTGTATTTCTAAGAGAGCAACCACGAAGAAGCATATTGTTAATAGAGATGGGTTCAGAACAAACAGGAGAATTTTCAGGAAGGACAGGGTCGTATTGATCGGAGGTGGAGTCGTACCATTTGGCAACACCATTGAAGGAGTAGAGGTTAGCATGGTTTTTTTCCGATTCAACCCAAAAATAAGCCTTTTCACAATCTGCCGAGTGGCGGATATTTTGACCAGCCTTGAGGGCCTGACGGACCTTAAGATTTGTTTCACCATCCAGATTCTTTGTTTCAACGTAGCAAGCACCATCAGAGTCTGAAGTGGAAATGACAAGAAGATCTGCGGGGATTTCGTCATTATTGTGGATTCGGACAAAATCACCAACACGGACATTTTTCCAAAAGTCGTGGCGGAAGCGGGAATTACCAGTTGTATGAAGTTTTTCATTAATAAAAGACTTATTGTCTTGGTTATTATTTTTATTCATTGTGGAAAGGCTGAGGGTGGATGTTTCATTATTAATATCTTCAAAGGGATTGTTTGTAACGTCCATAGAGATGCGGCGATCGTAGTAAGTTGAATCGATGGAAGATCTTGGGTCAGCAGAGGTTGTTCCAAGATCTTGCATTTCATGAGAGGAAAGAACAGAGTTAACAGTACGAGTGGTAGTCAAACCATCACTGGTGTATTTAGGGACATAATGAGGGTTTTTCTTAGCTTTGCGTTTTTCTTGGGCATTTTTAATATTTGCAGCTGTACGAAACATGAGCCTACTAGTTGCTTTTTTGAGTTTACGCCAAGCAGAAATGTTTTCATCAACGACATTGTAGTTATGCCAGTAAGAGAGGATTTGAGTACGGGTATTGTTGAGCTCTAAATCAAGTACAGTTCTGCGGTAATCTTCGATAGCATCTTTAATAGCAGTGATGGCCACAATGACGATAATAGGGACAGCTGCAAGACCAGCGTTTTGGACACCAAAGATTGAAAAGGCCTATAAGAAATCGTTAGTAAGCTTAAATAAAAAATTAAAAAAATTAAAAAAATTAAAAAAATTAAAAAAATTAAAAAAATTAAAAAAATTAAAAAAAAAAGGGGGAAGGGGGATGGATGGATGAGAGGAGTGGAGAGGTTAACGTACACCAAGAATGACAATGAGCAAGAAATACACATTGGCAATATTTTGAAATTGGAAATACAAATTCTTTGGAATGAAAGTAAGAGGAGTATACTTTGTAGTTCTAATTTTGTTTCGAGGGTATTGTTCAATAGGAAGACCTGATTCTGGGTCTACCATATCATCAGGAAGAGACATATTAAAGTAAACTCTATGAATTCCATTTTCTTCAGGAGCGTCTGCGACTGAATCTGATGAGTTATTATCATGATGGAAACCTGGAATATTTAGATGATGCTGGTTATGGTTATGGTTATGGTCGCCACCGTTACTACCGAGGGAAGATATGCGGCGTTTAAAGGCAGAGGATTTTGAGCGTTTAGGGCCGCCATTTTTTTGGCGCATGGTACCCCAACGATGGCGCTTCATGGAACGGTCTCTATCGAGTTCCGAGTCATTAGTTTCATGAGGGGCATTTAGGAAAGAGAGATTATTTGTTGTTGTAGTAGCAATTTGATCTGAAAAATTGATTTCTTCTTGAGCATTTGCGGCAAAAGAAATATGTCGTTGTTGTCTCTCAATGGCACTTGGAGTATGTTCGAGATTGTAAGGTTTTTTAGAGCCGCGAGGCTGCTGGGCAATGCTGAGAGAGTCAGATGAGACTGAATAGACAGAAGCTGAGTAAGGATTTTTAAAAGAGAGAGTTGAAGGACTTTGAAGGATTGATGAATCAGTAGCATGATTGTGAAGATGGGAGGTTGGTTGAAAGTCAGGTCGTATAGCTGCAGCTTGAGGAGTTTGAAGGCCAGTAATGGTATCATTGTTAGTATTATCTCCTGAAGGTGGTGAGGGAAGATCATCGACTTCGTCTAGGTCGGCACTAAATGGATTGTTAGAGTACCTAGCTCTGCTATTACGGTTTGAAGAGTTGTTGCCTGTACCAGTTCCGGTTGGATTTCCGGTTGGAGTTCCGGAAGGGTAAGAAGGGTCTGGCTGCTCGCCTAAGGGGTTATTATAGGCAGACATGGCGAGAGCATTTAATAGAGGGGGAGTAAGTGTGTGTGAGAGTGTGTGTGTGTTTTTTTAAAAAACGAGGGATGACGATGTAGAAAGCAGAGGGAATAAGGGGGGGTTTAAAATGTATTTAGGACAGATAGATTTGGTCTACAAAAAAATAGATGGAGATTTTATAGATTTTTTTTTTTTTGGTGATAAGAAAAAAAAGGAAAAGAAAGAAAGAAAGGAAAGAAAAGAAAGAAAGGAAAAGAAAATAAAAATAAAAAAAAAAAAGGGTTTTCAATAAAAATATAAAAAAAAATAAAAAAAATAAAAATTAAAAAATTAAAAAATTAAAAAAATAAAAAAAAAATAAAAAAAATTGCGCTCAATTTAAGAATTGACAAGACCTTTTGAAATATTTTTTTTTTTTTTTTTTTAAATATCCAACAACAACAGCAGCAGCAGCAGCACAGGCAGCTCTTTTGCTTGGTTAACAATTTTAATAATTATTATTTTAATTATTATTTTAATTATTATTATTTTAATAACTATTATGTAATCACTTTGATATCCAATCTGTCAGTTTGTTTGTCAGTCTGTTTGTCAGTCTGTTTGTCTTTACCAGTCGCGCCTTTCCGGAATAAGTCATAACGGAGGTTCAGCCGGATTTTAATTTTTTTTTTTTAATTTTTTTTTTAATTTTTTATAATTTTTTATAATTATATTTTCATGAGAATCATCATCAAAAGGTTTTTTTAATTTTATTTTATTTTATTTTGTAAATAATAATAATAATAATAATAATAATAATAATAATAATAATAATAATAATAATAATAATAATAATAATAAAAAAGTAGTAGTATATTGCTGATTATCAAGATAGTTGAAATTCGCGTAATATTAGTGCATTCATTCATTCCATAGTTTAAGCAGCAATTTTTTTTATTTTATTATTTTTTTTATTTTATTTTATTTTAATTAACAACGCATCATCATCATCATCATTAATAAATAAATAAATTAATAAATAAATTAATTAATAAATAAATAAATTATTTAATAAATTAATAAACTATCAACAAAAAAAAAAAAGAAATAAAAATAAAAAACCAATTCGAATTTTATTATTAAGTGCGCAGTTTGTTAGTAAAAGATTAATAATAATTAATAACCACACACTAGAAATCTGCGCGTTTTTTTTTTTTTTTTTTTTTTTTTTATTTTCTTTCAACCGGGACTCCGAGAAAAAAAAACTATTTTTTTTTTTTTGAATATAAAAATATAAAATAAAAAAAAAAAAAAAAAAAATATTTTCATCTTTAATTTTTTTTTTTTTTTTAATTTTTCAAAAGACCCTGATCTCATGAACAATCCCAAATTAATTTTTTTTTTTTTTTTTTTTTTTTTTTTTTCTTTTCTCGAGAAATTGTTCAGTCATTTTTTTTTAAGTAACTTTTTTTTTTTTTTTTTTAAACTTCTCAAAATAAATATTTCAAATAAAAAAAAAAAAAAGATCTCAATTGATCTCACTTAAATAATCAAAATTTTTTTTTTATTTTTATTTTTATTTATTTCTTTCTTTCTTTAAATACAAATATAATTTAAATGATATTCTTCTGTTTAGAATTCTATCGGGGTTTCAGGCAAAAGACTCGCATTAATATATATTTATATATATATAAACCAAACATTGAACAAAAATCTTTTTTTTTTTTTTTTTTCACTTGCTTCTTTTCTCTCCACAAGTTTTTATCAAAATAAGGCAATTCCGTTAAACTTATCTTTTAATTAATGATAATAATAATAATAATAATAATAATAATAATAACAACAACTCTAATTGCTTTAAATAGCAGGAGACCTTGTAATATCTCAAATCTACTAATACACATGAGCTTTCAATTTTCTTTCTTATTACTATTGTTATTCATCATCTATCTAAACTAATTAAGCTTAATCAATGTGATCTTCTCATTATAATTATACATGACACGTAAAAAAAAAAAAAAAAACACGTATAATTTTTTATCCCTTTAAATCATATCTTCTATTTATTTTTTATTTTTTTATTTTATTTTATTATTTTATTTTATTATTTTTTGTTTTGTTTTGTTTTGTTTGCCCGTATTTTTTTTATACCGGGTATCACCGGATCTCTTCCATCTTCCGCAACGCTTAAGTTCCGAAAAAAAAGAAAAAAAATATTATAACCGTTAGAAACTAGCAGATGTCTTGTTTTAATTGGCTCATCAGTTGACCTTCCATCAGACCTAAATTTGAAATATTTATTATCATCATCATTATTATTATTATTATTATTATTATTATTATTATTATTATTATTATTATTATTATTATTATTATTATTATTATTATTATTATTATTATTAATAAAAAGACACGCATCAAATTTACCAACATTCATCATCATCATCATCATCATCATCATCCCGAACAACTTTTTTTTTTCTTTTTAAGCTTTTTGAGAGCTTGGAGAAACAATATATATATATATAAATAATTTTTTCGCAATAACAAGTCTCTTTTTTTTTTTTTTTTTTTTTTTTTTTTTTTAGTTCCTCATCGATCTCATCCTATTAAGATACTTTTACCTTTTACCTTTTTTTTTTTTTTTTAATAATAATAATAATTGACAACAAAACACCTCCTCTCATTATAATTATTATTATTATTATTATTATAAACTGCCACCACCAACTAAATTTGTTCATGACTAGTTAAGCCTTCATACAAAAAAAACAAAAAAAAAAAATTAATAACCACATTCTTTATGCAAAACAAGACCTTCTTCTTTTTATTTTTTTTTATTTTTTTTTATTTTTTATTTTTTTAATCTAAAAATATATTAACTATATATATAGTTAGTTATATATATATAACTACCCCCTTGATTGAAACCGTTTCTGTAAAAATCAGTGTATTACATTTCTCCCCCTTTTTTTATTTGCTGGCGTTCTCGGACAAATATTTCTTCTTTGGTTTTTTTTTTTATTTATTTATTTATTTTTTTTTTCTTATAAAAAAATGCACCTTAACTTATCTTAAAATCTTTTTCTCCACAAAATGCATCATTCTCAGATAAACACGTGCCTTGATCTACGCATTTGTATTTAACATTAAAAAAAAAAAAATTTAAATTTAAATTGATTTATCAGATCTTGAAAAAAAAAAAAAAAAAAAAAAAAAAAAACTTAGGTTCTAATACTTTCTTTGAAATTTGAATTTTTTTTTTTTTCTTTTTCATACATTTCATAAAATCAATAATAAATGTATAAATGCATGTATATTTACTTATTAAAATTATTATTACATACAAAAAAAAAACTCTCTCCACCCCCATCCTTCATCCATATCTTTAATTCTTTCTTTCAAGAAGAAAAAGAAGAAGAAGAAATTTTTTTTTTTCTTTAAGCCTGCTGGACTTTGGCATAATTTGGTGGACGCAGTTTACGACGCAAGGCTTTGCCAATCCATGGGGGAATCAATGCTGTAGCCGTAATTAGTATAGTTTGCCAGTAAAACGCCGGCGTCACCACAAACCCCAAATCAAAATAGTCTCCTAAAAATGGTACAGACGCAACGTAAATCAAAAAAGTAATCACCTCTGAAAAAAACATCACCTTGTTCCAAGTTGTAATTTCTAAAGCAACCATAATCAACTCGTTAAGTAATAACGCAGTGAAACTCACAGAAACCATCTTGTGGAACAACTCCCGGTCAATTCCAACAAACACTTGTGAAAGACCTTGAATCACACATCCTTGATACAATGAAACAAGAACCCACACAAAAAACGTCTTGTATGATAATGACCGGCCTTCTGTCAATTCCTTGTAAAGTTCAGGATACAAGTTGGCTAAGTCTTCATCAACATCACGATCTAACACCAAAGAAAATACTGGTGCCATAGTATAAAGCGTGGCATAACCAACCATAAGCCAACCTTCATACAATGCAAGAGGTTCAAACGCAGACGAAACTGAATACACAGTCTGGCACACACTGATAATCAAACCACGATGAATCACAAACTGTGCAAGCTTAGCTGATCGCTTATATGAATTGCGTCCGTGCCAAACAAGCAGCTTGGTCAAATGACAAAACTGCGTAATACTAAAGTCCGCCGCCAGCGACGCTTGCTTGCCCTCCTTACCCACAATACCAACACCAACATCTGCAGCTTGAATCATACTAACATCATTACCACCATCTCCAATGCAACACACTCGTTTCTTAGTGTACTCCTTAATTAAAATTGCAACGTCTGCCTTTTGCTGTGGCGTACATCGACATGCAATAACTGCTGGCTGTTTCACAGCAACACTCACAAACTGTTCCTTAAAGTGATTCAAAAACATGCTAAGTGACTCTCCGTCAATCAGCAAAGCTGCATCAGGCCGTCGTCGTAAAAATTCAATGTGTTCAAATGCAGCCTGCTTGTTGCGTACCTTGACAACTGTTTGAATATACTGACCACGTGCTACAAGCTTTGAACTAACAGCAACACACCGAGCTGTCTCCACCTTATCACCAGTAAGCATCCAAATCTTGATTCCTGCGTTTCGAAGCAATTCAAGTGATGGTTTCATATCCTTTTGTAAGCGATCTTCAACTCCAGTCAAACCAAGAAGCTCTAAATCGTGTTCAAGGAAATCACTAACAACCTTGGCAATTTTTTCTTCACGGTTGGCCATAGAAAGCGAAGCCTCCTTGTACTTTTCCTCAAAGTCTCTAAACAATCCAGGAGAAAGCTTCTTGCGACCCACAACAAGAGTTCTCAACCCTTCGCGAGCCATATTGCCAGTTTCCTCCTCGAGCCAGTCATTATGCTGTACAATGGATGCCATAACTGTATCAGCACCCTTTTGCAAGAACCACATCTCATCCTTGGTCTTGTCATGCACAATGATACCCATGCGCTTATTGTCCGAGTTAAATGGGAAAACGTATAAAATGTCGTACTCCAAGTTGGTTTGAGTGGCTTCATGTAAAAGTGTCATTGATTTACGGTCTCGTTTATGCAAAGACAATCCAACAGATGCTGTCCACTTGACAATGGCAACCTCATCAGGTGAAGCAGCTTGATATTCAATCTTGCCATCTTCATAAGAAGGTGTTACGCTATGACAAATCGCAAGTGTGGTAACAATGTCACGCACACGATTACCAATCTCACGACGACTACGTGGACCTGTAGGTTCACCAGCAACAAACTGCGCGACTTCGTCCATGGCATCTCCAGTATATGAAACAGTACCAACATGGACTTTTTTCATTTCCATATCATTCTGAGTTAAAGTACCTGTTTTATCAGTAAGTAAATACTCGATGCGACCCAAGTCTTCAGGGATGGTACTGGTGCGCACAATGGTTTCTGGAATCGACTTGTCATGCTCAATTTGATGGGCATAAACGGACTTGGCCATATCTAAGTTGACACGTAAACTAACGGGGATAATTGTAGAAAACAAAATCAAAAAGCGCATAACATCAATGTACCACTTATCACCAAAACCTTTGAAGGCTACAAGACCAAAACTAAGCACAAAAACACATGTACATAAAATCTTGGAAAGACTGTTGATTTCAATTTCTAAGCGACCAGTTTTGGCACGAGCTTTAGATGTATTGAGGGCCTGACGAGTGTCAGTACCTGTATAAATGACACAACCAATGGCAGAGCCAGTGGCTAAAACGGTATTTGCCCAGAGGGTATTATCGGCACTAAGACCCACAGAGTTTCCGTCGAGAGTGATGCTTCCAAGAAATGAATGAATGTCTTTGTGTGGGTACTCTGCTTGGATTTTAATGTGCTGAAGGTCTTCAATTGAAGCACTTTGTGTAAGAGAGGCAGCAATGCGCAGCTTCCAGTCGGTTTCACCATCAAGTTGATCTGTTCTAATAAAGGATTCACCCGTGTGTTCGGAAGATTGGAGCAAAATCATATCTGCTGGAATGCGATGATCCTTGTGGAGACGCACAAGACTGCCGACTTTAAGGTCTTGTGCCTTGACAAAAAGGTCTTTCCCTGAAACTGGAGGGTTCAGGACTTCATAAAGTTCAATGTTGGCTTCGCGATCTCTGCGACGACGTAAAATATCATCCCAAGCTTCTTTACTCATTGTAACTGTTAATACAAAAGCGAGCGGAACAATATATGAGGAGAGATACCCGATCCGGAGAGCTGGAACTGCTTGGGAAAGAGCTACTAGCAAAAAATAAAGGTTGAAGAAAAACTTAAATTGTTCGTAAAGAATAACTGGTAGAAATGTAACAGCATTGTACTTTGCATTTGAAATTGCGTTGGAGGGGTAATGGTAAGATTTTGCAGAGGATGCAAGCTGTGGAGTAACAATGCGCTCTGGGTGAGATTCAAGCACGGGGCTGCGTTGATTTCTGGCTCTAAGTTGAGCAACAGAAGCAGAAAGTCGCTTAAAAAAGACTACTGGAGAAACAAATCTGTGTTTGGGGTAAGAGGTAGTGGTAGTATCAAGATCATCATCATGGTTATCAATAGCTAGAGATGAAGTTGAGGAAGATTTTGGTCCTCCTACTCGGGGGTTCCCACGAGAACCTCCTCTCCTACTGTTAATAAGGGGAGCGGTAGAGGACTCTGTTGCAGTGACAATGAGATCGTTTGCGTAATCGTCTTCATTGTCGCTGTGGTGGAGGTCTGAGGACGGGGCCATATTATGGAGGGGGATATCGAAGCTGGGCATTCGTAAGAGGGCACCAAGAGCCAGTCGAGACCGTTTGTATACCAAATAAGGCCACCTTACAAGAGCGTACCACTGAAGACTGGGGCTCGAAATGGAGGCAGTTGGGGAAAGCGGTGAGTAATCGTAACGATTATAAGAAGGGTGGTTGAGCAGACGCAAATAGTGCTTGTTGCTGTAATAGGACGCGGTGGGCCCGGAATAAGGCTTATTTAGCACGGCCAACGTGGAGAACGATGAACAAGAAAAAAACGCCGGCTAATGCTTTTTTTTTTTAATAGAAGATATAAGATATAATAATAATAAAAATAATTAAGTAAAAAAAAAAAAAGCTGAGTAGGTTAACGTGCTGGGATAAAGTCCAAACTAAGTATTTATGAGGATGCTTGCTGTTGATATATGCAAAGGAAAAAGTGTATTGAGAAAATGAAAGGCCTTTTTTTTTCATGTTAGCAAGCTGAGGTTTTTGCTTAGGTGGCGGTTACCCGGCGGTGGTACGGCCAAACCTCCTAAAGATGCATCTACTGTTTGGAATTTCCGTCACACACAAACATAAAATTCTCACGACACATACATACACGCATAAACATACACATACACATACACATACATATACATATACGCACCGAAGCCATGTCTCACCAGTTCAAAACAGCACAGCTGGTACCACAACCGTACTCACGAATATCTACACCTGTTCCGTTTCAGCCATTTACACCACCAGCAAATATGAATCCAGGGACTCCGGGGATGCCTGGATCGGCAGGCCAGCAGTATCAACAACAGAGATTATTGAAGCCTTTGGGAGGTGGTAACAGTAGCGTGAACCTTACAGCTATGGGATCAAGCTCTGAAGCACATACCCCAGGTAATACGAGTTTTAATGGGATGCAAGCAAATGGTAATAATGGTGTCGGATCAGAAATAACAAATGGTTTGATTTACCAGCACGAATACGAAAAACCTCAAGTGTCGCGATGGCTGAATGTGTTTGAAAAGACACTGGCACAACTAGTAGAATCTATATCGCGGTTTCGACCGAGTTTGAAAACAGCAGAGAACTTGGTTTCGGCTGAAGCAGAGCTGGCACAGGCAATCACTGAGTTGGCAGAGCATCAGAGACTAGCACGACGAATTTATGAATTGCGACAAGAGTCCAAAACTTTAGATGATGAGCTCAATGTCTTGTTGGTCACGTTATCAGACTGCCGAAGGACACTTCGGGCATTGCCGAAGCCTGACGAAAAGTTTCTGCGGTCGTTGCCAGATGGAGCATTGGACTACACACGAGAACTAGTACAATTAAATGATGTGGATTATGATGATGACGATGACGATGACGATGAAGACGAAGATGAGGATATGGAAGACATTAATGGTGGTGGTGATGATGGTAAAAGAATAAGAGATGGAAAGAAGACAATTGGTCACCGTCGTCGGCGCAAAGTGCGGACATTGGAAGAGGCGATTCGACGGCGACGATCTTCATTGGCATTTTCAGGCAAATACGTACAAGAACGTGATAAAGTGTCTGCCAAGGAACTTCTTGAATATGCGACGCGTATTACCAAGTTTACATCTGCACCGCTTGGGTTTGATGGCCAGTCACGCGATAACCCGGACTTTAACTACCCGTGGCCTTCGGAGGATGAATTGCGACGGGGGATGCTTGCACTGGCAGCCATATCTGGGACTGAGGAAGTTACTGCAGGCGAGGAAAATGCTAAAAAGGAAGAGCTAAAGAAGCAAAAGGAGCTGGAGCTGGAGCTGGAGCTAGAACAGCAGAAGCAGAAGCAGAAGCAAAGAGAGGGGGAGAATGAGGTGAATAATAATAACGATAATAAGAATGAGACTAGCTCGATAAATGTGGAGACAATGGGCCGAAACAGTGCAATTGTGGACTCGACAATAGGGTCTTTTGATAAACCTTCTATCAGTACAGTCCCCACCACCACCACCACCACAACAACAACAACAACTACAATAGCAACAACAGCAAACACAATTGCGGCTTCTTCGTCTTCTTCTTCTTCTTCGCCCTCAACCATAGGCACTAGTGCGGCGACTATAGATTCAAGCGGTGCGGCAGGTTCAGAGGGGCTGTCAAAGGTGGCACGGCGGGACTCGGAGTACAGTGGACGGCCAAGTATGCCAGCTGTGGCGGAGTTAGATCTTGGACTTTTTGATCCGGATGAGGACGATGATGAAGAATTTGAAGACGTATAAAGGGCATTATACATGATGTAAAGAAATATTAAACGGCAATTGGATGAATATGGAAATTGGGCAATTGTTACTGTAATTTATATAGATTCTAGAATAATCCGAAAGATGAAATGATATATTATATTTATATATTAAAATGGGCCATTTTTAATAATAATTGAAAAAGATGGTTTTTATTAAATTAATTTTCAAACTAAACCATCGATCATTTAACAAAGAAGAAGAAGAAGAAGAAGAAGACTTGTTTTTACACCAACAGAATTGGTTTTTTTTTTTTTTTTTTTTTTTTTTTGGACCCCTTTAGGAATAGGACTTATATAGAATTTATTCACAGCCAGCGTCAACCAGATTCCCGGACCCTGAATTCCTATCCAGTCTGAGAGGGTTCACTACTATTTTTTTTAATTTTTTTTTTTAATTTTTTAAATAAAAATCTCACTCCGAATGTACAACGCCCGCAAAAAATTGGTATTTTTTTTTTTTTTTTTTTTTTTTTGGGTAGTTTTTTTTTTTTTTCTTTTCTTCTTCTTCTTAAAGCAACGCCTTGGACAAAGTTTTTCTTGAAAGATTTTGAAGGTATAAAAAAAATAGCTTTTTTTTTTTTTTTTTTTTTTTAAAAAAAAAAGGATTTACCTCTTTTTCTAAATTTCTCTCTCTCTCTTTTTTTTTTTTTTTAAAAATAATATATATATACACTTTCAACACATTCTTCGTCTATTTTTTTTTTTTTTGAATTTTTGAATTTTTGAATTTATTTATATTTTATTTTTATAAAACTGCAATCCGTTATCTGCTGGAAAGAGACCCGGACATAAATCCGCGCACCACATAAAAAAAAAAAAAAAAAAAAAAAAACCCACCACCACACACAAAACTTGCAAGCATTTCTCAATCTTTGTTATCACCATCATCATCAATTATCTACACCAAAAAACCACTAACAACAACTCCACCAAAAAACACCCAATCTATCGAAATTTCACCGCTATGAGCGACCGGTACCAGTTCCTCGAATGGGCTGGCCGAGGATGTAAGTAAATTGAACAAAAAGAAAAAAAAACTAAAGAGGAAATTAATTGCGCAGATACACTGTCAACCATATATATATATATTATATAGAGATTTATATATATATATATATATAAAGATTTATATATATGGGCTGTCATCCAAGACCTAATTATCTAACTACAACCTTTTTTTTATTTATTTACACAGCATTCGCCAAAGTAAGGTATGTATTTAATTATATTTTAACTTGATGGGAAAAAATCTTTTTAATTTTTATTTTAACTAATAACGTTTTTAAAGACACGCCAGACGTAGGTATGACGGCGGAGACGTCGCCATTAAAGAAATCATGCGATCGCCGTTTGTTCGCGACCGAGAAATCTTTTTACTCGACCGTCTATGGCATCGTAACATTGTCAATCTGCTCGACATTATCTATCTAGATGCTCCTCCGCCACCCGAGGTTTCCTCTTCGTCGTCGTCCTCCAGCATCGGAGGTTCCACTACTCCCACACCATCCGGAACAAGTTCTTCTGAACAACATCACCATCACCACCACCATCACCAGCAGCCGCACGCTCCAGACCAATCATTAGAGGAAGTCACACCTCTGTTAGTTCTTGACTGGGCTCCAATTACTCTCGACAGTCTAATGGACGCATTTAGACTCCCCTTTGACATTTTCCAGCTCAAATGTTTTGCTTGGCAGCTCATTGAAGCTATAGCATTCCTTCATGAGCACGGAATTGTACACCGGTAAGTCAATTGATCTTTTAGGGTTTTAAGAGTTATAAGTAAAAAAAAAAAAAATTGTTAACATGCTTTTTAGTGATATTGCGCCTTCAAACATTCTCCTCACAACCGACGGCATTGTCAAGCTTTCGGACTTTGGCTCCGCAACTCTTATTTCAAATTCCCCGCTCTACAATGCTCCTCGACATGTTTATCCTCTACCAGGTGCTTCAGGACCTGCTTACTACCCTCATCAGCAGCAGCAGCAGCAGCAGCAGCAGCAGCAGCAGCAGCAGCAACAACAACAACAACAACAACAACAACAGCAACAACATATTTATCTTTCTCACCATCAAACTCTTCCTGCTCCTCCTTCTTTCCCTCCCCATCATTATCCCCAAAACCCTCACTATCAACAACAACATCCGCATCAGTACCGCATGCCACCTCCTGGAGTACCCACCGGCCCAGCTTCTACTCTTTCATCTTCTTCTTCTCACCTCCCCCCATCTTCTATTGGACCGGGTCATTCACGCTCTCATCTCACTGTCGAACTTCCACCAAGTATTGCTTATTTTCAAGAAGATGGCCGATTGACTCCTAACGTTTGCACTTTATGGTACCGAGCACCCGAAATTCTACAGCATCGAGACTATTCGTATCCTGTTGACATGTGGTCCTATGGCTGCGTTATTATGGAACTAGTCCTTGGTCGTCCATTGTTACCAGGGAACTCAGAAGTCGATGAATTGAACCACATCTTTCGTTTTTTCGAAGGGGCCCCAGATGGCCCAGATCCCTCTCTACGAGCCCCCATTCTTCCCTCAAGTTCAATCTCAGGCTCAGGTTTGGCTCCGCAAATTTCCTCAGCAGATCAATCCAGGCCTTCTTCTTCTTCTTCTTCTTCTAGACCATCTTCTTCTCGCCCTTCTTCTTCTTCTTCATCGTCAACTTCAACAACTTCCTCTTCATCATCTTCTCACCATCATCAACATGGAAGTCGTCCACCAGCGCATTTTTTGCATACGCGGGCAGCATACAAGCGTGCACGTCCTATGGATGTACGTGAACGTAATCCTCAACAATTTAGCGCAGTTCAGCGCCTAATTTACCAACTAAGACCTGCCTCTGCATCACTTTCTTTTTCTTCTTCTTCATCTTCTTCTTCACAGCCATCTTCAACTTCTTTATCCTCTTCAACTTCACGGCCTCCTACTTCTTCCACATTATCATCATCATCTTCTTCTTCTTCTGCATCCTCTTCATCTTCTGACAACCAAATCGTTCCTGTCGACCACAATTTTATTTCCCTCATGGAAGGAATTCTCACATTTGACCCAGATAACCGCATTTATGCTAAAGACGCAATCAGTCACGGGTTTTTCTACAAGGAGCCATACCCATGCACTCCAATTGAACTTGTTGCTCGCATCAACAGATAGTTTGATTTTGATTTTGATTTGTTTCTTTTTCTTTTTTTTTTTAATTTCTCTCACAATTTTTTTTTATTCTTTGATTCATTTACTGATTAATTTCTTATGTTTGCTTACTTTTGCTTGTTTTGAAAAAATTTTTATATACTTTTATTTTTTTTATTCAACTTTTCTGTACTTACAAAATCGGTTTCTCTGGCTTTAAAAAACTGTCAACATTAATAATTAATCCATACACAAATCCATATATATAAAAAAAAATAAAAAAAAAATATTCGTCACCCTTTCTATCTATATATATCATAGTTTGTCTTCTATTTGACAGCGTTGCATGTATAAATAAAAATCTCTACTATCATCTTCTTCGTGTCGTCTTCGTCTTTTTTTCTTCTTCTTATTGCTTTGTTGCTGTTGGTGCAAAGAAGTACTACTAGGACCCACTCCGCCCATTTCTTCGCACAAAGTACTCATTGTAGTTTCCGACGCCGTCTTTGGGTGCAGCCCACCACTAACACTTCCCTCATTACCGAACCCACCATCATAGTAGCCGTTGCCATAACCTGCAGTACTAGTTGAACCAATCACTGTGGCCTCAACTTGAGGCAACTGTAGCAGTCCCGTTGACAAGCCGTGCACCACAGGTTCGGGCCTGCCTTCGCATACAATCGCGGCTGCCGCTGCCGCTTTTAATGATCCCGATGTTGCTGCTGCTGTTGCTGCTGTTGTTGTTGATGGTACTACTGTAGCTGCTACTGCCGCATCATCTTTACTTTCGATTGACTGGTACTGATAATTACGCGCCGCGCTAATGTTTAAAGGATCTACCTCTGTTGATACCAACGCTTGGCCAACACTCATCGCTGCATCCTCCTTCGTCTTCATCTTCATGCTTGTTCCCGCAGATGTAAGACCCCCCACAGAATTTCCCACAGGAATTCCTTCTAGACTCTCTACATCTGCGTTTTCATCCATGGCAGCACAGTTGCTATAATAATCGTAAAATGTTCGTCGGGTTTTGGCTGTATTATCCATAAAGCTCCAGTGTGAACTTTTTCGTCGAACTCTACTCCCACCAGTGGCTGTTGTTGTGTCTGTGTACTCACTAGAATCATCATTGTTATCATTCTCCTCCTCGTCTTTAATTCTAATATAATCTCCAAGGTAATACTCTCGTTCAGGAGGGTTTAAAACTCCAACTATAACTAAAGCTAAAACTCCACCAGTGACTAGAACAAATGAGCTTAATGCTAAATGCCATGATAAACCCACATGGAAATAAAAGGTGCCACCAGTAGATAACCCCGAACGGTCAGTATTTGCTAATCCTGTTGAGAAGAACTTTTTCCCCGCCGTGCTTCGTACCATGGCCCACACGACCGTCAAAGAGCTTGCTTGCATCAGTGCTACATAAATTGTAGTGTTAGTTTTATAAAAAAAAATAAAAAAAAATAAAAAAAAATAAACAAATAAACAAATAACCACAATAACAAGAAAAACTTTAATCCCCTCATTTGCTACTTTATAGATGATGTCACTGCCGATCCTGGCTTTTAATCGTAAGATCCCGCATAAAATAGATAAGGCGTCTCGTTTACTTATTTTGGGCTTGGTTTTAAGGGGGGGGTTAAAGTAGAAATAGAAATGAAAATGAAATTAAAAGAAAAGAAGATATCACAAACATAATATACTTACCAGCACTTCCTGCAAAATAGGAAATAAGACGCCATCCGACTTCTTCAAAATACCGGTCACCAATAATCGTGCTGGAGTATGATACTACAGTGGCAAGCTGTAGAAATAAAGTCAACCATGTAATAAATCCTGCTGTCATCCATGCAGCTTTCATAGGATCGTCTGTGTTGGGAGATACTGGGATGGGTTGTTGGGGCTGGGAATGAAGTGGATTGTTACCCGTGTCAGAGCCCTCTAGAGGAAATGGCGTGCATACTTGTTCCTTAATCGTACTTCTGTGTAAAAAAAAAATCCATCTAGTTAGCAAATCCTCTTTTTGATTTTTATGAACCTCATTTAAAGAAATAACATACTCTGGCATGCAACGACGGGTGAAACCCACTTCAACCATTTGGTCAGCGTCCACAGCCCAGTAGGGCCACAGCAACGCCGTAAGCGTCAGCGAGATGGCTACTAGAAATATGACTAAGGTAGCACGATAAGTGGGTCGAAGGATCTGAACGCCCATGAAAGTGTGTTATGTTGAGAATAAAGGTTTATTTTGTTTTGGTTGATGGATAGATGAATGCAAAAAGGACAATATATGATGGGCCTCGCAGCCTTTTTAAATATTTTTTTATTTTTTTTTTTTTCTTTTCTTTTCTTTTCTTTCTAAAGGGCTTCCAGGAGTCACAGAAGCATGACGTACAGCCGTATTTAATGTAACCTACCAATAAGCCTTACGTGATAAAGAATTGACACCCCACCTAGAACGGTCAAATCATATAAACATGGGTTTAGGGTTTGGAAATATATTTTATTTAATTTTTTTTTTTTTTTTTTTTTTTTTTTTAGGTCTTACTTCCAAATTTCCACTCCACTTTCCTACGGAACAAGCATTCCATTCCATAATGGAAAATGAAAACAACACTAATGCCAATGATGACTTGGCTCAAAATCCCAAGAAAACACCTCCAATCTCAAAGCCTTTAAGTTCGGCGCCTCCTGATGCAGAAATTCTACTTTCCCATGCACAATCAGTTCATTCTCGTCCTGTCAGCTCACAAACTTTTGTACCCTTTTTCAAAAAAATAAGTCAACAATATCAAACCAAAGAGGTTCCACAAAGTAGCAATGTTCCAGCACCTATAACCACCGGTACTTTTAAATTTAATGGTCCCTCTCAAGTTTCAGAAAAACAAGCTCCTCCTCTTGCAAATGCGTCATCATCACCTGTGACAGACTTGCAGCAGCTTGCAAAGCCTTCTAACCAACCAGAGTCTCCAGAGTTTACTTTTGACTTTAATACCCCCTCTATCCCACCATTTTCAACTAGTTCACCCAAAATAGTGGATTCCCCTTTAATGAATAAATCTTTGCATAGTCCAATGACTTCACTTCGTCCACAACCGTCTCCTCGTCCTCTTCCTTCAATCCCAAGTACAACAACAAAAATGCATAAACGACCACTCCCTGCTGTTCCAACTACGCCAAAAGCATCAAGTTCTTCCAACAATAACCAAAAAAGGTTATCTCTACTTAACCATAGCCCTAAACGTACTATTGATTTCATTAACGATGAATCACATATCTCAGAAGCTCGCAAATCTGAACTAACAGAAACTTTTGTTGTTGTCGATGGATCTCCCAAAAAGCAAAAGACTCATACAAGTGAACACTCCGGTCGCACAAATACTATTGCAGTTACTTCTACATTCACTGATACTGATGATACCTCTACATTTGCTTCAGCTTCAGATAGCATACGAGACTTGTTTTTTTCTCAAACAAAAATCAAGGACTCAAAAACTAGACAGCAAACAATTGTACATGCTGCTAGATCTGATACTGTTATAGCATCAGAATCTTTGGACAGCATTAACGATCTTTTTTATTCAAGGAAAGTAGAGACTACTGAAGAATCAGTTACTTTACGCACTAACGTCAATCCACATGAGCCTGTTTCTCACAATAACCAAAACAATCAAGCAAGCCTTTTCAGAGAGCCAGTTAATCAAAAGACTCGTCTTGAAACCACAACAACAAAACCGCCAACCGTTCAGGCTGTTTCCACCCCTAAGCTCGTCACCAAATCCACATCTACTGATAGCGTCCAAGAACTTTATGTTGTACATAGAACAAAAAATTCAACTATAACCGAAACCAAACCGTCAACTAGTTCTCCAAAAAACATGAGTTCAAGCCAAGGAACTAAACGATCTCTTCAAAGTAGTTCATCTTCTAGCCAAGGACGTGACCAATCTTCTCAGAGCAGTTACCGATATTCTCAGAGCAGTGCACCTTCTAGCCAGGGAAGCAATCGATCTCCTCTGAGCAGTGCACCTTCTAGTCAGGAAAGTAACCGATCTTCTCACAGCATTTCACCTAGTCAAAGCAGAAAATCTTCTCAAGCTGATGTAAAACCTTCGCTTAAGTCTCTAAAACAGCAACAACAAAAACAAAAACAACGACCGTCTAACAGTCTTCACCAAGAAGCCTCTCGTACTTCAACAAATTATGAGCCATTCTTTTCAAGCCGAATTATCCCCAATCTTGACCCAAAAGACCGTGAGAAAGCACAAGAGTTGTTTAACATTATCAGCGCAGAAGCTCGTCTTTACAAAAGCTGGTATGTTGACGTCAAGAATATATGGGAGCAAGTTGTATCTGAATTAAGCAGAATGGCTCCTGATGAAGAAGGTCGTGATTTTGCACTCATTCATGCTGGTGTCATGAAGGCTTTCAAGGACATGTATCTTAAATTTTACATGCATTTGGACACTTTGCGCTATGTGATCTGCACCAAAAAATTGAAAAGTTATCCTCTTTATCTTGAAAGAATTCAGGAGGGAAACAGGCGAATGAGGGAAGAACTTGATAGAGAAGTGGCTAGGCAAAAAAAGAAACAAGACCGCAAACTTAGCGCAATTGGATATAAGCCTACTCCGTTGAACGAAGCAAAGCGATTGCAGAGCTTTGAAAATATCCCTAGTGCACGAGATTCTAAGGAATTTTCTAAAGGCGATGAGCTTGATGAGGAGGAAGATGATGACGATGAAGAAGAAGAGGAAAATTACTATTATGGTGAATCCAGAGACAACTTTGATCAAGAAGAAAGTGACGTTGAAGAGGAAGATAGCTCTTCTAATCCTCCTAATCCAACACATGGCGGTAATTTAGATCCTATGCAAATGGCGAAGAGGACAGAATCTCGATTGGTAATTGAGGAGCTTTTAAATGGAACAATTTCTCAAGTTGAAGATGAAGAAGTTGCTAAATGCAACTTAGTTGGACAATCCAATTTACTTACGTCAACACTCCGTGACCATCAAAAGGCAGCACTTATGTGGATGACGAAAAAAGAACACCAAGATACAGGTGGAATTCTCGGCGATGATATGGGATTGGGAAAAACTTTGGAAATGATGTATGTCTCTTTTTTTTTTTTTTTTTTTTGAATCAGTGCGCTCATTATGTCACGAAGATCAAAGCAGGAAGAATGCAAAACTACTCTTATTGTTGTTCCTGTGTCATTGATTAATCAATGGAAACAAGAAATTGAAAAACACGTTCAAGCAAAACATAAGCTGAGCATTTTTGTTTACTACAATATTGGCCGCAATAAGGTAACATTTGCCGAGCTCGCAAAATATGATATTGTCATTACATCTTATGGTATACTTGCAAGTGAATACAAGCAGCACTTCTTACGACATCACGACCTGAAAAAAAACCCCAAAAAATTGGCTGGTCAATCACCCTTTTTCCAAATTCGTTCTATTTGGTATCGCGTTGTGTTAGATGAAGCTCACAATATTAACAACCGCAACACTGTAACTTCTCGTGCTTGTGCTGCACTTGAAACAAAGTATCGATGGTGTATGACAGGAACACCAATGCAAAACACTGTCATGGATCTTCATTCTTTGATTTACTTTTTGAGAATCGGACCTTATACAAATACCAAAAAGTTTAGAAAAGAGATTGCTTTGCCTTTGGAAAAAGGTCAGGGAGGTCCGAGCAGGAGAGTAATGGCCAGACTTCGTACTTTAATTCTTTCCATCATGATTCGCCGTACTAAAAGCTCTCTATTTAATGGTAAACCTATTTTGGCACTTCCACCCAAAAAAATAATTGAAATCCAAGTGGATATTGATGAAGAAGAAAAAGAGTACTACAAAATTTTGGAAAATAACTCGGCAGAAAGTGTTGTAAGACTTGCGAAAGGAGGAATGAGTCACAATCTAATGCACATTTTTGCTCTGCTTACCAAACTACGTCAAGCTGCTGATAATCTTAAGATTCTTGAAAAAGCGGATTTGGATAAATACAAGGAGTTCCAAGTCAATCGTATAAATGACCATGCTGTTAAAGTTGCAAGGAATCTTAACACCCATGCTGTCACTAGACTCAAAAGCTTATCATACTATCAGTGTCCAGTTTGTCTTGACGCTGTTGACCGAGATAATGTTGTTATCTTTTGGCCCTGTGGGCACTATACTTGTGAGGAATGTTGCTTAATGAACCTCCAAGATGGAAATGACACAGAAACTGACAGGATCTTGAGATGTCCCACAGAAAAATGTGGACTTCCAATTGATGAGAAGGACATTTTCAGTTACATTGTCTTTCGTTGGATTTACATTAGAAATATGACTAACGATCAAATACGCCAAAACCGCGAAAGTTATAGGGTGCTGAAGAAAATATCTAAAACCAGAGATAATCGTCATCAAGGACAAGAAAAGCCGTTTGAAAATTCATCTTTTGATATAAAAGATGAAACAAAGTCCTTTTTAATTCCCTTGGATGACCTTGACCAACCAGAACAGCAAAAAGCTACTGCAGCAGATAGCTTTTGCATCAATAACAAAGAAATAGAGTTTCCACTGCCTCCTTTCACACTTTCAGCCGAAAGCAAGTTCGCCCGTGATGGTCCTTTGGTGGGACCCTTATTGTCTAAAAATAACGATTGGGAGCAGGTATATCCACGCGGGTGGTTTAAATCGTCCAAAGTGATCAAGTGCATGGACGTTTTACGCGACATTTTTTCAGAAAAAAAAGAAAATAAGGTGATTATATTTTCATCATTTTTAGGCATGTTAGGCTCAGTTGAGCTCTCTTTAAAAATGGATTTCCCTTCAATTTCCTATGATAGATATGATGGAAAGACCAACTTTGATATGCGCACCAAAATTATTGATGATTTTCAAGGGAAACTGAACCCTCAAATTTTGTTGGTTAGTCTTAAGGCTGGTAATTCTGGTCTTAACTTGACTGCGGCGGCTAACGTTATTTTTCTTGATCCGTTTTGGAACCCATATGTTGAGGATCAAGCCATGGATCGTGTGCACCGATTTGGGCAAATGTCACCAGTGACTATATACCGCCTTTCAACTCCGAATACTGTTGAAGATCGTGTTTTGTATCTTCAGAAACGCAAACGTGCAATTATTGACACGGCACTCGATGAAGGTGAAATCAAACGCCTTTCGCGCCTCACTCCTGCTGAAATTTTCTTTTTGTTTGGTTTGGGGAATTAATATTTTGGAAAAAAATTCTGTAGTATTAAATAATGACATTAAACAAAAATTCTATATATATGATTTAAAAAAAAAAAAAAATTACAAGAGAATTCAGAAGAGAAGGATTCAAAAGGATTCATCAGGGTTAAAATTTACGTTGCTTCCGAGCGACCCGCGCACAACAATGCGACCTTTTTCTGTGGGCATTAGCTCATTTGCATTAATATAAAACTCATCTTCAAGAACTTCGGTTTCATCTTCATTTAATGGTAAAAATGGTTCATCTTTATCTTCTTCAAATGCTTCTTGTTTTTGTTTTTGTTTTTGTTCTTTTTGTACCACTGGAGGTCCTATTGGCTTGACACTTTTGACCAAATCGCCAAACAATCTTAATTGGTACACACACGTAAATTTAGAGTTCCCCCAGTTACTTTCCACTGAAAACACTACACGCTGCACGCCTCCACTACCAAATAGTAATTGCCGCACACCTGTTCCCATAGGGAATACCTGCAGTTCGTCTTCTCCAAAGAGATCATATTCTGCCGTCACAATCTGAACATAGTTTTGCGGAAGCTCTCCAGCAGCAGCAGCCTTTGGATCTGGTTGTGGTACTAGTGCGCGTAAACGGTCGCGGGTTCCAGCATCATCAACCGCTGCCCACAGCGAAATGCGACGTGGAGCAGAGCCTGGATTAGAGCTCATGTTTGCGCTAATATGAACAATTCCAAGGTCTGAGGGAACAATCGGAGCACGAAGGTTAAGAGCAACACGGCCGGTAGGGCCATTAAAAGCCCAACAGGAACCTAAGCGGGTATCACTAGAAAATGCAACAGATGGCGGTTGTGTGCGCATACGACCAAAGCCTAGCACATTGTAAAACTCGTGAGTTTTGCGCTGGAAAAATGGTAACCCGACATTCCAGTCAAATGATGGTGTTGTTAGACGTGTATTAATAGTTGCACCAGTGACTGGGTCTGCAAAGTCAGGTTTTGAAATGGTATGTTTGACATATTTGTCAATAGAGGTTTTGATGAGTGCGCTCAAAGCTGAAGTGGATCCATTTTTTAACAAGCTTGAAGTGGGGTCCTGTAAAGAGGATTTTGAGTTGGAGCGTAGTTTGGACTCAAGGGCAGCTAAAGAATCAATAGTAAACTCTCGCATGTTTTCCAGTTCTCTTTGAAGCATTTGGCTGAAAACGTCACGCGTTACCAGCGCAGAGCTATCTGGATAGCTTTCCAATATTTTGTTTTGGTCGGTAAGATAATCTTTCAAAAAACTTTTAACGGCACGTTGTGTGCTTTCATTAAACTCTTCAGCGGAAATGTCTTTGGAAGGCCGAAGAGGTACTAATTCCGGGTGATCTCTAACAATCTGCTTAACTTTTCTTTCTAAAATTGGCGACTTTTCAATAGAACTTTCAAAGGTATTTTGTAAAAACTTCCAAAATTCAGGAGTGGGTGTGATGTCGCCAGTTTTGGGATCCTTCACAACTATCAGCTTAGGTGGCAAAACCTTGTCAATTGTTCTGAGTACAACTTGTTCCACCTTTTCTGCTTCCTCAAGAAATGCAACCCGTTGCTTGAGCAGTTCGATTTGTGAATCCATATCTGAAAAGAGAGTCTCCATATTTGCAACTTTTCTTTGTGAAGCATGGAAAGCAGCATCGCGTGAAACTCCTTGATCGCGTTCCTTATTTAACAAATTTTGAGTGTTTCGAAGCTTCTTTTCAATTTCAGAAACAATAACTTCTACATTTGTAAGTTTGGTAGCCTGTTCAGTATTGTAACGTTCAGAATTTGTAAGGTGCTTATTGACACGATCCATTTCTTTAGATACACCTCGTAAGTTCTGTTGGACTTGGGACAGCTGAGCATAAAATTCTTCTCGAGAAGATTCTAAAAGAGTAGATCTTCTTGAAAGCCGCGAGACCTCGCTTTCTAAACTTAACAGTCGATCAACCAAATCATTAATATTGCTTGGTGGGTTTGGTGATGGGTTATAGGTTGTGGGAGTAATAAGTGCCTTATTGAAAATGAACAAAATCACCGAAAAGAATATAGTAAAGAGAAGAAATGAAATGCTTAATTTGATGATTGAAAAAGAAAAAACTGCATCCATTAGAGGTTTTAGCAACAAAACTTTGGAAACTATCCATTCCCATGCATCTTTAAATATTCCAATTGCTATTTCGTCATCAGCTTCTTGGGTTTCCAAAATAGAAAAGCTTTGGCTCCTGCTCCGTGAAAAGGTATGACTTAGAGAATCTTTGTTATCCTCCACATCTGTTTCTTCAGCAGTTTCTTCATCTGAATTAAATTCAAAGTCTGGTAATCTGGATTTTCTAACAGGTGTTTCTTGTTGCTGACTGACATTGTTTTGGCGAAGGTGTAACGTGTCTAAGCTATTTGATCGACTAGCATTAGCAAATGAAACATGACGAGGGTTATTTTCTGTGCGCCGTCTAGAACGAATTTCAGTAAAGAAATCATCTGGACTATTTGTTTGCTTGACAAGCTTTTCATCATCATCTTCTTCTTCTTCTTCTTCTTTTTCTTCTTCCTCTTCTTCATAATCTTCTTCTATTGGCGGTTCAAAACTATTTTCTTGAGAAATAGAGTTACCCTGGTCCTTATGGTATTCATCATCTATGTAAGAAGGATCATAAATTTCCTCATCACTGTGTTCGTTATCTTGTCGGTTCTGAGTTAATGTAATGCTATTTCCATTGGGCAGATCTTGGTTAAATGATAGGTTATCACCGAATAAAGATGAAGATTTACTGTTATTTTCTAGACTATTGTCGTCATCTAATATATTTGTATTTTTTGTCACTGTATCTGTTGACATCTCGGTAGAATCAAATGAGACTAAAATGTTAGAATTTTGCAAAATAAAAAAAAATGCTTGCTTGCTCACTTACCATCAGGAGTTCTCTGAGGGGGTCCCAGATCTAGCCTGAAAGTGGGTATTGTTCGAATAGGTGTAGAAAAAAGCCTTTGAATTTCTGTGTTTTTAAGAGGTGAAACAAAAGATGTATCAAAGTCAAAAGTTCGATAATTATTGGAAGATAAACCGTTAGGTCGAGTGGCAACATCTGTAACATTCTGTGTTTCTTTGAGAGACTCAAGTATTGGGGGAGGCTCTAAATCAGAGTCCGAATCTTCCTCGGACGCGTTTAAAGGAGCAGATAATTGTGGCGGATCTTCCATTTCAAGCAGTAGTTCTGGAGAAGGAGAAATTCGTTGTGATTGTTCTTCTTCTCGAGTAGTGGCAAAGCGTAAAGCTTCAACAACTGTGGTTTCGGTATGAGCTTGGGCTGCAGATTGGGAACGAGTGAGCTGGATGGCGTTAGGGTCTGGTGGTTCTAGACTAAGATCTGCTGGGTCTATCCGTCTTATAGGACGGGAAGGCTGGGATACCTGTGAAGTTGTGTCATGTACAATGTTCATATTCTGACGTTTCGATATAGGAGTACCGGAAAACATGAATAGTGGAGACAAAGCACAAGAAGATTGTTTGATTGATTTTTCGTGATTTAAAAAAGAGGGAAAAGAGGGAAAAAAAAAAAAAAAAAAAAAAATGAACGTGGTAAAGACGCGTAAGGTGTAACCCTTACCCTGTAGACATTCCCTGTTTCACTTTTTTAAAAAGAACAATTTCTCCCCACAATTTTATTCTTTCTCTTTACACCACCACAACAACCCTTCCGAGTGTCTTTTTTTTTTTTTTTTTACATTTACTTTTGCTTTTTCAGTATATTTGAACTGAAATACCCATTGATTAATTTTAAGATACCATTTATTTTGCTATGATTATCTCCACGTTTTTGGGATGGAGTCTACTAGTCTCCGGCACTGTTTGCAATGCTGTGGTTTTGCCGCAACAAGTTGCCAGTAGTATTGCACTGGAGGATACCACTTCGAGTACGGTGGCACAGGAACCAAGCAATGTTGATAAATATATTGCACAGTGGGAAGAGCTGTATGAAGCATATGGGTTTCATTCTTCAGCTCGTGGGGTTGCGCGTGCAAATGATGAAGATAACACTCCACCAAAACCTCAAGAAACACTATTATTATCTGACACTTTAAAACATCCATTAAATAATACCCTTTATGAAAGTACTGCTGATAAAGCTGTGACGAAAAGTATCGTTATTCCTGAACCTGCTAGCACTCAGATTGATATAAGTTTTTCCACAAATACCCTAGAAAATAATGACATTAAGGGTGTTGGTAGTAAAGAGTTACCCCTTGGAAATGATATTGATGTTGATTTTGAAGAACCTTTAAATTTTGAATCTGATTCCACAGCACCATATTATACCCCACCACGCCCTAGTGGGTTTGTTTCTGGCAGTTATTATGGGAGGGTTGATAATACTGAAGAGTCTAGCTCTTTTAATTCGTTTACAGTACATGTTTTTAAGCGAGATATTGAAGAGAGTACATTAATTGGAGTAAATGATAACCCGAGTACATATGATGTCGGTTCTTATATTTTGACAGAGTCAGAGGTTGCTGGATATTCTGATTCCATTGAAGATTTTTTCAATGAAGATCTTGGGCTTGATGAGTACGAGTTTGGCTACGATGATCGTGATGCATACAGGGATATTGGCGATGGTGAAGTTGTTGGAGTTGTTGGAGTTTTAGGAGGAGTCAATCCAGAGGAATTTGAGAATTTAGATTTAAGTGGTGGTCAGACTTTAGAAGAAAATGGCCGACGACGACGTCGGATACGCAAGGGCCGAGGGAACCGAGTGATTAAGGGCATTGTTGTTGATCACTGTGGACGACCAATAAATGGAACGTCTGTTGTGATTAAGAATGCAACATTAGAGACACCAAGTAATACTACGCTTGGAGGCAGTAGTCCCCGAGTTGATTCTATGACTGGGATTGCAGCGCGGACGACGTCAAAGGCGATGCTTGCTATGACTGTGTTTTGCGGGATGGCACTTATTGTATAGAGAAAGTAGTTTGTGTGTGTGTATGTGTAGTATAGATGTAGAGTCAAGTTAAATTAGTGTTGAGAATGAAAACCCCAACCCTTACCGGCAATAGAGTTTTTTCTAAAAAAAAAAAAAAAATTCGTGCACCACCACCACCACTAGGAAATATTTTCTACCTGTAACTGCGTGGCAGACGACATTATATTTTAAAAAAAAAAAAAAAAAAACCCTTGACGGCAAAAGAAAAAAACAATCACTAGCGACGCGTTTTTTCTTCAATAAACTTTTGCGAGTTTCAATTGTTTAAATTTTTTTTTATTTGATCTTTGTGCTTTTTTTTTTTTTTTTTGGGGGAGACTTGAAGTGGTACGCTTGCTACATATATACATCACGGTTCAATTGTAAAGAAGGCATTTGGTCGTCGCCAAAATAAAGACCCTTTTTAAATATCATCAGCACATATTTCTCCTTTCTACTTTATACGCACACCATATACACACTTCTCTCTTTCTTTCTTTTTTTTTTTTTCTATTTTTCTCCCTTTGAATTAATTCTTGCATATAAACGCGTTTCAATAACCTCTGCGGTTGGTTTTTGACGATGCCTGTACAGCGGACAATTAAGGTCACAACGACCCAGGAAATTCTGAAAAATGAGCCCAAGGTCCAGGAGTTCCCGATGCGCAAATGGAGCATTGAGATTTCTCTAGTGGGCCCCAATGGAGAAGACGTACCAGCAAATATTTTCGACAAGGTCACTTATATATTACATCCTACATTTAAAGATCCCACTCGAGGTAAGTATAGAAATAAAGAAGAGTCCATTGGTGTTTTTTATTTTTTATTTTATTTTGTGTCTAAGATCTATTTTATTTATTTTTTTTTTTTTTTTTTGATAATCAACTAACAACAACTTTTTATTTATTTACTTATAATAGCTTTTAAAACACCGCCGTTTCGGCTTGAAGAAAAGGGATGGGGTGAGTTTGACCTCAATATTAATCTTCATGTTGCAGAGCGCGGCGGCGAGCACAAAATCACGCACGACCTTAATTTTCAAAAGTCTCGGTATGAGGTTCTGCACACACTCAGTTTCCCCACAAACAAGCCTGCTTTACTCCGGCTGCTGGCCGAATCCGGGCCTGTTCCCGAGAAGAAGGGAGTTTCTGGTGGAGCTGTTGGTGCGTCCAAGAGCAACAGCACGAGCACAGCAACTGGTGGTAACAGTAACAGTAACAGTAACAGTAACAGTGCCAGTAGCAATAGTAATAGCAATAGTAATAGCATAGACGGAGCTGCAGGAGCTGCAGGAGCTGCAGGAGGAGCCGGTGGTGACGGGCATGGGGGTGATGCTACGGGAGCCGTGTCCGGTCCAGGGTCTGCAGGAGTGTCTGGAGGTTCAGTGAGTGGAGTGAAGCGGAAACAGGGAGCTTCTGGTGCTACTGGGAATGGGTCTGGGGTTGGTGGGGAGGAAGCGCCGGCCAAGTTTAAGAAGAAGCCTAAGATTGAGAAGGGGTCTGTTGACCTGGAGCGACTTGCAGATGGTCTTAAGATGCTGGGTGAAGATGATTTACTTGGAGTGGTAGAGATGGTTACGGATAACAAGACCAAGGATATGTACATTAAGAATGATGTACAGGAGGGAGAATTCCATATGGATCTGTATACTCTACCTGACCCTCTACTTCTCAGTTTGTGGGACTACGTCAAGAAGAGAGTATCGGTATAAAGAATCATTGATAATGATGATGATTTTTTTTTTTTTTTTTTTTTTTGGATTACTTGATAACTAACACGACTAAGAAAAAAAAAAAAAAAAAAAAAAAAACCCAGAAGAAAATGGAATATTAAAGATGGGGGATATGTAAAAAAAAAAAACAAAAAAAAAAAAAATATTGTTGACTCTTAAAATCAACAATTAGGTTGGATACTAGAATGACTAGCAATAAACCAAAGAATTAAACGGAGTATATTATATATATATAAGATGTATATGTACTTTAGTATGGAAAGTTTTTCCCAGAATACAGAAATAAATGAATTGAATATTGATTTAAGAAATTTAGATTTAGGCTGGAATTTTTATAAGTTTGAAAATAATAATGTTTATATATTATATATATATTTTTCCCTGATATTTACAATTAAGACAAGAAGGTTTATAGGGCTCTGGTAGGTGTTGAAAATAAAATAATAATGAAAGAGGGTAAGGGTTCTTTTTTATTTATTATTATTATTATTATTATTGTTGTTGTTATTGTTATATGTGAGTATTTTGTTTTTTTTGTTTGTGGTGTGGCATATATATATATAAACCAATAAACTCCCTATATAAAAAAAAAAAAAAAAAAAAAAGTTTTTTTTTTTGATGAAAAGTTGCAGAACCAGGAAACCCCAAAATATGTAACTTTGATAGTTTTTTTTTTATTGACTTAAGCCATATTGTCTATATATTATCTCCATGAGAGCAGTATAATTTGTATAAATTGTCAAGTACAGATATACATTAGTATGAATATAACTATAATAGTTTTATTACTTTTAATATATCACAAATGCATTCTATTTTTTATTTATTTATTTATTTTTTTTTTTTCTTTTGATTTCACTCCAATAGCTAATAGCCATACTAATTTTTTTTTTTTTTCACCCCCCCCCCCTTCCCCAGTTTTTGTTTCATCCTTTGACTACAAGATTTATTTGAGAAAGCTTATCAGTATTAGACCCAAAAAAAAAAAAAAAAAAAAAAAAAAAAAGGAGGGGGGGAGAGTAAGACTCAAGGTTTTTATCATTCTTCTTGTTTAAAAGGGGGGGGGGTTTAAAATCAAAGAAATATATTTAAATATTTCAATACTTTAATTAAACTACTTTATAAAGTATCTTTTATAAAATAAAAAAATAAAAAAGAATAAAATAATAAAATAATAAAATAATAAAAATAAGCTTTGTTAAACTGCTTTCATATCTGAAAATTTTTGGTTAAAGTAAAAATATTACAAAGTGAGACATCATTCGGATAAAAAAAAAAACAAAAAAAAAAAAAATTGTATATATTCCAATATTGTTCTTTAATAGCCAACATAAAGGTCTAATCTTCTCTTTATTTTTTATTTCTTTTCATTTTCTTCATTTTAGATATTCTTAAAATTTGATTGTATTTATCATGAAACGTCTTTTTCTTTATTTTTTTTTGTCATGCCCTAAATGATTATATCTCTTCAAAATAAATATATATATATATATATTTAAAAAAAAAAAATCTTCGGCTAAAGTTGCTAAAAATTTCCTTTTGTTATTTTTTTTAAAAAAAAAAAAAATTAAGCTACAAAACAAGCACTCATGTTGTGTAGACTCGAATCTGTTAAAGAAGAAGAAAAAAAAAAAAAAGTTAGCAAATAAACAATAAACAAAAAAAAAAGGTTAAAATAACATTTCAAATCATAATTCAACTTACAATCGAGTCCCAATTGGATGTGTATATTCGTGAACCATCTGAAGTAACTTGGATATCGCTAACTTGTCCGGAATGGTTATGATAGTTATTATGGTTACCTAGCAGTGCAGCAGTAAATCTAGTCCCACCACCACCATTACCACCACCATCGTCTCCGTCACCAGGACTAAATGGGCCCATCCAAGTAAACTTGAGAGAATCCCATGCACCCCATGTGCCATCCTCATAAGATGTAAAAAGCAGACGGCCTGAAGGTGAAAATGCCATGGCACAAACTGCTGGCTGTTGCTGATGATATTGTTGTTGGCTATTGTTATAAATATTGTTCTTGTAAGGTGAATGGACCGATGCTGGACTGATGGGAGAATATGAAGGCATAGAAGAAGGTGATGTTGCGCGAGCGCTGTGCGGCGCAAGGGTATAAGTGCCCACCATGCAGTCTGAGCGTAAGTCAAAGATACGAAGAGAAGAGTTTTCGCATCCAGCCACAACGGCGTTGCCGTCAGGGAAGAGTCTATAAAGTTAGAAAAGAAAAAAACTAAATAAAATAAATAAAAAAAACTAAAAAAATAAATATCATACTTTATAGAATTGACTTCAGCGTTATTTTCAGAAAAACTTTGAAGACTGTATTTATGGCGAGTATCCCAAACTTTTACAGTATTGAGAGAGGCGGAAAGAAAGACATTGGGGAAATATGGGTGACAGCAAAGCGAAGTGACATCACTAAGGTTTCTGTCAACAAAGTCGTAAACTTTTTGGCCTGTTTTGAGGTCCCAGAGCTTTACAGACATGTCGCCTGAACCCGAGAGTAGCTGGTCATCTGTAAGATACTCTATAGAAGAGATGTATTCGGTATGGCCGCGTAAAACGGTATGTGGTTGGGTAGAATCGATGCCTGCCATTGCATAAGAATTATTTGCAGAGTTTGCGAAAAAGCTTGATTTTGTAGGAGATATTTGGAAAAGGCCTCCTAGTTTTTTCTTATTATTATTATTATTATTATTATTATTATTATTATTATTATTATTATTATTATTATTATTATTATTATTATTATTATTATTATTATTATTATTGTTGTTGTTGTTGTTGTTGTTGTTGTTGTTGTTGTTGTTGTTGTTGTTGTTGTTGTTGTTGTTGTTGTTGTTGATGCTAGTGTAGTTGTTGCTGTTATTACTACTATTTCCATTACCAGTAATGGATTCTGGGAACTCTTCTTGAGTGCTGCTTAGATACTGGTCATCAATTGACTCGATAGAGTATATAGATACTACGTTATCAAGACCACCAACGGCTAGACTATGGCCTGAGCGTGAAGTCCCGAGAGCCTGAGGACATGAAATAGGAAGTTGAATGGCGTGAGTTTTAAGGCCTGTATAAACATCCCATACGAGTAAGAACCCATCAGATGCGATGGAAATGAGGGCTTTGTCTGCACCGGCCAGTCGGATATTTTGGATTTTACCAGTGTGACCTTTAAACTGGCGGACTTCGCGAGGTCTTAGAGGTTTCAGTGGAGCTACATGTCTTGCAGCATCGACGACTAGAAGAATATGGTAAGGTTAGAAGAAGAAGAAGAAGAAGAAAAAAAAAAGATGGATAGAGCATTTACATACGAGTTATATCTCTGACTCGACGTTTGATACTTTCGATATTGTGCTGGAGGATTTCAGTTTCTTCTTTTGCGCTTGCTATGAGTTGAAGCTTTGTTTGAAGCGGTAACTGGTTTAGCGAGACCTGAGTGACCGCTTGTTGGGACATGACTGAGATTGTAAAGGAAGGTTTATAAAAAAAATTTTTTTTTTTTTTTTTTTTTTTTATAGATAGAAATGAATGATATATTTAAAAAAATTAAATAAAAAAAAATAAAAGAAAGAAAGAAAGAAAGAAGGAAAGAAGGAAAGAAGGAAAGAAAGAAAAAAAAAAAAAAGATACCCTCATATCGGATTTAAAAAAAAAAAAAAGATTTAGGGGGCGAGAGAGAGAGAGGAGGGGCAGCCAGGCGCAACAAACAGAAAACAGAATGTGAAGATGCGCCCAGCCTAGAACAGAACATTAATTTTTATTATATAAATATATATATATTATAAATATATATATATGGATATACTTAATAGATTTGTAGACAAGGGAGAGAGAGAGAGAACAAAAAAAAAAAAAAATGTTTATAAATAAATAAATAAATGAAAACGTCACAATTTGGAATCAAAAAAAAAAAAAATGAACAAAAGAATAAGGAAGGCGGTTTTATTTGTTTGTTTGTTTATGAAAGTTAGTATCAAAAATAAATAAATAAATAAATAAATAAAAAATTGCAATATATTGAAGAGTTTTTGGAGGTTTGGATCCGAATGATTATGACCAACAACAACACATACACATTCATATTTTTAAAAGTCCAAATGTCCTACAAGCCAACAGACCGGCGGTTCTTATAAAGTAAATAGTCGGAACTTCTATTTAAAAAAAAAAAAAAAAAAAAAAAGCATCTCAACATCACCGTGCGCAAACACACAAAAAAATCCAACTGCCGAGACTCACCAGCCGCACAGTTTCTCCACATCACTGATAAAAAACACACACACACACACACACACACACACAAAAAAAAAAAAAAAAAAGCCGGGCACTTTTAGCAGTCAGCCGCAAAACCTACAAAAAAAACTTAAAAAAATAGACACCAGCAATAATACAATGGTGGGGGAAAAAATTGAAAAAAAAAAAAAAAAAAAAAAAACTACACCGACTTTCCAAAACATTAAAGAATGAATGAAAAATTTGCACACAATTTCCAAAAAGCTCAAACCTTTATTTTTAATGATATTGTTGATGTCTTGTTAATTCTATTAGGAGGGAGGGGGAGAGGGAAGGGAAAAAAAAAAAAAAAAAAAAAAAAACAGCACAGCACAGCACAGCAAAGCTACTGCACAGCAAAGCACAGCACAGCAAAGCTACTGCACCACCCCCGGTCGTAATATTATCTGACTAGCGTCGCACAAATGACAAGGGTATATGGTCTGTGCGTATGCATTTGCGGTTGTCTGCAGAAAAAAAAAAAAAAAAAAATTTCCTTTCCAGCGCTCAACACACATAAAATCAAAGTTACTCAGCCTTACAAGTAACTTCCAAGTCTTACCAACAAGTAAGCATACGCACTCGGTAAACACATAGCCCTATCGTTGTTCTCAAATCAACTCTGAAGAGCCTTCAACCGCTCACGCATAGAGTTTAACATCTCTTCATCACCATCAGAATCATCTTCCACTCCAACAGCAGTAGGTGCAGACGGACTTGCACCAACCGTCTGCTTCTTTGCAGATGTCTTTTCGTCAACAAAGCCCTCTGGTACATGGCCTGCCTCGGCCAACTTGGGTGTGCCAGTAATTTCAGATAAAATGGCATTCACTTCATCCTCAGCTTCAGAGTCTTCAAACATTTCATTCTCATCAAGAAGGTCCATAGTATCACCAACCATATCTTCAATGATTCCAGCCTGAAAAAAAAAAAAAAAAAAAAAAAAAAAAAAAAAAAAAAAGTTAGTTTTTCAATAAGTTTATCTGAAAAAGTCCATTACTTACCTTAACAAGCTCTTTACCAAGAGAATTCATAGTCGCAGTAAGCTCAGGTAGTCGTATCAGCGAATTCATATCCTTCATTACTCCTGTCGATACCTTCATAGTGCCTTCAATCTTACGCATAGCAAATGCCTCATTCACTTGTAAACTAACTGAGTTCAACTGAGCCTTTGACTTAAACAACCTCTGTTTTTGTTTCTTAGACTTATATAACTCCTTCGCAAGTAACCGTGCAGATTTAAGATCGTTCCGCTTCACAACTTGCTTTACCATAATTTTAGTTTTGTTTTCTGATTGTGACAACTGACTGATCTGTTTGTCCAGCTCTCGCTGATTCTTTCGAATGAGCGACTGACACTCCCGCTTCTGTGCAGCAGGATCCGGCCCATATATCGCATTCTTAATATAGTTCATTTTTCTTGTATTTGGAGAAGTAAAAAAAAAAAAAAAAAAAAATGCTTGGTTGAAAATGGGTTCAGTTGGCGGCTGTGTATCTATCTATACGTGTAGTTGATGTAGGTGTAGGTGTAGGTGTAGGTAGTGGTGGTGGTGGTGGTGGTAGCTGTTGTCAAAACTGCCAAGGCAAGACCAAAATAAAAAAAAAAACTTGAGTAGATATATCAATGTGTAAATCAGTAGTCATCATTACATAATATTAAGGTTAAGGGTTCTTGTTTATCTCCTTTTCTTTTTCGTGTTTTTTTTTTTTTTTTTTTTTTTTTTTTTTTTTTTTTTCTGCTACTCCAAAAAACTCCACCATTTTTTCACGAAAATCCTCACTCCTTTAAAAAAAATTTTATTTCTATTTCTCCACCAATATATTTATATATATATATATATATTTTTCCAGCCCTAAAAGCAGCGCAGCCCTAATGCCCTAATGCCCTAATTTTCTCCCAACCTTTTCTTTTCTCTATTTCTCCACATGCAACTTCCTTCCCATCCTTCAAAACTTGCTTCTCAGTCGGCTCCAATACCAAGTCTTGGAAATAGCCCGTCTCTTCAATCATCCGCTTCTTTGTCAGTAGATCAAAACAATAACAATGACTTAAAACGCGTCTTGGATTCATCCCATTATGACTCCACAGAGTCAAGCTCCCCTAAAAGACCCTTCCCAGAAGCTTCTTCATCTGCTCAAAAACCCGTCCATGATGATCCCTATTCCAGTGCTCTTTCTGAAATTAATGACACTGAACAACTACAATTTTTGGCTCTTCAGCTTAACCGCTCGGACTCTCAAACCTCTTCCTCAGCTCCCCCCTCTTCATCTGTCCTTTCTTCAGTAAACAAGGAACACATAAGATCACAATCCTTACCTCAACAGCAGCAACAGCAACAACAACAACAACAACAGCAACAGCAGCAACAGCAGCAACAGCAGCAACAGCAGCAACAGCAGCAACAGCAGCAACAGCAACAGCAGCAACAGCAGCAGCAGCAGCAGCAACAACAACAACAATCATACCAACCTATGCAACGCTCTCAAAGCCCTGTTCACTCAGACTTGGAGGTCCTTCGTCAGGTAGCTACCTCGGACCATATTTTGCAGTACGCAAACAACCAAATGGAAAGCAACCAAATTCATGAAAATACAAATAGCTTTGTCACAACCTCCCATTTCTTCAATATAAACAACCTCCCACTCACTGCTCCTGCTCAAAATGGTATTGACTACACAGCTTACCAACTTCAAGATCCAATTACAAACCTTCGTGTTAGAAGTATCCCCATACTAGATAACCTAGCAACCCAAATCTTAAATACCCTTACAAAACCTGGCCATCTCGATAGTCTTGGTATTGCCACATCCCCAGAAACTGTAGAAGGCCAAGCTTTCCAAGTCCTTATTTCTCTATTCACCCAAACAAAAACAATTTATTGTGATACTGAATTTATCAATTCTACTGAAATAGGCCTCGATAAAGAACCCTTTTGTCGCCAAGTTATACAAAAGGCTAATCTCGCAACTTTTGTTGCTGCTCTTTTTGGTGTATACCCAATGAGTTTCTATCTCCTCGATTACCACTTTCTAGAAACTTTTGTTCACCCTGGCTCTCGTCTTTTAAAATTTCAAGCAGCCTTATATCTTGATCTTAAAACTCAAGCTTACATTGTCACTGTTCAACAACGTGACGACCCCAGAGAATTTGTTCTCAATCATACCTTCCCTGATAACATTGCAGAGGTCCTTCTCTCTCGTCGTCATGCAGATACTCTGGCGCCAAGCGAAAGTGACTTTGTACAACGAGTAAAACGCCGAAAAGAACACCTTGCTGCTCTCCCTCCAGAAACAGATCTTTCCCAAAAATATCGCTGGCTTACATTTATTCGCGACATTGCTGATTATGTTAATAAAAACCTAAATGTCATTTTAACAGGAAAAGCTGCTAAATCTTCATCTGCAAGTTCGCAAGCTGCTAAATCAGACTCTGTAGGCCCTCGCCGCAGATACATTGAAAAACCCAGAGATGAAGATGGACACAACAAAATTCATGGCCTTTCTATGATTCAAGATAAAAATTCTAATAATAACAATACTAATAATGAAGATACACCTGATTCAAATGAATACGATTCTCAAGAAGACTTTGGTCGTAATAGAAATGGTATTCTTAACTCGGTGGAACCTTCAGTTCAGCAATCGGCTCAAGATCGGACTGAACAGCAGCAACAACAGTCTCAGCAGCAGACTCAACAGCAACAGGCCCAACAACAGCAAACCCAACCACAGCAATCATTTGCTTCCTTTACCCCTCCAACACGACCACCCTTTTCTCAACGACATCCGTGGTCGCCTGCTGAAGAAGCTGCTTTGCTTAAAGGTCTTTCTCTTGTCAAGGGTCCCTTTTGGAGTCAAATTCTTGAACTTTACGGCCCTGGTGGGAGCCTCTCCGAGGTTCTTAAGGACCGAAATCAAGTCCAGCTTAAAGACAAGGCGCGTAACCTCAAAATATACTATCTCAAAACAAATACACCTATGCCCGAGGTCCTCAAAGATGTTACAGGTGACGTCCGATCGCGTGGTGCCGGTGTCAAACGTGCTCGTCGGGGGAGATCTACTCCAGGAACTGCTACTTCTACGGCTACTTCTACCCCTGCTCCTACTTCGATTCCTGCCGTTGCTTCCAATAATCAGACTACACCACTTGTTGGTACAAGTAATTCCATATCCAGCTCCACAATAGTAGTTGCTTCTTCAAATCCAGCTACTTCTAACAATGTGCTGCCGCCTAATTATCAAGCTCCCATGGGAAATGTGATTCAACAACAAACACCTCCAGTCAAACCCACACCCAAGGCTACAAGGAAAAAGCCCACCAAGTCTGCAAACCCACAACCAGTACAACCAGTACAACCCGCACAACCAGTACAACAGCCAACACCACAACCAGCTCTACAACTGGCCCCAACTTCTGGACTCTCGCAAAATCTGCAATCTACTTCTTCCCAACAGTCTTCTCTACCATTATCGTCCAGTGGTCCATCCCAGCATCCAGTTCCAGCTACTGATCCCTCTAAGCAAAATACCCCTAAACCTGTAAATGAACCGGTCTTGCCAAATAAACTTTTGGAAACTTCACCCAGCCAACCTCTGTCAGTTTCTCAGCCACCCAAAGTCTCAAGTGCAGAGAAACCAGACACACCAGCTGCAACCTCTCCTACGCAAATCACAACATCTGCACCAGAGTCAGCCACTATTTCAGTCACAGCTTCTTCTTCGACCCCAGTACAGACTTTACCAGCAAGTCAGAAATCAGTTTCACCAGAACCAATTACTTCTATCAGCTCACTTACCTCGGATATTCGGGATTCCGCAGTCACGAAGTCTCCACAGTTAAACCCTTCCGATTCAGCTTTGCCAAACTCTACAGAGACTGCACCTGCTTCCTCTACGACCTCTACCACCTCTACCACTGCTACCACTGCTACCACTGCTAATACTGCTAATACTGCTAATACTGCTAATACTGCTAATACTGCTAATACTGCTAATACTGCTAATACTGCTAATACTGCTAATACTGCTAATACTGCTAATACTGCTAATACTGCTAATACTGCTAATACTGCTAATACTGCTAATACTGCTGCTACTTCTACTACTGCTGCTACTTCTACTACTGCTGCTACTTCTACTACTGCTGCTACTTCTACTACTGCTGCTACTTCTACTACTGCTGCTACTTCTACTACTGCTGCTGCTTCTGCTACTTCTACTACTTCTACTTCTAATCCTACTTCGGTCATTGAGAAAGCTTCTGAGTCCAAACTACTAGAAACCTCTAAAGACAAGTCGCAGGACTTCTCTCCTCTAGACCTTCCTCGTTCTTCTCATAATTCAGTTGACGAAAGTTTGTCACTTGACTCGCTTATCAAACAGGTTGACGCCTATATAAACAACGAAGGCAATCTAAATCTTGAAATTTCTAAACAAAAACAATTTACAAATGCAGAAACAGTTAATTCGACAGAACCTGTCACAGAGCAACCATTATCTACAGGTGATAATACAACCGCCAAACCTGAGGATAAGTCACACAATGACGAAGAAGACGACGAGGATGATGATTCTGCGGCGCGTATCAAAGAACTTGACGGACTTCTTGGAGAATCCCATGTTTCAGATGACGAAGATTCTTCTCGACCACAGGAAACTGATATTTTGCGCCAGTTTGAGCATGTTCTAGAGCGTGAAATTCAAATGGAAAAAGAGGCGGAGAAACTTAACCAAGATAAAGACAAGCCTACGGCTTCTCTGCCTACTGATGACGATGATGATGATGATTTAGAAGATGTAAGACGGGTTGAAGCCGAAATTGAGACAGAGACTCAGCAGCTTTTAAGTAGAATTATGGACCAGCAACAACAAGAGGAAACAGAAGCCAATGTGGAGGAGCAGCCAACCGCGTCTACGAAAGCTGAAGATGAGTCTGGTTCTATAGCCACGAATAATAATAATGAAGAAGAAGAAGAAGAAGAAGATACTTCAATGCTCGATGTTTCTGATGCATTGCAGGCTGTGCGTGATGCAATCATGAGTGAAACGCAAGCTAGTGTCAAGATTAAAGAAGACGAGTCTGAAAAGGGTCATGATGGAGATATTGAAATGAAAAGTGCTTAAAATAAACTAAAATTGAATAGATTTAAAAAATTTTTAATTTTTTTTAATTTTTTTTTAATTTTTTTTAAATTTTTTTTTTCTTTTTTTATAGATTTCTGAATTAAAAGGATTCATGTGATTTCATTGATATAGTTTGTTTGATTTGATTAAGATGTCTTTGGTAGTTGATTCTTGGTATCATTTACCAGAAATCACAGATCTTTTTTTAATTTTTTAATAACTTTTTTCTTTTTTTTTTTTTTTTTAATTATTATTATTGTAGATATATATAAAAAAAAAAAAAAAAAAAAAAAGAGGGAGGGCGCCTGGTATTTTCATTGGTCATGATTACCATAATTTCATTAGATTATTTTAAAATTTTGGCCTTAAAAAAAGAAGAAGAAGATGAGAAAGATATAAAAAGGACACATAGAGATTTCAGTCATTCATTTATTCATTAAGTTTGATGCATGAACTTCGTTAGTTATTAAATTAGTAAATTTACTAAAGGAAGAATTCTTCTGATCAAAAAAAAAAAAAAAAAAATTAAATTAAATTAAAAAAAAAAAAAGAAATAAAAAAAAAAAGTTGAATAGTAAAATATTTTCTACAGTCAAATTGATTAATCTAGAAAAAAAAAACTCTTTACAATTTCATGCTATTATCTTTATTGTAATTACAATACTCATTGAGTGATGAGGTACTTGCACGTAAACAAGATGTCGAAATATAATCAATATCAGATAATACTTCTTCTACTTAACAAACATCTCATCTCTTTGCATTTGTTAAAAAAAAAAAAAAAAAAAAAAAAAAAAGCCAATTAGTAAGGCACATATTATGGTAAGTCTTGCGTATGTTAACTGCTCATCTTGTTATTTTTTTTTTTATTTTTTTGGTTTAATGAAGACAAAAATAGATTTTATTTTAATGGTTATAATATGCAACACTTTCCTGAAAATAAATAACTTTATTTTACCTTAATTTCCAAAAAAAAAAAAATTTCCTTCCATGAAATAACTTGGCCTAAGCCCATTTCATTTTAAAATTATAATAATTGAAATAAAATAAAATAAAATAAAATAAAATAAAAAAAGGTTAATGGCTAATAACTTTCTTTTCCACCTTTTTAACTTAAAATCAGATTCTAGCACCTTTAGGTGATCAACTTTTATAAAAAAAAAAAAAAAAAAAAAGTAAATCTGCTCTTCTAACTTTGATATCTCAGTAAAAAAAAATTTCCAAGGCTTTATGCGGTTTTTGGTTAAAAGTATCGTCAATGATAAATTCTTGGCTAACTGAAAGTACCTTTCTTCCTTTATTCCTTAAATGTCTGCTAAAACACTTGAGATACTCCTTTCGCTACCAAACAATAACTGCATATATACTTGTCTTTAACAAGGAATTTTTGTTAGGATCAAGAGGAATGTGTTTTATGTTTCTCTTCAAAGTGTCTTTGTTTACAGGGTCTTCTCTCTTTGTAGATTTCGCAAAATACTTTCCCTACAAACAAAACCTCAACTATTAAAGACACAATTATTTTCCTTTTTTTTTCTTTAACTTTTTCATTATAGCAAACAAAATAAATTATATGATTAATATATTAATTTTTATTATATTTTAAAGTATATAGTTTATTTGTATTTTTTTTTTGACACACCGCTTGTTGAATCCTTGGCACGTGACCATATGTTTGCAACTTACATTGACGAGTTTCAGCCATGAACAAACAAGGAATTTACCTCAGTTGCTTCTTGTTTTTATATCAACATACAAAACAAGTAGTAATAATCCAAGTCAATGTATTTTTTTTCTTCATATATTTGATTATGAAAAAAAAAAAAAAAACAGGATAAAAACATTTTGCGGGGGAAAAGAATGCAGCTGATGAAAATGTCTTAATTTTTTTTTTTTTTCATTTAAATGAAATTTCCTTATTTTGACTTTAATCATCTATTTCTTGGAAGAAAAAAAATTATCATATTTGTATAATCTTTTGTAATATCGTTAAATTTTAATGTTATTAAAAGTTATAATTTGATTATTACTCTTTTTTATTTAACCAAATGATAGACAAAGAGTCTCGAGACCGACAAAGGAAAATGAAAATGAAAATGAAAAAAAAATCAATTCAACTATATTTACAAGTCAAACATTGATGTGACTATTGTCACGCGGATTTTCCACAACCGTTTTTTTTGTTTTTTTTTTTTTTTTTTAATCGAGCGTTTGTATCAGAAAATGCGGAGAAGACGATGAAGGATTATGCTTTCAACAGTGAAAAAAAAAAAAAATAAATAAAATAAAAAGATGATCACCTGTAGAACTATATGGTTTTTATTTTCTTGACAAATGACTATAAAAAATTTTTGAAAAATAAAACACTTCTCAAAGCAATTCTATCTAAAGTCTCAGTATTATTTTCATTTTTTTTTTCATATTTAATATCAATTGAAAAAAAAAAAAAAAAATACAAGGCTTGTCTGGGCATAATAATTTTTTTTAGGAGCATGCCTGATAGGGCTTGTTCATTTCCTTGTACCTTGCATAAATGTTATTAGACACTTTCTTTTTTTTTTAAAAAAAAGTTAACCTTAGCCCAATTTTTTACTTCTTCTATGCCACAATCAAACTAAGCAGGTCCGGCATAGTCAGTATAATTACAAAAAAAAAAAAAATACTAGCTAACAACAAAAACTTGATAGAAAAATCACTATTTTTAAAAAAAATATTTATTCTGAGCTCCTCTTATAAGGTTTCTATTACTTTAATATTAAGAGATTTATGCTTTTAACCGAAAATCAATTTTTTTTTTTTTTTGAACTTTATGTTTTGTTGGTAGCCCAGCTCACGGCTGTGCCTCCAATAGTAGCTGTCAAAATCCTTTTATGTGCTCTTTGTGTGTATGAGAATACACATTTGCACCCTCAAAATTATTTTCAGAAACCCTCCTTCTTCTTAGCTTGAAAAAAAATAAATAAAAATAAAATAGTTAATTTACATTTATTATCATCTTGTATATATAAAAAAAACTACTCTTAAAAGAAATTAAACAAAGATCGCTTCCCAAAATTTCCAAATGATATAAATATCATTGTGGCTCCCTCTTCATTTTTTTTGAAAATTTTTTTTCTTCTTCTTTTTTTTTCCCCCTCATGGCTATTCATCATCATCAAACCCTTTCGTTTCTTTCAGTCTTTCCTTAATTTTTCTTTCCTTTAAATTTTCTTACTTCTTTTGGTAACTCAATTCCGTTCCCTTTAAATTTTTTTTTTTTCCACTTTTTTTTTTTGTTCGAGTGCCAACTTTTCATTCCTTCAATTACAGCCTATTTTTTCTTTTATTCAACTCGATTGAATTTTTTTTTTTTTTAACGCACACAATTATAACATATCAACTAGTTTACACATACAAACAAATAAAGCATGCATTTCAGTTTAAAAACGTTGGCTACGCTGGCCGTAGCTTCCGCCCCTTTCTTTTCAAATGTTGTCAACGCTGCAGTCGTTTATGTTACACCCCAAGCTGTCGTCGAGTATGTCAGTGAAGAGTCTCCAGCAGAATACTATGTTACTGTCACTGCTCCTGTTGTATATCAAGTCGTCCAGAAAACTGTCCAAGAAACAGAAATCATTTACACAGCAAAAACAGTTCGCGTTACTGCTCCGCAAACAACTGTTGTTACAACTATTACCTACGTTGAACCAAATAAGGTTGAGCCTGCTAAGACCAAACTTCAAGACAATATTTTCCTCAGTTCAATCCATGCATCCAGCTACTCTCTCCCTAAAGCCGTTTACCCAATTGTCACCTCTCTTAGTGAAGCTGCTGGAACCCCTTCAACTTCACCTAGCTCTACTTTAGTATCTTCTCCCTCTGATACTAGCGTCTACACTACCCCAGTCTTTGCGCTTGCCAATCCTACTGCCACCTCACAAGATTCTTCAACAGCGAGTTTTATCCCTCAAGTTACTAGCAGTGCTGTCGTTAGCTCAGAGATCTCTAGCTCTGTTGTCTCCAGCATTGCACCTTCTAGCTCTGTAATTGCAACTTCTGTTGCATTTTCCCCCGTTGTCTCCAGTTCTGTTGAATCAACTAGTGTTGTTGCCTCTTCAGTGTCTTACAGCTCCCCAGCTGCCAGCTCTGTAGTTGCAACTTCTGTTTCAACCAGTCCTGTCGTCTCTAGCTCTGCTACCGTCCTTTCTCAGTCCGGACAAGCAAGCTCCAGCAGCGAGCAACCAGCCCAATCTACTTCCCTTAGTCCTGCTCTTTCGTCTCTTGTCCCCGGTGGATACTTTTCAAATCAGGACATCTTCCAGTCTATTTCAGTCAACTCTCCTCCCTCCGTTTTTGCTCGAAACAAATTGACCTCTGTCACTCTCCCTGGCGGAGTTGATAGCTCTGGTCCTATCCACACAAACAAGTTCTATTCAAATATGATTATTGATGATCAGACCCAGCCAGTCTACTGTTTACCATACAAGGTTTCTTATACCAAAAACACTGATTTCCAAGGTCTTGCTGTTTCTTATACCAGCTCTAGTCAAAGAGTAAGTTTCTGTGTTTTTTTTTTTTATGCTAAGTTTAACTTTATTTACTAACTGTTTAGGTATTTGGTCCTACTAACTCAAAGACTAATGCTGCTGAGTACTTTGTCAATCCTGTCGGTTACAACTCATTTGTCATCGGAGCTAGCCAGTTCACCAAGGACAATATGTCACTCAAGGTTACCAACATGGATACGCTTTCTGCTCTCTCCAGTATTGTCAGTGGTAACGGCAAGATTGATTTCCCTCTTGCTCAAGGAATGGGTTTTGTCACGGCTATTTATAATGGTCAACTTACACCCAAGATTCAAAGTCCTCTTGGCATCAAGACAGTTGCCAAGCTAAAACACAGCGTTCGCGATGACATGAAAAAGTATAAGGTTATTTTGGGTAACGATGCTACCTGGGTCATTTATGTTACTCTTCCTAATTCTAGTAGCACTTTTGACTTCACTGTTGATGGGAACACCAATAGCATTATCGGTACCAATAACGATGCTGTTACCATTCAGATTGCCAACGAACCTAATCCAAACACAGACAAAACTGTTTATGATGCTGCTGCCGGCAAGTACATCACTGGTGCTTCTCTTTACGGATCTTTAGTTAGCGACAACGTTGCCAACCACGGTATCAACTATGTTTCTGAAGGAAAATCTACTAGCGGTTATCCTCTTGTCTTTGCTCTTCCTCACCATGTTCAAGGATTTGTTTCTTCCATGGCTAGCAAGACGGCCAATATCAGCATTGATTCCACCACCAAGGGTTCAATGACTGGGTATTTGACTAACTCTTTTGATTTCACCGATACTCTTCCTCGTCAAGTTATGTTCCTTCCCTGGACCCAATCTTCTGCTTTTGGAAAGGGTCTTTCTTATTCTGCCAATTCTCTCCGTCTTATCGCTGCTGCTGCAAATGCAGAGCTCAAGCAAGATATGGCTGCTCAGATTATGGGTGATTCAACTTACTTCAATGGCAAGGGTTTGGACAAGTTTGCATATATTCTTCTTGTTGTTCATGAGATTCTTCAGGATCAGAATGCTACCAAAGTTACACTTGATAGAATGAAGGGAATGTTTAGCAACTTTACCAATAACAAGCAAATGTACCCTCTGTTCTATGACACATTGTACCATGGTATCACTTCTTCTGCTTCTCTTAAAAACAATGATAATAATGCTGATTTTGGTTCTCCACTTTACAGTGACCATCACTTCCACTATGGCTACTTTATTCACGCTGCTGCTGTTGTTGGATACGTTGACAAGTACTTTGGTGGTAACTGGGCCAATGAAAATAAAGATTGGGTCAATTCTCTTATCCGTGATGTTGCTAATCCTTCTAAAAGTGATTCATACTTTCCTGTTTCCCGATACTTTGATTGGTATAGTGGTCACTCTTGGGCCAAGGGTTTGTTTGCAAGTGCCGATGGTAAAGATCAGGAGTCTAGTTCTGAAGATTATAACTTTGCTTACGGCATGAAGCTTTGGGGTAGAGTTATTAATGATCAGTCAATGGAGGCTCGTGGTGACTTGATGCTTGCTGTTATGAAACGTTCTATGGGCGATTACTATTTGATGCAAAATGATAATTCTGTTCAGCCCGGTACCTTTATTGGCAATAAGATTCCTGGTATTACTTTTGAGAACAAGCTTCATCACACTACTTACTTTGGTGGGAACTTGGAATACATTCAGGGTATCCATATGCTTCCTATTACTCCTATTTCTTCCTACTTCCGTACTCCCACGTTTGTTCAGCAAGAGTGGGATCAATTGTTGAGTAGTGTTGTGCCTTCCCTCAATTCTGGTTGGTTAGGTATTTTGAGACTTAACCAGGCTTTGTTTGACCCAAAATCTGCCTACAACTTTTTTTCAGACAATAACTTCCAAACGTCTAATCTTGATGGAGGTGCTAGTTTGACTTGGTGCTTAGCGTTCACTGCTGGTGTTGGTGGCTCGCAAGCATAAAGTAAATTAAAAAAAAAAAAAAACCTTTACACGTTTTTCTTTTGCATACTCTAGATTGATAGACTTTTTTTTGTTCTGTTTTTTTTTTGTTTTTTTGTGTTTTTTTGTGTTTTTCTCAACGCCACTTGTTTGTGTTTTCGATCACCAACATGGAGTTGTTTACCTTAATTACTGCATCGTTCGTTACCCGACAACTTTTAAAAGTCACACAGTGGGGTCTGGAACCTCCTCGTTTTTTTTTCTTTCTCACAAATACTACTTGAAAATTTGCTATTTTCATACTACGTTCTTTTTTTGTTTGCATGCCACTCTTTTTGATATGAATTTCTCCTCACTTTTGATGTTTAGTTTTATAATAACTATTTTCACTTGCCAATGTTTTAGGACATTGATTGTTACTAAGAAACATTTGGCTAGTCTTTTTTTTTTCTAATGACTTATGACCAACTACAATTCTTTCCTTTAATGTCTATTATATAATTCTATAAAATCCCGTTTTTTCTAATGGGGGAAAAAAATATATAAAAAAATAAACTTTTTGATGGTGAAAAAATTTGAATTGCTCATCCCAGTGGGGCTTTCTTTCTTTTTCTTTTTTTTTTTTTTTTTTTTCCTTTTCTGAAAGCAAACTCCACTTTATCACTTGAGCATGAAATGTAAAAGATATTTAGAAAAAGTATAAAGTTTTAACAATGGCTTTTTTTTTTTTTCATCCCACTTGACTCAAAAAAAAAAAACTTGGTTAAAGATTGAAAGTATACGCATCGATTGTCGTACAAAGGTACGTTCTATTTCTCCCCCAAAAGCAGCAAAGTAATTCGATTGAGCTTGGCGAGAATCAGCTTGAATGATAAAAATATCAAGTAACATGACTGATTTCTCTCCGCAAAGTGTAAAAAAATAAATAAATAAATAAATAGTTTTATCGTTTTCGAGGGGAGGTGGTTCTTTTACTATAATAGTATTTATGAATATTGATAAATAGATAGAAAAAAAAAATTTTAAATTAAAGATACGAAACTTCGTAAAACTCATGTCGTCAAAGATTTTCTTTTTTTTTTTTTTTCTCCTTCTTCAACTTTACCCCGCCGGCTTAATGATTAAACATAAAAAAAATACAAAGTTATTCTTTTTCCTTATCCTTATCCGTTGAATTCGAATTTAAAAACAAATAAAAAAAACCTGTTTAGAGTTGAGGTAGAACACTTCAAAAAATCATTTATTTGCTTTGTAATATCCAAACATCCGTCACTAAAAAAGTAGCCATTTGTAATGTATATCAAAAATGTTAATAATAATGAAAAATAAATGAATTAGCATTGGCATTTCATTTTCACATGTTTATCCGAAACTCAATACAAACCTCGAAAACTTTGTTTTGGCATTTGTTTTCGAGTCAATTAAAAACGTGAAGAGACGGCGTACTTGGTCGTCAAGGCGCCTTTGAGGTTGGCTTTTTTTTTTCTTAGCATAATGAATCACTATTCTTTTTTTTTTGGAAATTTGGAAGAATTTCCCCCCTTGTGCTTAGAAAACGAAGAAAACTTTTGGGATTCAAATGGTTTGATAGCAAATTAATTGAGGGAAAGGAAGGGGAAATAAAACAGGCAGTTGAGATGACATTCAAAACAAAAGAAGGTCGTAGAATTGCCTGAAAAAAAAAAATTGTAACCAAATAGAAGCATCACATAGAAGAATTTTTATCAAGCCATAATAAATGGAAATAGAAATGGTGATAATGTTTCTATAAAAATCAATTAATTAATATAAATTTGTTCCATATAGTCAAAAAAAAAAAAAAAAAAAAAAACAATTGTTAATCATCAAATTGTATGACATTACATTGTAAAACCGTTGGAAAGCTTAGGGACCAATGTTTTGACACACGTGGGTAAGCACTTGCCATTTTCTGGGGAAGTTTATTTCTTCTTGATACAAAACCCACGTTCCCCCATTACGCCTTTGCCATTTGATCTTCAGTTTTTTTTTTTTTTGGTTTTTTTTGACCGTTACACTCGAGTATCAAAAAAAACAAAAAAAATAAAATAAAATGAAAAAACTGTTTTTTTTTTATTACAATGCCACCACTTCTTACTTCCCCCCCCCCCTGACAAATTTCAGTTGCCATTGCGTTTAAGTATTTCTCCATATTATTCCGTTAACGGGACCAGCAAGTGGCTTTTTACTCAACTTTAGAGGTGTCTTTAAGGCTTCATTTAAACTTCTATTTCCCCTCCCTTCTCATTTACTTTAAGGGAAAAAATCCCCACTGAGGCTTGGCTTGGAAGTTTTTTTTTTTTTTAAAAAAAAATAAAAGGCTTCTAGACTTGATGCAGAAACCAAATTTCAGAGCAAGAAAAGATGAAAAATTTTTTCAATTCCTTTTTTTTTTTTTTTTTTTCAAGTGATGAAATGAAAAATTTTTTAACTTTATTTTTTTTTCAAAAATACATTGCCTTAATAAAAAAAAATTACAAATTTAAAAATAGGTGCCATATTTACTTAAAGTTTGAAATATTTTGTGTGCCTTTATTTATTTAAAACAACCGTTAAATTTTGTTTCAATGTCGAAAAAAAAAAAAAAAAAAAAAAAGGGAACCTCCGTGCAATAGTAAAATCGTTCTTCGGGTTTAAACGTTTATTTTTATTTTTTTTGTGATAATATTAGAGAATCTCTTTAAATTAAAAAAAAATCAATTTATATAATTAGAAAATCATTCATGATAATGTTGTCTGATTTATTTAGACAAAAAATATGCTAAAAAATGCTCTTTCGTTTTATCACTCTTTAGCCAATAGTTTGGTGATGATGATCGTAAGACTATTCACTTAATTGGAATATTTAATTTTAAACTAGTGCTAATGCTAATGCTAATGCTAAAGATGATGATGATGACGATGACGATGAACTCAACATAATAATAGCATTTGGTAGCCCGATATTTCAATTGACACTTCTTTTGTCCAAAATGTCAAGCCATTTTGAGCATTTGAATATTTGAAAAATAAAAGGGAACCAATGTTTTTGAGCCGCAGTTACTTAAATTAGAATGTTATATTACGTCAGCTAGTTAAATATGCGGCTCTGAATACTAAAAATTGATATTTTTTTATTGTACTTGGGACTTGCATGAAAACAAGTTTTTACGCAAGAAAAAAAATCAAGCAGCAGAAACTTTTACATTTAATGGTGGTTGAATATTTTTTTACTCAATAATTATTATAATAATTGCCAATATGTTTTATTTTTTTTATTTTTTTTTTCCTTTTCTCGTGCGTTTATCAAGATGCCAAGCCGTATGCATTATCACCTTAATTGTAGTATTTTAACCAATGAAAAATTGATCTCGACGCACATGGGGTCCAAGAAATGTTATCAGTGGTCCATCAGATCTCTCGACCTTTGATTTTATTCTCACTAAACTTGCAATTACAACTTGATAAAGTCGCCTCCGATTTAAACATATCCGCATAGCAATTTCTGTTTAAACTTTAAACAGAACCATTAGAGATTTTAAATATTGTGGAAATAAAAATTAGAATATAATTGAAATAAAATAAAACCTATTTTATTTTGAATAACCTGAACTAGCAAATCAGTATTGGAAAGAAATGGTTGTTTCGATCTCCTCTTTTTTTTTTTCAGAGCAAAAAAAAAAAAAAAAAATTGGCTTAAACAAATAAAATTGAATGAAGAAATAACTGAGCCAAGACTTTATTCATTCATAACAAAGACTTAAAGCTAAAAAAAAAAAATTTTTTTTTCAGGACACGGTTCACAGAAAAAAACAAAATAGAGGTTTCTAAACCTCCTTAAGAAGATCTATTCTTTGAGTTTTTTTGAAAAAAAAAATTTTTAAAATAAAATACAAAATTAATAAAATTAATAAAAAATTAATAAAATTGCCAATTTTTTTAACTGTTTTTCTTGGAAAAGGTTCATGAAAACTTTTTAAAGAGAGAAAAAAAAAACTTCAGGTTGAAGGATAAAAATGTCTTCAAAGTGCCACTATTAAGGATTTTTTGATCACGTGAATCTTATCGCTTGAAATTTACTATCTTCGTTCTGCTTAATTCCTCCTCGAAATGCACTGATGTTATCCCAATGATCATTGCTTTAAGTTAAATCAATAATAGCAGTAATAAATCTTTAGCTAGCCATGTTATGGACTCAATCCCCAGCAGGCCAAAATAATTTTTGATCATGATCACTGATCAGTAACTTCTGAATGTGTTAGGTTATGGTTGCTTTTTTCTCCACACATTCTCAACACTATCATGTCATTAGGCGCTTGTGAACAACTACACCAAACATAAATTCCAAACGGTGAATAATCAGAGGCCATCCAGGCCTTCACACCTGGCTAAATATTGAAATAAAATATAAACAGTTTGGTAGAGAGATAAATAGTATATTTGTAATGTAACAATTTTTTAAAATTAAAATAAAAAAATCTTTGATATTTAGATGTTTAGATTTTAGTGATAAGATAAGTTTCCCCAAATACTTTTGGTCAAACATCTCCACACAAAATCTGAAAAAGACTTATAAAAACAAAAGGTTTTTTTTTTTTAAAAAAAATTAAAAAAAAAAAAAAACCAGGGTTCACAACACAAATTATAACTAGTTTTTGACTTATTTTTCTCTTTTTTGTCTTTTTATTTTTCTTAGGAACCTTGGGAATTCAAACGTTAAGCTCAAATATTTTGCTTGGGTTATCTTGTAACCCCCTTTTTTTTTGTTTTCTTTTTTTTTTTTTGGCTTCCCAAAGACCTATCCCAAGCGTTCTTTATTCCTTCATTTTTACAAAATTAAAAAGCCGTTTTTTTTCATTAATCCACTTAGCAACATTTTACATAAAGAATTGAAAAAGTAAAAATAAAAATTGAAGAGTCTGTCCAAATATGTTCATTAAAAATAATGGCTGCTTTTGTTTGTTTTTTTGTTTTTCTTGTATTTTCATTTGTCAAACTTTCTTGTTGCTTAATTGCACACGCGACTCCTTTCCTGATCTAGTCAAATTAGAAGCCCTAGTGGTGTAAATAATAATAATTATATCAATGATAAAGAAAAAAAATTTTAATACAAGAAACTATTTGAAAAGTGGATTTTTGTAAATGATTAAACATTGAATATAAAGGTTTAGTAAGTAGTATTCACTTATATTAAGGCTATTATATTGAGAACATATATTAGAAATGTTGTTTGATTGGTTATCATTTTGTTTTCTTAGTAATTTAATAATCTAAAATCATATACCAGTATTTATTTATTTATTTATTTTTTTTTTGCTCTCCTCAAGCATTAGAGTACATAACAGTTTGGTTATAAAATTTGTAATTTGTCATATACAATTCTTAATGAATTTCCACGTGCTGGTTCAAGCATTAAGAATATAGAAAACATGTTATGAATATACTTTGAAGGTTTCAACAACATGATTATAATCATAATTATGTTAACCCCAAGCCACCCCTTTAAGCATCGATATTTACTTTGGGAAAAACATTGAAAGTCTGGTGGGTGGGGGCATAGCTTTTAATGTGAATATGGGGGAATAAGTACTAATGGCGGTACCACTAGTGATAAAATAAGGTGTTAAATAACCATCAATATATGGTCCGACTTTAATCAAACAGTGCATATCTCTACAAAACAACATTTTGAAATTTCAAAAAAAAAACTTTTTCTGTTTTATTATTTTTTTGGTTCATTTTTTTTAAAGAATTAACTTATTTATTAATACAATAAAAAAATTTTCAAAAATGTTTGGATATATATCACGATTTACAATTAAAAGAGAAAGAGGTCAAATTTTTTTTTTTTTTTTTTTTTTTTTCAAATTGAGTAGGTACTATGTAGCAATTTAAAGTTACTATGAAGCACCAAAGTCGATATGCGTAAGGCTGGCGTCTACAGAATTAAAAACTAAGCTTAAAAAAAAGAAATTCTGGCGGTTTGCTATGTGCCCATAGCTTGCACACACACGGGACTCGGTGGGTGGTTGGTTGAAGGGTGATGATGAGATCATATATATTCGGTTTTGTATCGGTAGACTTTCCCCCTCGTGCTATGAGTTAGTATATTTGAATACTATTTCTACGTACCCTTCATATAAGAGGTTATTTCTTTTTTTTTTTTCATGCCGACGGTATTGTTAAAGGGTTATCAAAAAGATGGGGAAATTTTGGAGGAGAGAAGACTTTTTGGGCTTGAAAAATTCGACTGTTGTTGAAAAAGCCGGTAGCTGCCATATTATGTGGTGAGTTCCCCTCAACATCATATAAAACCTCCCATAATAATAATAATAATAATAATAATAATACTCGATAATATCTCGAAGACTTTAATTTTTAAACCAAACACTTGTCAACCCAAACAGCCAATATAACTGATTTTCTTTTTCTTTTTCTTTTTTTTTATTTAATATTTTTTTTTTCTGATTCAAAACTGGGATCTTCACTTACAACCGAAAATAGGTTCTTGGCGACTTGATAAAAAAAAAAAAAAAGAAAAAAGCACCAAAGAGCCTATTGTAATATGTTTTCGTCAGCTAAGAAATCTCAAGTCTTGGCCAGAATGAATTTTTACATCACACACACACATACACAAAAATACATTGGCTTTTCATAGTGTCTACACCCACCATCATGAGTCTTGGCTCGGACAAGCTCTGTAGCGTAAAATTCTACAATGAAATCAAAACTTTTTTTTTTTATTTTTATTTTTTTTTACTTTTTAGCAGCAGCAGCAGCAGCAGTAGTAGTAGTAGGAAATATTTGTAGTCACATCAGAGCAATGCGCAGGGTTGGGAGCAACAAGCAGGACTCAGCGCAGTGTCGTCGTCAGCATCAAGTGCCGAGACTTAGAGTCCCTCTTCTTTAGGAGACTAATCTTCTGCCTGGGAAACCTAATGTTGGATTTTTGATATAAAAAGACTAGGTCCTGCCCTTCGAATGTCTCTTTTTTTTTTTTCTATCTTTCTCTATTCTAAATATCTCCATCAATAAACACCTCTTTCCTACCTTACTCACCAATACTTAAGCTTTCTGATCTTTTCTAACTAGATCTTCAAAGCCTTTTATTCACTGCTTTTTTTTTTCTCTCCTCTTCCTCCTTCTCTCCTTGACAGCAGGCTCTATCAATCAGACTCTAATTATCACTTATCATACAGAAGAACACTCGCAATGGCTCTTCATCAATTCGACTACATCTTTGCCATCGGCATGATGTTTGCCTTCCTGGACGCCTGGAATATCGGTGCCAACGATGTCGCCAACTCCTTCGCTACATCGGTCTCTTCCCGTGCCTTGACCTACCCGCAAGCCATGATTATCGCCGCAATTTGTGAGTTTTTAGGTGCCACCCTCGCTGGTGCTCGTGTCTCCGATACCATTAGAAACAAAATTATCGATGTCGCTCTCTTTGACAATGCTCCTGCTGGCCTCATGCTTACTATGGCCTGTGCTCTCGTTGGATCTTCTCTCTGGCTTACCCTTGCTACCAAGCTTGGTGCTCCCGTCTCCACTACCCACTCAATTGTCGGCGGTATTATTGGTGCCGGTATTGCTGCCGTTGGTGCTAATAATATTCACTGGGGTTGGAACGGTTTCGCCAAGATTGTTGCTTCTTGGTTCATTGCTCCAATGATTTCTGGTGGTTTTGCTGCCGTTACTTTCCTTATTACAAAGTACCTTATTCTCGAACGCAAGAACTCTCTCAAGCGTGCTCTTTTCGCTATTCCCTTTTACTGTGCCCTTACTGCTGGTGTTCTTATCATGGTTATTGTTTGGAAGGGTGCTCCTAATCTTAAGCTTGACAATCTCTCTGATGGCCAAGTTCTCGGTGCTATCTTTGGTGGTGCCGGTGGTGCCATTCTTCTTTATGCCATCTTTTGGTATCCTTACCTTTACAGAAAGCTTGTTCTTGAAGACTGGACTCTTAAGACTTACCATGTTTTCCTTGGTCCTCTTCTTTGGAAACGTGGTGAAGTTCCTCCTATCCCTGAAGGCCACAAGGTTCAGATTGTTATTGACTACTACGAGGGTAACAGAACTCGCGAAGAATATGAAAATGCTATTGACAGCGGTCTTGCCGGTGTTGATCCTAAATTGATTGAAACCCGCTCTGAATCTCATGACTCCGATGACCTTGAAACCAAGGGTGCTATTTCTACTTCAATTGAGGGTGTTGAAACCAATCCTACTGAGAAGCCCATCCGCTTTGACATGATCCGCAAGGAAAACTTCATGATCATGGTTAAGACTCCCAAGTATTGGCCTCGTTTGGTTTGGCTCGCCCTCACTAATGGTGTTCGTCAGGATGTCGTTAACCACCAGCGTAATGATACTTCCTTCCTTGGTAAGAATGTCCAGGACATGCATGCTCGTGCTAAGAAATATGACAACAAGACTGAGCATCTTTTCTCTCTTCTCCAAGGTCTTACTGCCGGTACTGCTTCTTTTGCCCACGGTGCCAACGATATTTCCAACGCTGCTGGTCCTCTTTCTACTATCTACCTTGTTTGGTCTACCAATACTTCTGGTAGAAAGGCTGAAGTCCCTGTTTGGGTCTTGTGTTACACTGCTGCTGCCCTTTGTATCGGTCTCTGGACTTATGGTTACAACCTTATGAGAAACTTGGGTAACAAGCTTACTCTCCAGTCTCCTTCCCGTGGTTTCAACATGGAACTCGGTGCTGCCATTACTGTCGTCTTTGCTACTCGTCTTTCTCTTCCCGTTTCTACCACCCAATGCTTAGTCGGTGCCGTTGTCTTTGTTGGTCTGTGCAATGGTGATGTCAAGGCTGTCAACTGGCGCATGGTTGCCTGGTCCTACATGGGCTGGTTCCTTACTGTTCCTTGCGCTGGTCTTATTGCCGGTATCATCATGGGCATCATTTGCAACGCTCCTAAGGTTGGTGTTGTTTACGAAATGTCTTAAAGAACTAAAAAAAAATAGTTTGATTTCTTATAATTTTGTTATTGTTAATTTTGTCAATTTTTTGTGTTTTAAAAAATATATATCCTTAGATTTTAAAAAATTTAAATTTTTATTTGTATTCATTCATATTCATATTTACTTGGTTGGTCAGATTCAAGAAGCTTATATGCTCTTTTTATACAATAATCATTGTTTTTATTCAATATTATTTAGGAGTATGTTACATCAGCATCAATGCAATTCTTTTTACTTATACTATATATATATATATAACTTTCGGTTTCGATAATAAAATTTTAATTTGACTCAAAAGTTTACATCTTCAAAAACCTCAAAATATTCCCAGGTGCCAGCTTACAAGGAACAAAAAGAACTAATTTGTTGGCCCCAAATCGACCCAAATCATTTTCACCTAACAGAGGCCTGAATATTTCTTAGTCGTTTTTTTTAACATAAATATTCTTAGATGTTATTTACAGGCTAATTAGACTGAGTGAAAGAATGTATTTTCCTGTTGGCGAAGGAAGTCTGAGGTGGGTTCTCTAATGAACTCCCCTCAGAGATGGGAGACATCAGGGAGTACTCATAGTTGAACCTAGTATATTTTACGGTCAAAAGAAATAAAATTATTTAATGTACAAACATGTTTTTCCACCTTGAACACAAGATTATTGGTTTTTTAATCTTAAATTTATATAAATGTGGGTTCCTATGGTATTATGACTTCATTATATTCAAGTTTGCGGATTTAGCTCAGTTGGGAGAGCGCCAGACTGAAGAAATAACTTCAGTCTAAGTAATCTGGAGGTCCTGTGTTCGATCCACAGAATTCGCATATCTTTTTGACATTTTTTTTAACTTTTTCTTAAATTTTTATTTGTTTGAATCACAATTGTTGAGAAAAATCTTCAAATTCTAAGCATACGATGTTGAGTTGACCGGGGAGTTTTGTTTTTTTAAAATAGAGTTTTTAGACTTGAGTGTTTGGTGTGACAAGTACACAATTGGATTAGTAATATATATATGTTTATTTGTAATAATATTGGCATTGCTACTACCAAAATCAAAATCAAAATCAAAATCAAAATCAAAATCAAAATCAAAATCAAAATCAAAATCAAAATCAAAATCAAAATCAAAATCAAAAGCACAAAAATAAATTTTAATAATGCTTTAATGGTAACAATTTTTATATAATGAATCAAGATTAGTTTATATAATAATAAATACATATATATTTTTAAATGTTATTTCATTAATGTACTGACATTTAATTAAATGTACCTTATCCGTAAAGTAAATAATACTTGTTTGAAATTTTTGAAAGTTTTATTACAATTTTTGTTATGAAGCATCAATACTTGTACTTGCTAATAGCAAGAAGCACAAATATAATGATAATTGGTTTAGCATTTCAAAACAAAAGTTTGTCCTTCATTAACAAAATATTTTATTTATAGAATAAATTTATGTATTATTAGGGTCAAAAATATAAAAACAAAAAAAAAAAAAAAAAAAAGTCATTGGTTTTTAATCAATGATTATAAAAGTATATAACCTCAGCATCAAGGCGATTCTTTTCGCTCCTACTACATCATTCCTTTTTTACAATAAATGCACCACTTGAAATGGACATCTATATCTCAAAAAAGTCTTAAAATATGTTCTAATGCCAGCTTACAAGAAACAAGGGGGTATCAAAGATCTTAACTATCCAACTTGTTTTCACTTGTCTTTAAATTTGACTCAATTTTATAAATTTACTATAAAAGCAAAAGAAAGTATACAAAAAAAAAAAAAACTGTAATCAATAAACATCTTTAAGTGCATTGATTTTGTAGCCAAGCTGGTTAACAAAGCATGACTGTATATCGTGAGATTTTGAAGTCAATTTTCACACCAGGGTTGTTCAACTGCTAATAGAATAGGTGTGAGAAAAATTATGAAATTTTTTTTCTTCATCAAATATCCTACATGTTTAGTTTTTTTTTTTTCATGTGATTTTTAAACAATTTTGGATTCCTAGAAAAGAAAAGATTCTTCAGAAATACTCATAGTGACCCTGAAGAATTCGTGTGACTCATTGAAGAAAAAAAAAAAAAAAAAAGAAACAGTGGGGGTAAGACCTCCGAGAAACCATTTACCGAGTGATTATTGGTTGAGAGGTCTTCCTGGTTTTTCCATCTTTGTTGGGAGAATCAGCGAAAAAAAAAAAAAAATTTTTTCTTCTCGCTCTCCCACTCCTCTTTCCGGTGGACAAGCCGCGGGTGGCTGAAGTAACAGTATGAGTGGAGCTATTTTTTTTTTTTTTTTTTTTTTTTTTCTTGATCAAGTTATTATTATTAATAAAAATAAAAAAATAAAATTATTATATATATGGAAATAAATGACTTTTAATAATTATTATGATAAAAAGACTTCAGTTAGAAGTTTGATAATTCTGGTTTTTTCAAAAAATTTTTGTCTGAGGCTTTTAAAAACCTCTTTTTATGTTATTTTTTTTAATTAGTAGCTCAATATATATATATATATATATATATATATTTTTTGTGTGTGTTCTTTATAATTTATTTATTTATCTATCGTGGCTGTATATATAAATATATATATTAAATGCTAAGCTAATAGTTAACTGAAATCCACTTCAAACCAATGGCGGCGCTGCCCGTTTGTATCTGTAAACATTGCTTATAAGCAGCAACCAGTGCCAACCCTCATTTAATTACCCTAACCCACATAAAACTTAACCCTCAAAAAAAAAAAATCCTTTAAATAGCTGGCCACCCCCCAAAAAGACTTTTTCTCTCCTACTGGACGCCCCCCTCCAGTCAACCGACTACTACACTTCTCCACAGTTTCTATCTAGCAGTAGTTATTCTTTTATCAAGAATAACTCTTTTAGAATACCCTAAGCTTTTTTTTTTCTTTTGTTTATTATTATTCCTTTCTTGTCCATTGCTTCAAATCGACTTGCACCAGCTAACACACTTAAATATCATTAATCATTAACAATGGCTAACGTTGTCTTGGGAGCCCAATGGGGTGACGAAGGCAAGGGAAAGCTTGTCGATCTTCTCTGTGACGACATTGACGTCTGCGCCCGCTGCCAAGGTGGCAACAATGCTGGTCACACCATTGTCGTCGACGGCAAGACCTTTGATTTCCATATGCTGCCTTCTGGCCTTATCAACCCTAACTGTATCAACATTGTTGGCACTGGTGTCGTTGTTCACATTCCTTCCTTTTTCCAGGAACTTGAAAATATTCAAAAAAAGGGCCTTGATACTACCGGTAGACTTTTCCTTTCTTCCCGTGCTCAACTGGTTTTTGACTTTCATCAGATTGTTGATGGCCTGAGAGAAGCTGAACTTTCTACAGCAAACAAGGCTATTGGTACCACTAGAAAGGGTATCGGCCCAGCTTACTCTACCAAGGCCTCCCGTTCCGGCCTCCGTGTTCATCACCTTGTTTCTCAGGAAGAAGGTGCTTGGGAGGAATTCGAGACCAAGTTCAGAAAACTTGTTGCTGGCCGTCATAAACGTTATGGCTTTTTTGAGTATGACATTGATGCCGAGGTTGCCCGTTACAAGGAGTACGCCGATAAGATCCGCCCCTTTGTCGTCGACAATGTTCCTTTCATTAACAAGGCTTTTGATGAAAAGAAGAAGGTCCTTGTTGAGGGTGCTAATGCTCTCATGCTTGATCTTGATTTTGGTACTTACCCTTATGTTACCTCCTCCAACACTGCCATTGGTGGTGTCTGCACTGGTTTGGGTATTCCACCCCATAAGATTAATGAGATTTATGGTGTTGTCAAGGCCTACACTACCCGTGTTGGTGCCGGTCCTTTCCCCACCGAGCAGCTTAACGAAATTGGCGAGCATCTTCAGAATGTTGGCCACGAGTATGGTGTCACCACTGGCCGCAAGCGCAGATGCGGCTGGCTCGATCTTGTTGTTCTCAAGTACTCAACCTTGATTAATGGTTACACTCATCTCAACATTACCAAGCTCGACATTTTGGACGATCTTTTGGAGATTAATGTTGCTGTTGCCTACAAGTACAATGGTAAGGTCTTGGAGTCTATGCCTGAGGACTTGAACATTTTGGAAAAGGTCGAGGTTGTCTATGAGACTTTCCCTGGCTGGAAGGCTCATACTTCTAAGGCTCGCACTTTTGATGAACTTCCCAAGGAAGCTCAGAGCTACCTTAAGTTTATTGAGGACTTCATTAAGGTTCCTATTAGATGGGTCGGTGTTGGCCCTGCCAGAGACCAAATGATTGTTGTTGAGTAAACCCGAAAGTGTTTCTCATTAATTTAATCTCACTTTTTTTTTTTTTTTTTGCTTTCATAGAGCTAGGTTAGGTTTATTATATTATTCGGTTTAAATTTTTATAATTACTATAAGCAAGATCGTGCTCTAAAGCTATTGAGACTTGATTGATGATAATCATCTTTATCAGCTGCCTATATGGCAAGATTCATATTTAACCATACAAAAGTAGGGTAACACAGTGTGATTTAAAATTTGTCTCGATTTCCAACTTGCTATTGAAGCATGCTTGTTTACACGGGTAAATCTAATGGTTTTAGAGGGATATTGTAGACCTGATGCTCAGTATTTACATGATTGTTCCTCTAAGGCTATTTTGTCATAAAGACGATCGAAAAAATGTTTGGCAGTTGTTTTTTTCCCCCAAAAATGAAAACAGCTAGGGTTGTCTGTTGAATTGATTATTAGGGACGGAACTAGAGATTGCAAATTTTTTCTCTTGATAACAATCTTTTTTTTTTATTTATTTATTGACTCATATAAGATTGAAGCCCAATACTCATAAATATTCATAAATATTCCTAATTAGGAATATTTATGAGTATAACGATATAAACTAAACGGGTGATTTGAATATAATATTGAAGTTTTTCTATCTCAACCTTACAATCTTGGCAGAATTACTCATTGAATAATATTCAAAGCCATATATTGTAGTATTATAGTAAACATAAATCGTAAATATATGTATTCCATTTTGCATACATAAAAATATTACATGTACTAAGAGTTTAGTAAGCCAACATTTTTTTGCTCAAAATGTCTTGACAAAATCATTTTTTTTTTCTTCAATTCACAACGCCAACACGATAAATTGTCGGATATTTTACAAAGACTTTGCTCACAGAATGATAAAATCATGATAATTAGAAATATCAAAAATAAGAAAATCCTTTTAAATCAATGTTTTTAAATTAAAGTGAAAAAAAAAATTAAATTAAATCAGTTTATATAATTCCCTATTAAATTTTAGAATCTACGAACCTGAAAATACCAGAAAAAAATTGATTATATTGATTTTTAGAGACCTGACGAGACGAGACCAGACTAAGGGTTTTGGGACTGGCTTTTAATACCAAGGTGTAACTTCCATCATGCATTTTTTTAGCCAACCCCTCAAAAAAAAAATTCTATTTAAACGTAAGGTCTTTCCGGTTTTAATTTCTGTTTCTATTTTTTTTTTGTCCTTCTGTTTTTTTCTCTTGTTTTGTATAAACAAAAAAAAAAAAACATACGTATCTTACTATGGATAACAAAAAAAACCCAACTTTTTCTCAGATCCCTCCAAGGGTCATTTCTATTTCTCCTTCAACTAGTCCTCCTCAGGTTCCTCCTGATGCAACCCAATCTCCTTGGGGGTTGAACGTTAACCAGGCTGCGGCTGCTTTTAAAACAAGTCTTTCTAATGGTCTTACCCCTGATGAAGCCAAAGCCCGTCTTACTGAACACGGACTTAATCAGCTTGATCAAGGTGAAGGTATTTCTCTTGTTAAAGTATTGGTTAGTCAGGTTTGTAATGCTATGATTCTTGTTCTTATCATCTCAATGGCTATTTCTTTTGGTATCAGAGATTGGATTGCTGGTGGTGTCATTGGCGGTGTTATCGGAATTAATGTTGTTGTTGGTTTCATTCAAGAGTACAATGCTGAAAAAACAATGGACTCTCTTCGTTCTCTTTCGTCTCCTACTGCCAGAGTCATTCGTAACGGCTCCGATGAAACAATTCCTTCGATTGAAGTTGTTCCTGGTGACTTGGTTGTTGTTAAAGTTGGTGACACTATCCCTGCAGACCTTAGAATTGTTGACTCTATGAATTTTGAGACTGACGAGGCTCTTCTTACTGGTGAGTCTCTTCCTGTCGTCAAGGACCCCACTGAAGTATTCCCCTTGGATTGCGGTGTAGGCGATCGCATCAATATGGCTTATTCTTCTTCAATTGTCACAAAGGGTCGTGCCACTGGTATCTGCACTAGCACTGGTATGTTTACAGAAATTGGTGTCATTGCAATGTCTCTACGCTCCCAAAACAAGGGATTCCGTCCTGTCAAGCGCGATGAGTTTGGCAAGGCTCGCAAACGTGACTATCTTGGTGCTTTTATGGGAACCATCAAAGACGCCATTGGAACATTTCTTGGTGTTAATGTTGGAACCCCATTGCACAGAAAGCTTGCTCAGTTGGCTATTTTCCTTTTTGGTGTTGCCGTAATTTTTGCAATTGTCGTCATGGCTGCCCAAAAATTTAAAGTTAACAGAGATGTCGGCGTTTATGCTATTGCTGTTGCATTGTCTATGATTCCTGGTTCCCTTGTTGTTGTACTCACAATTACCATGGCAGTGGGAACTAAGGTTATGGTTAAGCGTAACGTTATTGTTCGTAAACTTGACTCCTTGGAAGCACTAGGTGCTGTTAATGATATTTGCTCAGATAAGACTGGCACTCTCACTCAAGGAAAAATGGTGGGTAGAAAAGTTTGGATTCCTACTGTTGGTACTTATCAAGTCATCAACTCTACTGAAGCTTTTAACCCCACTGTTGGTCAAGTTACCTTTTCTTCAGGTACTCCCTTTGAAGACTCTAATGAAGATGATGTCCACCAAGATTGCCCCCAGCCTTTACCCCATCGTTTTACCGAATGGCTCGATGTTGCTTCTCTTGCTAATATTGCAAAAGTTCATTGCGAAACTGATGATTCTGGAAATTCTACATGGAAGGCTAATGGCGACCCTACAGAAATTGCAATCCAGGTTTTTACGCACCGCATGGACTGGCAGAGACCTAAGTGGACCGAGGGTGAATCTCCCAAGTTTACTCACCTTGCTGAATATCCCTTTGATTCTTCCATCAAGCGTATGACTGCTGTTTACAAGGAAAATGCTACTGGTATCATTCACATCTTTACCAAAGGTGCAGTTGAGCGTGTTCTTGGTTGCTGCTCTACATGGTATGGTGGCTCTAATCCTGATGCTAACGGTGTTTCTTCTCTTACTGAAGAAGATACCCAATTGATTCTCAAAAATATGGATGCCCTTGCAAAGCAGGGTTTGGTAAGTTTTCCACGAAGACTTGACTATGAAGAACAAGAGTTTACTAACATTTTTAGTTGTATTACATGTCGTTTAGAGGGTTCTGTCATTTTCGCGAAAAGTTTACAATGGTCCTGACAACACCAATTGGAAAGAAGTTAACCGCGACGATATCGAAAAAGATCATTGCTTCTTAGGACTAATTGGTATTTATGACCCCCCTCGTCTCGAATCCGCTGGTGCTGTTAAAATGTGCCACCGCGCTGGAATTAATGTCCACATGCTTACTGGTGATCACCCAGGTACTGCAAAGTCAATTGCTCAAGAAGTTGGAATTTTACCGCACAATCTTTATCACTATCCTGAAAACGTTGTCAAGGTTATGGTTATGACTGCACAACAGTTTGATTCTCTTTCTGATGAAGAAATTGATGCTCTTCCCGTTTTGCCACTGGTAATTGCTCGTTGCGCTCCTCAGACTAAGGTTCGCATGATTGACGCTCTCCACCGCCGTAAGGCCTTTTGTGCCATGACCGGTGATGGTGTCAATGACTCACCTTCTCTTAAGCGTGCCGACGTTGGTATTGCAATGGGTATTTCAGGCTCGGATGTTGCTAAAGATGCTTCTGATATTGTTTTGTCTGATGATAACTTTGCGTCTATTCTTAATGCGGTTGAAGAGGGTCGTCGCATGGCTGCTAATATTCAAAAGTTTGTTTTACATTTACTTGCTGGTAATGTTTCACAGGCATTGTTTTTACTGATTGGACTTGCATTTCAAGATGATGATGGGTATTCAGTTTTCCCATTATCTCCAGTTGAGGTTTTGTGGGTTATTATGATAACATCATCATTCCCAGCGATGGGGCTTGGTATTGAAGCAGCTGCGCCTGATATTATGGACCGACCTCCTGTAAACTCTAAGGCTGGAATTTTTACTTGGGAAGTGATTATTGATATGATTTGCTACGGAATTTTGATTTCAATTGCTTGCATTTTTTCGTTTGTTGTTGTTGTTTATGGTGATGGAAACGGCCAATTGGGGAGTAACTGCAATAATAAGTACACTGAATCCTGCTTGTATGTTTTCCGTGGTCGTTCTACTTCTTTTTTGACAATGACTTGGTGTCTTCTTCTTTTGGCTTGGGAAGTGATTGATTTGCGTCGTTCTGTTTTCGCTATGCATCCTGATTCTGAGACTCCATATACACAAGTGTTTAACGACCTTTGGAGAAACCAGTTTTTGTTTTGGTCTGTAATTCTGGGCTTTGTCACTGCTCCACCTTTGCTTTACATTCCTGTTATTAACAAGATTGTCTTCAAGCATGGTCCGATTGGGTGGGAATGGGGTGTCGCTATTGCTGCGCTCTTTATCTTTTTTGCTGGCTCTGAACTCTACAAATGGTTTAAGCGAATTTATTACCGTCATCATTCTGAAGTCGTCCACAATCCTGAAGATGATTTGGAAAGTTCTCCATTTTCCAAGTATTCGTCAATTTCTATTGATAATACACAAGAAAAGCTGATTATTGGAACCATGAAGTAGTAGGCCCTTCTTTTAATCGTACCTTTTTTTTATTTTTTTTTATTTTTTTTTATTTTTTTTTATTTTTTTTTATTTTTTTATAGGTTTTTAATGAATAAATAATACCATTAATCATTCACAAAATTAATTGTAAAAGTCTTGAATTTAAATCTAACTTGTTTATACAATGATACATTAAAAAAAAAAAGATGACGAACTATATTTAAGTTGATAATAAATTGATAACGTATTCCAATATATCACTTGATACTATCTATGTGCCACGTTCTCCAGAAACAACACAAAAAGAAATGAAACTCACCTTATTTTTACTTAAAGTGGTCTGAAGTAGCCTTGTGTTATTCGCTAACTTGACATTTTAGTATAAAGTGATGAAGAAAAAAAAATATTATCTTTTTTGTTTTTATGAAAAATGGGCCTTTCTTTGCTCTACCTTACACCCACCCACCCACACACACACACACACAAACAGGATGCCCAGTAAAAATCTTTAAATCAAGCATGTTATTCTTAATTTTGCTTTTAAAATCTAAATCTAATTATTTTTTTTTTCTCCACAGCTTAAACAAACCTTTCTAGAACAGAAGAAAATCAGTCTCCCCTCCGTTACTATAATAATAATAAAAATCAAATTGGCAAAAAAATATTCATATGATAAAATCTACGTACCCAAATCCCATAAAATGAAAGAGAAAAAAAAAAGCCAAGAAACAAGCTCCATTTTAAAGATAAATTTTAACTAAAGCTTACTTGATCATTCCTTTATATACTAAACCGTTGTCATGACCCTATAAGGTACTCGATCTTTTCCCGAAAATTTGTCGTAAATAAATAAATGTATATTAATAATTATATTTGGACCAACTTGACCTGCTATTTTTCTATTTTTTCTATTTTATTTTCAATCAAACTCATTCCGCATTTAGTATAATCACTAAAATCATCATTTTCAATATTTTTGAAAACGTTTTTACGCCTCATTTCTTTTTTTCTTGGGTATGATGATAACCCTTCAAATTTATGCTTAAATATAAGATGTTTTCCCAAACTTTTGTCTCTTTTTCTAAAAAAAAATATATTTAGTACACTTTTTTATATTTTGAAACAAATTTTGTTAATTAAATCAAGTAAAAAATAATTAAAATAAATTAAAATGAATAGTAAAAAAAAATTCCCCATCGTTAAGATCAAATCAGCAGCTCAATCTATATCTTCTGTTTCAGATCTGTCAGGTTCTAATTCCCCAACAATTCAAAATAAAAAACAGACCCCATGGAGTTTGACAATCGAACAAACCGAACAAGAATTCAAAACAAGTACAACTAAAGGCCTTAGCAATGAAGAAGCTGAAGCTCGAATTGCCAAATATGGTCTTAATCAATTAGACCAAGGAGAAAGTATTTCGATTATTAAAGTATTGATGAGACAAGTATGCAATGCAATGGTTCTTGTACTTTTAATTTCAATGGCTATATCCTTCGGCATTAAGGACTGGATCGCTGGCGGCGTTATCTCTGGTGTAATTGGCATTAATGTTTTTGTGGGATTTATCCAAGAATATAATGCCGAAAAAACCATGGAGTCTCTTCGATCATTATCTTCTCCCACCGCTAGAGTTATAAGAAACGGCACTGATGAGACTATACCTTCAATTAATGTTGTCCCAGGAGATTTAATTGTCGTCAAAGTTGGCGATACTGTTCCAGCAGACCTAAGAATAGTTGATTCCATGAACTTTGAAACCGATGAAGCTTTATTAACTGGCGAATCTCTTCCAGTATCTAAAGATCAAAGTCTAATATTTCCCATTGACTGCGGTGTCGGAGATCGCATTAATATGGCTTACTCTTCCTCCATTGTTACTAAAGGTCGCGCTACTGGTATCTGCACTAGTAGTGGTATGTTTACAGAGATTGGTGTCATTGCAATGTCTTTGCGATCTCAAAATAAGGGCTTTCGACCGGTTAAACGCGATGAGTTTGGTAAAGCACATAAAAGAGACTATGTGGGTGCATTCGTCGGCACAATCAAAGATGCCATTGGGGCATTTCTCGGAGTCAATGTGGGCACGCCTCTTCAAAGAAAACTAGCACAATTAGCAATATTTCTTTTTGGTGTTGCTGTTATATTTGCGATTGTCGTCATGGCCGCTCAAAAATTTAAGGTTAACCGTGAAGTTGCAGTCTATGCAATTGCCGTTGCCTTATCCATGATTCCTGGTTCTCTTGTTGTCGTCCTTACAATCACTATGGCTGTAGGGACAAAAGTCATGGTTAAACGCAATGTTATTGTTCGGAAGCTTGATTCACTCGAAGCGCTGGGTATTGTGAGCGACATTTGTTCTGACAAGACTGGCACTCTTACACAAGGTAAGATGGTTGGCAGAAAGGTTTGGATTCCTGCAGTGGGGACTTATCAGGTAATCAATTCTACCGAGGCTTTTAATCCTACAACTGGTCAGGTGACATTTTCCCCTAATACACCGTATGAGGACAGCATTGAAGATGATGTGCACCAAGAATACCCCCAACCTCATCCAAAGTACTTTACTGAATGGTTAAACTCTGCATCTCTTGCAAATATTGCAAATATTCATTGCGAGGCTGATGAATCTGGTAATAATGTATGGAAAGCCAATGGAGATCCTACAGAAATTGCAATCCAGGTATTTGCTCACCGCCTAGACTGGCAAAGAAACAAATGGACCGAAGGTGAAAACCCTAAGTTCACGCATCTTGCCGAGTTCCCTTTTGATTCTTCCATTAAACGCATGAGTGCTATTTACAAGGAAAATTCAACTGGGCATGTGTACGTTTTTACAAAGGGGGCAGTAGAACGTGTTCTTGATTGCTGCTCCACTTGGTATGGAGGCTCCAATCCTGATGAAAATGGCGTTTCAACACTTACAGAAGAAGATACTCAGTTGGTTTTTAAAAACATGAATGCTCTTGCAAAACAAGGTCTGGTAAGTTTTTTTTTTTTTTTTTTTTTTTTCGGACGAAGATTTAAAGATTTAATATTTTTAACAGTAATTTTTTTACTAACTTTCACAGAGAGTGCTATCCTTTTCTTTCAAACTTTACACTGGACCCAAAGATATCAACTGGAAAGAAGTAAATCGTAACGATATCGAAAAAGATCTTCACTTCTTAGGACTAATTGGTATTTATGATCCCCCTCGTCTCGAATCCGCTGGTGCTGTTAAAATGTGCCACCGCGCTGGAATTAATGTCCACATGCTTACTGGTGATCATCCAGGTACTGCAAAGTCAATTGCTCAAGAAGTTGGAATTCTACCGCATAATCTCTATCACTATCCAGAAGATGTCGTTAAAGCAATGGTTATGACTGCACAACAGTTTGATTCTCTTTCTGATGAAGAAATTGATGCTCTTCCCGTTTTGCCACTGGTAATTGCTCGTTGCGCTCCTCAGACTAAGGTTCGCATGATTGACGCTCTCCACCGCCGTAAGGCCTTTTGTGCCATGACCGGTGATGGTGTCAATGACTCACCTTCTCTTAAGCGTGCCGACGTTGGTATTGCAATGGGTATTTCAGGCTCGGATGTTGCTAAAGATGCTTCTGATATTGTTTTGTCTGATGATAACTTTGCGTCTATTCTTAATGCGGTTGAAGAGGGTCGTCGCATGGCTGCTAATATTCAAAAGTTTGTTTTACATTTACTTGCTGGTAATGTTTCACAGGCATTGTTTTTACTGATTGGACTTGCATTTCAAGATGATGATGGGTATTCAGTTTTTCCATTATCTCCAGTTGAGGTTTTGTGGGTTATTATGATAACATCATCATTCCCAGCGATGGGGCTTGGTATTGAAGCAGCTGCGCCTGATATTATGGACCGACCTCCTGTAAACTCTAAGGCTGGAATTTTTACTTGGGAAATTATTATTGATATGATGTGCTATGGTGTTTTGATTGCTATCGTTTGTATTTTTTCGTTTGTTGTTGTTGTTTATGGAGCTGGAAGTGGAAACCTGGGTGAAAACTGCAATAATAAGTACACTGAATCCTGCTTGTATGTTTTCCGTGGTCGCTCTACTTCTTTTTTGACAATGACTTGGTGTCTTTTACTTTTGGCTTGGGAAGTGATTGATTTGCGTCGTTCTGTTTTCGCTATGCATCCTGATTCTGAGACTCCATATACACAAGTATTTAAAGATCTTTGGAGTAATAAGTTTTTGTTTTTGTCGGTCGTTTTGGGATTTGCCAGCGCCCCACCTTTGCTTTACATTCCTGTTATTAATAAGATCGTTTTCAAGCATGGACCTATTTCATGGGAGTGGGGTATATCTGTTGCGTCTGTTATTTTATTTTTTTTGGGATCAGAAATGTACAAGTGGTTTAAACGCATTTATTTTAGAAATAAAGAAGGGAATAAGATAAAAACCGAAGAAGACTTAGAAAGTGCCACTTTTTCAAAGTTTTCTTCAATCTCAAAAGAACCGCAAGAACATTTAATCATGAAATCTATTCAATGATTATTTTTTTTTTAATATTAGGGTAAATTTATTTTCATCAACTCATTAAAGGATTATACAAAATATGCAAAATAGTTATAATAAAAAAATAAAAAAATATGCAATAAGAATTTCATAACGTCATAATAATTGTAAGAGTAACTATTATATGACTTCCCATTTCCATCCAGCTTTGCTGACTCTTCCAAGGATCATCAGTATTGCACCTCCTGTAAAGAATCCTCCACACAACATTGACAAGTGCATAAATTCGTTATTATTAGGTCCAAGCGTAAGTCCAGATATTGGCGTTGAAAATGCAGTAATGATACTTAATGCAAAAAAGCACATGCTAAAACGTGTTCCTAAACGAGTAATATCTTCAGTCAAATGAGGAACACAAAACGGTGGGAAAGTGCCAACTACACCTGAAACATATCCATAAAAAATGGTAAAAACCACTAACGACGCATTTGAATTTATAGTGAAAAACGGATAGCAGCAAATAGCAGCAGCAATACTAAATAGAACAGTCATGTTAAGCGCACCTAAATAACGTGCAATTAAAAACACTGTAAAACGACCAACTACACCAGCAGCATTTAAAATCGCAACAATGTATGTAATGATATTTGGATCAGCATTCATGTATATGGCAAAAGATTGAATCTGAGAAAATGGGGTATAAAGTGCAAAAAAGCAAAGTGCAACACCTCCAACAAAAAACATAAATTCTGGTGTATGTAACGCAGTCTTATCAACCCATGAGTTTAACGAGAAAATTGAACTGGTATACTTTTTTCGAGCATATTCCTGGCGAACATGGAAAGGGAGTCTGTCACGAGTAACAGAAATCAAAATGATTAAGAAAAAAAGTTCGATAAATGCTAGTATTCGAATTGTCCAAGAAAATCCAACGTGTTGAATCAAATTATTTGCAGCAATTGGGAAAATTATACCTCCAACACCTCCACCTGATGCACAAACACACATTGCAAACCCACGCTTGCGTTTAAAGTATGCTGAACAACAGCCCAAAACAGGGCCAAAAAGCATTCCCATACCCAATCCCATTCCAACACCTTGGGCAAGCAAAATTTGGTATAATTTGGTGCATTCAGCTACCAACATGAAGCACACAAAGATAAGGGTAGAACCAATGATTTCCAAATAATAAAAATAGCCATCATCAAATAAACGTCCCGTAAAGACACCTCCCATAAAAATGCAAGAAAGCTGCAACGATTGAATCCAGCCAAGCTGAAATGAAGACAAATGTTTAAAAAGATCCGTCTTATAGTATGTTTGAAACACACCAAAGGATGTAATAATACCCCAAGTTGTCAATACTGATAAAAATCCACCCAATAGTGACAAATATGCCCATAAACCGCCTTCCGGAAAGTATGTTGGATCGTGCATTTTATTATAAGAGGTGCCAGCCTCATGGTCGCTGCTATCACCATTCAATTCAGAAATAGAGCTACCATCGGTTTTATATGCTTTATCATCCACAGGAAAAGAATTTTCGGAATAAAATGCTGGTATGGTTATGGTAATAGTTTTTTCGTTTGCTTCATCAAGGTGTGGGTAGCAATCGTGCCCCTCTTTTTCTATTATATTGCTTTTATCTTTAAAAATCTGACTCTTTTCCAGACTAGGTATGTGACTAGCAGGCGCTATAGAATCTGACGACATTTAAAAAGTATTGTAAATTTGGTATTTTGATTTTATAATTTGAAAAAATTTTTTTTTTTTGATGAGTTTGAAAAGAAATATTCAGAAGAAAATAATAAAATTTGTCGGATGTATGACAATATTTATAATAATAGTCCTTCCCCCAAGATAGGGTTCCCTATTGAGAAGTACTAAAAGTGCGGCCTTGCGTAGTGACCCCCACCATAAACCCGAGGATAGAAAAAGAAAGGTGGAATATCCAAATTAACCTTAATATAGTAATATTAGTGACCCTGATCAATTAGTATGACTTTACAATTCAAGTGATCAAACGGGAAAATAGAGGAGGTATAAGACTACCGTAGACATCCTCTTTCATTGGAAGATATTAGAAAATAACCATAAATGTACAAATGAAAAGTTAGAAACATTATACAAAAACCGGTCAAATGATCTCGACTGAATTCATGGGGAAAGAAAACAACATGTTGTACTATAACCACTATTTATTTCTGACATTTCAAAAGATATTTGCAACAAAATAGGAAGCCCTAAAAAAGTTTTTGATAAGAGCTCTGAACGGTCTGCATTATATCTTGATCGCACCAAAGAAACATCAGCATTAAACGATCTGCTCTGCATTTCAAAAAAATGGCTTAGAATAATAAAAAAAGAATTTTTGAGCAATAATCCTAGACTTTCTATTCCACACACCATTACTGTAAAGAACAAATAAGTCCGTTATTCTTACCGGAATCTAGTTGAGAATTTACCCCACAAAAAACATAACAAAGCGCCACACACTCAACGGCCTTTGAACAGCACTAAAAAAGCACATAAGCACATTACATATAGCACTCCCCGGGGTAATCATTTTGACCCCTCCATTTTACAGGCTAAATCAACAGAAGAATATGATAACTTAGAAGTGATTATTTAAACAAGAAGCTTGTTTAGGGGAATCCATCTCCTTTTTACCGTCAACGGCATCAGATACCGGATGTCATTGTTGTGACACATTTAACGCCGTAGCAATCAGAATGGGGGGCTGAGAAAGTTTATGACTAATCACTTCAAGAAATTCGGCCGGGTAGACCTTACGTGTGAAGACAACTGAGCAGGATATGAAAAAAGCGTAGAAAAAGGAATTTTTAAATAACATCAATTTCAATTAAGCCCTTCTAAATGGACTGTTTTCAAACTTCCATTCTGATTTATCCTTGGGTTGTCACATTTCACGATCTAAATAACATCTTTTTGTCAAATTGTCCGGGTGTAATGTAGATCCGGGTAACATCCACATTTCTTTTAGAAATAAAAAATTCAAAATTCAAAACAAGAAATAACAACGGCTCCAGATGTCCCTTCTTTTAGCTATGATGAACATTTGAAAATACAAAGAGTCATGAATTTTATAGAAACTACAATTAGATGAGTTAATATTTCCCTAGACCAAAGATAAGATCTATAATGCGTTATATTTATACACAGTGACATCTGGCAACATGTTTAAGGAAAAAAGTCTTTTTGATGACTATTAATATTTAAAAGCATTTTTTAATGATCACAGCGGTTAAATCAAACTTATCATTTTTTTTAAAAAACAAAACACAAAAATTGACTGATCATGATGAGCATTTGGAAATTCTGCTCGTTTACCTTTTTTTTCTATATATTTTTTTTAATAAGGCCATTGAGTAATCATCAAGCCATTCCATTTATCAAAAAGGAAATTGTAAATTAAAAAAAAAAAATTTATTTGAAAGATTTGATCTTTAACATTTGCTGTAAATCACATATTTCATCACTTAAAATCCAATATAAATGCATTTGAAAATTTAATAGTGTTTATAAATCCCCAATCGTTAAGAAAAGGATGTTAGAAGATAAAGAGTAGAATTGCTAGTATGTTAATAATTAATGAAATGCCATTGTTATTGTTGAAGATATTAAAAATGATATTGTCAACCGATTGTCATATTTTTCTCAAAAATTATGGTTCGCTTCGCTCACATGTAGAACACCAAGTCTAAGAGTTTGATTGTTTAGGCCTAATAAATTGAAATGCTAGTGTTTTTTATAACTATTAATGTGCATTTAAAGCAGGTAGCTGTGCTTTTGATTCAAAATAAAATGTGGTATTTTGAATACCTAAAGGTTGGCCTGAAAAATGAAAATAGGTAGAAGTTGCATTTAATCGCGGAATTATTGACCCTAAACAAGATTAGGAAATATGGGTTTTATTCCGTGACTTATTTTTTTTTAAGTTTAATTGAAAGTATTAAATTTCCTCTTTTATTTAGTTGTCATGGTTCTAAAATGTAAATCACAGGTAACGAGGCTATAACAAATGCATCACTTTAAAAATATTGATTTACAATTAAAAGTTTAAATTTATTTTTTTAAAAAATACTTGTCAAATTATTTTTCATTATTCAGGAATTACTGGTTAGCTGTTTGTTAAAATTCACCTAATAGTTTGTGGAAACAATGAATTGATTTGTTTACCTAATTGTTTCTTTTCACCTCCACAATTTACTACCCATTTTTGTTCTTCCAAGAATATAAAAACACTCCAATATGTTCGCCTACTTTAATTATACAATGCGTTGAAAACTATGTACCTTAATGGTTATCATGGTCAATCATGCTAACAAAATGTGTGGCCATTTTAGGAGATTTTTCACGAGATTTAATTTAACTTGGCTCATTACACATTTTACAAAACAAGAGCACTCAACCGAAATTTTGACGTTGCACGGGGGGTGCCTGCACCCGTAAACAACAATAAAAAAAAACTTTAACTCTTTGATAACATTTTTAGGCATTTATTTCTCCAGTTTTTTTTTTTGTTTTTCTAGTTATTTAGCAAAAGCATTAATATTTTTGACGAATTAAAAATCTAAATAGTATTTTTTTATTCCAAATTTAAAATCCAATGTTTGAAATTTGATTTTCTATATCCGCTCTTCTAGTTTACAATGTATGTGACTAACATATTGCATAGTTATTGTAATTACAAATTTCTCTTAGGACTCCGACGGAGCACTCTGTAATCACGGAACTAAAAAGATACTATCACGTACCTTTTGGTCATAAATCATCAAGTTCAAATATTGTGGATGTTTTTTGTCGGAGTCCATAAAACAAAAAAAAAAAAATTACTTTATAAACATTCAAGCCACAAAAGAATGCAAAATTTTCACTTTAAATCCAAAAGCTGTCAACAAACCGATAGTCATTCCTAAATAAAAGATTTGGTAAACAGTTGAGATCTAAAGTTTGTATCTCTTAAAGGATTAGAGCACAGGGGGACTTTATTGTAATAAGGATTCCAGTGAAAATTACTCAGCTATAGTAGATAAATTTATGGTCATTGTATTAATCCTAATAGAACCGAATGTTATTTAAGTTAGGAACAAACCCTTATTATGTTTGACTCATCAGGTGGCTTGAATCCACGGAATTTTTTTTTTCACATCCTGTGACTTATGGCCGTTATACCTAACTTATTAATAGTTTGATGAGGATCGTCACGTTAAATTATTTCCGTGTAAAGAAGGACATAATTTATCTTCTTCTTATTTCAAAATAGACAAAAAACGAAAAATAAATAAAGAGATCTCTGGAAATCTTTAATCTTTAGTAAACATCTGAACGAAGATTAAAAAGGAAGATAAAACGTACGAAGAAAATAAATAAAAAAAAAGATTTAGGTAAACTAAAACGCCAAAGCCGCATAACACCCGGTAAGGCCGTGAGTAATCTTTGAAAGGCTATAGTAAGTTTGGGAGAGAGCCGAAATTTTTCACATAAATAGCTGTTGATTTCCCGCATAACTTTCTCTATTTCCATTCTTTTCTCATTTGAACCCGAATATTTGCGCAATATTTTTTGAGCATCAATACACCAGTTTCGATAGCTATCACTTTGCATTTTTTTTTTATTTTAAAATAAAAATGCCAACACAAAAATTAATCATACCTCAGCAAAATGCACCCCCATTAAGTAGGCATGATTTATCCGCTGACGGATCTTCTGTTCCTTCGTCGTCTACCAACAGTGTAGATCACCATAAAAATTATCAGTCACTACAAGATGTTCAAGATGCTTCTTCAACAGATTCAGATGCTACAGTTTCTTCAGAAACATCTCCTCAAAAGCCTACAAGACAACAATATACACTCCGGGACCAGCTGGATGGGTTCCCGTTCTGGCAAATGTTTGTCATTATGACTGTGCGTTTTTCAGAACCTGTAAGCATGACGTCCTTATTCCCATATGTATACTTTATGGTAAAACATCTCCGACCCCAAGGAAGCGAAGCTAGCATATCCCGATATGCCGGATACATTAGTGGTAGTTTTGCTTTATGCCAGGCCCTTACTGGTGTTCACTGGGGACGATACTCTGATAAATATGGTCGCAAGCCTATCCTACTTATTGGAATGTTAGGAACTTGTATCTCACTATTTTGGTTTGGTACCACTCAATCCTATCACATGGCTATGATTGCCCGCTGCTTAGGAGGTGTTCTTAACGGTAATGTAGGTGTTATCAGGACATCTATTGGCGAAATCGCACCCAAAAGACAGCATCAAGCTCTGGCAATGTCTACCATGTCGTTGCTATGGCAGCTTGGTTGTGTTATCGGACCGGTAAGTAAACTTTAGTAAACCCTGCCCTTAACCTTACTAATAATAACCTTAATAGATGATTGGAGGTTCATTAGCCGACCCCATAATAAACCATCCCGGATGGTTCTCAGAAGACAGTCGCTGGAAAAAATTATTTGAAAAGTGCCCATTTTTACTTCCCAATATTGTAACTTCTACTCTTCTATTTTTCAGTTTAATTTTGGCATTTTTATTTTTAGAAGAATCCCATCCTGATTATTTGGGACGTAATAAATACGACCCTGGCTTGGCTGTTGGTGATGCAATTATCCAATTTTTGACGTTTGGAAAATTCAACCCTGCAACTGCCAGAAATGAACGGTTCCAAAAGAAACTTAGAGACGAAGAGCAGGCTGCTTCTGTTCTATCGGCAGAATCTGACGATTCTAAAAAATCAAACGCTAACAGTACCCAGTCAACTGAATCCACCAATTTACTACAACGCGTTGACGATGTTGTTGAAGAGGATATGGAATATATTAGCGGTGAATTCACTAATCATGATCATGTTCATCATCATTCAATTACTGCAGAAAACACAGTCTCCAACTATGGCTCTTTAGGCCAATTACAGCAACAACCATCGTCACCTACTGCAGAATCAATCAGCAGCACCAGCAAAGAAGATCGCAGCGCTAACGGAACCTTTTTTGAAGCTCTTACACCCGCGGTTTTAGCTACAATGTCTATGTATTTTTTGATTGCTCTACAAACTGTTGTGTTTGACGAAATGCTTCCACTCATGGCATCTACTCCGCCAGTTTTGGATCCTGCCCTAGGAGGGCCAAGCAAACTTCCATTTCACTTTGTTGGTGGTCTTGGTTTAACTTCGGTTCAAGTAGGAAACCTTTTATCTATGACGGGTCTTGTGGGCACATTTTTGGTCATGTTCTACTTCCCATATGTTGATGGTAAATATGGCACATACGGACCATTTTGCCTAGTCAATAAGTTGTTCCCTCTAGTGCATTTCCTTATGCCGTTTTCTTTATTATTAGTGGGCGCACCTCCAGAAAGCGCAGTAGCAAAAGGTATTGCTTGGGTTCAAAAGAAGGCTGTTGATCATGGATTTACCCCTCCAATGTACGCTTTGCTTGGAATTATGATGATAAAGACTCTTTTGATGGCCATTGCATTCCCTGCAGTCATGCTTCTCATCAACAGAGCAATCCCAAATAGAAAGCATACTGGCGGTATCAATGGCTTATCACAGATGTTTGCTGCTACTGCAAGAGCAATAGGTCCTATTCTCTGGGGGTTAATCATGACCAAGGGCCAGGAATGGCAGCTTGCAGGACTTCCCTGGTGGTTGTTGACAGTAGTCTGCTTCGGAGCTTTTGGGTTTATCAAAATACTGGATAGATATCGTGACGTTTTTGAAAAAGATAAATAAAAGACATTTTTACTATGCATCATATTTAGTTTACACGTAAATTTTATAAAAAAACATTGATCTTAGACTAAAAACAAAGTTTTTAATATGTATTTCAACTAGTTGAAATCCAAAAATTAACAGAATTAAAAGTAGCTAAAAGTTTTTTCTCTTGAGATTACACACCCAAAATAAAACTAGGTGGTAAGTTTTTACACCTTAAAAATTAAAAAAAAATAAAAGTAAATTTGTTATTTTAGGTAGATACTCTAACTCATGAATTTAAGTAGTTTTAATAATTTTTCCAGGAGATTCTAAAATTTATAAATAAGACCTTTATTATTATAAGAATTTGAAAAAAAAAGACAAGAAAAAAATTTCAGCATAATTCATTTATTTACTGATTTAGTAAATTTTGATGAAGTTATTTTTATTCAAATATCCACTGCTTTGCAGAAAAAAGCCGCACATTTACTAATCTGGATATCTACCCTATATTTTTAGAAATTTCTTCGGCAAAGACCTTTTAAACCTGATCATGAGTAGTCATTAATATCAGCAATGAAATACTTTGACCTCTAATTACGAGTTCGTCTTAAACCAGTTTTTTCTATACCACAGTTTTAACATTTTTTGAGATTAAAACTGATTAAAGATATTGACAAAAATTTTTATATCCAGCTATCAGTAATTTTATTGAAAGATCTTGGCTTTAAACCGTTTTTTATGAAAAGCCAAATAGCGGGACTCAAATTTTTATAAGCCACATTCTTTTAATTCTAGTATAATAGTTTCTTAAAAAAAAAGAGCACAATAAAAAAATTATTGTGGCTTTTATTAATTTTTTTAAGATAATGAAAATTTTAAATTATCAGAGTACTAATTCATATCAGTGGCTCATGATTGTCAATAGATTTCTTAAATACGATACTGTTAAAAGGGAGTCATGATTGTGTTTGGGGAGCGACGGCTTTTAAAACTTTGTTACAAGATTAGTTACAAATTATAACTTGTAATTGATATCCAGGCCCATAACACATTTCCACAACTACACAAAAGTAAATAAACAAAAAAAAAACTCCAAAGTGTTTTGATTTGCATTTACATCGTCACTACTACCACTCTTCGATACACTTGACGACAGAATGTATTCCGGAATATCATCCCAGCAGCAGCAACAGGCTGATCAGTCTATTCCTTCTTCAACAGCGCCTCAGTCTACTGGTGCATTTAATTCTAGACGCCGGACTCTTTTCAGTGGCTTGAATAATGCACCAGCAACTACTAATACAAACTCATTACCAGCAAACGACTTCAGACACCAGCTTAGCGGAGCTAGTCGATTATCTCAACCCTCAACACAGACACAACCTTTAGGACAAACACAAATTCCTCAAACTCGAGAAGTTACAGATGATCAGAAGCAAGAAATTCGCGAGGCTGTAAGTATTTGTACTACATTGTTACGTAAAACGCGAGTTTAAATAATTGACTAACACGCGTTTTTTTATGATTTAGTTTGACGTTTTCGATAGCGATAATGATAACTACTTGGATTTTCATGAATTTAAGGTCGCTATGCGTGCTTTAGGGTTTGAACATACGAAAGACGAAGTTCTTAAAATACTTGCAGATTTACATCCAACAAACAATGCGAACAGCAATTCGTCTAAAAGTAACCCTGCGCTAAACCCCAAGACTCTGTTAACACAAGCCATCAGCTTTGAGGAGTTTATGCGTCTTATGTCACAAAAAATATCACAAAGAGATCCCCTTGAGGAAATACGGCGGGCATTTCGATTGTTTGACGTTGATCGCACTGGCCGTATAGGCTTTGCTGATCTTAAGCGTGTAGCCCAAGAATTAGGTGAAAACCTTGATGATGATGAATTACGAGCAATGATTGATGAATTTGATTTTGACCAGGACGGTGAAAGTAAGTACAACTCCATTTTTTTTTCAATAAATTAATACTAACTAATATTTAATAGTAAGTGAAGCCGAGTTTATTGCTATCTGCACTGAACACTAATGACATGAAAGACACACGATACCATAGAATACCTTGTAATATGTAACCCTTAATAATTTATCTTTTTAATAATGCTTGGTTATTTTACAGTTTCGTTTCTGGACTCGATGATTCTTCTGACCAAGCGGAGCTGCGACGAGCAGCATCAAGTGATTCTTGGCCCTGAACAAGAACGCATCGATCATGGGCAATTATAGTTTTAATTCCTGCATTCTGTGCTGCATCCAAAGTAGCATCGTCAAATGTTCCAGGCTGGAACCACATTGCACGAACTGCTTTTCGTAGAGCCGGAGTCTGGCCGATGTGCTCCACTAAAGCCAACGAGGCTTTGGGCGGTGTGACGACGGAAATGGCAATAGAAGAAAACTTATCGGAATCGGTTGAGGATTTCTCAAATACTTGAGAGTATACAGAATCAAGGCTGGAGTAAGTAGGCTGTTCCAAAATGGTGGGGGATTTGGGGTTAATCCCTGCCACAGGAAGTTGTCGGTGAAGGTACCAGGCCAAAATCTTATTGCCAAACTTTGTTGGGTCGGCCGAAGCTCCAGCAACGGCATACAATCGGTGAGGTCGAAAAAAGGATTCCATAGCTGCTTGAGAAGAAATCATTATTATTTCAAGTGAGGGGTTTATGAAAGAAGAAGGTGAAAATGACGGTGTTTGGATTGTTATTAATCAGCAATAAAATTGGGTGTGGGGGAAGAAGAGGATTAAAATGGTGGCAAGCTGTTTTCTTTTTAAATTTTTTTTTATTTTTATTCGCGTCCCTCACAATTAACCCCACAACTAAGCGGAACTAATTGATTTAGAAAGAAACATAAAAAATCGATAAATAAAACGGATTCTTAAAAAAATATTAAATTCTATAAATTACACTATATTATATTCATTAACTCCAATATACCTCATCAGCATTCCCCCCTGAATCATATCCAGAGTTCATATCAAACCCATTTTGAGAAAGCGCATTTTGGTTTTGATTTTGACCTTGACCTTCGTGATTTTCAGAATAGTATTGAGAGTCATTATAATTAAGATGGTTTTGCTGTTCTTGGATGGAAATATTATTTTGTGAATTAATATGGTTTGAGTTTTCATAATTAGACCCTGAAATCGGTCCCATATTTATTTTAGATCCCATTTCCATGTAACTATGGATCTCTTGACCCAAGTCATTTATATCCAACTCGTTAAAATCAATCGCTGATGTTGATTCCGCAGACATGTGATGAAATAATTGACGACTACCATTTCCATTCGTACTGACATTCATATTCATGTCCATTGTTACGGACATTTCCATTTCCATACCCATTCCTAAACGCATATTCATGTTCATTGGCATAGGGATCATATTGCTTGTTGACCCAGTACTACTATTACTATCACTTCTTCTAATGCCTCTGTTCATATGATCTTGAATATTATAGTTGCGTTCGTGGCTATTCTGATTTTTATACCTGATGTTGGTTCCAATAATTTGGGTGCTACTATCATATGGGCTGCCCGATGGGCTTCTTGAATCAGTGACAGGAATTGAAGTAGCTGATTGTGCATTTGGAAAAGTCATGTTATTTAAAAGTGACGAAATGTGATCATCAAACCCTGTTCCAGACGGTCTTCCTGAACTCGAAAAACTGTTCGTTCTAGCTTCGGGGCTAAGAATTGGAGTTGGGCTTACACTTGCAGCTGAATGCATTTCCATGACACTATTAGAACTTCGTTGAGGTATTGGTGGTGAGTCGTTTGTATTTGTATAGTTTGGAAAATCTATCTGAACAGATCTGGGCTGTTGTTGTTTTTGCATAGATTGTGATTTAGACTGATTTAACTCTGTTGCTGCCTTCATCTGTTGCTTTTTTGCAGCAAGCTCTTGTTCTTGAGATCTTTTCATTTCTTCATTTTTCAAGAGCCTATTTTGCTCATCAGTGTTTTTTGTGTATTTGATGAGCTTTTCTCCCCCGTTAGGGAAATCGCATTCCAAGTCGTCATCTTCGGGTATTTTACCAAAAGAGTATATAGCGTTGATTTTTAACATAGCAAGGTTAACACCATCCCAACTTCCAGCAAGACGTTTTAACGAGTTTTCCCATTTTTTATATGCATCCGTAGCATCTTTGTGCTCCTTTGAAGAAGTTGCTGTGACTTTAAACAGCAAAAAGAATGATACAAGAGTGCAGAAATTTAAGCTAGTCATTGAATGCCAAAATGAGTGTAAATGCCAATGATCAATAGCTGATGTATATGTAATGACTCTTTGAATTGTAGTCCAAGCCTGTTGGCGATACTTTGCGGCAGTTGGCCTATCAATGATTCCAGTGCATAAAGGATGGATTTTAAGCCGAAGCAATAAAATTGCTATGGTGACTTCAGCTAGATGCAAAACACCATTCTTAGATGGCTCATCTGCTTCATAGTAATCTGTATTTTTAAGTTGGTCTGGTAGTTGATTACGCCAATCATGCAACTTTTTCATGTAAGTCTCAACTTTGTATATGGTACTTTTGTAATCATGGTAGCGAGCAGCATATCCCTTAACAGAATAAAACTCTTTCACCACTTGATCCAAAATTCTTGTTAGTCGAACAAATTGAACAAAAAGTTGTAGGCCAGCAGAGTCCGGTTCAGAATAGATGGTCCATGTTGTATTGCAATCTGAAAGTAAGGAAGGAATTCCCAAGTTGGCGGAATTCCACTTTTCAACGAGATAAGTTACAGCCCATAAGCGTTTTCGCAGACGTTTTTCTTGAGCAGGAATTACCCACTCTGTGCAGTCTAGGTGTAATCCCAGGCGATGGCAAGTAGATACTAGAATTGAAATATCAGTGCAAGAAGCAAATGTAGCTGGGATAATGTTGTTTGATATATTTTTTTGCGTCAATAAGAGAAGACCTTGAATAGTGCCTAGAGTAGGGTATTGCAGACTCTGTTCAATAGCATTTCGACATTCGCCATAAAGCTTGTCGTAAAGACCATCAGGGATAAGCTTTTGGCATAGCTCAAATTTATCATACTTCCACCATATGCTGCTAATGGCATATATCCCCGAAAGCAGGGCTATGTCTATGGAGGAACGATCAGTTTTGTAAGTTTTTAAAAATTCTTGTTGGTCAACCACAGGGAAAGTGGGGTAAATAAATTTAAAAAAAATATTAATGAGGCGATCATCAAAATCTTTGGTTAGTTCCCGCAGTCTGGCATGACATTTTTTTTGCGACTGTTTAATTTGATCAGGTCTTTCGTCGCGTAGTGCTAAAAAGTTGAGAGGAAAATCAGGAGCCTTATAAGCTTTCCGCATAGCCGTTTTAAACAACTTGACAAGATAAGGGTCTTTTGCTTTATCAACTGGCATATAGTATTGCATCAAATGAGGATCATGATCACCAGAGGGTCCGCAAAACGCTACCGTGTCGAAACCTTCTGGCAAAAGTGGAGGTGGTTGAGCTTGTGTGTTTTCACCATCCTTAATAGTAGAACGCCATTGTTGCTCCCAAATCGTAAATTCATCCTCGATTTCGGGTGCAGAGGCATAATGCTCAAGAGTTGGCACATGAAGTTGTCTTCTAGGTTTTTCTTGATCTTTTTTAGCTCTATATAGGTCAGAGCAACAAAATAACCCAAGGTCTGTTAGATGGATGAGAAAAGTTTTAGTGATAAATAGTGGCTGACATACCGTTTAGGAACAGGAGTTGTCGTGCTCTTGCGTTTCTTACTAGCTGTAGCTGCTGCTCCGACACCAGAACCCGATTTTGCCTTTCTCTTTCCCTGTGCCTGAGCTTGAGATGATGTAAGAGAGGCTGTTGGATTGCCTGGTGTTGAGTTTTGTGTGGTCACAGGGTCTTGAGGTAATTCTTGATATCTAGAGCCTATCTCAGAAACAGGCCCTTCAGAAACTTGGTTGGAGGAAGAGTTAGAGAGAAGGGGATTTTGAGAAGAAGTTGAAGTAGGAACAGATAATGAATCCATGAAAAAAAATGGAAATATGAAGTTAATTAAAAGCTTCAAACAAAGTTATTCTTCTATGTAAACAGAGAACGGTGAATGTTGAGTTTTGTTAATTTTTTTATTTTTTTTTCTGGTTCCATTCACGAGATAGACGTTTTTTTTAGAGTGCATTGCAGTGGGGGAGATATTTTTTCTTAGGTTTGTTTGTAATATATTATGTAATATCTATTATTACCTTATTCGGACTAAAGATCAAGATCCCAAATGCATATTTCGTGAACCTGTAGCTTTATCTTGAGCTAATTTATTATAATGTGCTATGTAGTGTTGTAAAAGTAATAAACCAAAAAAAAAAAAAAAAAATAAACATTTATTATCATTATTTTTTTCATCATGAATTTTGGGATAGATAATCCTAGGTGTGTATGTGCAAGCCTTATTTTTTCTTTCTTTACTCCGATTGCTCAGACCAACCCTTGGGTCTAGTTAAGCCGTAGGCGTTGTAGAATTTAGGAGTGCAAGAGTATCCCTTCCAAGCAAAATTCTCATCAGGGTTGCAAACACACCGGCGGTCGGTTCGCATTTCCTCAGTGGTAGGGCAGTGGTGGAATGGAGCATGGTAATAACCAATATCTTCAAAGTGGTGGATTTCGTTCTTGTTAAGGAACAAAGAAGCAGCAATAGAGTGGACAGGAGCATCACCCCAACGCTCGTAGAAAAAGCCACCGGCCTGATCAAGGAACTTGAAAAAAGAACGGTAAGCTTCACCACGCCAAAAGTCTAAGTCGCCAATCTCGAAGTTGGACCAGAAGTGGCAAAGGTTATAATCGTCACCATTGTTGTCTGAAACATAGTTCATGAGATTATTCTTGGCCAGGTACTTTTCACCACCCTCGGTCAAAAACTTCTTGACATTATCCCACAGAGTGGCAATAGTTTCACGATATTCGTACAAAGAAATAGTGAAACCATACTTAAGTTTGTTCTCTGCCATGTACTTGAAAACATCATAGTCAATATCACAGTAAAGCTTAATACCGGGCTCAACACGCCAGTAATACTTGAACTGATTCATAACAGGCTGTCTCCAGAAGAAGCCAGACTCAAAGCGGCACATGTGACGGTAAGGAACTGAATCACCGTAGATGATCTTCTTAGCACGCATTTCCTCGCGAACAAGAGCAGCTCTATCCTTGTCAATCCAGTCAGGGAAACTCCAGTGCTCGGGAGGAATAAGACCGTAATGGGTCTTACCAGAAACAAGGTTAGTGGTGACCTTAATAAAATTCTCGTCAAAAGGTTTATCGTTCAAAAAGACCCAGTCGTATTTAAACTTGCGGTTAAATCTGTCCTCAACATGATTAATAGATTCGACAAGTTCCCATAAATCACTATTGCGGGCAAGGGTAACAAATGTGGCATTTTCGCGGACATATTCGGCACCAGGGAATGTAGTTAGCTTAGGAGGGATACCATTATTGGGCTTGTCAATATCTCCATTGTCGGTGATCTTGAACTGGGGATTAGATGTCACAGCGTTATCTACCTCCTTCTTGGGCTCTTCTTGATTGCTGGGCTGCTCTTGCTCTTGCTCCTGGTTTTTGTTTTCGTTTTCGTTTTCGTTTGATTGTTGTTCCTGCTCCTTTGGAGCTTCCTCTGCCTTCTTTTCGTCGTTAGAAGCGTTTTCTGGCTTCTCCTCAAGGACTTCAGGTTGTTGTTCCTCAGATTCAGTTGTAGTTTCACCAAAGTTTTGTTTGTAAATGTCTGAGATTGTGTTCATGGATTTATCACTAATGCTGTTGACATATTCACGGTGATATGTGCTGATGTAAACCAACCCCAGAATTAAAAGGGTCAATAAGACCACCAGTCTAAGAAGCTTGGGATATCTAGACATTCTTATGGCAGCTTATTGTCAAAATAATGAGTAAAAAAAAAATTAAAAGAGATTGTCAGCTACTCAAAATCTGATGAAAATAAATTTATGAAATTGTAAATTTGAGCAAAGACTTTAAAAGTAATAGAGGGGAAGAAAGGGAAAAAAAAAATTTAATGACAGGTGTTAAGAAAAAAAAAAAATAAAGGTTCAAAGGGGCATTAAAGGACGTACCACCCACTACTAATCACCCAAAAGGCTCTCTCCTGCTTTTTTACACATGAGTTACGTATAGAAAATTTTGTAAGCTTGGAAGGCATGCTAATCACTTTTACAACCAAGCACAACGAAAAACCTTAACAAAGCATATCATCTACGGGTCTCAGACTAAAATGGGATTAGTGGACAATTGTGTGATAAGTTTCTAACCTCTATTTTTTCTTATTTGGAATGAACTATATTAAAATGTCGATATTTCTGAAGATAAACCGTTTTTCAAATAAAACCAGTGGATCAAAATCCACATATTTCTTTCTTTTTATTTCCTTTGTTATCGGTAAAAAAATCTAAGTAGAAGCTTGAAGGAATTTATATGGCCATAAATGAACAAGTCGCAATTCTTCCGAATAATATCATGATGCTAATCAAAATTTTAGAAAATATTTATGAACCGGCCTTGGTCTTTTTCTCTTATTTTCTAAGCTTAAAAATATTTCTAAGGCGTAGGTAATGGGTGAATTTAATTTTTGGAGCTCTGTCATAAATATTAAGTGATTGAAAAAAAAAATGATGTTCCAAATTTAAGGTCGATTGACCAAATTTTCGTATGCTTTTTTATATGTTAAATGTAATTGATAATTATCATTATAATAATGAATAGCAATAAGATATTAATAGAATCGACAATACCTTTTCAAAGAGGCGACAATTTACAGTAAAGGTTTGAGATGATAATTATCATAAATAGCAAATGAAACCATTTTAACCAAGAAAAAAATTAAAGATATTAAGTTCATTTAGCTCTGGAGTCGAAAATGAATATCATTCTTGATATCAATATATATATATATATATATATATATTGTATCCAAGCTCAAACTCAAACTCAAATTCAAACAAAAAAGTATCAAACCCTGATTTGTCAAATCTTAAGCTTCCATGAAAAATTCAATAACTATTCAATATTTATTTCTTAGTTAAACCCTGAATGCTTTGAGGCCCAAAAAAATTTCAAGATACAAATATTAAAGCTCATGTCGATAGAAAGCTGTTAAACCGTTCTTGTAGATTGCGGTTTTAAAATTTAACGGTATTGAAAAAAAAAAAAAAAAAATAGAAGGTCATTCAAAAGATTAAAAGTCCCGGAATACGATAACGCATTTTTGTCCTTGTGGTGTTTCTTTCAAGCTTGTATATTGAACAGGTCTTGTTTCATCCATTTAATGCATAATAACTTAATTTTATTACAAAGACTCAACAGGGTAACCCTTTTAAATAGTAACCTGACCATATCAAAATTAAAATAATATGATTGTGTTATTTTAATTAACCATATGGTTTATTTTACCTGTAGCTTTTAAACCCTTTTTCAATTCTTCACAGCTTTTTAAAAACATTTTACCAGTGCTTGGAGATAATACCCTCATAGATATATTTATTTGAACTAATACTTTTTGCAGTTTTTTTATAATAATTTTAGTTAAAGTTTACCTCAAAACCGTTAAAATGGTTTAAAACAACTTATAGTCATATGAACTTAGTGCCAAATACCCGAGTTTTGGTCTTTTGACCAAATTCTAGTAGTAGTGTTGAAAAAAAAAATCCATCATCTCATTGACGGACCACCCTAATGGGTATCCGATGTGGGTAATGTAGAGAAGAAAAAAGCATTTATTAGAGCTGTAAAACGGCTCATCAAGCCATTTGCACTTCTCCACATTGATATAGACATCACCTATGGCAACCCATCTAGCAAGCCAATTAGTTCCAAAAACTTTTGTTGCAGCCTGTGCCGTTCATGTTTTGGACTTTAGATCCAAGTGCATTGAGGTTGCATTTTTTTTTCATGGGCAAAGTAATTAATACCAATATTTTAAAAAAACTATTTTTTTTCTATTTTGAAAGATGCACCCTTTCCATGCAATATTGGCACCAACAAAAGTTCTCATTCCAAGATGTGTTTCCTGGGAAGCCATTCCTGCGGCTTATCCATAAAGCATTGCGCATGCGAGGGAGGACCCTTTTTTACAAATTTGTTTTCAAACATCACAACGTAATCTTGCTTTATCACGCTGCACTATTTATCCTCAATTTTTGATTTTTGATATTTGCATTTCGAATAGTTAACATTTAAGTCGCTTAAGTACTAAGAGGGGATAATCATTACTTTTTAGCAGCTTGGTTTCAGGTCACTTCAAATCTAACTTATGTTTAGGTTCACAAAATACAATGATACATACAATACCTTTTGCCAAAACTCATTTTTCTTTCTCGAAATGACTACAGGGGGGCTGTTTTTATTTTATTTTATTTTATTTTATTTTATTTTATTTTATTTTATTTTATTTTATTTTATTTTATTTTATTTTATTTTATTTTATTTTATTTTATTTTATTTTATTTTATTTTATTTTATTTTATTTTATTTTATTTTATTTTATTTTATTTTATTTTATTTTATTTTATTTTATTTTATTTTATTTTATTTTATTTTATTTTATTTTATTTTATTTTATTTTATTTTATTTTATTTTATTTTATTTTTTAATTTGCAAACTAATACTAGAAATAAAGGAAGAAATCTGCTGTCATAGTATGCCGAGCATATTTAAAATAACCATAAGTTACTGTTTAGACCAAGAACAAACAAAAATTTACAAACAATATAGTAGATATTGTTGTATGCTTAAATGATTTCATTTTTATTTGACATATTTTTATGTGATGTACAATTTTTTTTATATAACCAACTATAGAGATATATATTTTCTAAACCTTTTTATTTTTTTTAATCATTTTGATTCAAAGCAGTTTCATGATTTTTTTCCATTTTTATAAGAAAATTAATTTGGCAACCTTTTCAGTTTTTTTTTTCAAAAAAACATTTTTTTGTCGAGAATTTATAATTTTTTTATTTTTTTCATTTAAAACAGTTTTTTTTCATTTTTTTATTCCACCTTTTAAAAGATATTCCCAACTAAAATATCACTTGCCTTGTAAGAACCACTTATTCACTCCTGTTGAGCGGGCTGAACGGTGATTGGCGGTGTTGTTAAATTGAATGCTTCAAATTGCATACCATCATTTTTATCATCACACTTTAACTCGCCAGATCCGCCAGATCCATTAGATCCACTAGAGCCAGAAATGCTAGCAGATCCCGAGCCTGCAGTCGTAAGTCCGGCAGAATACACATCACCACTAGTAGGTTCAGTGCTTGTTGCACTACCATGGCTATTGCTGTCGCTGGTACTAATGCCATCGCCGGTATTAATTCCATCGCTGCCGCTGCTGACAGTGGCACTGATGTTTGGAGGACACATACCATCAACATCTTGTTGTTGCTTCTCCTCTTGCTGCTGAACAGATCCGACAACGACAGGAGTTTGATGATTATCAACGTCAATAAAACCTGTTTGGTCTACAGTCTCATCAAGGACTGCAGATTTTAGTACATCGCTGATTTGCTGGATGGTTTGCTCTCCAGAGTCCATGTCTTCAAATGATGCAGTAGGACTGGAAGATGGTCTGTTACCGGCAGCCACTGCAGCAACAGCGGCAGCTGCAGCAGCTGCAGCAATCACTGACGATGCAGTTTGCTCTTCACCTTGCTGCTCTGACGGTCCTGCTGCCATTTGCGGCGAGGCGGAATGTTGAACAGCTTTTATGGGTTCATTTACCAACGAGGGCTCATTTGTACCAAGATTTGAATTGGTATTTCCACCGTTGCTTGTAGTGTTAAGGTTAGGACCATAGGTATCATCAGAAGGCTCGGACTTGACCAAACAAGCAAGTTGTTTATTTTCTGCGTCATGCTTTTGTAGGTGCTCGGATTGTGCCTTTTCGGTATTAAGAATAGACATGGATGCATTGTGATTCATTTCAACAAATACTCCAGGGTTCTGGTAAGAATTTTCATCTTGTTGCTTTGGCTGATGTGGCAATTTGGTGCCATGCATAAGAGTAGAAACACGATAACTGTCTTCCTGAGATTGATGTTCAGCAAGAGAGTTGTCAGGTATAGATGGCACTCCGGAATTTGCCACTGCCATAGCAGCAGCTGCAGCAGCTGCAGCGGCAGCGGCAACCGCAGAAGATGAAGACGAGGTAACAGAGAGAGGAGTTGATGCAGTTGCTCCACTCATGTTGCCACCAACTGAAGTTGCCGTGGTAGTTGGGGACACTTCTGGGAAATTGACAGCTTCTTTAAGTTCATCTATTGCTAAAAAGCCGCCCATTTCTGCCGACCAGCCCATCCATTCGTCGATCCAACATCGCACAATCCACCAAGCACCAAAGCCGGTCCCTCCATCAAGCGAAATTTGACGTAGCGATGCTGTCACTAGCGTGCTCATGCACAGCAAAAATAAACGGGCAGAAACATTGGGAAACTGTAATGGAAGTGCTGATAAAAAGTGTGCCCATTTGTGCAAGTTGCTTCTAGACTTAGACGAGTCAGAGTTAGGGTTGTTGACATTTTGAGCCTCCTCAAGTGCGCAATGCTCGCTCTCTGTAAGAAGTCTGATAACATCATCACGAATAATCCGTTGAACATCAAGGCCGCCGCAAGGAACTTCTCGCATGACAATTGAGCGGGCATCAAGATGACTCCAGTCATCTCGCATTTTGCGAATCTCATGCACATCCTTAAGAATTTTATCAGCTTGGATTCCTGTTTCATTGGTACGCACAAGTCGATCAATAATATTTGTGAAAGCTTGTGCAGGACGAAGCTTGACGCTAATAAAACGTTCAGACATGTCACTAAGCGAGGATTCCAAAGTGCTCACAAGAGTTTGACCCAGTGATCTTAAGGCTTCCAAAACATCTGATGATATATCTTTAATTGCAAGAGGACTGATAATTCGGACCATTTCCTAAAAAAAAAAGAAGGTTAGTTAGCATACACCAGTGTTGCATCAATAGACTTTTAAAGCTTACCTTATACATGGCCCAGTCGCATTTTTGAGCCCAAATACCGATATTTTCCATTTTAAGGAGTTTTTTGACTGGTGAAGTCAACCCACTAACAAAAGTTGATAGACAATGGAGAAATTTCTTGATATTCATGGAGCGAAGTGAATCAATGAGAGAACGACAATGGGCAAAGTAGAGCCCATGAAGAGTCATCACAATATCACGGTCAGAACCAAGAGGAAGGTATTTTTCAATCCCAGGAATTGTAAATGAATTTTGGTTTGGTGGGAACTCATTTAGGTCAATATGCACACCTTGAAAGCGAAGCTCCGGGAGACCAAAGTCCAAATTTCCATTAAGATTTATAGGGTTGAAGGTATCTAAACCGCGGTCCGAAATGCGAGCTGCGTCATACTCTGAAATGGAGTGACTTGAGGCCCGCGACATGCGATTTTGGCTGGGGGTAGAAAATGCAGAGCCGCCATACCCATTTTGTGAAAGAGGAGTTCCATCCAATGATTGTTTAAATGTACCAATGCTAAAAATAGAGTTAGAAAAAAAAATTAAAAAAAATTAAAAAAAATTAAAAAAAAAACATACCTGTCAGGACTATTTACAAATCTTCCTGGGGTGCCAGTTGGAGTACTTCCAGAAGCATTGTTTTGATCGCCAATTAGGCGGAAGCCACAGTAATGATACTTGCTTTGGCCGCGAACACCTAAACGTCGGGTTTTAATTCCAGGGTAAGCAGCGCGAACCAGCTTACCAAAGGAAGCAGGGTTTAAAGGTCGGATATTATGAGGAGTGCAAATGTCGACGTACCGCGCATAAATGCGATTGCGAGGAACGGCGGCATCTTCTGCAAGCTCACAGTTTTTGTGAAGCCACAACATGGCAAAAGCCTGGCGAGTTTTTTCGGCTTGAGCACCCTGTTCTGCTTTACGAAGTCTACTAGCAAGCTCTTCCATGGTTGTATCAGGTTCTGAATGCTCTACGTGAGGTTGCTGCTGCTGCTGGCTGTTGCGAGATGTATGAGAGGAGCTAGAAGAAGATGGTAATGGTTGTTGTAATTGTTGTTGCAATTGCTGTTGCTGCTGCAAATGTGACGCAGAGGGGAGCTGCTGCTGAAGCTGTTGCACATGAGTGGACATGTCTGGCCGACCATGGTTCATTCTATCAGCCACGCTGGCAGATCGGCTAAGAGAGACCTGATGAAACTCGCTCAAGTCGCTAGCTTTTCGCTTTCTATTAATTGAATCAACGCTTGGGGGTGGAAGGGTTTGAGTCCGGGTTTGAGACTGGGACAAGGGCTGAGGTATGAATGCCTGATTCCCATTGCCCAAGTATCGAATGTTGGATTGCTGCCCCAAAGCCTGAGCCGGGGGAGCACGACCGGCACCAATCTCTGAATTAAGAGATGCAGCAGCAGCAGCAGCAGCTGCAACTGCAGCGACGGTGTCCATAGAAGTGGGGTCTGTAAGTCCTTCCATGGAATGCCTTACGGATGGGGTATGGGTATTGGCTGCTGGATTGGTGCCAGTTTGAATCATATGCGAGTATTGGACAGGGCCTCCTGTAATGATTTCCATGCCTTGAAAGGGTGCATTAGATGCCTGAAGAGGGATTACGGAAGAACCTGTATGAGATGGGGGTGGTAACATTTGTTGCTGGTGCTGTTGCTGGATTTGTTGTAAATGCTGTTGTGGTGAGGGGAATTCCTTTTTGATTTGGAATTGTTGGTATTGAGGATGCTGATGAAAAGTTAGAGCATCAACAGCTTGTTGTTGCTGTTGTTGCTGTTGTTGCTGTTGTTGTTGTTGTTGTTGCTGCTGCTGCTGCTGCTGCTGTTGTTGTTGTTGGTCAGTGATAGTTCTCGCCACCGAATGCCTTGAGTAAAGAGAATGCCGTGAATCCTGCTGCTGTGCAGATTTAGAATGCTGGGATTGGGGCAATCTGTGAAGAGTAGTCTGAGAAGAGCCTTTGGAATTAGATTCAACACCGTTGTTTTCCTGGACAACCATTGTCATGGGGGGATGACCCATTCCAATTGCTTGGTGGTGGCGCTGACCAGACTGCAGTTGAGGAGATGTAGTTTGAGAAAGAGATGTTACTGAAGTTTGTTGCTGTTGGGAAGGCTGAGAAGATGAAGACAGTGGTATAGAAGGAAGCTGAGTCGGTCGAGTTTGTTGTTGTTGTTGTTGTTGCTGCTGCTGCTGCTGCTGTTGATGATTATGGTATGACATGGGCTGGGAACCCGAAATCTGCTGCTGCTGTTGTTGCTGGTGCTGTCGCAAAGACTGTGCAGCAAGCTGCTGAATAGGAGAGTCATTTGCCATTTGCTGGAGTTGCTGCTGAGCAACAGAAACATAGTAATCGTTAGGATCAGAGATTGCGTCTCTGGTAGTTGGAGTGCTCTGGCGAGTTTGATGAGCAGAATGAGACGAGGATGACTGAGCCGATATGGTTGCATAATCTGGGACCTGTGAAGGAGCTCCAGTTGTGTACAACGCATGGTCTTTTGAAGAAACAGAGTTCATCATCAAATCAGATACACCTGCAGCAGCAGCAGCTACTGCAGCAGATTGAACAGCTACAAATGTGGCGTCTGGGAGGGGGTCCATAAACGACTGAGATAAGCTAGAAGAAGAAGGAGTGGAAGATGTGGGAGCAGAAATAGAAGAGGATTCAGCCGGCAGATCGTCCTTAGACTGCTTTTGATGAGGGCCCAGGAGACTTGAGGAAGCTCTAGACTGGAGATGATGATGAGACTGCTGCTGCTGCTGCTGCTGCTGTTGTTGATGATAGTTGTGGTTTTGAGAATGTAATAGTTGGTGAGAATGCTGGAGGTGGTTGTGGTGGTGAAGATGAGCTTGCTGCTGCTGCTGCTGCTGCTGCTGATACGTCGAATCGGAAGGAGGATTTGCTATGGCCGAGTAGTCGACAGCATTATGTGGCATTGAATCTTTCTGGTTATTAAGAAGAGCAGCAGGGCTGCGGTCCATTCTATGGTTATATTTAGTGCTTTTTTTTGTGTAGACTTTAGTTTTTTTTTTTTTAAAATTTTTCAGATACACAAAAATCTTAAGCGTTGAATTGTAGAGAAGAAGAAGAAGTATGGAATAAGAAGCAAATAGTACGTTGGTTTGGTTGTGGTTTGCTGGCGACTAAAATTTTCTCCGACGAGAATTTTAGCAATAGGCCTAAGAAAGAAAAAAATTTTTTTTTTAAGGTGTATGTATACCAAAAAGATGTAAAAAAAAAAGGTTTAAAACAAAAGTAAACGTAAAAAAAGAAAAAAAAAAATCCAAAGGGAACCGCAAAAAATGAAGAGAGAAGTCTATGAATTTCTCAATAAAAGAAGCCAAACGGATCTTTCGAGACTTTCTCTCAGTGGGTGGTGGGGGCAAAAGAAGGAATGAAAGAACAACGAGAGTGGAGTGGTTCTCTGGGGAAAGAAGAAAACACAGGTGGGTATTTTTTTTATTCTATATAGATAATAATTGTTTTTTTTTTTGTAAAAGAAAGAACTTCTATGATGTTATAGCTAGTAATACAATTTAGAGGCTATAAAGCATGAGAGGCATATGAAATGAAAGATGAAGAAGGCATCAAAAAAAAAAAAGAAAAAGAAAGAAAGAAGAAAAGAAAGAAGAGAAAAAAAGTGGTGATATGGCCGTTGTGATGGGTGGTTGGTGGTTTAAAATTGGTGGTGGTGGTAGACTATAAAATTTTTTTTTTCTTTCCCTGTGAAAGCTTGTTGTACTAAAGGTGGTGTGTTACAAAGAGTATTGGGCAAATGTGAGCACTTGAGCTTTGAATCATTTTAAGCAACATGACATTACAATCAGTTTATACTTGAAAGGCTATTTGATGGAAAATCTAAATTCATAGATAGTTTTCATTGTCTACAACTTCTTAGACTTTATTCAAACGGTGCAAGACCGGAGCCTGAATCCGGGATTTGTTTCCGGGTACAAGTTCTGCTTCGTCCATCTTTTGGAATCAGATAGTTACTGACTTATCGGCTTACAACGGGTCAGTTTGAGACTTTGCATATATATTTATATATGACGTCGCCAGCCGATCTAACCCGACGCAAGCGAGATTTTTTTTTTTCAGAGGAGTATATCACGACAGATCTTTTTAAGTTGGAATCTATTCGATGATTCATAAGAGTCATGCGAGTTTTAATTTCATATAACAAATAAGAAAACCTACAATTTCTAAATAAAAATACATTTATCATCTCTTAAAAGAAACAGTAAAATAATAAAAGATAAAAATTGTATATTGTCTATGATTTTTACGACCATTGGAGACAAGTCAAATATAAAAAAAAAGTAGATGTTGGAAAAGTTTGTGAGATTTAAGGATTGAAAAATTTCGAAATTTGAAAAAAAAAAAAAAAAAAAAAAAAACCCTTCTGCAAAGAATTTATTTCCATAAAAATCATTTAGATATTCAAATTACTTAAATTCCATAATTTCTAAAACCTCTAGGGCTTTTTTTTTTTCTCAATAATACATTTGATTTGATTCAATTCAATTAAAAAATGTTGCTTTTTCTAAGTTTGACAGAAATTTTCAAACCAACTAAGTTAACAGGTTTCTTATGAAATATTACTCTGGTTTTCTTTCTTCAACGAAATCCATTCTTTTCCTTTTTCTTTTTCTTTTTTTTTTTTTTTTTTTTTTTTTCCTTTTGCTTTTTCTATTTGAATCTCTAAAATTATATGGGATTTTTCAGCACCTTTCTATTTTACATTTCTCTTTTTTTTTTTTTTTTGCCTTAACATACTGTACCACAAATTTTTGAAAATGCCCACAAAGACTGTTGGCGTATCCTGGATACCACTCTTCCCGCACAAGGATTGCGCGTCAGTCCCATTATTTTAAACTTCTAAGCTTAAATTCTTAAGGCTTCTAGTTCCAATTACCAATTTTTCTAATATAGAAGAAAAAAGGTACTTTTCTTCTTCTTCTTCTTCTTCTTTCTTATTTCTTTAAAAAATAATCATCATAACCATTATCTTGATATTTTGTTTTGTTTTATCAGACATTTGTGGATATTGATCTTATAATTGCTCTTACACTTTAAAAGATAGTTTCTTAATATTATATATTGAGATATCAGCTTAAAGTCCATTACTAGCGTTATTTAGTAAGGTATAGGCATATTTTTAGAACAGGCGGATGCCCAACAGCCGTCAAGGAGTGGGAACCAAAAGTGCGGATGTTGTTTCAGTGCAACTTTTTCCCCCCTTATTTGAGAATGATGGTGCATGGATGGTCGAGTCATGGAACTCTCATCACTCATCCACTAAAAGGCTTTGCAAGAAAGTGAAAAATACTTTATGACTTATACTTTATACTTTAATTTTTTTACTTGTTTAAAATCTATGTCCTATGTTATAAACTATATCATGTGATATTAACGTGACTTAACGGTTTAAAATTTTTTTTTTTTTTTTTTTTGATTTTCCAAATTGGTCAAAAAAAATTTTTTTACGGGTCTGCTTATCACCAATTTTTTTTTTTTTTTTTCAACCAAATAAATTCACATCACAACCACTACAACCATTATGGCCGTTAAGAATAAGAATAATACCAAGCTTGCAGCATCTAAGGAACCTGCTCTTCCGGATGAGACTCTTCTGAAAAAACGCAAAAACAACGACTCGCACCGTCAGAGACTGTCACGCGAGGCTCAAGCCAAGAAGAAGGCTGCCGAGGAAGCTGAGAAGAAGAAGCGTCGGGCTGCACAGTTCAAGCGCGCTGAAACTTTTGTTAAGCACTACCGGACATCTGAGCAAGAGCAGGAGCGGATAGAGCGAACCCTGGCAACATCTGCGCGGGTGGAGATACCTTCTGAGCCAAAGCTTCTTTTCGTTGTGCGGATAAAGAGTGATACGACTTTGGTTCCTCAAGCTCGCAGAATCCTTAACGCTATGCGGTTGCAAGAGATCAACAACGGTGTATTTGTGCGTCTTACTGAGGGCACTGCCGAACTATTGCGCATTGTTGAGCCTTTTGTAGCTTTTGGTTACCCGACTCTTAACTCTGTGCGCACGCTGATTTACAAGCGTGGATACACTAAGGCTTCTGAAGGTGAGACTGGTCGTGTGCCAATCACTGACAACACCATCATTGAAGAGGCTTTGGGAGATTATGGAATCATCTGCATGGAGGATCTGATTCACGAGATTTACGCATTGGGACCTAACTTTAAGAAGGCAGCCAACTTTTTGTATCCGTTCCAGTTGTCGAGCCCTACAGGTGGTTGGGGTGTTCGTTCCAAATTTAAGAAGTTTATTGAGGGTGAAGGTCTTGGTGAGCGTGCTCAGGACATTAATGCTTTGATTGAAGCTCAAAATTAAAGAGAAGGAATAAACAGTTTATTTATGACTGACTGACTGACTGACTGACGAAGATGGAAAAAATGGTCAAAAAAAAATGAAAATGAAAATGAAAACAAAAATAAAATAAAAACATGATAACTTTTTTTTAAAAAATTTAAAATTAACTTATAGACGTAATAAAAAAAATCAATTAAACGTATTGAAAGAATCACGATTGTTTTGGGCTTGTCTCAAACTTACTGTGAAAATCACGAGAAGAATATGAAAAAGGAGAGAAGGTATAACAAATTATAATATAGATTTACCTAATGATTTGACTGAATATTGGAATCTAGCTTTTCCTTTGAGTTAATGAAATGATTTTTTTTCTTTAGATCGGAGGATAATATCGGGAGCAAAAAAAAAATAAAAAAAAAAAAACAAAATAATATGAAACAAAAATAAGTATGTATGTTATGTTTGAAGTAATCAAAGAAATTGAACAATAAATTTGGAGCCGCACGATCTAAAAACGAATAGTTTTGCTACTGCAACGTTATTTTCATTTCATTTTCATTTTCATTTTAAATTTAAATTTAAATTTAATTTCCATTTCATTTCATTTCATTTCCATGAATTTCTGCAAAAATTTAGTCTTAATTCTTTTGAAACAAAAGGCGTTATTTGAAGTGCCTGTGTATTAAAAAAAAAGAAGCTTATTAGCCATTCATTTACTCTTAGAGTCGGTGAAAAATTCAGTGGTATTGGTTTCACACTACCAGGAACCCGAGATGAGCTGTTTTGAAACAAACGAGCGGGTCTCTACTTGACACTTAATCACAATAAAGAAGCTGAGACTTAACGAAGAATCCAATATTAAGAAAAAAAAAAAAAAAAAAGGAAAAAGTATGTGTGGAATAGTTTGAACAAGTCATGATTGAATGCCACGGCGCACTATTTAAGTCCAAAAATTGATTCTCTTGTGTTGCGGCTCTTCTTGTTTTGGATATATTTTAACCTCTGGGTAATTTGAGTTATAATTTAATTATATACTAAGTGAAAAAAAAAATCCTTTCAAACCAGCGAAAGCTCTTTTTTTATTTATTTATTTTTATTTTTATTTTTAATTTTTTTTTTAGATTTCGATTGCACAGCAAATGGGCTATTTGGACTTTTAAACGTTTTTTTTTATAAAGGTATCACATACATGTGTGTATATTTAAGAAATCCCATGGACCTAATGGATCTCCACAAGATGGTGGACAAGCCAAACATAATCGAGAGCAAGAAAACGAGACCAAAAAAAAAAAAAAAAAAAAAAAAAAATTAAAGATATGAATAAAAAAAAATGGCAGGAGGTTTTCCATTTCTTTTTGTTTGTTTGTTTGTTTATTTCTGTGGGGCTCAAATACAACTGCTCGACTTGTCATAGTAAGTTCTATCACCTTGGTCTCCATTCCTAGGGCATAACATCAAAAGGAGGACCGATACCCGTTTATTTGTGATTCTCTTTTGTTTATAGACATTTATCGGATATACTATATTCATCTTTTTATTTGATATCTATCTTAAATTATAATTTAATTATGTAAATATAATAATAATACCTATAAAATATCTACGTAATAAACCCAATATTTTTATGTTAACGCATGTCACATCGTGGGCAGTGTCTAACTGTTGCTACATTTTTCAGGAGGTCACTAAATAACAAAATGTTTATTTGGATGGAAACGCTTGTTGGAGTGAGGGGGGCCTAAAAAAAGGGGGGGACCAGATGCAGAAGTGTCATTTCTTTGGAATGAAGGATTTGTTTTTGTATATGATATTTGCTTTACTAAAGATCATGGTGATGTAGTAATGATTGAAAAAATGAAAGAAAATATTGAAAAACCTTTGATTCAATGAACCAAAAAAAAAAAAAACTTTTTAAGGGTATATATATATAATTCTTAATATCTATGCTTAATACTATATTTAAGACACTGAGATCTTCTATGCAATCAATTATCATTGGGTCTTTTCTTTATTAGTTCAACCATCCCTAATTCATCATCTTCTTTAATTTCATCATCTTTCTCTCTCTTCTCCAGAAGGCTGCCCCTTTCTGGTCACATGCCTTTCCATATCTGGCGCGCTGGCTTCCCACTTTGGAATATGGTATCCTAAATAAGAAATAAACGCCAGAATTTGGCCCGGCTTTGGGAGCTCCAGAATTTTTATCAGCCTAAAAAATAAAAAAAATAAAAAAAATAAAAATAACAATAATAATAGTTCTATTCCTACTATAGTAGCTACTAGTAGGGGAAAAATTTTGAATAATGTCAAGCCTTTTTTTTTTTTTTATATTTTTTTTTTTCATAGCAAATGGATAAAAGAATTTGTGAAAATTCATAAAGCAACAAATTGCATTATCCAAAATCATACAAAAGAGAAAAAAGATCAATTTTAAATCGAGCTGTCAAATGACTGGAAATAATTTTTTTTTTTTTTTTCCCCTAAAATCATTTTAAATAATGAATGGATGGATGAGTGTGTGGAGAGAGATTTGTCAATATTAATTAGAATTATTATTATTAAATTTTCAATTTCAAAAATACGTAAAGATAGAGTAAACTAGTTATTAGTTTCAATATTATTATTATTATTATTATTATTATTATTATTATTATTATTATTATTATTATTACAATATTGAAAGGCTTCTTTTTTTTTAATATATATATATATATATATATATATATATATAACTCTATAACTCTATATAGTACTACGTGGCCGTTCGGTGTATGCCCTCTGTAGTCTTCAGAAATGTGTGCGCTGCCCTTTCTGTCTTTCTGTGCCTGCCGCCGCCTCTGTTAAAAATAGCATCATTGTATGTCTGGCCGCATTCTTTTCAAACAACAACTATTATAGTTACCACGGTATCCTTTATTATTCCCTGTAGACTTTTCCAAAAATATTGATGTCCATATATATATATATATATATATATATATAAATATATAAACAACTATAAAAACCTTTGCATTTCCTCTTTATTTTCTTCTTCTTCTTTTTTTTTTTTTTTTTTTTTTTTCTTCTCTTTGACTTTATTTCTTTAAACTTTCTGCTCATCTGCTTTTTACTCAGATTTCTTTTTTTGTTTTTTTTTTGTTTTTTTTTTTTTAAATCTTTCGTTAATTTCTACACATACATACAAAAATGAAGGGATTGATTCTTGTCGGCGGTTACGGTACTCGTCTTAGACCTCTCACTCTTACTCTCCCCAAGCCCCTCGTTGAGTTTGGCAACAGACCTATGATTCTTCACCAAGTCGAGTCTTTGGCTGCTGCCGGTGTCAAGGATATCGTTCTTGCCGTCAACTACCGCCCTGAGGTCATGGTGGCCACTCTCAAGAAGTACGAAGAAGAATACGGCGTCAACATTACCTTCTCGGTCGAGACTGAGCCTTTGGGCACTGCCGGTCCTCTCAAGCTCGCTGAGGATATTCTTAAGAAGGACGACTCGCCATTCTTTGTTCTTAACTCAGATATTATCTGCGACTACCCCTTTGCCGAACTGGCTGAGTTCCACAAGGCCCATGGTGGTGAGGGTACCATTGTTGCTACCAAGGTTGATGAACCCTCCAAGTATGGTGTCATTGTTCACAAGCCCGAGTCTTCTCAAATTGACCGCTTTGTTGAGAAGCCTGTTGAGTTTGTTGGTAACCGCATCAATGCCGGTATCTACATTCTGAACCCCTCTGTCATTGACCTTATTGAACTCAGACCTACCTCTATTGAGAAGGAGACCTTCCCTAAGCTTTGCGAAAGAGGCTCGCTCCACTCATTTGATCTTGAGGGCTACTGGATGGATGTTGGTCAACCTAAGGACTTCCTTTCCGGAACCTGTCTCTACCTTACTTCTCTTGCTAAGAAGAACTCTAAGCTTCTGACAGCCACCTCTGAACCCTTTGTTCAGGGCGGTAATGTTCTCATTGATCCCACGGCCAAGATTTCTCCTGAGGCTAAGATTGGCCCCAATGTTGTCATTGGCCCCAATGTCACTGTTGGCGCCGGCGCCAGACTCTCGCGCTCTGTTGTTCTTTCCAATGCTAACATTAAGCCCCATGCCTATGTCAAGAACTCCATCATTGGCTGGAACTCTACTGTCGGCAGATGGGCCCGTGTTGAGAATGTCTCTGTTCTCGGTGATGATGTCGAAGTTAAGGATGAGATTTACGTGAATGGTGGCCGTGTCTTGCCTCACAAGACCATTGCTGGCAATGTCGAGAAGCCCGAGATTATCATGTAAAGCTCGATCAGTGTCTTATCCAGCAACTTTATCTCAACCAACTCATTTTGCAAGCTTTTAACTCCATCCCATCTTTTTTTTTTTGTTTTAATTTTTTTAATGACCCTGATGAATACCCTCTTAATAGCTACGCAATCATCCGTCTTTATTGTATTACACAGCACCTTACGCATCCATCCTCATTCTCGATACAACCAACCTTTTCATATATATATCGTACATAACGTTTCGATTTGATGTTTTTTTTTGTTTTTTGTTTTAATGCTTTTATATATATATATAAAAAAAGATTTGTACCAATAGTTAATAAAAGATTTTTTTTAAAAATAGAAATAACTTTTCAGGGGATGGGAGGGGGACATAATACTATTTTGAACATTAATGAATATGGTATTGATTTTGGTTTTAAAAATTAAAACAAAAAACTCTTGCTCCTTTATTAAGGGGGATTTATGAACCAAAATAAAAATAAAAATAAAAAAAAAAGAAGAAAAAGAACATTCGTTTTATGAAACGTTTAGTTTGCTTTGTTATTTGATTTGGTTCTTTAAGCCACGCCCTAAAAATGAATTTTTTTTTTTTACTTGTCATCATCACCACACTTCTTTGTCGTCAAGTGATTTTTTTTTTTAATTTTTTTTTAATTTTTTTTTTAATTTTTTCCCTCTTTACCAGCGCCTAAATTATTTATTTTTTTGGCCCGCCGGATTAATCCGCATTTGGGAGGGAAAAAAGGGCCTTTTTTTTTTTTTTTTAATTTGGTTTTGTTGATTTCATGCGGCTAATTCCTTTTTTTTTTTTTGTTAATAAAAATAATCAAGTCATGTGATATTTTGTTACAAAAATTTAATTTTATTTGTTACATTAATTATGACATGAATGTATTGTAATATATATTTATAATATTAATAAAAAATGTAATAACCATAAAATACACTTTTTCCCCAACTTTAAATTATGTAATATATATATATACTAGAGTCTGTGATATTATCCTTTCCCCTTCCACCTCTCCCCCCCCACTCATTTTTACATCCGAGGTTACACATCATGAACAAATATAAAAGAAACACCAAACAAGAAGGCAAAAAACTTCCTATCCCTCTCTCTTTTTACATCACTTCTTTTAATTATTAACTCCATCATATCCATACATCATTGTCGTTTCTATTCTTTCTATAATGTCGTTTCCAATTGCATTCCCCTCGTCAGAAAAACCTTGGGTTTATGTCTCAGTTTCTGCTGATGATTCTTACTACCTCCTTGAATACAATTCCCCACCAGACAATCGCTATACTCAAGACTTTGTCATCGCATACCTTGATGCGTTGGATTATATTCGTACAAAGGGTACCCCGCGCATTCTTGTCACTACCTCACGTATCCCTAAATTCTTTTCCAATGGTCTCGACTTTGAAGCAGCCATTTCCACAAAGGGCTTTTTCCCCAATTATTACTATCGCCTGATGCGCACCATTTTGCTATTCCCCTGGCCCACTGTTGCTCTTATCAATGGCCACGCTTTTGCTGCTGGGTTTATGGTGGCTGCTTGTCACGACTACCGCGTCATGAACCCATCCAAAGGCTTTGTGTGCATGAACGAAGTCGCTTTTGGTGCTGATCTTAAACCCCCCATGATGTCCATTTTCCGCGTAAAGTTTGGCACCCAGCTCACTGCAAAAATTACTCTCCGTGCTCACAGATTTCCTGGAGCTGAGGCTCTTGAAACTGGAATTGTCGATGCCCTGGGCGGGCTCCCAGAAGTCGAGACTCTCATCAAGCACAAAGAGATTTCAAGCTATGTCAAGTCACCTTCCTATGCTGCAATCCGCATTGAATTGCTTAAGGAAGTTATTGCTGATACTTGGAGATATGATGAAGACATTGCTAAAGAAAAGAGGGATTTGGAGTCACGCGAGGCCTATTTTTCCAAGCGCGAAAAGGAAATTGATGCAAAACTTTCCAAGCTTTAAAAGGAGAAAGAAAGAAAAAAAAGGGTCAAATTTTCTATTTTATTATAATTTTTATAGGTTTTTTTTTATTTTTTTTTTAAACAAACAATGAAATAGTAAAAAAAAATTACACTACGTTTTAGCTATTGACACTTTTTTGATAGAGATTAAACCAGTTAACCTTAACAATTTTAGCTGTTGAGGTTTAATTGAATTAATTAATCATTTATGGGAGAATCGTTTTCATTTATGATTTGCAATCACCAAACCTGTAATTGATTTATTGAGTTTTAAAAGACTCAAACAGTTATATAATCCATAAAAATTCAAGAGAAAAACCAACAACAGGACTTAATTGATTTGATTAGGTTTTTAAGAAAAATCTTTTGTAGTTTTCACTGTCTGGTTCTTATCTTGTTGAACATCTTGAGGCAAATTATTGAGTTCCATCACTCCTCCTAGTGCAGGTTTTAGTTTAATTTTTATTAAAAAATCACAGAATTTCCATAAGCAATAGCTGATTTATTCAAATCATATAAAATGAGACCTATTAATAAATAAATAAATAAATAGAACTCACTAATTTGTCATAAATTTTGCATAAATATACAAGATCTAAAAGAATGATGACACTAACACCAGAAAGTACAAGTGCTAAAACATTGCTAAAAATGGATCCCCAAAGATAAAATTTATTAATAATTATAACCTTTCTAAAATATAGATTTCAATTAAAAAATAAAACACTATTCTTTAGTATAGTAGTCACCAAAATCTATCAAAAAATAGGCCCTTGGAAATGTAATCTATTGTCAAGTTTATCCCATAAATCGAATCACCGGCAGCGAGTATTTGTTAATAGCCCAATATTGCTTGCGGATTCCCTCCCAAGTCTTGCTTTCAGGAGCAATATCAATTTCCTCATACTCAACTTCTAGTCCATAATCGGACAAATCCAATTCAACAATCTGTTTATACACATCATAACACACTTGACGATCAGCACCCAGTCCATTAAAAAATGAAAATGTACCAGTTGGCTTCATAATTCCAACAACAAAATCAAAAAACTTTTTCAAATCTCTATAATGTTCAGAAAAGGTATCGTAGTAAATACCATCAAAGTACATTTGCTCGCTGCAACATTGGTCCAAAAGTCCAGGTAATGTTTTCTTCCAAGGACCTTCAAGAATAGTGACACCAGGCTTTTCGTACCAGCCATCCTTGCGCATCTTGGCTAAAACTTCAGGATGAGCCTCACAAATGAAATGTCGCTTAGGTTTTAAATCCTGAATGTATTTGTCAATGATACCCATGCCAAAGCCAATATTCAAAACAATAGGTCCAGATCCATCTTTCTCACTGTCTGTTGTAATAATTTCAGCGCTGCGTTTCATGATTGGATCTTCCCAATCCATCATAACACCATCTTTAGCTTCGCTGGTAACTAAATTGTGATCAGTGTATTCGAGTTTTGATTCCAGGTATGCTTCTTGGTCTTGGGCCGTATCACCCTTTTCATTTCCTTCTAAATTTTGTTCCTCTTCTTCTTCTTCTTCTTCCTCCTCCTCTTCAGTCAGATGGTTTAATAAAAACTCTGCACGAACACCGGAATAAACGATTTTGTCATAAATTTTTTTTGGAAGCTTTCTGCGATAAGCAATGCATCCAGGTGTTTCATTGTTTTCATCCACTATTTCTCATGTTAGTATGAAAAATAAATCATTTCAAGAATAAACTTACAGATCACCCATCCAGCTCCGTATGAAAAAAGTGTATCCATCATTTCGAGTACAATTTCAAGATCGTCATCAGAGATGTTGGGGTCCACTGCACCGACAAGTGCATGCAAAGGAGTAGTACCTTCGAAAATTATTTCTTCTTCTTCCTCCTCCTCTTCTTCTTCTTCCTCCTCCTCCTCCTCTTCTTCTTCCTCTTCATCTTTTTCTTCATCTTTTTCTTTTTCTTCTCCGACCTCTTCTTCTAATTCATTCTTGTTTTCGACAGCCTTTTCTTCGGCCACAATTTCTTCATTCAGCTGAGCTTGCAGTTTTTGGATCTGCTCAAGATCTTGTTTAGTAATTGTTGCAGTAGCCTCATCCTGTTTCAAAACATTTAAAAGAGCTGTAACGTAGTTTTCTTTTGTCAGCGGTCCTTTCTGGAGCTCGCAGATTTTAAATATTGTGTCGTCCATTGTTTGTGTGGTTGTGGGTTTACGTGAAGAATCTGAAAAAAAAAATTTTAATTATGCGGCTGAGCCTTTCTAAAGATTCTGAAAATACCAAAAAAAAAAAAAAAAACTGAAACTTCCCAATACAATAGTCACAGCTGAACCATAAAATTTTTACAAAAAATTCACATAATTTTAACAAGTAAATCAAAAATAGTATTATTTTTTTCTATTATATTATGCAATTAAAAATAAGCCATCCAACCTATGTACATCTGAGCGAGATTTTGTTCGTCTGTGGCTTCTGCAATTAGGTAACTCACTTGTCCTGGAACCTTTAAAGGCATCACTTCATCCTGCAACTTTCCCCGGATACGATTTTGGATCGACCACAATGCTTCTTCAGGAGAGCGTGCAGCACCAAAGCCCTTAATGTGTTTTTTCTTAGTTTGTCTCCGCTTTTTAGACCAGTCCAAAATTGGGTCATGGAAAAACACGTCAAGCATTGTCATTACCATGCCTTCATGCACCCTAATCAACTCCAATGTCACTTCGCAAGACTTGCGAAACACACCCTCGCATCCAAATACGCCCAAAGCATCTACCAAATTGTGCGTCATTCTAAAAGGAACAAGCTCTGGCATTTCTAAATCTTTGCCCTTGTCAAACAAACAGTCAAAATCAACATGCATAACACCACCTGTGTTAACATCAAACAGGATATTTTCGCCATGACGGTCGCCAACTCCAAGAATATACCCAACCATTGACATGACCGCCAACGAACGACCATATCTTCCACGACCTTCTAACCAAGCAGATGGCTCTGGAAATACCTCCAAAAACCAATATCTGAGAACAGATGGATATGTCTGAATAATGCGTCTAAGACCTTGAACAAGGTCCTTTATTACACCCTTATTTTCCAAGTTCTCCTTAATGAATTTCCAATTGATCACTGTTCCTCGGGAGTTATGTTCCGTTGTCAAGATATCTCGGAGCGGCCGCATGCCATCTACCCATTCAATTAGGCCACTGTCCTCTGTCAATGGCGTCACAAAATAAGTCTTGATGTATAGTCGTCGCTTAAAAGCCTTGTCATTGCGTTGCAATAGCGAATCAATAGCAAAAGTCAAATCCATCAATCGGGAATCCTTTCGTACATCATCATGAGATTTGCACAGTAATCTGTAGCGTCTTCCATTACTACCAAAAATGGTAATCTTTTTGGGTTTTTGCAAAGACTGCATAATGCTGACAGTGTCGTCAATATTAGCTATTGTAATGACCGAGTTTTTAGGAAAAGGGTTGTGGTGTTTCATGCCCTCTGGTACGTTGGGTAGAACCGCTCGCATACACTGCTGTACTGGAACAACAAGTCCACAAGGAATAGAGCTCATGTCAAATTTAAAATCTTTAAGCCTTAGTGTATTAGAAGCAGGCAACTTGCTCACTTTGATGTAAGCAAACTGGGTCAAAACATCCACAAATTTTTGACCGGAAATCAACAGAGTCGACAAACTTTCTGCTTGGATTTGAGAAGTTGCTGGTACCGAAACCTTTGACCTGAGCGAATCAATAATCTTTCCAATCTCTGTGTTTCGTATATTGTTTTGAGAATTAGCCTTGCCAAAGACGTACCATAATGCCTGCCGGGGGTATGATTTGACAATGCTTATAATGATTTTGTGGAGCACAATCGAAGCTTTAGACTCGCTAATACCAATTCGAGACATGAGCTGAGGCATTGCCATATAAAACTGTGACGTTAGAAACAAATTTTAATGCACAGAAAAAAAATATACATACAACAAAGGCAGGAACTCTGTCAACGAATTTCAAAAGAAACTCATTGATTTTGGTCAAATTTTCTTTGCGGTTGAGAGAAATTTCAGGAATAACTTCTTTCGGATATGGAGGGGTATCTTCAAACTTGCTGACATTATCTGCAAAATCAAGCCAAAGAGAAATCATTTTCGGCAATGTCTCGTAAATGTATTTGGTTCCATAGGGTAATGCCATGGCATAGTTTCGGACCATTAGCGAAATATAATCGCCAGAATAGCTAAATTTGTTAACAAAACATGACAAAGTAAAAATATCATAAAACAACTTACAAGTCTTTGCTTCTGTTTTCAGGACTTTGTGCAAGTTGAGAGTCATAAATGCGATTATAGTACTTTGCAGAATAATAGTGACTTTTTTCCCATTGTGGATAAACACGAGCCACAAGCGCATAGCGTTGCATAATTTCAGAGCTTTTGCCTTCACCAGACATATCCAGCCATTTTGTTTGCAACAAAGCAGATTTTGCAAGGTATTTATCAATGACAATTCCGTCGTTATCTTGGCGCGATTGGCTGCTATTTGCTTCATTATCCTTTTTAGATAGATACTGAATTAATCCTCCAGGAACCATGCTATTCAAACACTTGATCGCTTCATAATAATCGTCTTGAGAACAAAACAGCTTGGCATACTCGATATAAGCTTCATAGTTTGTGAATTGGTTGTTTGACAAACCATTAAGCGATGCCCGCAAAGCAAGCTTATACTGATCCAATTTTCGAGCATACCTTGAACTGTAAATCCAAGTGATTTGGGCTTCTTCCTTAGCATATGGAAGGCTTAAAAAAGTTAATGGAAAAAATAAAAAATTAAAATTTAGACAACATACTTTGTAGAGAGCACAGCAGATCTTCGCAGTGCCAATAAATAACACTTAGCCTCATAATTTGAGCCAACCAACTCAAGACGTCGATTGAATCCGGTGGACATTGTGCGGTGATCAACACCTCCTTGACTGAAGCATGAACTCAAATCTCCAATGAGTTCCAAATCAGCTAGGCCATGAAGTCTAACCAAAGATTCATGACATTGATACAATGATGAAACAGGGCTTGAAGCTAAATTTTCCGAAACACCTCGTCGTGCCATTTCAATTCTGTTTCCAAACTCTTGAAAATCAGAATTCTGTAAAGAGATTAGAGCTCGAGCAATGTTAACTTCAAAACTAAAATCAATTTTGCTCTCATGCTGAACTTGACTAAGCAAAGTTTCCATTTTCTTGAAATCGCCAGCGAGCCAAGACGTTTCAATTCCGACACTGAGAAGCTTGTCAGGAATCGTTTTTTGTGTTAGCATCATTGAATCAAGCAAAGACAGAAGATTATCATAATTTCCACCTTGCTTCATGCAACGGAACATATGGTAACCAGACTCTGAATCCCATTCCCATTCGGATGATTTTGACAAAGATTCATAACACTCTAAAGCGTCATCCCACCTACCAGTGTTTTCCATCTGTAAAATTTTCCGTGGAACCGACAACTCTTTAAACGATCTGGCTGCTCCTTCCAAAGAATCGGGGTCATTGATATTAGCATAAATCTCCATAAACTTGGAATAAATGTCTTCACGAACATTGGAATCTGCATTGGGGTTTTTATCCAAAAACTGCTCCCAATACATGATAGCTCGTGGGTATGATTCACATTCATAAGATCGCTGTGCCATCAAATTTGGAGATATGTTGCTCATGAGGCTGTCAATAATACCAATTGGTTTGTCATTCAAAATAATATTCCCAGAGCGCGAACTCTTGGAACGCCCATTGCTCTTTCCCAAAAATTGTTGTCGATGACGCTTCCATTTGTTAAAGTAATCAATCACAGAAAAAACACTGGAGTAAAAGCGTTTCATGTTGCTGTTTTTATTATTGTCGTTGCTGGTACTAAGGATCAATAAGAGTTCATTGACAATGTTTTTTCGTTGCTCAGATGATTCACCAAGGACCACATTTAGCGCAACGTAAGGAAGGATAAAATTGTAAACAGAGGTATCAAGATAAGTAATAAACTTGCGAAAAACTTTAAATACTTGCTCAGCATTTGTGTTAGTTTTAGCCTTTTGCAATAGGTCAATGGTGAAACGCTCAATCCACTTGAAATGATCAATGCCATTGTAAAAAATTGGATAGCTTTCTGGATCTTGTGCTGGTGATGCAGTAAGAGTATAACATGATGTTCGCATTGGTAGCATCAAACTCTGGGAAGAAGGAGAAAAATAATCCCATAATTCCTTTTGATATGTTTCATTGAAAGTAAGGGAGTAGAGACCGCAGAATTTAAGGTATTCCTGAATGCCATACGCTAAATATACTTGAGCATTTGGATCAGTGGAAGCTCTAAAAGCTTTAACAAGATAATTTTCCAAAAAGTAAGCAACAAAAGAAATACTCTCTTTAGCATCATTGAAGTTATGAGTGACAATTACGCTGCGATTCTCGGCTGTAATTTCAATTTTTGATGGATCAGCAGCACCAATAATACCAAGGCACTGAGAGCATAAATAGGGGATATCAGTTTTAGAATCATGAAATTGATAGCTAGTGTTCAAAAGGATCGTGTAAAGTCGATCAATATAGCTTTTGCGAAGAATCGGGGTATTCATGGCTTCAGAAATGCATGGTTGATTTCTCATTAAAAATTGTTTAATTTCTAGAATTGTTTGGCGAACAACATAAACATTTTCATTGAAAATGCGCTTAAGTAAAGGATTGAGCTGATGAATGCTAAGCTGAGGTGGTACCACCATTGTAGTAATTTGTTTATATATGTCTTCTAAGTCTGGGAGCATCCCATATGTATAAGGAACACCTTTGGTTTGGATGATGTGTCGCATTTCATCCTTTTCAACAAAGACTAAATAATTCAATAAGTCTTTTGCTGACTTTTGAGCTTCTTTAGTAAAAAATTCCCATTTTTGAATGATCACCGAAAAAATTAGATCGGTAAGCTGCTCTAAATCAGAGGTTTTGATTGAGCGAAAAATTAAATCCCAAACCTTAATTGTTTCAGCTTGGAGAACAGAAATTTCCAAAGCAGCCTGAAGAAGAGAGCAAATTTGTGGAATGGCCTTAAAAAATATGTTACCAGAACATATGATTAAATTTGCCAACCCATTCAAACACTCAAGTTGTTCAACGTGAGAGGTTTTTTCAGATGGGTTAAGAATCGCACCAGTTAAAAAATGAAGAATACCTAAGATGTTTTCTTCCAAAAACTCTGCCATGTTAGAGCGATGGGTAGATTTTTTCTTTGATTTTCGAACTTTTGCAATACAAATAAAAGAAAATATTTGAGAAAGATCATCAATTGTCTTTTTCTTTGCTTCCTCATCACTCATAGATTCTTCTAAATTATTGGGATGATATCTTTTGAGTACCTCCACAGAGATTTCCAAGCAATCAGATGTAATGGTACCCATAAAATCAAGGCGCTGAAAAGTTTCGCAAATATTGATCAACTTTGTCCTGGAAAGATCGCCAAAATTGGTGTTTTTTTCATGGTATCTGATTTCGTTTAAAAATGAAACAGACATAATGTTCTTTAAGTCTGAAACAATTAGCTGTTCAACATGGTATTTAAGTGATGAAGCAATAGATTCAATAGATGCCTTATCACCGTTCCAAATCAAATAAGGAACAGTATAAGAATGGGTGCGAGAAAGAAAATCATCGACTGGAATATCTAATAAACGACAAAAGCGTGATAAGACTATTGGGGTAGAATACTTTTGTTTGACAACAGATAAACTTATTGTTTTCCAAAAAGGTGAAAATAAATTCCACGTACTAAGATTTTTATAACGAGCAATAGAGCGAATATAGTACATTACCAAAGACGTACTAAACGAGCTTTGTAGAGCGAAAAAATCGATCATTTTGACCAATATTATGTTGAGAGTTTCACTTTCAGCATTTTTAGCTAGTTGTGCCCAAGCCATAATCGTGGTTTCAATTAAATACTTTTCTGCATTAATGTTGATTTTGGAAAGAATCTCAACGACTCTGGCAGAAGATTTCAAGTTAGACGCAAAAAAAGGGAGAATCATTGATGCAGCAATTCTAATGTCTCGGTTGGTGCTTCTGAGAGAACTTGAAATCCAAGATCCAAGGTCATTGTTTGGATTGAATAAAATGTCCATTCCGGAAACAACTCTACGGAAAGCTTTTAAAGTTTCCAATCTAAGAACCGGACTGTCAAAAAAACCAGGAAGTTTAATAATGACATTGAAAATTGATTCATAGACTGGTAAAAATGGGCGATCCTTAGCAATTGATATAACTCCACAATCACAATGCTTGCACTTCATGTTGCTGATATCCAAAGTGCCTACCATAAAACATGCCGAAAGGCCAGTTTGACGAATTAATAAAACCTTATGCTTAAGACTTAAAGAAAGAAAATTGTTGATTATGAACAATTTTAGTTCGTCAGGGCCTTCAATTTTTTTATTTAAAAAAGGTAAATCGTCAAAAATTTTAGAAAATAGATTTCCATTTGATTGAAATCCTGGAGTACAACTACTTAAAGTAAAGGTTGCTCTCTGCATAACGTTGTGTAGGGCTTGTACTTTTTTAAACAGAGCAGGGTCTGTGAACCCCAATGCCGAAACAAAATTTGCATCATAAGGGCCAAGTTCTTTAGAGTTTAATAAACCAGAAACAATATTGAGGGCTTTAGAAATATTTGTAGGCCTGTATGAATTGCTTTTTTTAATTGATTTATAGTCAATCTGAATAACATAGTTACTTAAAACGCCACCCGTCTGGTTAGTCACTATTAATTCAATTAATTCGATTGCAAGTGACGTAGCCCTCATGTCAAGTTCTGAAGATATAGATTTCTGTATTGATATCTGTCGGACCAAACATAGCCATTGCGTTGTAAGGTTGCACCATGAAGATCGGCTAGCCGAGTTGATTTTAAATGCGATGTGAAAAATTTCTGAGAAGATAAAATGTAACTTGTCCATATTTGACGACGATTCAGTAGCCTTGACTTTGAAGGTATGAAATGCACTAGATGTTAAACCAAAAAGAAATGCAAATGTAGAAGGTGCAGTCATTTCTAAAAAAATAGAAGATGAGTGCAAAGCTGTAAAATATATCGAAAGTAGTCTAATTGAAGTTTTTAAAGGTAGTAAGTCATCTTTTACTAGAAGAAAATTTAATTCTGTTGAAAACGTAGAAGAATCAGATATAATTTCAGTGCGTGAAAATTCGACAAAATTGGTCAATATTTGAAAATAATAATTATGAAGAGAGATGTTTGATTTGAAAAGAGCTGTGTTAGATCCGGATGATGATAATATCGAAGTTAAGCAAGTATCCAGCAGCTGATCTATAATTTCTAAACGATACTGAAGTAGCAAAATGATTTTTGGCAAAACGTATTCATAAAGAACGGTCGTGTTTTGTTCCCCAATTTCGCAATACAAGACATTGGGTCGAAAATTGACTAGGCGAATTATAGCCTTTAAGCACATGAGAAGCTGGGCTATAGACTCTTCTGAAAGGTTCGTTTGATTAGAAGCAAGGATTGGGCAAATCACACCCTTCGATATCCCAATAATCAGTTTCATACATTCGTAAACATCGAACTCATTGATTCGCATGCTAAGGAGATTCTCAAGAAGCTTGTTGATTTCATTGGAGTGGGTAGAGTTAGTGACAAGATGTTTTTCTGGGGCTTTCAACTGCCCTGATTCACCAACAGCATTCTGAAGCATTATATGTGACATTCAATCAATACGTTCATAACGAAAAGCGCCAAAAAAAAAGTAGAGTCGGCTGAAATTTTAATTTCCTAAATATGGGTGTTTGTATTTATTTTTTACTGTCAGATTTTGTATTATTTTTGTATTTTTTCTTTTGTCATCAAAACGATAAGCAGTTAGTCTATGCTGAAAATTACGCGTAAATGAT